TGCGCGCAGTAAATATGAAATATACAAATATTGCAAAACACCTATGGGTTTCTATACGTCAGGTCCAACTAGCCTGATACATTGCTCGAAGAAAACCACCACTATCCCCTGAGAATAAACGGAAACGACTTCCCCGGGCACAGTAGCACCTTACCTGGTCTCCTAGTCAATGGGAAGCTATACTACGTATGGCCCGATGAAAAATGGGAAATCTAGGTCGCCATACATGTACGTGGCTTACTCGCCGAAAGGATGAGGTTTCCCATGAAGACTGTATTATTGAGCGGCGCCCACATAAGATAGGATGGATGTTTTGGGGCTCATTTCATGGAACTACTAAAGGCCCTATGGTATTCTTGGAGAAGCAATGGGGTACAATCAATGCCCAAAGCTATATTCAACATATAGTTCCTCTTATAACAGAGTATACCCATCACCATCCTTATCTTCAACTAATACAGGATGGTGCTCCAGACCATGGTGCTCAATGTACTATACAAGAGCTTGAGAAAGGCGGAGTCCATATGGTTAGATGGCCGCCTTTCTCTCCTGATCTCAATCTAATTGAAATGGTGTGGAATTGGATGAAGAATTATCTTCAGGTTAATTTTCCTGAAAATATGACACTATTAGAGCTTAGGGCAGCCATTAGAGAGACCTGGGACGCTATTCCAGCTGATTTTCTGCAAGATCTACTGAAATCTATGCCTGAAAGTTGCTGTGCAATTATTGAGCCAGGTGGTGGTCATACTAAATCCTGATATCAATGTGCGTGGGATTATTATTTAGTGCGTGTATATAAACATCAAATTCATCTCTACCTAATAAAGAAGTGATATCCGGTGGAGCTTACTAACGTTACTTACTCAAGATACCAGTACGGAGTAGTCTCTTGTTCAATCCTGGCTTGGCACATCATGATGCGACAAGGCAGAAACGCAGCTGAATAGGACCGAGGTGACATGTCGTGTACGAATCTACGTGGGAATCCTTTCCGATCTCTGCTTGTCTCTCCCTCTGAATCGGCCCTTTTCAATGTGTCTTAGCACTTTGTTTCGAGATGTACCCATCCGTTTCCTGAGCAATAACTCTGTTTAGTCGGATTTAGGTCGTTAAAGGCGAATTCCATTACTATCTCCTTGGGATCCATCGTTATGCCCGATCAGGCAGGTATTATCACAAATATCCTTCAAATCCCGAACTGAATGATGGCCTTGCTGGGCAGTCCAACACGAAGCAAAATGATGACTGTGGGACTATTAGATGTGCTGTGATTGGTCAGATCGGAAACTACCTCTAGCGTGGTTTTTAGATTCCAGCCATCTGAACTAGGGCCTCGGCACTTTTAACATTATTTCAAACTCAATCTGGACCAGTCGTCTTGTTCGTTCGGCTGAGCGGCATTTCTTCTGCTGCCTGCGCAAGCAATCGACCTAAAAGATCTCGATACCGGGGGATAGATTGCTCCTCCGTCTCGAACCCATCGCATATCCATCTTGGGCAGTAATATTGGAAATACAATCTGGCGTTGATATGACTGTTTCCTCCGAAACATTCAGTAAGAAAGATACGTGCCCACATCATTTTGCCCTCCATTCTTTACTGTACTCCTTACTGAATATATATAAAACCGTGTGACCGAAATAGACCCATCTCTTCTGTCACCCAAGACTCAACTAACAGGCTGGGCCCCCCTAGGTAATATCAAATCACACCTTGGCCAAGGCATTCGAGTTGTTCTTCTTGATCCAGAGGCTTTTTGGGCAAATTAGTAATGATCTTTAGTCCCACTTCGAAGTTTTAAAAAGCAAACTGGTCATCGTCGTGAGGTTGTAACTTATATGATACTGAGCACTTTGTCGGGTGGGCCCGACGATTGATTAATTATCCATGACACGATGGCTTTAGCTTCTCTTCCTGCAGGTGGCATAAGCCATAATTTAGGCCGCTGGACGAAAATATGGACGTACACCGACGAAACAACATAGATACATACCTCAGTAGCGCGTAGAAGCAAACTTTATAAGGATGCACAAAACCCTCCAAGAGTCGAGACAGATTCGTCTACAACCACGAATTACACATATACGCAACGTTTCACAAACTACGCAGTCCCACCGAGTCAATCATGTCTACTACTTTGAAGAGACCTACCGCCCTCCAGCTTGGGGAGCGAGTCCTGGTCACCGGCGCAAACAGCTATCTTGCTTCGAACATCATTGATCTTCTTCTATCCCTAGGATATTTTGTACGAGGCACAATCCGTGCTGAGAAGCCCTGGCTTGATGAGTACTTTACTTCAAAATATGGCGTTGGAAAGTTCGAAAGCGTTATCGTCCCTGATGTAACTCACAAAGAATCCTTGGTGAAGGTATTGGGTGATATTAGTGGGGTGATGCACGTGGTATGGAATAGCCTTAACTTGGACAAATAATAACATCGCTGCAAATACATATGGTAAACTAACGTCTTTCCTCTAGGCTTCGGATTTGTCTTTTAGTGCAGACGCAGACAAGGTCATCAATGGCGTTGTCAAGGCCACTCAGTCTGTTTTAGAAGCAGCTGCCGACCAGAAATCCGTCAAAAGATTCGTTCTTACTTCATCTTCCGCGGCGGCTACACTTCCAAAAGTTAATGTCGAGGGGAACATCGTCGATGAGAGTGAGTCCTATATGTTCTCTCACTACCACACCACGTCGCTTAGATTAATAAATGCAGATTCCTGGAACGACGAAGTTGTCAAACTTGCCTGGGATGAGAAAGCCGACCCTCGCAAACCTGCTTACGTCTACGCCGCTTCCAAGACAGAAGGTGAACGATTCGCTTTCAAATGGGTTAAAGAGCACAATCCTCATTTCACTCTGAACACTGTTCTCCCGAATCTCGCTGTAAGTGCTGCGCTATAGCTACCATATATCTATCTACCCGTGCCCACTCGCACCACCCCTACGCCGGGGCTACACAGTGGTTGGTGCGAGTAAGCATGGGTATCTTTTTTTCTGTTTCTGACAGGAGTAGATGGGACCTTTCCTTTCTCCTGATTTCAACGGCTCCTCCGGACAACTTGTGGTTGATCTACTACGTGGTAATCACACGATAATGATGGCTGCGGGACCTCGTAAATCTCCCAAAAATCTCTCAGCTCTTGGACCTATGTTAACTGACAACCCCCAGAATACTATGTCAACGTCCAAGACGTAGCACGTCTCCACGCCATAGCTCTTCTTGATCCAGAACTCAAATCTGACCGATTATTCGCGTTCGCCGGTACTTTTAACTGGACTGAAATTATTGATATTCTACGTAAACTTCGTCCCAACATCAATCTCCCAACGCCCCCTAAAAACGAAGGCCGGGATCTAAGTGTGATCAAACCTGCAAAAAGAGCAGAGGAGTTGATTAAGACGTGGTTTGACCGACCTGGTTGGGCTTCTTTAGAGCAAACTCTCAAGGAAGCGGTTGATAGTGCCGGTCTTTAAATTTAGCGGTAGCCCTGGAGAATATATTTGCTCTGTATGAAAACCTTTAGTGAGTGGTACAGGTTGGAAGTGTCTTGCTAAACCCTAGATGTTAAGCGCGCTTTTGGTTTAGCCGGGTCCTGGATCACGAAACACAGGATTGCGGCAAGGGCAGTCCAACTGCCCTACGTGGTGAGCCTGGAAATATTGAAGTTATTCCTAATATTACGACCGGTTCTAAAAGGAGGAGGAGAAGGATAATTGCATGCAAGTAAAGGGCATATCCCCAGGCAGGAGAAACGGAATAACTAATATTCCGGTGCTGATACTCAACACCTGGGGATTCCCGTACACAGGCGCCTTTGACGCTGTTCTCCCTAGTAGACGGATCTGCAGATTACGCGAGCAAAGCTGGCCTACAATCTTGTTCTCTGGATTGCCTCCTTTGCCACTGAGCGATTAGTCCAGATCCGACTTAATGGAGAAACTGGCCCCTTAATAGATATTGCGTAAGGTTTACCACAAGGATTTCTAGTCTCTGGTATTCTTTTCATACTCTACATAGCGCCCCTATTCTGTCTAGGACACCCAAGGACCAGATTTGGCTAGGCTGACGATGTAGCTGACCTGGCAATCTCTCTGTCTCTTACTACCAACTGCCAAGCCCAACCAGACTCTTTTCAAGAAGCTCTCGACTGGGGCGCTTTTGAGGGTATCACATTTGCACTAGATAAATATAAGCTTCTTTATTTTTCCTGACATAGAGCAGATTAGAGCCCAAACTGCACGCTCTTAGTGATAGTAAGATCAATTATAATCTTAGAAAATATTGAATGTCCATATCTACGCTGGCTAGGAATTCTCGTTGATAAAAAATTTAACTTTTAAGTGGCATTAATTTGCATGGGAATAGACATTTCTGTTTCAGACCATGACTCACACTCACTCATAGGCAACAACGTTACTATTTTGTGACCTTTGTTGGTGATGTTTAATCTTATCGAATAAAAAGTCTCTGATTTACTATCTCATCCATTCGATGTCCAGCTATCTGACATGATACAAAGTTTAGTTCATTTAGTTCGCTGTCCTCGAGCAGTGAATGGGTCTTCTCGGTATGGGCTTCTTCGTTTATATATTCGGGAATGGTCGTTTGCTCCGCCGTTCTTTTCTTAAGATAGATTAGATATATTCTCCACAACTACGATGAACCTAGATAAGAACAAGCTACGCTGACTCGAAGAGCGCTTAAACACGGAGCTCCCTCGCTATAAGCTACTGCTTTTATATATTCTGGTATGGCCATTTCCAGCAGATGTAAAGAGATGCTGTTTTATGGGATAGGCAAGATACCGTACCTTGAATACTACAAGCTTTAGATAAAAACAAGGACGTCAGTGTGAATGGCTATGAGCGCTCCTTATAAGTAATCTGCAGACTGAAGACTGAGTTGTCCTGTGCTGTTAAATGTTTCTATCTTAATTACTATACAGCTTCATCGTCAGCCGACCATATCCGAAGTTTCGCATCGATATTGGCTCGATGGAAGATGGCAAACGTATAGAAGGACCCGTCGTGCTTAAGCCAGCAAATAATGGCGACAGCGATTGTACCGTGGGCCAAATGGACACACAAAGCGACCGATTTGGCCACGTCGAGAGGAGGTCAGTAATGAGTCTCTAAAGACACCATGGCTCCGCTAATGACCTTTGAACTCCAGGCTTAAAAGCCGCCATATCCAGTTTATGGCTCTCGGTAAGTAAATGAGCAATCAATAGAAGAAACAAGCTAATAGACTTCTCGCTAGGTGGTGCCATTGGAACTAGTCTTTTCCTCGGAATCGGCTCTTCCCTATCGACAGCAGGCCCTGCAAACCCTCTACTAGGCTTCACCATCTCCGGTCTCGCGGTTTGCGGCATGATGCTTTCGCTCGGCGAAATGACTACTTGGCTACCAATACCGGGTGCTATTCCGACATTTTGTTCTCGCTATGTTGACGAGGCTCTGGGATTTGCCGTAGGCTGGAATGTGTGTTCGTCCCGACACTCCTATGTCTCTCATTTGACTGACTAATTGTTCCTCAGAATTGGTACTTTGCTTCGATTGTTGTATGTTTGGAAATCAGTGCTGCCTCTGTCGTGATAGACTACTGGCCTGGTGCCCAAGGAATTTCTGTAAGAAAGTGCTCTCTTCATAGGGGCGAAGGTTCTAGGCTAATAACTTCAGCCGGCTGTGTGGATTACCATCATCATCATATTCATCCTTGTCCTCAATGTCTCTGCTGTTGGAATCTTTGGCGAGGCCGAGTTTGTGTTTACTTCCATCAAGCTGATTGCCATCATTGGTCTCATTATTTTATCGGTAATCGTTATGGCAGGCGGTGCTTCAAATCACGAAGCTATTGGGTTCAAGTATTGGAACAATCCTGGAGGTGAGTCGACTAATATTGAAATAGGGTCGACTTTAGCCAACTAACTGACCTACTAGCTATGAACGAATTATCTCCGGCTACTGGAGCTGAAGGCTGTTTCCTCGCCTTTTTCAGCGTCCTGGTTTATGCATGCTTCACCTACGCCGGGGTTGAAATGCTTGCAGCCGCCGGGGGCGAAACCCAAAACCCTCGAGTTAACATGCCCATCGCATTCCGCAGAGTCGCCTACCGTATAGTGGGATTTTACGTCCTCGGCACGTTGTTTGTTGGCTGCATTGTGGCTAGTAACGACCCCAATCTCCTCACCGCATTAGCTCATAATGCCAGTGGTGCAGCTGAATCGCCCTGGGTAATCGGGATTCAAAACGCGGGAATAACAGTCCTCCCTAGTATTATTAACGCTGTCATTTTGACTTCGGCCGTCTCCTCCGCCAATGCAATGCTATATACTGGTAGCCGATACCTCTATTCTCTTGCCCGGGTCGGTCAGGCACCAAGGGTTCTTCTGTACTGTATTAAGAAGTGAGTTTTATACGCATGGATGTTGGTGTTGCCACTGACCCTCGAATCCAGAGGGTGCCACTGTGGTGTTTACTTGTTACAGCTTCTATCTCACTATTAACGTATATGACTGTTTCAGTCGCTGGTTCAACTGTCTTTCTCTGGGTATGAATAGTACCCATCCAGGAAGAATAGCCCAACAAATCGCGATGCTTGTTACTGACCTCGAAAGTGCTTTCTACATTTCTTGGAAGCTTCTCAAGCGAACAAAAGTGCATCCACTAGAGGATGTAGATTTAGTCACCGGAAAAGCAGAGATAGATGCTCTGGATGGTGATTTGGGAACAGAACATCCCAAAACCCTGGCTGCAAGATTGGTCAAGTTCATATAATGTCAACCGGGAGAGGCATGTGTCTACTAAGTAGTTAAACTAAAAGCAGCGCTGTAACCGCCAAAATAAAACAAGGGCTATTTATGTATAATTAAATATGAGCATGATGTAGTTAGTATTTTTATTTTGGTTGTATGATAGTTTTAATCTATTCTATAAGAAAACAAATAGGATTCAGGCAACGTGTGATTATTTCATTTTCAATTGAAATAAAAGATGGTTATAGCAGGCTCATCCCTAGGTATACATGTTTTGTACTCCCTGGATGGAGCAAAAAACTACGTTGACGTAGTAGTCTTCAACAGATGAAGAAAATACCAGGGGACAGGTTTACGGAAGTTCTCCTAATGAACAATAAACTTCAAGATTCCATCCACCAATTGGTACGTCTTTATTAAAGACTGCGGATTGCATCCGCCATATCTCCCATTGATCTGAACCGAAAGTCTAGTGATAGCTGACCCTGGACTTGTGATAATTCCCCGCCCATCGCATTCGGTTTTCTCTCTATCCAGCAAGTACTCAGCCCTAACTTGTGGGCTGGAGTCAGGTCATGAATCAAAGCGTATGCGGTATGTAATATCTTCTCCTTCGGAACTTGAAGGCCCTTTTCGCAATGTTGTACGAGATACTGAAAGTTGTTTAAATCTGGCTTGTAGGACCCGATTTCTTCGGCAATGTAGATGGCATCGAATTTGAAACCAGCAAGCGGACCAGCAAGCGTCTTGCTGAATGATTCTTTGTCAACATTGGATAAGATGACCAGCTTGAAATGTTTCTGAAGTTCGAGCAGTGCTGCGAGAGTGTCGGGAAATACCGACCAGGACCCAATACTGGCTCCAAAAGCTGCACTCTCCTTGTCGGTGACTGTTTCCCTGAGTCCCCACTCAGACGCCAACTCTTCATATACCTTGGATAATATAGATGCGTATTTCAGGGTTGGGAAAGCTTTCTGAACGCGACCCTCGTGATACATATAACGCCGCAAGATTGTAATCTTGTCATCTCTCAATGAATTTTGATTGCCTAAGCGATCAATTAATGGTTTTAAGCCTTGGAATATCCCGCTCTCCCAGTCGACGAGGGTGCCGTAGCAGTCAAACGAGAGTAAGTCGTATGTATCCAGAGGTCGCGCCATGTCGATTTGTGACTTGTAGATGTGGCTGTAGGTAGTGGCTGTAATTATCCTTGGAACTCTCGTATATATACACTATGCCCATAGATATAGGCATAGAGACAGACATAGACATAGACATGGACGTTGACATAAAGATTTTAGCTATTGCCACTTCCGGACAGCAGGGAAGCGCATGCCGACGGGACTAACCTAATATGAAATGCTGATTGAACAAGCGGGGGTGTGGGACCTAACCAATCACAACTTGCTCCCTTTTTGGCCTGGTTGGTTATTTCAACAACCTCTGCCACTATCATCTCATATAGATATCATCCTTCACCTCTCGTCGGTATAGACTTCCTGTTGCCCTTTATGCCATTTGATCATGCCGCGACGAAGACGGGACCGAACGTTTACTGTAAGATTTCCGTTCACATCATTCGTATTACGTATTGACTGACTTGACCAGGGCTGCTGGAGATGCAGGGCGAGGAAGGTCAAGGCGAGTTGTCACCCTCCCAATTTGCTAATCCTGGCTACTGCAGCTAATACAGACTATAGTGCGATGAGCAGCAGCCAAATTGTCGCGCTTGCCAGCGGCTTGGCCAGCCATGCGATGGTTATGGAGCCAAACTAGTCTGGATAGAAGATGAGGGCCAGCCATACAGGTCCGATGGCCGTCGGTACATTGACTGCGGTTCGTTCTTATCTATCATTTCTTCCTTTCCGTACAGTTGAGTGACTTGCTGACGCGTCTATTACAGATGCCACATGGGCAGGTCATGCAATTCTTGACTCCGGTTTAGTGGACCAACTCATAGATGGCTGCGATCCCGAGTGCGCCGAAAGCAGCAGCAGCCAGCCGACACTGGGACTGCCTAAATCCAGCCCATTCGGCTGCTTTCGCGCGTCGGCGAAGAATGCGGATCATCCATTTGGCTTGCTGTCCAATGCATATAGACTATTGACCATTGATCCTACGGACCCATTCAGCTCGAGCAGCGAGGCTCGATATATTTTCTATCATTACACTAGTCATGTATCCACCATCATGATTCCGCTTTTTCATCCCCGTAATCCCTGGTATTTTTACTATCCAGCAGTAGCGCGTTGCTACGAAACATCCGAGCAAAAGGCGCTTTACAATGCAATGCTGTCACATGCAGCTTACAACTTGGCTGGACTAGCCAGCTTGCCAGACAAGATGTTTTTACTTGCAACTGAATATTACACAAACGCAATTGTACAGCTGAAATCCAGCCTGCAGCGAGAGAATCCGGACTATGGTGGAACACTGGCGACTATTTTAACTTTGTGCATGGCGGAGGTGAGTCATAATTCATAAGATATACGCGTATCAATGACGTACTCATTCACACAAAAAAGGTGTATAGCGGGAGACCTGGAACTTGGAGGCTACACCTCAGTGGTGCCTGGACGCTACTTTGTGAACATAGCGAAAAACAGCCCTGGACTGAGTCGGATTTTGCCTGCTGCTCGACGCAGAGCCTGTGTATCACCAAAGTGATCTCTGATACCGGGAAGGGCCTTAAGGGGACTTCTGGGATTGAAGACTCTTGGACGAGGATACCCTTTTTAGATGAGATACTATTCGGTAGCCCTGACAACTTCAGCACATCCATCATGGACGACGATGATGCCGAGCGTTCCCTGGTTTCCCGTGTCTCCTCTACACCTGAATTCGGATTCACTATTGGGTCTACAAAGTCTCTGCTGGCGTGCATTTCGTCTATCACCATCGCTGGTAGGAAGATGAGGACGAAAGCTTTGCACAGTCAACAAGAAGCCGATTTGCTAGATGAAATACTCTCCAAGATCTTTTCGTGTCTGGACAAATGCAAAGAAGAGATCGCATATAATATCTGTGACTCGGAAATTGGAAGTTTTGATGATGATCAATCTCGGATCCTCTCAAACCACCAACGACAGGCTTTTATTTCTGCAACATACATCTACCTTTACAGAGTTCTATTCGACCTCCCGCCATACAGCGTAAGGCAATACGTGTCTGAAGTTTTGTTACGAATATCGGCTTTTCATTCTGCAAGCCACGGAAATCTCTCAATCTGGCCTGCATTCATTGCTGCAGTTGAAGTTTACGCACCAGAGGACATGGCTCTCGCACGGAATTGGTTGCATCACACCACCATGTTTGGGATTGGTAGTAGAGTCTGTGTCCGTAGGCTGGTGGAAGAGGTCTGGAAGAGGCGAGATGAAGCGGCTGCTGAGTTGGGAATTGACAAGGGCTTGATATCAATTGACTGGCGAGCAGTCATGGAAGAACTGGACATGGATATACTCCTTATATAAATACCTTGCAGAAAAACAAAAAGAAAAAGCCACATGATTCTCACTTTTGCAGGGTGTTTGACATCTCCCGTGCCCACTTCGGCTCTATGAACAGAGCTTCCGCCTCGACAAATACAGTGCTCTCTTCGGGATCCTGTATGGTTGCCTTGACCCACGCTTTGCGACCCTCCACCTTTTCGATCTTTGCAGCAACCAGCACCATACTGTCGACGGGTATCGGTGCCCGATAGCTGATATCCAGTTTGACTGTTACTCCGACACCATTCGCAAATCTGGCGAAGCAGACACGACCCATACACTCATCCAGTAGCACAGCAGAGAGGCCACCATGGCATATACCAGCGTGGCCAGCTAATTGGGACCCGAGATGATAAAATGCTAGCAGTTCTCCCTTCTCGTTAGACGTGGCAACGTAAGGTGGACATGAAATTTTCCCTGGTCCTGCCAGAGTCGTAAACGTGAGTTGGTCTGCCTGGTTTTCGGGCGCAGTGGCGAGGACACCGCGGAACTGCTTGCAATCTGGGAACGCTAGGAGTCTCTGCAAAGCTGGGCTGTTGATGGCCGTTGCAGCCATGCTTGCTTCTAGATCGGTTGTCATGTGTGAAATCCTTCCAAAAGGTCGGTTACTCAGCTGTATGCCTAATATAATGAGAGGTTTCGCAGAAAATTACATTTATACCATGTCGTCCGGCCACTTAAGTAGCATTGGTAGATCGGTATAGCCTGCCGTCGTTTACCTGCATTACAAGCCATTCGCAGGATAGATTGAGTAATTATTAAATATCCAAATATTATTATTATAAACCACCTTAGTTATACAGATTATACTTTGAAAATCACGACTTCTTGATGGTACCGTGGATGACACCGCGAATGGCGTCTGTACTTCGGTATAAGTTGCCATGGAGCCAAAGTAGGCCCACAAATCACAATACAGTGTCAGCGGCAAAACGAGGTAGCCGGATAGATAGTCAACTGTCTACATACTGCAGTCATCAGCACTAAGTGGACCTTTGGAGCGTGGATCATGCTCGGTATAAACTGACTACTTAATATAACTACATAGTATGTCTATCTTGCTTGCTATCATATATAAATACCAACAATGTGACCTTTACGCGAGTCAACGTCCGAAGAAGACACAACATACTCAACATGGACGCAAACCCCGTTCTCGTTTCTCACCCAGCAGTGGGCATAGTGCGACTCACCCTTAATCGCCCCAAAGCCCTAAACGCAATTAGCGTTGACTTGCTAGACGGGCTCACCGCATCTCTGAGGGAACATGGAAGCGCTCGCGTCATCATACTCGAAGGTGCGGGAGACCGTTCGTTCTGTGCCGGGGAGGACCTGAAACAGACACTCGCTCCGAAAACAGGCTCGGCCGAAGAGCTGCGCGAAGCATTCCAAAAGCTGCAGGATATCACACGGCTGACATCATCTGCTTCGGCTATTGTAGTAGCAGCAGTACAAGGATACGCCATCGGTGGTGGTGCCGAGATCGCGCTGGCAGCCGACTTTGTTATTGGCGGTCCTAATGCTCAGTTCAAGTTTCCAGAGGCAACTATCGGCCATGCAGTCACCGGCGGCATCTCCTTGCGGCTTGTTCCTATGGTAGGGCTTCTCAAGGCGAAACAACTCCTTATGTTGGGTAATTTTACTGGCGCCGAAGAAGCCCTGAGTATTGGTCTTCTTACAGAAATTGCAGAAGATCCTAAGCAACGAGCTCTAGAGCTGGCGCTGGAGTTAGCAACGAGGCCTGGAATTGCGGCAACAAATTCCAAAACCTCGCTAGAAAGAGCGGTTTTTCCAAATATGGAAAATGTACTTCATGATGAAGTCAATGTTGCTAGCTACTGCTTTGCACAGAGTGCCGCTGCTGACGCCTTCAGTAATTTTGCTAGCAGGAAAGTAACTCTGACCAAGACAAATGGAGCGCATGAAGCTATCAAGTCTGGCGGATTCTCCCGCAATGCTACCGAGGAGATTGTCGCCAAGCTTCGGGCTGTCAAAGACATCAACACTGCGTTCAAAAACGCCCTTGATACCATGCCCGATCGAACTTTTCTCCGCTTTGGAGGCCACGATTTATCTTTTAAGGAGTTCGATGTATCCGTTTCAGCGTTAGCAGGAGGCCTGCGAGAGCGAGGAGTTGGTCCGGGAGATCGAGTCCTCGTCATGATGAGGAACAGCGTAGAGATGGTTCACACGTGGATAGCAACAAACCGGCTTGGAGCCACCTGGGTGCCTGTGAATGTGGAACTCAAGTCCGTCACACTTCAACATGTTGTACAAGCTGCAGATCCAAAGCTCGCCATCGTTGACGCTGAATTTTTCCAAGATATCCAATTAACCAACGTCCTTAAGCAGGAGGACATCTATGTCCAAGGAGGAACCGACCCTCATAGTCTTACAGATCTCTATGACTTCGACAAGGCCATTTCGGAGGCCGTTGAAGTGGCACCATCTACCACGTCCGCTTTCCTGTACACAAGCGGAACAACAGGCCGCTCCAAGCCATGCGTATTGTCTCATAGCTATTTTATCCATCAAGCCTCGCTTCTCATAGAGAGCTTTGGAATCCACGGAGAGGACGTGCTGTATTGTCCTTTTCCATTATTTCACGCAGACGCAACCGCGCTCACAGTCATACCTGCCATCCTCCTAGGTGCAGTAGCAGCACTCTCGACACGCTTCAGTGCGAGCCGATTCTGGGATGAGATCAGGGCAACAAGGGCTACTGTGTACGATTTCATGGGCGCCACTCTGGCGTTGACATACAAGCAGCCGGCGAGTCCCAAAGACTTGGATCACAGCGTTCGACTTGCCTGGGGAGTGCCAATTCCATCTTTTGCTGAAGATTACGAGCGTCGCTTCGGTCATCCTCTTTATACTCTTTATGGCAGTGTTGAAGCTAGTTTACCCATAACTCAAAGGGGCGCTCGTGTACCAGGATCGTGCGGAACCATTAACAAGGGGTTTCAGATCAGAATCGCAGACGAAAATGATGAGCCGGTACTGAATGGCACGGCGGGCCAGCTGTTACTACGCAGTGACTATCCTGGTGCATTTTTTGATGGCTATTTCAATAACCACGCTGCAAATGAGGCTGCCTTTAAGAATCTTTGGCTTCACTCTGGCGACTTGGCCTCGATTGACGATGATGGTAATGTATATTTTGTCGGCCGCTTAAAGGATGTCATTCGCAGACGTGGAGAGAACATCAACGCGGCGGACCTCGAAGAGGAATTCCTGCGACACCCAGCAGTAAAAACCGCGGCTGCGTTTGCAATTCCCAGTACTTTAGGCTCCGGTACCGAAGACGATGTGAAAGTTGCCATCCAGTTGTGTGAAGGTGCTGAAGTTGATGAGACTGCTTTGTGGGCATGGTCGACTGAGAATATGGCACGCTTCCAAGTCCCAAGTGTCATCGAGATTGTGCAGGAGATCAAGAAGACGCCGACTGGAAAACTGGACAAGTCGACCCTCAGTCCGGAAGGTGGTCAGCGTTTTGATATTCGGAGTATCCGTGGCTAGTGTTTTTCATAGAAAATAATTGTTTGAAGCAAGCAACTCAGTCGTGATACTTTCCTCTGAAGCTCATTACTCACCATTTCGCAGTATCACTCCCTTTCGCGGATATTGTGTAAAGGGCCCCTCATTTCATGTCGTCTTGCAAATAGACCATCGATAAGTTGCTGAAGGAGAAAGTAGTCTTCGCGTGACTATTTTTATATTCAAATCTTGCTGATACCCCTTGTACTTCATATATAGAAGTCGTTCACGAATAAGCTAAATCAAAGACCGTCGCAATTTATACTAGTAGTGATTTACACTAGATGAATGTCTGAGTGTTTATGTATAAGCAATATGTAAGGACTACGCACTAGCAAATAACTGAAGTACACAGCTAACCATGCTTGACACAACGATGGCTGGTGTAAGAGTGGGGCCATACAGAGGTCGTACGGAATTTTAATTACAATATTACTGATTGTTACCATGTCCGCGAGATTTGGTTGGTCTAGGACTTAACTTGATCTACGATTCCCCCGTCGCGGCCGCTGTTCAGCCCGTGTCGCAGTGCCATCAAACCCAGCACGGCCAGCATCCAATCCCGAGCCACACGTTGTTCAAGATCTGCCATGTTACTCTTGTTGTAACTACCCGTTGTCTGAGCTGCAGAGATATCCTATGTCACCGTCTGAGACTACTACACGAGAGCTGTAGATAGGTTAGGGAATTACATATATTAACGTAATCGGCAAGCGAACCGTCATTTTTCCCGGAACCCGCGCTCTATTCTATTTATTAGATCTCAACGCGTCAATATGCCACCAATTCGCAATAAAACAAAAAATATATAGCTGAGCAAGAAGGCCGAATATTATTAGCTATTTCTGATTTACAAAATGGACGAATTTTACGTGTGGCTCAAGCTGCAAGGATTTACAATATACCCCGGACGACTCTACAAGATAGATTAAACGGCATTCAACAAAGATCTCAAGTACGCGCCAACAACCATAAATTAACTCGATTTGAGAAAGAATCACTTGTCAAATGAGTGCTTGATCTAGATAAACGTGGATTACCCCCTCCCCCCCCGGGCACTCTCTCGTACGAGAGATGGCTAATCATCTTCTCTCACAACACGGAAATCAACAGGTTGGAGAGAAATGGGTATCTAATCTTGTTAAACGTCGGCCAGAGATTGAATCAAAATTCTCACGGAAATATAACTATGAACGAGCCAAATGCGAAGATCCGAAGATAATCCGAGAACCTTTTGATCGCGTACGAGAGGTTATCTCAGAGTATGGAATCTTACCAGAAGATATCTATAATTTTGATGAGACTGGCTTTGCTATGGGACTCTGTGCGACTGCAAAGGTTATAACCGGAAGAGATCGATATGCTCGGCCGAAGCTATTACAGCCTGGCAATCGAGAATGGGTGACTGCAATTGAGGCGACTAATTCAACTGGATGGGCCTTGCCTTCGTATACTATTTTCAAGGCAAAGAGATATGCTCAATTAGGCTGGGTTGAGGATCTTCCAGATGATTGGAGAATCAATATCAGTGACAATGGATGGACAACAGATGAGATTGGATTAGAATGGCTTCAAACCCATTTTATTCCTCTTATTAATGGCCGTACTTTGGGAACATATCGAATGCTGATTCTTGATGGCCATGGAAGTCATTTGACTCCTGAATTTGATCGTACATGTACTGAGAATAATATTATTCCAGTCTGTATGCCTCTTCATTCCTCACATCTTTCACGGCCTCTTGATGTTGGCTGTTTTGCTGTTTGAAAGAAACATTATGGACAGCTTGTTGAGCAGCGAATGAGGCTTGGATTCAATCATATAGATTAAATCGACTTTCTTACCGCATTTCCAAAGGCTCGTACGATGGCATACAAAGCTCAAACTATTCGGAATAGCTTCGCAGCAACCGGATTAATACCTTTCAATCCAGATTGTTATGAGCTGACCTCATGAGTATGTTTGGGTGAAGCCCTCACGGATATTGACAACAGCGCTATCTGCCGGATCCCGGCAAACCCGAATATGAAGCTATTCCCAGATCCCGCATGCTTGCGCAACATCACCTATCCGGAGTCGTACGATGTCCGGAGTCATACGATATCAGGCAACCCCGGGTTCCCGGAAGAAGCATGTTGGAAGCCCCTAATTCCCCTTGCCCATATAAAATTGTATGCGTGTGAAGAACCTGTTGTTTCCTTTCTCTTTCCTTTTCTCATGTTATGTTTTCTATTCAAGTATGCCCTTATAGTGAGCATTAGGCGGGACTAGCCCGTAACACAGATCGAGTTATTCAACGGCTTACTATTCAATTGAAGACTCCAACCCCCCCCCCTACAAGTCGACCAAGCAATACACAATCATCTTGCTTACAAACACCTCAAAATATACGTCAATTTACACGTCAATCGACTACAATTAAGAGAGGTATAAGTGAGCTTACAGGAAGCCCAAATCAAGTGATTGATCAAGCCATTATGCGGGTGTCAAATGCCTATGAAATGACTACAAATGATCTTTTACTCCAGGCCATTAAAATCGCGAGATTTATTCTGATGTGTATGTATGAGGGCTGTTAGAGCATGTTACAATAATGGAAAGTCACTCGTCCGCAGTCGAGTGGTTTGTATGGGTGCAGTAATTCACTGAATCCTGTCCTTGATGTAGGGTCAGTTATAAATACATGTAAGCAATGAGAGGTATTAGTTGGACTTGGCGCGAACCTGGAGACCGCAAGGATGGATTATATGTAAGAGTGCATTTGAGCTATAGCATTGTAGACAATGATAAAAATTAGAGGTCTAATAGTATTAGTCTATTGGTTTCTAAAACTTCTCTTGAGTTCAAGACTTACAACATAACAATACCTACGAGCTTGATTAAATTGGCATCAACACTCTTATGAGCGAGTAACCGAGTTTAATGTAACTTACATGGTCACAATGAGATCACAACAATGGCCTCTCTTTATTCTCTTTGCTATTCTATTTTCCAGCTTGTACAGCCTGTGTATCGCGGCTAAATCTTTACACAATGACAATTTCTACCCTAGGCTCTCCCACTCTCTCAGTTCTAGGAGTGTGTTAAGACGGGATGATAGTCATACCTACAACAAGACCTCGCCTTGCGACAATAGGGCCTGCTGCGGCAAGTCTGGCTTCTGTGGGTATAGTTCTACATACTGCGGTACATCTGGAACATCTCCCAATGATCTGTCCTGGAATAATTGCGACGCCCACGCCGAGTGTGGCAAGGATTTAGTCTCTGGCAATAGAACCTGTCCGTTAAATGTCTATTGCAGCCAGTATGGTTTCTGTGGAGCTGGCTGCCAAAATGGGTGCAATATACCCGGCTCGGGGCAACAAACAGCAGCACGCAGAACAGAATTATTGGCTACTATGAGTCTTCGGCAAATAGAAAACAATGCATGGGCATAAATATTAACCAGATCCCAATTGAGAATTTGACTCACCTGAACTGTACGTTGCTTGCGTCTGATGCTCCTGGATTTCTCACCCCCGTATGTTTCTGCCACAGGGACCAACTGAAGGAACTGTGATAAACTATAGATGCATTTGGGTATATCACCCCGGGAACGTACGAGATTGGCGCAATGTCCGGTGTAGATGCCTCGACTTTTTTTGATTTCATAGCCTTGAAGTCCAAGAATAGTGACCTAAAGGTAAGTATATCTCTTGGAGGCTGGACCTTCAGCGACAACGACACCACCACCCAGCCAGTGTTTGGAGATATAGTATCTACGCATGACAAGCGGCAGACGTAGTAGTATACAATCATGCAGAAATCCTTGCCACACAGTAAATACTGCAGGCTGGTTTGCATGGTCCCGGTACGGCTGCGCAACCCATCGTCTTTTCGGATGAACCTTCGGTTGGTTCCCTCTCGCCATCTCCAATCGTGTCCCTTGCTGTTACTTCTATATAGTCGTTGTGGTGGAAATTGGAAGAGTGACAGCCTGGGTGAGGGGCTGGGGTGGGGTAATTTGGCTATCTTAAGCAGTTTATTATTTGCGAATGCTTTCGCAAATTTCGTTTCGCAAATTAGTAGCATCATAGTGACGCTGTAACAAAGTTACGAGGGACTACACACTTAAAGAAGATAGCCTCTGAGCCGGTCTATCAATCTTAACTCACTAGGTGTTGGGAACCCTAGTTCAATGAAGTCTTAAGTGCAAATACCAAGACATTATACCAAGACATTACGCCAAACCAGGAAAAGCATGGGGCTTTTGGGAGGAATGGTCAGAAACACACAAATTGCATGTATCTAGCGCACTAGTGCCCTACGGTATAGGGTTAACCCCTCCAGGCGTAATAAATCATCATCATCATCATAGACAATCTCTATCAAGCAAATAGGGCTCTCTTGATTTGCTGGTACAGCCTCGTAGCGTTACCTCCACCACGCGATATCATTCAGCAGGACGACGTGTGTGTTGGGAGATCACCCTTCATCAAGAGTCAGTTGTTCGTGAAAGATTCCTAGGTAGCTAGGTTAAAGGCGAAGAGGGCCGGAGGCGAGATGGAGGAAGATCCGGCCGTAACGACGTGCGTAGGACGCGTCGTAGTGTCGTCAACTAGAGCTCGAGAAGCTCTGGAAGGCGCTGACGGCACCGACGCCACTGCTGCAACTAGGAAGACGACATTAAAAGCAAAGCCAACTGTAGTGAGGAAGCCTGCTAGTTAGATTGAGGAGAGACAGTGCTCCCAGGACGAAAACCAAGTGATGCTTAGAAAGATGTGTCAGTACTTGGAGGGCACCTATCAGGAGGTTAAAAGTTTAAAAGAAATGCTCAGCAGATAAGAGAAAATCATCCAAGAATATAACGACATAATTAAGGAACTGCAGGCCTAATGGAAGGAATCTAAAGTCAGTATGTGGAAGATTGTAAGTAACCCTAGGTGCAACTAGATACTGTCACGAAAACTCCAATCAATACAGCTCTGATGTAGGCCAAATCACAGCCGTCATTCATAGATATAACCACTAGCCAATCTGGTCACCAGCAGGGTATGTGCACACCTAGGCCCTTTAGGCCCCCTAGTGCCCCCTACATTGGCTAATATACTATTTTGCACAATCGATATGTCTTGTCAGACAAGAAGATAGTGCCAAGGCGTAGATAGCTAATGTTAGGTAGATGATCGAAAAAGAGATATAGGGAAATGAAGGAATGGAGACCTGGCTCTATGTAGTAGTAATTAAGGATATAAAGAACGCTAACCAGTCAAAATTATTTGCAGACAGGAGGATAAGATCTAGCATGTCAAAAAGGCTGCTTAAAAGCTAAATATACTGTTCAATTACAGTGGTGTTGGAATAATAGGTCATGGAGCGTAGGAGGACCATTGCAGCTGGTAAATATCCAAAGCCCACTTAGAAGGGAATCTTCCTGTATGACCATGGCAGCTATGAAAATGCGCCAAAGAGTCTCTTATCTGTATATATAAATCTGAGATAGATCTTGAAGCCCAAGGTTTACCCCTCAGCGGCCTTTTTCCCAACAGGGAACGGTGGGAAACGTGCGTGTCACGAACCACGGCCGTTAAATAGAAACACACACTCTCACACACCCACACCCTCGGTATGGTTAGCTTCTGCGTACATATTTGCATCACTGATGCATGGCATGACAGAGGACTCCGAAACTTGCAGTAGTCTCTGATATGCATACTAAGTACGCCATGCTAGCGTCGAAATTTCAAACTGCTCCTCTCGAAGTAAGTACTCAATCAAGTCTGGTGCTTAATAGAAAATGATCAAAAACTTGCTTATATGGCTGTTGGCTTATATTTAGTACTCTACCAAATATTAGAATGTTGGATTGGGGTATTGTATGACTGCAAATCTCATGTAGCCACAGAGGTTGCTGTCGAGTCTATACAATGTCGATCCCCATTTCTCCTTACAACTTGCAGAGAGCTTTCATTCGAAAATCAACATACCTCGCACACGATGCATATGGCGTTCAATTCAGGCAATGTGGGCATGCGAGACACCAGCACTATTTTATTACTCCGGTCTATTGTGTCATAGTAAGCATCCATGAATTCGGTAGAGAGGGTAGATCTATATCATGTAGATCGAAGCTTCATCTCGTACTCTCGCGGAATTTCCACAAAGTCAGACCAAGGAAACTCTTTTGAGCCAAAATCTACCCCGGCAGCAATCGCAACCCTTTTAGAAGTTTCTGTATCCAGATATATCGGATCATCCTCTTTTTGTTTGAGCCACAAGGAGCTGATGGTAAAGGCCACAAATGGTTTTATCACCGCAGAGAGTTTAATCGGGCATGCTGGATTCTGAGGAAGCGTTTCAGCCACGACAATCGGCAATAAATGAGGAATCCCGCTTTTCTGCTTCTGATTTTCTCGAAGATGCCATTGTGTAATGTTATCATGATAGTGATCATCGTCGCCCTAGTTGTCCCTGTCACCCACTTTCGGTGGTTGCGTGCGAAACCGGATTTGCGTGTGTACGACGTCGTGGCCTCCAGTCTGGACGGCTAGATTTTGATACATGATTGGAACGTCGAGCGCCCATCCTCGACTCTCGCCAGTTGTGGTGGCTTCCCGAATACCTGCACTGGGGTGATAAACGTGACTTGCGGATCATTGACGGGATTGGACGATGTTGGATCTTGCAATGTCGAAGGCAGAACTGGCGGATTTGGAGAGATAATGCTCATTCAAGACTCTTAGCTATTCATTGAAATCAATATCATTCACCTGCAACTCCTTTTCGCTGGCACTTGGTTAGTACCGATGGACGTGGCGCAAGCTGTGACCAATACCAGAATTCGGCCGCTTGAGCAAGCCTTACGGGCCCAGAGACCTAGCTTCGTGGAAGTTTTGTGTTTGAACATCATTGGATCCTTTAATCCAGAATACAGGGACCAGAGCTCTGCAGGCATTTCCGTTCAATATTCCGCTTCACTCCGTATTGAGGACAATGATGCCTCCTTGGCTGCTGCCTTTGACACTTTGTCATGGCAACTCTTGGGTGATTCGAGCAAAGTGCTACATTATATCGAAACGAACATTCCAAGAGAACTTCCTGGCACCTATAGGACTGGGATCAAAATCGCCAAACTGCAGAATTCAGGGGATACCTCCTCAGAAGCAAAGATCACAGAGTGCTTCACCATTCTTCGAGAGTTTTTGGAAATCCAGGATATTACAGGCCAATTAAACACTGTGGACTATGCACTTAATATCGTCAACAATAAACCCTTTCTGGGAGCAGAGATGCTCACAGTGTTGGGCATCTGGGTTATCTCCATCAGAATAGGAACTCCGTTTACATACACGGATTTTAGATCCGCCTTCTCGAGCAGGGTCCTCTCGACGTGAGCTGGCGGATTAGATCTTGGAGGATTGTACAATATGTAAATTATGTATCGGGAGGACTTGTCGTTTTGCGCCCGAACAGTTGTTGGGAGCTGCTTGAGTGCCCCGAACTTGTGTTATATGGACTTTATTATACAACACGTTGATTATTTTCCGATGAATAAAGAGCACTTATTGGATAATGCAAGACGACCAGCTTCCATTCCCGACCATACTGTACTTGTCAATCTTGCGAAACAAAACATGATGCTCTTCAAAGCTCGTATCCCATGTCTCTGTAATAGGCTTCCAGAATGCTCTACTTGCGAGCACGGGGTCGTCCTCTTCGAATTTCGCATCCGATGAGTCCTCGATATCAAGACCATGGATACCGTCTATTTTCTGCAGACGTAGGAGAAAATGTCGATTTTGCCTCGCCTTAAATTCAGTCTCTAGATGTGGTATGTCCCACTGTAGACATGCGATCCAGCGCTTATCGTCATTTTTTTCTGTTGATGATGATCCAGATTCAACCCAGGCACTACTCCAATGCCCCGCAGCAGTGCCAATCCTGTGCGATAAAGGGATTTCATCTTCCGGAGGAGGGATATAATGAGATCCATGGCGAGGGTCACCATGAGCCAAAGCTCGAAACACATCGACTATCCTCTGTTTGATTCCTGGATCAGCTGCGTAAGCGCTGGCTGGAATTCGGAATGAAGTGATTGTAACATGGGCGCCATCGTCTCGAGTCAAATGAAGGCCCGATAGGGACGATTCGAGAACTAGAGACACTGGTGGAATGTCTCCTCTTAGATGGGCATTCAGAGGCGATAGATACCGGAATGCTTTCTCCGGGTTGATGGAGTTGATGCCCCCTTGCCATGCTATTTAAATGAATACTAATCAAATCAACCGACGGAAACTTATTTCTTACTTATCAGAACATCAACGAAGGATTCATCCTCTACCCAACGCCCCCAAGACAACTCCTCGAGTGCTTCGTCCTTGCACAAATTGCGAAAGGCTTCATTCAAGACATGTTCAACGGGCGCGTTCGGAGTTAAGCGATATGTCAATAACTGCGAAAATGACCTCGACATGATTTCGGATATCGGTTAATTCACACAAGATTCGACAAATTCTACGAGATTTGTACGGTCGAGGGATAATGTCGTGGTGGACGTGGAATTAAGTTGAACGAAGGAAAATCGTTGTCTGACAAGGCAACGAAATATGTTAAAAGGAAGACGCTCAGGCACTGCTGACTCCAGGGTTGATCACTGTCAGCAGTGCGTACCGTTCCCCCAAAATTGTGCAAAGATCGAGTCATGTTGTAAAGTTCAGGATAAAAATTCGATCGTCTTCATTTAATTTTCCCAAAGTAAATCCTTTGTTTCACGTTTTATATTAAAGTAGGGACAATGTTTTGGCCCCCATGATGCTATTATTAGGGTTATATTCAGCTTGACAGGGATCACAAACTGCTATGTTCCCCACAATATGCATACCTTACTCATCTTAAGCCCCCCATAGTGAGTGATGTAGAGCAGGAGATTGGTAAAATTTGTTTATGGCGGCGCATAAGGCGTCGATTCAAAGACCAACCTTATTTTTCGCCTGAGCACTCTATCAACTCAGTAACAGACTGGAAGACTCATACCCAACTCTGAATCATACAGGAAAAGGACTTGACTGCATCTCAAGGAGGTAAACCTAATATAACAGGCAATGCCTTCTATTTTTAAATATTGAAGAGTGAATCTCATTTTGCACCTAACCCTCACTGAACCTATCACATACTAATACTACATCAATTCAGTCACAATCAGTGGCATTATACAGTCTACCGCATATGGCGTGACCACTTTTTGGTCCTCAAGTAATCAAACGCTCAAGACTGTTTCGTCCCAGTTTCGCTCCAATCGATATCGCTCAAAGTCACTGCCATAGCGAAATTACGGTAATTATCAGCATTTGATACCGCTTTTCCAGCATAATCTGGGTTGACAGCCATCATGAGTGAGCCGTCAAACCCATAGGCTTTGACTTTACTTCCGTTGTCCATGGTGATGACAACGTCAATGACTAAAACGTTGGTTAGAATTTTCGCCCCTTCGGCATTGAAGATACAAACGTAGACTTACTGTTCTGTCCAATAAAGTGCATCATCTCATGTAGGAAGACTCCTCCCGGAACTTGTTGCGAGTCAAGCGATGTTCCTACAGCGAGCGAAGACTGGCTCGAAATACGATCCGATAGTGTTTTGCCGTTGAATGCACCCGCGCACATCATAATAAGACTGGCCTGCCACCAAGTAATACCATCCGGTCGACTGAGTTGCTGGCCCTTTGAATTGTATGGCGTGCAGATACTTGATCCGTACTGTCCTGAACTGTCGTACTCAATGTCAGGGATCAAAACGGAGAAGTACGGATTCCAGCTGAATCCTGGTTGAGCCGGAGCTGATACGCAGATCAAGTCAGCCTTGATAACTGAAAATTAAGAGGCTTCTTACTGATTCCTGGAAGAGGGTCATCGGGAGGTGTTTGACCGACATCTCCCAATTTATTTGCGTATTTCCATCCAGCATCGGTGCACATCAGCCTTGCACGAGTCGAAGTAGAACCGCCGAGGATATTCAAAACGTTTTGATAGTTGCCTGTATCGAAGTTAATTCTCAATTCATGCATCCTGGTTTCTTGATACAACGGATTTACTAACTCAGAGCAGTCTGCAGCGTATCCTGCCCACTAGTAATCCAAATCTTATTCAAAAAACTAATCTGTCGATAGTTCACTCCCCAAGAAGTGAACGCAGTCTCGACCAAAGTCTTGTCTGCATTCTTGAGTCCACCATTCAGCATTTTCTGAATAGCCGTAATGGCATTCTGAGCCAGAGTTTTGGCATCGTTGACCATTGTGTCAACATCGTAACCATCACAGTTTCCGCCCTGGGGAGATGGGATAGTTGACCAAACACCGCCAACTGGGCCTGCAGCGGTTGCTGGAGAAGTGGCTGTAGTCGTAGTAGCAATCGCTAGGGAGGAATATGGGATGGTCATGGAAATGGCCGATAACAGGAAGCAACTATTGAAGAGCTTCATTTTGGCTGAATAGAGAGAGAAGAATGCAATTTTTGCTGAGGAATAGTCCAGAGATTGAAAAGAGTGACAAGGCGAACGATATTTTTCGGGAACGAACGGCGACTCGAGGGATATGAAAGACAACAGAAGGTCTTCTTGACTTATACCGGACTAATATGACAGCTTTCACAATGTCTCTGGATGGATCTAAATCCCAGATTCAAAGTTTTTTAGATAACAGGCATCTGAGCGTTATATTGCTCCTGGTTATGCTGATCAATGTCAGAATCGGCATCCTTGAATGAACTTTCATAAAAAGGGCCGAATAAAAACTTAATTCATTCATTTAACAAATAAAATCAGTAAGTCAAATTAAACCTCATAATCATTCTTATAATAGAAGATTTTTGATTGTATGAGTCCCAGCAATCTAGCCCTAAAACATCTTGAAGCGGCCCCCAGTTGAGGGTGGCTTCACATTTGCTGAATCCATCCCGGCCACGGTCTGAGCACCTAGTCCATAGTTGTCAGCAAATAAACACTGATATGCAAGGAGCAATCTGTTCCTCCTATTAAATTTCTTTATAACTCGTGTTTTTATATTAGGAAAAGTTTCAGACCTACAAGCACTGGAAATGTGGCCCCGCGTGTTATGGAGACAGGTCATAAGGTTCACATAGGTAGTTTCAGGAGTGAATGTATACTATTTTGGCATTATCAGATATCATGACCATACCGATGATATTCAAGAATTCTCAGGTTGTGGGTAGTATTTCTAGAAGCTCACCCATCTTCTTCCAACCGATTTTCACTCTCTTTCGGTCGCTCATTCCTTCCTTCGTTATCTTTATGCGGCAGCCGACGTTTTGTCGAGATGTTGCACATATCACTCTTTCAAGGCTTGCTAGTATGGCTCTTAGCCGTGACCAGCGCAACTGCTGCATCAAGCTCTTCTAGTGCTGCTGTCTCTACGAGAATCCCTAGCTCTTCAGTCTCCACTCCTGCTCCATCTCAGTCTGTTGTGTCAAGCTCGGGCACAACCTCTACACTCCTTTCTTCCAGTATGTCAACTAGCTCGAGCTCTAGATCCAACTCTTCTGCTGTTGTTCCGAAATCCAGTTCGACCACATCCAGTTCTGTGTCGAGCTCTACGATCTCTTCCTCTACTTCGCTGGTTGCTTCTGCAACTCCGACTAGCTCGTCCAGTACTAGGTTAGGTCAATTATATGAAAAGTTATGATTGTTATTAACATTTCAAAGCTCTTCCAGCACGAGTCAGAGCTCTACAGCTGTGATCAGCTCTTCTCGGCCTATCGTCCCTTCGTCTACATCGTCATCAAGCTCTTCTGCTTCGACGACTACACAACCCGGCTCTTCTCAGCCGATCACACCAAACACAAGCCAGACATCTACCTCAAGGTATTTAAGATATTCCCTCAAGATCAAGATTTGATTATTGACACGTTCTTCATCGGCAGTTTTCAGACTTCTTCTGCATCCTCGACCTCAGCATCTGCGACTTCGACCACGCCCTCCAGTTCTTCTAGCATTTCAAGTGCCCCAGTTACCTCATCATCCAGTAGTCCAGTGGCTGTACTAGCATCGACAAGCTATGTCGTTACCTCAGGGTCGTCTACCATCACACCTGTATTCCAACAAACGACATACTCGCAATACTCAACTTTATCCAGTACCCTAACTTCTAGCACTACAGAGTCTAATGGTCACGTCGTCCCCCTTATCATCTGGCCCGGTGGACTAGGATGGACTTGTATCCTCTTCTGTGGCGGTGGTGGAGGTGGTGGTGCCGTTTTCGGGGGAGATATTCCTTTTCCAACTGCTCCTCCTGAAGATCCAAATGCCACTCCAACCAACACAGATACACAGCCAACATCGACAACACAGTCCAGCTCATCCAGCAGTTCCTCGAGCTCGTCTAGCTCCTCAAGTTCCTCCGGAACCTTTTCGATTTCCGTCTACCCTTCTGGCATTGCGGATAGTTTTGACTACGTGAGTGCAGACGGTTCGATATCATCCTATCTGGCAAAGATCCGTAGCGCTATTAGCAGCATGGATAATGGAAGCTCCTCCGTGGCAGTCCAATCTTCAAGTTTCACAACATCGGCGTCACCGAGTCCTTCTATTCCGGTTACTACACCAACTTCTACCACTATGCCTGTCTCTTCCACTTCGCCCGCGTCTACTACTGGTACACCATCACCATCTAGCACGCCTGTAGTCTCCACGTCTGCATCGTCAACACCAGCACCAATCTGTAGCGAGGGTAACAACTCACTTATGGGATTCAATAATGACCCTTCCTCTTGGTGTTTCTGTGGAGGACGTGGGCCATTTTCGACAATTCCGTCAGCGACTACCTCATATTGTGCCTTTTCGACATTGCCCACGGAAACTATTTCGCTGACTTCTATATCGACATCCATTGATACTACGTGCTCGATTACTACGTAAGTCTGACCAAAGGGTTTCTCTTAGTTTCAAGATCATATTTGAATGTTGATCTAAGTGCTAACTTCTTCGGTAGAGGCACATTCACTGTTCCTGGCTCTGCAAGCACTACCATAGATACCTATTGCCAATGTGGCGAGACTATGGCAGGCATTGCAACGACCACCAGTGGCAGTGTTGTACTTGCAGGCTGCGAGGTTGGGACTCCCATGCCCATAGTCTCTACAGTCTCAACAATCCCACCGCCCCCATACCAAACCGGCACTTGCGACCTGCACATCTTTGAAGCATCCGAAAGCTACCAAGATCCATTATATGTACAGTTCAACATCACTGATGGTGCTAACAATCTCCTCACCAGCCAAGACTTCCAATTGAAATGGGGTGATAATGCTACAGTTTCAGCCACAGACTCAAAATTACCATATGATATTGATGTTGAATTTTTCAGGTCGGCTTCAGAATCGAAAGTGAAGAGAGTAGGGTTTCCTCCTCCAGTCACCGTGAACTGGGAGAATTGGATTCTGGCTATTACGGCTGGGGGCACCTCCTGGACCGACAAAGACATTGACTCATCGAAACTGCCGTATTGCAGCGTCGGGAAATGGGACAATGGGGACTTCTGGGATTGGCTGGATAGCGTAATTACCCTCGGTGGTGATGAGCACTTGCCGGTGAGTTAATAATCGGATCGTTCTGGATTTTTTTGAGAATTTGGCTGATGAATGGTGTAGAATCGGCAAATGGACTGCCATTGGACGTGCTAAGTCACTCCAATAACCTTCCTATTTGGGTAAACCGTTGATAATTTGAATAGTCTAATACATGTAGTCCACAGTCTGGCCCCTTGCAAACTGCACATGCACCACGTGAATGAACCATTACATGTAAGGTCCAGATCATGTATATTGACATAATTTACTTCTCGAATGCCTGTTGAACATTCCGTGTGCAATAATGGCGGTCATCTTCGGTATATCCGGATGTACGTGCCGTGAAATCGTGCAGGAAATCCTAGTTGATATTTGATTAAAACATTTCGTGGCGTCCACATACGTAATTCTACTAATTCAAAGCTCCAGTGATCTACAAAATGTTCTCCAAATTGATCATTTAGGCTAAATCTTTTTGATCTTTTTTCATTTTCAGTTTATAAGGAGAGGCTTGTGCTTGGGCTCGGAGCATCTCCGAACCCCGCAACTGAATCCCTAGGTCATAATAATGGCAGCTATGAAGCCCGAAAAACTGCGTTGAATTACAAACCCTAGAAAAGTCTTCCAACTTGGATAATCAGGTTATTGACCTCAAAGTTATCAGTCCATTGCGTGCATCATCGGACCCTTTCCGGCCAGCACAAGTTATTTCCTAGTTAGGCATTTCCTGAAGTCTGTGTACATTGAGTCTTGGAGCTTGTTTATTCAAGGCATGGCTCTCTCCGCACCCCGCTTGCGGATCCCCCGGCTTTAGCTTATATTAAGTCACTTCATGCCCCAATTACGTACAAAAGGAATCAATTCTAACTGCCAATAGTGAAGTGTTGTATGTGGAGAGACATGCACGCCAATGTCAACTGGTGGCAACCAGGTTTAATCAGGCTAAAATGAAGAGATTAATTTATCCAAGCTGAACTAGAGGTAGAGTGCAAGATATTATTATCCGTGAAGATCAGCAGATGGCGTAAAGTATGGGGAACCTTGGGAGTAAGCAATAGCTGCGGCAGTTATAGCAAGGGCATGGTTTGAAAGTGACACAGCAGTAGACTAAATAGTATAAATACCGCCATGTATTCACATGCCGGTGACACAAAATCTCAGTTCATCCTTCGTTCTCGTTGGTGAATACGGCCTCTCATCATGGTCTACACCGTGCAATATTTGGCTGTCGTTGCGGCTGTACTCCCTAGTGCAGTATTGGCTCAGAACAACCAGTCTTATGCCAATTACTCCTCCCAATCCCAACCGGATCTCTACCCCCAGACTCTGGCAACTCTGAACCTCTCCTTCCCGGACTGCATCAATGGACCACTCAAAGACAACATCGTATGCAATACATCGGTGAACTATGTCGAGCGAGCCGAAGGGTTGATTTCGCTCTTCACCCTCGAAGAATTGATCAACAACACCCAGAACAGTGCCCCTGGAGTTCCTCGACTGGGTCTACCACCATATCAAGTATGGAGTGAAGGCTTACATGGACTTGACCGAGCCAACTGGGCAAAGTCCGGCGAGGAATGGAAATGGGCAACATCGTTCCCAATGCCGATACTGTCTATGGCTGCTCTCAACCGCACACTTATCAATCAGATCGCTAGTATTATTGCTACCCAGGCTCGCGCATTCAATAACGTTGGTCGTTACGGACTTGATGCTTATGCGCCAAACATCAATGGCTTTCGTAGTCCGCTTTGGGGTCGTGGTCAAGAGACTCCTGGTGAAGATGCGGGTTTCCTTTCCTCTTCCTACGCATACGAATACATCACCGGCTTGCAGGGCGGGGTTGATCCTGAGCACCTCAAGATCGTAGCAACTGCAAAACATTTCGCTGGATACGACCTTGAAAACTGGAACAATAATTCCCGCCTAGGTTTTGATGCCAGCATCACTCAACAGGATTTGGCTGAATACTATACTCCTCAATTTTTGGCAGCTTCTCGTTATGCCAAGGCGCGCAGTTTTATGTGCTCGTACAATTCTGTCAATGGAGTTCCTAGCTGCTCTAGTAGCTTCCTTTTGCAAACTTTGCTAAGAGAGAACTGGGATTTCCCCGACTACGGCTACGTTTCGTCAGACTGTGATGCTGCTTATAACGTTTTCAACCCTCACGGTTACGCTATTAACATATCTGCTGCTGCTGCAGATTCTTTGAGAGCTGGAACTGATATTGACTGTGGCCAAACTTATCCTTGGTATCTGAATCAATCTTTTATTGAAGGTTCCGTCACTCGGGGTGAGATTGAGCGTTCCCTGATTCGATTGTATTCCAATCTTGTCAAGCTTGGTTACTTTGACGGAAACCAGAGCGAGTACCGACAGCTAGGCTGGAATGATGTTGTAGCCACTGATGCTTGGAACATCTCCTACGAGGCAGCTGTTGAGGGTATAGTGCTGCTCAAGAATGACGGAGTATTGCCGCTCTCCGAAAAATTGAAGAGTGTCGCTGTTATTGGGCCTTGGGCAAACGCAACTCAACAGTTGCAAGGCAATTACTTCGGGCCTGCACCATATCTGATCACCCCCTTGCAAGCTGCTAGAGACGCTGGATATAAGGTCAACTATGCATTCGGTACCAATATATTGGGTAACACGACGGATGGGTTTGCAGCAGCCTTGAGCGCCGCGAAAAAGTCAGACGTTATCATTTATCTTGGTGGAATCGACAACACCATCGAAGCTGAAGGTACCGATCGTATGAATGTCACTTGGCCTGGAAATCAACTTGATCTCATTCAACAACTCAGTCAGACTGGAAAGCCGCTGGTTGTGTTGCAAATGGGTGGTGGCCAGGTCGATTCTTCATCACTCAAGAGCAACAACAACGTTAATGCTCTTGTCTGGGGTGGATATCCCGGTCAATCTGGTGGCAAGGCCATTTTCGATATCCTGTCAGGCAAGCGTGCCCCAGCGGGTCGTCTTGTGACCACACAATACCCTGCAGAGTATGCAACTCAGTTCCCCGCCACAGACATGAATCTCAGACCGGATGGTAAGTCCAATCCTGGTCAGACGTACATCTGGTATACAGGCAAGCCTGTGTATGAATTCGGCTATGCTTTGTTCTATACCACCTTCAAGGAAACCGCAGAGAAGCTGGCTTCATCATCCTTCGACATCTCTGATATCATCGCCTCACCCCGTTCATCGAGTTATGCATACAGCGAGCTTGTGCCATTCGTCAATGTGACTGCAACAATCAAGAATACAGGCAAGACCGCATCTCCGTATACAGCCATGCTGTTCGCGAATACCACCAATGCCGGTCCAACTCCTTATCCCAATAAATGGCTTGTCGGGTATGATAGGTTACCAAGCATCGAACCCGGGAAGTCAACGGAGCTTGTCATTCCTGTGCCTATTGGTGCAATTTCTCGTGTGGATGAGAACGGTAATAGAATTGTATATCCTGGTGATTATCAGTTGGCGTTGAATGTGGACCGTTCGGTTGTGTGGGATATCAAGTTGACTGGTAATGCGGTGACGATTGAGAATTGGCCGTTGGATGAGCAGGAGATTAAGCCTGATCACAAGTAATTGGATGTATTAGGTTACTAATATCACATAATCTTAGACTGAGATAGTAAAACCATTTCTTGATCCTTGTGCAGAATTGTCCAGTAACACATAGCTCAAGTACATTGAACCACTTAATACAGACTTGATTTTCTTTGTCCATATCATGAAGTCCCAATCTCTCGAACCTTATACTCAAATAATCCATTCGACTCAACCGCATTCCGATCCCTTACTTTCATTGCCGTCGTCATTCCAGCCACGGGGACTTTGACCTCAAAATACCTCCCATCCGCTGGCGCATCACCTGCTATCCGGTATGGAAAAGGGACGTATTCAGGCATCAGTCCCACTTGGCTCAGAACCGTACCCTGATCCCATGCAATATGCTCATGATACAACCTATCTCCTCGGATATTGACTATGGCGGTCATTGGGATTTCCAGCTTTTTACCTGTTTCAGGTATACCGGGGATGCTACCATCTCACCCATTAGTACAGATAGAAGCAATGACGAAGAAGAAGCATACAGCCAATCTATTTCACGGTTATGAGTGACTTTATAAATGAATTCGTCAACCACCCTGTCAATTCCAACGGTGCGACTAATAACTTCTAGCTCAGCATCTGCCGGATTCGAGAAAATGAAATGATTTGTGTAGAAATGTGTGAGTTTCTCCCGGCCAACTCCCCCCGTCATCTAGTCATAAGTTAGCTTACATTTTAATCTCAAGCGTTTGAGAGGTTATAAAACTTACAGTCGGAATATGATTAACATACGGCTCCTGCACCATCGTACTCATCGTCCACTGGACCGAACGATTCTCAAACTCGAAATATGTATGCTCATCCCAGATCTGTTCCAGATCAAAGTACGGACCATTCATCAATGGCTTGAAAAAGGTCAAATTCCGCGTGTGTGATAAAGCTTCTAGCGAGTAGGAAAAGTCGTCTTGGAATGGGAGCGCAAATGAAGACGATTTTGCGCTTGGATAGGTGTAAAGCCGGTTTGGAGGTATATTTTTGTTCTCCGTTGTGGAATATGATGGCTTGCCGGTTAGATGTATTAGGCATGGAATAGGGGATGCTGAAAGAGGGGATTTATCGTCTGGGCTGGCATAGATGACGGCGCCGGAAATCTCAGTTGTAGATGATAACAATGGAGCTACGAGATCCCACAGGCGACCATTGTAAACTTAACGCTCGTCAGCGTGTACAGTATTGTGATTTGGAACAGTCAACGTCCTCACCGACTATACCAACTTTTTCCTTGGGCACACAATCCTCTGATCGAAAAATAGCCTGAGTCGCACGCTGAAGAATGCCCTCGGAGGACATTGCCCTTTCCTGTATCTCAACCACTACATAGCTCTCCTCAGCCCACTTGATAAGTGGCGAGGGGACACCATTAATTATTGACAGATTTGATTGAGGGGCATCCGGTACGATCAATATCATACCAGGCCCAGTTCCTCGTCGAGATAGAGGTTGTAACATCGAAACTCCAGAGCTTACCTCCGTACAACGAGGGGATGGGAGGGGGGGTGGAGGCTTGCTGGTATCAACGTACATTGTGTTTGATCTCGTGTCTGATAAGTTGTGAGTGAGCAAGACGTAGTAATTAAAGGAGAGGAAAAGCCATGATTCTGAGAAGATTGAACCTGTTAGGTAGAAATGTGCCAGGAGATAAGACCCTTCGGAACAGATCCGATAATCAGCTAGAGATTTTTCTACGGCTAAGTTACCGGTACTTCCCCGGGGTAAATTGACACGCATGCAGTTTAGCGTTAAGGCGGGTAAGTTCTGAGAAGGTACTTGGTGCCAGGTAATATTAATCTACATAGAGCATCGCAGTCTCCGTTTCTCATATTAGATCATTATCAATTCCTATCTATCATTGAATACATTCAACACTGGATTTATAATGATATAAAGGAAAAGATGTCGCGTCTAAATAGGTTCATCTCTAGGTTCAATCAACACCTCATTAACAGCAACATGTGCTGGTTGCGACAGCGCATAAACAATCGAGTTTGCAACATCAGCAGGGTCCAGAATCTGTGCTCCGGTTGGCTCGCCGTACTTTTTGATAGCTTCGGCGTCTGTGGACATGTTGAGTAGGTCGGTGGCAGTGTTTCCTGGCTGCACACTGGTAACGCGTAGTCCTTTACCAGCAGTTTCAAGGCGTAATGATTGTAAAGTTGCCTCAACGAAGAATTTGCTGGCAGAGTATACGCCCAGACCGGGGAACACTTTTCGCCCTGCGTCCGATGAGATAGCGATGATATGGCCGCTGCCACGGGATAGCATTCCCGGCACAGTACTTGATAGACAATGCAATAGACCCTTGCAATTCACATCAACGGTACGTTCCCACTCCTCGGTCTGCACATTCGCCATCATGGTGAAGTACATAACACCCGCGCAGGAAACAAGGATATCAACTGGTCCAAGCTCGTCGGTCGCCGCGCGAACGAGCTCTTCAACCTGCTTCTTTTCCGTTACATCCGTCGGCCGTATGATACTCTTGGCCTCAGACGTACCGAATTTGCGCTGCACAGCCTCCAAAGCTTCCAGACGTCTCGCACCAAGTGCGACATGGCAACCTCGCTCAACCAATGCTGTAGCAACAGCAGCTCCAATGCCAGATGATGCGCCAGTGATCACTGCAACGCGGCCGTACAATGGCGAACTATTGGCGGACTTTCTAGTCATAGCGACACCTTTTCGGGGAGCTCGTGGTAACCAGCCTCTAGCAAACCAATGACGAGTATAGGTACTGAGCAACGCAGTATCAACCTTGGGTCTCTCGACTGCAATTCGGAAGGGTCTTGTTTTGCTATTATTCAAGACTACAATCCCGTTTAGAAAATCGACGGTCGGCATGCCACTTCGAAGGATATCCACAGTAAAGGCGCCGTCCCCACCTTTTCCAATACCCCGCCTCTCATTCCACAGTTTGATCCATTCATCCCATCCCACTGGTTTTGTTGGATAGCCCAATTGCTCGAGTTGCTCAAAAACCGATCTTATGGTAATGGGATCGGGATCTCCCAAGTGAAATATAGTCTGTTGAGGAGCTATCTGAGTGGCAAGATGTATGATCGACTTGCTGACAAAGTCCACAGGAGTCATTTCAGCTCGCCAACCATCCACGTCTGGTGCATACCCCAGTCTAATTGACTCCACAATTATTGCAGACAGTAAATCCCAGGCATTGGAGGCCCCTGTGGTGCTGTGTCCACTAATAGTTCCCGCTCGATGGATTTTCACCGGTAATCCACGACGGCCAGCTTCCAAAACAAGTTGTTCAGCTACCCACTTTGTTTGTCCGTAACCATCTGGAAGTTTTTCAGGCACCTCTTCGACAGGCAAGATAGTATCTTCCGACCAGCCTTCTTTGCCCGATGGGGGCAACACTCCGTTCGTAGATACATATTGCAAGGTAGCGCCACTTTTGCATGCGAGACGAATTATCTCTCTTGTCCCTTCAACGTTGGCTTTTTGTAGAGCAGCGTATGGATATACTAAGTTCACAGTAGCTGCCGCATGGACGATCACCTGCACACGAGAAGCCAGATCGTCGAATTCTTCGTGGGAAAGACCGAAACAATCCAAAGATAAATTTCCAGGAAGTATTTCTACTCTTTCCATGATCGAGTCGCGCCACAACCCTAGGTCCAAAAGGTTCTTACGTATTCTGGCAACAGCTTCCGGTTGGCCCTCAAGGGTCGGTTCGCCGAAACGCACCAGACAGATGATTTGTGCATTCGTGCTCTCAATCAGATCATTGAGAAGAAAAGCGCCAAGAAATCCAGTTACTCCCGTCAGGAGCACGGTATCTGCCTTATCAATGGGACATAGATTGACGTTGTGAGGCCTAATGTCGTCTTCTAACGTGGAGTCTTTTCGTAGGATGGAAGGAAGCTCTGCCTGGATCGCCGCACTGTGCCCGTCTCTTGCTGCGCGAACTGCTGTGAGATGACCAGCTAAAGTGGGGACTTCAGCCAATCGTGCAATGGGTACTCGAAACCCGTAATTCTTGGAGAGTCTTGAGGACAAGTCCGCGAGCATCAAAGACTGTCCGCCTAAATCGAAGAAGTTGTCCTCTGGTTTAAGACTGCTCTGTGGTACCTTGAGAATCGTAGCCCAAAACGCAGCAACATCTTTGAAGCTGACCGAATCCGAGATTTCTCGTTTATGGTTACCATTGACTTGAGCAGGATTTGGCGGCGGTGGAAGACTCTTAACGTCTACTTTACCGGAGACTTCGTTGGTGGGCAAAGCATCCATCTCAACCCAGAGTGTTGGAATCATATAATGTGCAAGATAGGGGGCGAGTGCACGACGTGCTTCCGGACTCCGTCCTAATTCATCGATGGCGATAGGCGGGCGATCCTGTGAGGCTTCGCGGTCGCGGACCACATACGCAACCAATTGTCGCTCCAATCCCTCGCCATGAGCAACGACGCTGCAATTGCAAGCAGCGAAGTGCTTCAAGATCTCACTCTCAACCTTACCTGGTACAACCGAATAGCCGCGCAACTTAATCATTGTGCCAACTCGACCGCTGATTTCGAGTACGCCAGACGGTAAAATACGCGCTCGGTCGCCCGTCTTGTACATGCGAGCACCTGGTGTCGTGTCGTAAGGGTTAGGGGAGAAGGCTTCTGCCGTTGTTTCAGGACGGTTGATATATCCCCAAGCCAACATGGATCCGCCAATGAAGAGCTCTCCGACTTCGTTAGTGGTAATTCTTTTACCTTGTTCATCCAGAATATAGGTGTGCTCGGGGTCCATAGGTGGTCCTACAGGACAGTAAAGAGAATCCTTGTCGTACATTTCGCGAATATCGCCACAAGCAATCTCGTGAGTCTCACATGCGCTGTAGCAGTTGAGTAGGCGTGTGTGAGGAAGCGCTTTCATTGACCGTCCAGCGAGATCTGTGGTGACGACTTCACCATTGAACCAGAGAGTACGCAGTTCTGGCAGGCGAGATTTGATATCTGGGTTAGAAGCAAGCACGGTCGCAAGAAGAGTGGGCGTCATTAGAGTCTCCGTAACACGCTTGGCGGCAAGTAAATCGACTAGGGCAGCAGGATCGTAGCTGACTTCGTCCGGCACCACGACGACAGTGGCTCCTCGTAGCAATGGGCGTATAATCTCCCAAATGAAGAACACATTGCAGGCCACACGGTCGCCTGGCTTGACATCTTGTACGAGGAACCGCAGGTTATATGATAGCACAGGAGCTCGATGTGGGTTTGCGATTCCCTTGGGTTTACCCGTTGTTCCTGATGAGTATGACACAAAAGCCAGTCGATCCAAGTCGTCATCCGCCGGCAAAGGACCAGAGTCTTTGGCGTTGCCGTTCAGCTCGGTAGAAAGCTGCTGCTGATCGAGACATATCACGGATACCTGTTTAACAACCTTGGATCGTTCGGTAGAGTGCGTTATCACAACCGCCGGTTTTGCATCTTCGATCACGTCGGAGAGAAGGTCTGGAGGGTAAGCCAACTCGAGGGCAAGGAAGGCACCACCTGCGCGCAGAATGGCCAGACAGGCAATCACATAATGGGCGCATCGCGGAAGGAGTACCCCGGCCTGCACGTTGCGACCAACGCCGTAGCCGCGCAGACGCCCAGCGAGCGCGTCTACCTCGGCATCCAGCCGGGCATAAGTGTATGTAGCGTCGCCATCCTCCAGGGCTACGGCATCGGGACTGACTGCAACTTGCTTGATGAAAAGAGCCGAGAGGTCTTTGGTGGTATCGATCACAGGTAATCCTTTCGTCATTGTGGGTGTATTTCGTTCTTTGGCATCCACTATCTACAATGGAACACTGGCATGGATCTGTGGTAATAATTTACCAGATACGATAGGAATCACGGTATTGGGGAACGATAGCGTGATAAGTATATATGAGGCCCGGCGGACTAGAAAACAGGGTCGCGAAATGCGATTCTGGCGGCTACAGTTAAAACAATTGCTCTCTGATAGGTGAGATACGTGGCATGGCAGTCGACGAAGCCGGTCTGAAAATAGACAACCAAGTTGTAGGTTTGACTAAGAGAAATGCCGACGACAAATCAGACGTTCTTGAGAGCTGTACTCGGACACTGCGGAGAGTCCTATGACCAGTAAAAGGAATGATGGAGAAGGAAAAAGAAAGGTGAAAGCTTGTCTACACAGCAGAGAGAGTAGAGGGGCAAACCAGATGAAAACTTTGTGGAACGATGAAGCGATAAGGCGATAAAGCTTAGGTGCCTTGGTGCCTTGAGGAATCTTGAAATAAACAGAGCCCCGTGCAGTTCCAGAAACATCCAGACTGGCTGATTCTCTGTGCACTAGACTGTAGACGGCTAGATTGTGATAGAAATATAAAATGTTGAGCCAATCACAAACCCGGAAATTTGTACGGTCAGGAACATTTTAAGCGCTTTGCCCATATAGGACTAGCCTGCCATGTTTTCTGTTGAGTCTCCGAAGTTACTCTGTACTATGTATGACCCCATTTGCATGTGATTTCAAGATCTAGTCTGCAGGATGCCTGTAGCGATAAGAGGCATTCTTCTTAAGACCAGATGAAGCAAGCCAAGACAAACTGCTCAGTGCGTTAGGTTTGACTCTGATCTCTTGATCCCATACATCTCTCGCTGGCCCAGCCTGAGTTAGCCGAATTTCTTCAGCCTTGCTCCTGCTATTCCCAGCAAAGCAATTTTTTGATGTCGCGTGACGCGGCTTGTTCGTTAACCCTTGCTTTTTCTTCTGCCCCCAATCTCACTTTGTCTATGACCCTCAAATTCTACATTCAACGTAGCAGCAATGAGTCTGGAACTGCTTAATATGTATCGACGAGAAATTGTACGTATTGGTCTCTGCCAATTGACGTCGTCGTCCATTGTGCTGAGCGATATTCGGAGGAGACATGAAAAATGAACTTTTCCAGACATTCTCAATTACCACACAGCCTGGGACGTCGAAACATGTATCCCGATCGCTTTTGTTGATTATGGGAGTTCAGTAAATTGTAAATTGATCGAGACTCATTTCTTGCATGCCCTAAGGCTTGTACGGAGTACATGGTGGCCATAAGTCACTGATCTTTGTAGATTTAAGGTTGGGACTAGGGATCGAGGGTAACCGATGATTCCCGAAGTCCAACGGTTGAATCATCTTGCTTTGCTCACCGTGACTGACGAGTCGTAGGTAACTCAAGCTGGAATAAGGTTTAATCCAAACCTGGGGTACTAGACGGGAATCAGGAAGATAAGATTTTTCGCATACCTAGGTACTAGGTAGAGCAGTTGAACGACTCACTATCCACCTCACCACGTGTGTAGGTGTGCATGACCTGGCTACTTGACAACTTGACAAGGGTCCTTGGAATAACCGCTCCTGCGCGATCCTGTAGTTTGTACGGAATATATATGCGTAATAGATGCGCACAGATCTGTTACTGCTCTCCTGATAAGGATCTTATCTGAAACAGTACTATGTAGGAATTGAATGATAGACGTGATCTAACAGGTGATATCCCCTTTCGGGCAGCTCCGAGCAATGGCTTAAACAGGATCAGCGTTGCATGACCAGAGGAAAGGAAGGGATCCTGAAAGCAATGGCTCAAATTCGTACCGATCTTGTCTGAACTATTGATGCTCATGAGGTATTTTGCTCAAATGAAACGTCATACTCTGTACGTAAAAGTCTAATTGTCAGTTAGTCGACAGATAAGGAAGGATTCCAGAAAAAGTCTAATTGATTACTCGAAATGGCATGCTAACTTAGCTAAGCTAAGCCCTCGTGGCTGAATGATCTACAACGGCACAATCTGATGATAGTAACGTGCTGTCATATGGAATTTCCATGGCTACTCCTGCCATATCCCCCGGCTCGCGTGCCTTGTAGCCTCATTCATGACCTGCACTCACCCCGTACTTTTGCGCGTTTTATTACGTACTCGTTACTCCGTACTCCGCATTGAGCACGGAGTAAACAGCGGCCATCACACTCTTACAAGCGATTATCAAGCGGGGGAATCCGATGCTACGTCGTTAGTCATTGCATGCTGTCAGTATCAGCAAAGCGAACGTAACGAGATAAAATCTCCAACAGGTATGATGAGATGCCGCCAATCAGATCGCGTGAAACTGCTCGATTAGGGCTTAGGGCATCCCGTTTGGCCCCGTACCTTCCGATTTGTTCGCAAAAGGCAAGGGCGATCCTGGGATCGGCGCCGGAGTGGGCCGCCAACCAATTTTTGCGGTATTCTGATTGGTTCAAATAAAATCAAGAAAGATAAGTGGGCCGGGCTGCACAACGCCACCAAACTCTTATTAGCAATCATGGATGCGGTACCTCGAACCAAGCCAATCAGCCAGTAGCTGTTACGCAATGGGTGGACCTCCTTCCTGCCTGCAATGTCTGGAGGATGAACTTCGCTCCGAAGCCGCTCATCTCTTTTGGTGACGAATACTTATGCCTGCTCTTTCGCTCGTCCTACCTTCTCTTCCTCAACTCACTCGCCTCGTCTTACACCCAACTCCCCAGGGAGATCAGACAAAAGACACCATGTCTTCCCAAGACAACATCTCCACCGACTATGAGGCCAGCAAGGCCTCACAGCCTTGGCCCGAAAAGGGCGAAAAGGACGTTCAATCCAACGTCCCCTACGATCAAGAAGTCGGGGAGATGACAGAGGAGGAACGTCGTGGCCACGCCAAATATAACCGTCTCGGTTGGAAGCGTCTTACCGTCGTGCTTCTAGTCGAGGCTATTGCACTGGGAAGTTTGTCCATTCCTTCGTCTTTCGCTACCCTCGGAATGGTAGCAGGTGTCATCTGCTGTATTGGCCTCGGTCTCGTCGCTATTTACACGAGTTACGTTGTTGGCCAGGTTAAGCTCAAATTCCCTCATGTCGCCCACTACCCCGATGCTGGCCGTCTGATGTTTGGTCGATTTGGATACGAGTTGGTCAACGTTATGATGATACTGATCCTTGTATTCCTGGTTGGCTCTCACTGTCTAACCGGCACCATTGCCTGGATGAACATCACCAGCAGCGGTGTCTGCTCTATTGTATGGGCTGTTGTCTCGGCTGTTATCTTGTTCCTTCTGGCGCTGCCTCCCAGTTTCGCCGAGGTCGCCATTCTCGGATATGTCGATTTCGCTTCCATCATCATTGCCATCGGTATCACTATCATCGGTACCGGAGTCGAGGCACACAATGCTCCAGGTGGACTGTCTGCTGTTAATTGGTCCGCGTGGCCGAAGGAAGGCACTACTTTCACCGAGGCTTTCATTGCGGTCTCCAACATCATCTTCGCCTACAGTTTTGCCATGTGCCAGTTTTCATTCATGGACGAGATGCACACTCCTAAAGATTTCGTCAAGTCTATCTGGTCTTTGGGAGTTATAGAAATGATCATCTACACCTTGACCGGAGCCCTGGTTTACGCCTTTGTTGGACAAGATGTCAAGAGTCCCGCACTCCTATCGGCTGGTCACCTACTCAGCAAGGTAGCTTTCGGCCTCGCCCTGCCGGTCATTTTCATCAGTGGTTCCATTAACGGCACTGTCGTCGGTCGCTTGATCCACGGCCGCATCTATAAAAACTCACCGACCCGATTCATCAACACGAAAATGGGCTGGATTACATGGGCTGCGTTGATTGCAGTCATTACGATCTTTGCATTCATCATCGCCGAAGTCATTCCATTCTTCTCGGATTTGTTGTCTATCATGTCTGCGCTCTTTATTTCGGGATTCAGCTTCTACTTCCCCGCGCTGATGTGGTTTATATTGATCCGAGAAGGAAAATGGTATTCTTCTAAGAATCTGTTTTTGTCTATTGTCAACGGCATCACATTCATCATTGGTGCTATAACACTGGTTGCTGGCACTTATGCCAGTGTCGACGATATAGTAAGTTTTCTCTCTTCTCTCTACATTCTTCCTGCGATCAGCTTCTAACAACTTACAGATAAACAACTATAAGAGCGGTTCTGTCAGAGGTGTTTTTTCGTGCGCCAGTCCTGAATAAGCGATCTTTCAGAATAGCATTTCATGCATAGACCACCGTCAGGAATCGTCTCAGTTCAACGATAGCGCATTCAATGTACTGTTATGATTGGGAGGGGTCCCATTTCATGTTCCATATATCCTGTTTTGGCTACGTACAAGCGATGGTGTATAAGAATTTTGTATATATTATTTCCAACATGAGCATTGCATTGCATTTCCTCTTCCGGCCGTGTCCTAAATCCCTCATCACCCGTTTAATGCCTCAAGTAACCGATAAGATCGACATACACGTACGTAGCATTCTACTAGCGCCATGTCAACGCCGACTCTGAGCGAGATTAAACTAGCGGATGTGCCGTCGGTGGCGTCCCCGCTGTCATACATCTATACGAGGGTGGGGGAGATAAGCATTTCGTACATGACTCGTGAGGTAGGATTGATGACATAGCTTTATCTCTTTGTTTAACTATGCGTTTCAGTCTTTGTCCAGATCCGGATAATGGTGAAGGCAGGTTGCTTACTGGACTGGGTTATTCTGTGTCGGAATAGGAGTTACGAGTCAAGTGTGTATTTCTTTTGGCCTACTACGTATGCAAAAGACCTTGGATGCATTTGCTTACTGACTACGTATGGGTGCGGAATACGAGTGTTGTCCAATTCCGGTGTCTCTAGGTACATAGAGCATATGCCTTGATGCTCATTCCGACAAGTACATACAATGAACTCCGAAACAATGCAGAAAATGATTACTGTACTCAACTCTCGCTTACTTTATTCCGGGCTACATTACAATTGAATATACGGAGTTGCATCAGTCAAAGTTAACGTTATGGCTGTGGTTATGGCTGTGGTTAGGGCTAACCTTAGTTAGATGTGCATGTATCACGAAGATGCTTCAATTCATGGTTGATACTAGCTAATGCATCGCTCTCTGATTCTGTAACGTCAATCCTCTCAGAGTGCTCTTAAGTCCCCCAACTGTGATTTCTCCAAGGACAAAACTCCCACAGCGTCACAGCAATGATCTCAGATACAAGGTCGTCGTATGTAAATACTGAGTCTTGCTGATTCGTGCGATATTGGTTAATACACATGACGATATCAGATAATTCATTCCACAAAGTGCGATTCTCATTAGAAAATTGGATGCACTGAACGGATTGTCCGTAGCCGAGACGATGATCCCTGAAATTGTACGCAAAAGCGCAAAGTGAGATTCTCCATTATTTTGCTAGCAGACTTCCGGTAGCTGTCCATATTGAAACGTCTTTGATCGGTATCTAGAACTTTGCCATCAGGAGGGAATGCCACTGCTCGAACCTGACCAGAATGGCCTTCAAGGGTCTGCAGCCAAGTGTCAGTAGCTGGATCCTAGGGCTCGACTGTCTAATCACGGGACTCTCTTTTTGGACCACCCATTAGAAGCAAGTGCTCAGCTAATAGTGAATTTTGTTGGCAGTGTGTTTAACTCATCCCATAGAGGTAACAGCATCTCAGCTAGGTATAGGTCAGGCTTTTCGAGCAGATTGTCACAGAGCGCTTCTACAGTAACATCACTGGTGTTATGCTTCGTCGGCCACCCCACACGATTCAGAGGTGTTTTGACACTACCAGATAGCCGTAGATTGGAGCGAATATTTTTAATTGACCGTTCAGTGCAGCCGGCAGCTTCAGGCTTCAGCTATCTGGGATGCGGTGAATGGCTCACCACTAATTATCAAATCTCGAATGAGTTCGAGTTTGCAACAGACTAGCCTTAATGCCATGGTAAGTAGGAATTCCACTGATGTTTAGAAGGTTGGTGATATTCTCCTACGCTACGCAAGAAGGATGAGGAGCGTTGAGTAGATACTCTGCCTACATAATACCAAACGTGTAATTTATAAAGGAGTTCCGTCATGTCATGATAGTATTTGGTATTTATTATACGGCTGAACATTCTAGAACAGAAAATTAATGGAGCTTGACCGCATACAGTGCATTGCAAAGTCAGTCTCCCTCATGGACACATTCTCTCAGACAGTCTGCAGTCCCTTCATCTCAACATTGAAAACATCACAAACATAATACACCGGAATCATGACACCGAGACTAGCCGTATCGCAACTCATCCTCACTTGTGACATGTTAGTTAGCACTGCATCCCAGATAGCTGACGCTGCCAACTGTAGTGACCGGTCAATTAAAAATATTTGCTCCAATCTACGGCTATCTGGCAGTGTCAAAGCACCTCTGAATCGTGTGGGTCGCTGACGAAGCATTACACCAGTAATGCTAGAAGCGCTTTGTGATCATCTGCTTGAAAAGCCCGACTTATACATAGATGAGATGATATTATTTATATGGGATGAGTTCGACACTCTTACAACGTGTTTATATATGATGATGCTACTGGCTGGGCAAACAGTCCATATATAGGTAATATTTGAGATAGTCATATTGATGACAACACTGGACTATATAGCTCATTCGGTAAAGCCTGAGCGTCCAGAGGGATAGACATCACAGCACTAGATGTGGAGATTCTTTGTATAAATCCAAAGAAACAATGCATCGCGCCCCATCTGAGGATGTTATAGTTATCTGTGGACACACTGGTGCCGTATTGCGACACCGGCCTTTCCCTACAAGAACATGAGATGAAGGTACTAGGAGCAGCCAAGAGCCCTCAGCTGTTCTTCCCATGCTTACTTTCTTGCAAAAAAAAATTTTGTTTTGTTTTCTTTTTAACCAAAGTCTTTGTCCATGATTGAGATACTGACACAGCTGCTGTGTGACTGTGCTGTTTGTGACTTCATAGAAAGACTACTGGCATCGAGCAAAGATTCCTATTTCTCTAAACTGAGATCTGGCTCGTCGAAGATATCCTCGACTTTCAAGCCAACAGTCGAAGAGAGGAATGCTTGCTGTTCGAATAGGAAGGGACAATGCGATAATTACTAGATATTTATGCTTGAGATCCTACTAGCAGTAGATAAGATAAAGGTCTTTCGTAAATCACTCACAAGTATTCTTCTGGAACAGCAGGATGACGCTTCCCAGATTTACGCACTGCAGTTCTAAGCTGAGGTAGACCAGTTTCACAAGTCAAGGATGTGATGAATCCAGTCAGTAAATACGGGAACACCTGGCGACTATTTTGACTTGACCACTGAAGGAGGAAGAGATTGACTAAGAACTCAGATTGATATATTTCTCGCCTGCTCTTCCAAGGGTACGAAACAAAGCCCGGAAGTTTCCTTCTCGATTGTTTGGAAAGTTTAGCAATGATTGTTTTATCCGAGATGGGCTGATTCTTTGGAGGTTGTATCAGACCTTAAAGAGGTTTGGAATTTACAATAGATTATCAATTTTGACTGAAAGAATTGTATATCAATAAAGAAGATCCACCAACGCCATCATGCTAACAGCTATGTACAAGTCTAGTCAAAGCATTACCAAGCCGTATGTCCTCCATCAATCACCAGGGATGCACCTGTCATGAAACTACTCGCTTCACTCAATAAGAAAAGAGCCGCACCTCGAAACTCCTCCGGGTTGGCCAAGCGACCCATCATGTTCTCTGACTGCCATAGTTCCTTTGTCTCGGGCTCTTTGTCAAAGACCATTTGAACCATCGGTGTCATAATATGTCCTGGACAGAGACAATTGACACGAATACCACCTTCACCCTTTTCGTTGACTGTGCCTCATTCCATCGCTAGACTGCGCGTAAGTTGAATGACGGCGGCTTTCGAGGAATTGTAAACGGGCGAAGCCATCCCCTTATTCGCAATAAAACCACCCATACTCGCCACTAGTAAGATAGCTCCCCGACAGCGATATTTCATCATCTGTTTCGCGGCTTCCGTTGCACAGATAAACACACCGGTATAGTTTATACTCATAACCTCATCAACTTCCTTTGGCGTATGCTCCACAGCTTTATCAACATGATTCACACCGGCAGCACATAATATACCGTCAAACCTCTTATTCAACTCTCCAATCTCCCCAAATGTCTTTGCCACATTCTCCGCATCCCTTACGCCGATACGTCGATAATGCAACGAACCCCCAACAGCTGGATTTGCGCGTTTTTGAGCTTTGCGGAATTCATCATCGGGTTCCGGTAGACGATCGACGCAGTGGATTTGAGCGTCTTCTTCGACGAGGGCTTCGGCCATGGCGAGACCGAGACCGCGGCGGCCGCCGGTTACGACGAAGACTTTGCCTTGGAGGTCGAATTCCCGGAAGCGTTGGTGGGTGTTTGTTTTGGTTTCGGGGGGGAGGCGTTTCTTGGATGTGTGCTTCTGATAGGGGTGAGATTTTTTTCCGGGGGCCATTTTGTATATTGAATGAAACGGTTCTCTGTTTGTGTGATTCGTGTAGTTATGAAAATGTATAGTAGGTAGATAGATAGTAGTACTTCATGGACAAGTCTCGACACGGAAAGCGAAGTGTTTGTATTTATACATCTAGGAACCAACATCAAGCTGCTGCTACCTAAAATCATCAGTAAGAAACTCCATATGATTGCTCGCTATTCTCGTCCATCGCTACAAGAGCTCGACAATGCAAAAGCCGAAACGTCACTGTGGACACACCCGACGGCTATGAGCATCAGATGTTGATGTATGACATCATGTATCGTGAATGTGTATTGAACTATTGAACTAGAATCTTGAAAGAAGTCACGATTAGTAGAGGCTATTGGCAGGATGAAGCTGAGTATGCTCTGTCGTGGGATGTAATATCATTGAATTTGTGGACCAATCACAGCGCGTGGTTCATGTACTACGATCATCATGCGCTAATCCCTATTAGGGATGATTTATCGCTTATGTAATATCTCGGGCCTTTCTCCCGTCCAATGTGTTTCTATCTGAGGCTACATTCGTGTGGCTAATTGTATCATACGTTTTATGGTTTTTCGTAATGATATACTCCGTATTCAGGTGATATATCGAGATTGCAGGAAATCTCTGCCAGATATACGTAATAGTGATATACAAGTGGCTAATTACTGACACATGTCTCTTGTAGCTATCTACTAGGTTAGCGACGAGTACTACGGTAGCTACTACGTAGCTAGATATCATGTCAACTCGCAAACTCAGCCGTGCAAGCAACACCGCACCAGAGCTCAGTCCTGAGCTTGGCACCCCCGTAATCCATCCCCGGTATCATGAAGGGCAGAAAGTGCGATATAAAGATGTTACAGGTTAGCTAACTCTCGGACCTGTCGCTGAAGTATGCCACTAATTGTATCCACATCCAGAACGCTATGGAACCGATACAAGTATCGGCAGAGTCAAGACTGTGTTGAAGGATGTAACGCCTCCCGTTGGGAGAGAAGAAGTGCGATATGAGGTTTGTCCAGACAAATGTGTTTAAATTCCATGTTTTAATGGTATATATGCAGATTGAGAATGAGCGGAGAGGCACAAAAACAGCGATTTATGAGAGAGATATTGTCGAGTTGGCAATATAGCGCCGCTTGGCGAGTAAATGTGACTACGAATTTAAATATGGATATCTCCTTAACACATCTCAAGTTCCTCTAGGTATTGGAGCCGCGGGGAGGAAGGTTAATATTCATCCATATTTGGTCGTGTCTATTAACCATGTGTTGGTATTTTGCAAAAGGCACTACAATCGCTGCTCCTCACTGTGACACAGAAAAACTAAATGAAATCCTGCTCTTGCCGAGTTTCTGATGACAATTCTATACTAATCGTCCGGTGGATATCGTCACCTAGACTCTGAGCATTATTCCCAGTCCACTCATTACCTGCGGATTGCCTCAGTATGTTGTGGTTGAACCTCTTCTGAGATCGACACGAAGTATCACCGCTACAATAACAATCACAGGATGAACAAATGCCATTGTTGCTTGTATGTCCCCCAGCTCGGTAGCGTTGATACGTTTTGAAGGCTTGGTCTAAGATCTTGGATATGTGGTGCGTGCCACGGAGGAGTACTTGGATGAAACCCGGTATCACAGGGAAACAAGTACAATGAATGATTGATTCAAACTCCGCAACACTAGCTCTCAAAGTCAGCAAGCCGCCGAGTTTGCAAGGCTGGGGATTTACATGCGTCCATAAGGCAAGTTGTGCAATAGAATAAGTAGAGTCTGTCGAACTAATTGCCCGAACGTTGAAGACTAGTCGATCAATCTAAGAAGCGACAGCACTAAATAAATTAAGGATCGGGAGGGTCTCGTTCGTGGTGTATATGGGATCATGTTGGTAAAAGGGGTTCTCAACTTACATAGTACCTGCTAGGAAAATGGCAGAGATGCCGAATTTGTGCTTCAAGCCCAACTGTAGACGCCATATGGCCCAGATTGGCAGAATAAATATGACCAGGTCCGAAACCAGACTGAAAGTTCTAGAGAGAAGAGTCTCAAGGGAACGATTGACACAGTGTCCACTTGTCGTCGAGGGTTGTCATATGTTTGACAATGGTACACACTCGAGTAGAATTGCAAAGATCATCAAGGAATAGAACCTCCACCTATGTAGATGAGTGCCTCTTCAGCACCACGAAAATAAATATGATTATGCTTTGCATAAAATCCGAACTGAAAGCTATTTATAAAAGCATGATATGTAGGAAAATACCACTTTCATACAGAATATAGGAACACTAGACATATACATGGTATGAACTACGACTCAATATGCCCTCAAACTGTATACTGCAATCCATGGATCGATAAGTGAGCACTTAAAGAGATCTTCATGTTGGATATGAATCCCATTATGATGTTACCATAAGAATTACATGCTCTAATGAGCCTAGTTTCATAAAGTGATAGTAATTCATTCTACTTGCAGTAGTTAACAGGAAATTGATGGAAAATTAGGTACTATGGTCTGATAAGGCCATTGCTTGGTAACGGTGAAAAATCAATCCTTTACAGACACCACATGGACACAAAACTATGTGCAATAGATGCCTCACAGACTAAAATACATACATCATTCATTCTACTCTAGACCAAGTGAGGCGACACGATTTGAGGGTCGATTGATAACGGCTCTTCAAGAATAGAAGGATGGGCAAGTAGTCCATAAACCTGAATCATGACAGTGCATCAAGCCAGAGCCGAATTTGATTAGCATCGATGGACTTTATATGATTAGTATGACCGCCGCCAAGGAGATTTTGCTGAGAGTACTTGTGCGACGGACCCCGATCAGATAGCAAATCAAAGAAGCTCAACAAAGGAAGAGACGGTAAGACTTGCAAGCTGTCCTGCTCCTCCTTCTCTCGAGCTTTCACAGCTGCAATCCAATCTTTCAAGGGTGCAGCACCAGCGGACTGGCCACACCAGCTCTGGATCACGGGCACAGCTTCTGACCACGGCATGGGAGCTGGATGTACCAAATTGTGGAATAGGATCGCCTCCTTCGAATGGCGATCTTGATGCAGTAGCGAATTGACAATTTCGGCCACACTATTCACGGGTAACCAATCAATGTCCATCAAGTCAGATGGCACCATCTGTAAGGACTTGGAGGTTTCCAACAGTCCTGTCAGCGCATCTTTCTCTGCCCATATGATTTCACCGGTGGTGGCTGTTGGAGGTGCAATCTGTCCTACTCGTAATATACTTGTAGTGACTTTAGACTTGGCGCTGGCAATGCAGAGGAGGTTCTCAGCCACATGTTTGGACTCGCCGTATCCAGTTTGCATTGCTTCATTTGGGTCTGTGATTCTGCCTTCGGGCACTAGTTTTGCTTCAGCTGACGACTGTGGAGAAAAGATCCCAGAAGCCGACACTGAGGAGATAAAAAAGATACGTGGACATCGTTTCGAATTTGCTGCGAGTTGAATAGTATTCATAAGGCCACTAAAGCTGTCCTTAAAGGAGCCAACAGGAAGCACGAAGTTGACCTGCCATGCAGAATGCAGGATCACATCACATTCGTTGTTCAGGTCACTATAGACCTTATCAGCCAGCCCAAACCTAGGCTGAGTGAAGTCGATCTGGAAGAAATGTATTTTGTCCTGCCACTCCTTGTTTTTGAATAATTGTTCAGTGGAAGGATGAGTTGCCCATGTCTTATGCGCCGTGGCGCTACGATTCAAGCAGATGATCCGCCCAATTCTCGGGTCTTGCGCAAGCAACAGAAGCATGTACTGGCCCAAATAACCCGTTGAGCCTATAAGCACCACATTCATTTGCTCCTGAAAGTTCGTTTCCCCTGATTCCAAGGCACTAGAGCCAACCGGCAGAGACTGTTCATAGTGGCTGAGGAGGTCTCGTGTTCTAGAAACTCTGTCAATGTTCTCGGGATAGGTGCCTTCATTCAGCCAACTGAGTAGTACGGTGGCTAGTTCGTTAATCGATGAGTAGGTATAGATCATCTCGAGTGTTATCCAAGTCGAAGGTTTTCCTAGATTGAGTGATTCAAGAGCCGCTTTCAGTTGAGTGACCGTTTCGAGAGACTTAACTGAGTCCAACCCCTGAGTGTACAAGTTCGATGAGTCGTCAACTGCCACTCCGTCCAAAACGTTCTCGATGATCGAACGAATCAAAGCTTTCACGTCATCAAGACGGAATGCAGTTGGCTTCAATAGGAAAGATTGGACTGGCTGGACTGGCTGTTTGGGAGACCCTCTGAATAAGTTATTCAACTCTTCTTGATATGCTTCCAATGTCAACTTGCGCACGACGGTGCCCTTTCCCGCCCGGATGAAGGGCTTATCGTCCTTGGCAATAAATATCATCGACCTGGATACTCGGCCTGGGCCTGCAATGTCTGAGTTTAAATGTCGGATACTAGGCCAAAGGGTATCTTCTGGATTGGGACCTAGATTATGGTCTGGTTGAAGCTCAACGAGGAGGGCTACTCGTGCCTGGGATTCGCCGGCAACCAAGGCACCGGCGACACCAGGAATGGCTTGAACTCCAAGTTCTAGCGGAACCGGGTTGAGCTTCTCTCCTGTAGCAAGAACAATTATATCATCTCTTCGAGAATAAAATTTCCAGAGTCCAGGCTTATTTGGGTGAGGAAGAAACAAATCCTTGGTGCGATACTCGCGGACCCCGGGAAAGTTGTGGTTCAGGAGTGAAAAATTCTCTGTCTCATCGCTGGCATGAATGACAAGCTCAAACGTATTTTCCCCTGCTTTTTGTAATTCAATATTTTCCGAGGGATGAAATTCTATATATTGCCAGTCTTCTTTCAGTGGAAAAAGCTGTCGTATTTGGCCTGTCTCGGTAGAACCAAAGAACTGACACAATGCAACATGTTGGATGAGCTCGTTTCCAATTGACTCAGGCAATGGACCACCCGCATAACAGAGTATATCTAGGCTTTTGAGCAATTCCGGGCCGTCTGGCTCATTGTATAGATCTGCCACGGTCATGGGGGGTAGAAAGCACCCTTTGACGTTCAAGCAGCGTAGAACCTGTGCCACCAGTCCACCGCTTGGTAATCTTGTTGCAGGCCCGAAGATTGGTATTGTGTTGGTGAAAATGGGAACCATGATATTATTCAGGAAGCCTGCCATATGAAACGGTGGAAAGGGCACATAGAGATAACTGCCTGGAGGGAAATCCCACGTTGTCAAGTCATGATTCTGCCGCCCTGGGACAGTCGGGAAATTGCGATCATTGTCAATAACTGCAAGACTCCCATTAGTCATTGTAACAGGCTTGGGTATTCCTGTCGACCCAGAAGAATGCAGAATGACAATGGGTTCTTGCCGGACTTGGTCAAAGTTGACAGAATATGGTACAGATGCGCACTGGGCCTTCAGAAGCTCATCAAGCGAAGGAAATTCCAGAACTTGCAAGGTCTTGGAGGCTTTCTGAAGTGCTTGTGCACTTGCTGCAATATCTGGTGACTCCGGCGAGTAACATAATTTTGTACATTGTGTCTGTTCAAGAAGCGATAGATTCGTTACCGAACTATTTCGGGGGGATGGAAGGAAAACCTGTTACGTACAGTCAGCAAAAGGGCTGGTAATGCCACGCTGCCCATTGTGGACTTACCTTCAAGCGAATTCTGACAGCAGCGTAGAATATGATATTGTATCTTATGTCCGGAAGTCCCATATAAGACACCGTTTCATTAGGAGAGAATTGGCCGAATTTAGTTTTGAGCCACTGAGCCGTGTAGTCAACAGCGGTTTGTACTTGTTTGTAATTCACTTCATAGAAACCATCCTGCAGATTGGACGACCGAGGGAGCAAACAGAAAACCTGCTCTGGATGAGAATGGGCTTTCTCCTCAAGTGTAGCCACCAACAAGCGATGACCGTATTGAGTACTCATTTTGTGGATAACTGGAGCTTCTATGCTTACGCTCAAGAAAAAAAAAAATCTGAATTAACACTTTGGGCTTCTTCTAAAATTCCTGGGAGTGATAGAACCTAAGTTCGAAGTATGTATGTTAAGCAAAGACTGTTTACCATTTCCAACCTGTAAGGTACGTAACGGTGAGAAATGAGCAGTGTACCTACTTAGAGAATGGAGAGGGTCGGCATGTATTTTTTGTTCTCACAATAGTAAGTCTGCTCTAGGTAGGCAACAGTGAAGACATGAATCAGTTTGACCTATCATGCTACCCCTCATTGTGGTCCAATTTAGAACCTATATCATTCTGTGTTACGTGGCAATTAATGAAAAACATATCTTTGGCCGACAGCCTTCAGGGAAATTTTGAGTCATTTGATGTGACATGTGGAATGAATGAATGGACGGACATAGATAGGTATGGGCACAGTCTCCGTCCAATACCCAAACACCTTCTGCATGCAGTCCTTTTAGCATGAGCTCTGTAAGTAGAAGCTCAGATTGTGTAACGCTGGGAGCAGATAAAGGAGGCCAATCCATAAACACCAAATTTTAAATGTGGTTTTGTGTGCTCTTTCATTGAGTTCGTCTGCGATGTACAATCTCCTCACAATCACAGCTGCAGTTGCAATGACTGGTACCGAGCTCAAAGATGACACTCCAATTGTAGTTGCAGCACTGAGAGACACTACAGAAACGGAAATGACAATTGTGATTCTCGCACATCTTTCACCCATGGCGATAGGAACAGTTCGTCGACCTCGCTTCAAGTCCCCGGACATATCATACAAATCCATGGCGTGGATGCCAGTCGTCACCGCAAAAAAAATAAGACTCAGCCAGATGCAAGCGAGTTTCGAATACTTCAGGGTAAATTTGTGGAGCGCAGCTTGAATGGCACCGAGAAGGAAACTTATGTAACCGCCCGCGTTGAGACAATTTCGAAAATACCATTGATCGCCCAACCGCATATCATTGTAAGCAAAAGTTAGGATCTGAATGCATACGCTGGGTACTATTCCACCAGTCATGGCACTGATAACCAATAACAAGGGGCGAAGGGCACAATGCAGCAACTTGCTTTGCGGCTGCGAGATTCTCTGAGACGGCAATGGCCGCCACGGCTTGTTTTCCGCATCTTCCTGGATGGCAGCATCCTGTATCTGATTTGAAATATTGAAAAATAGTAGGTGGAACCAAACCCACAGAAATACTACATGCGTTCTTCCCAGAATTTCGAGTAGTAGAAAGTCGGAGCTAAAGGGGATCCCCGTGAGAGCTAGTACTGAACCGCAGACAACATTTGGTATGAGAATCGAAAAGCAGTCATCTGCGGTGAATAGCCATAACGTGGTAAAATAGGACTTGATGACATAGAAGGCTGACAAAGGTGACCAACTATCGTTGATAAGGTCCATGGTCATGGGGTTGTGTGTATATAGACCTAGAGAAAGTCGCAGCAGTTCGGACGCCTGAGTATAGAACTCTGACCCAATCTTTATATGTTTCTGAACCACTGAGCTGCTTCAATAGCTTTAAAATCTCCACCTGTGGTTCAGAATCGGAGATACCTACTACGCTCCGAAGTGTAGCATATGATGGTTCACACCATTTCTGCTGCAGTCAATGCATGCTTATCTCCTTGGCGGGGCGCCTTAACAGCGTGTATTGACTTTCACCGATAGATTATATTCTCTCAAATTTATTAACTTAACCGGTTAATCCCTGTAATGCGTTGATTTCTTCTACGAAGCTGTCGAAATGGCTACTCAAGCAAGTCTTGCAAGCAGATGTATTGCCTTTTCACTAGGCATCTTAATTCATCGTCATATCTTTGCTTATGGAGAATGGCATCTATGTGCAACAGCCATTATGAGAATCCATATTCTCACATGGATCAGTATCTATCTGATAGATTGCTATCACATGCGTCATGTTGAAGCTATACAAGACAGCTCGCTCATAGCACTCTGTTACGCTGTGGGCCTGTTTGGTAGTATGGCTGTTTACCGAGCCTTATTTCATCCTCTTCAAGAATATCCTGGCCCATTAGCTGCGCGCTTAACCAAGTTATGGCACGTTTCCAAATGTCTAGACTCCAGGAATCACCTTTTAATGGACGAGATGCACAAGAAATACGGTGACTTCGTCCGCACAGGTATGAAAGGGAATGGTTAAAATGATCCAATGCTCTGACTACAGTTCCAGGTCCCAATGAGTTGACTATTTTCCATCCTGAGACTCTTGCCACAATCTATGAAGGGATCAACAACCCTTTCAATAAACCTGCATGGTACGATAACCTGCGCCCATACACGGGATTGAATACTCATCGAAGCAAATATGTACACAAACATCGCCGTCGAATCTGGGACCATGCCTTCACCACATCTGGTAGGTTCTGATCTGAATGTTGTCAATCTTCGTGACTTTTTAGCTGATTGTGATGCAACCTTGGAAAGCTTTGAAATCATATCAGGAGGCGTTGAAGAGTATATCAAATTCGCTCGACGAAGTTATCATGAAACGAGTGGGACAGCCTATAGTTATCAATGATCCCTTCTACTGGGCTTCGTGGGATTTGATGGGACAACTCGGATTCTCCAAGTCGTTCGGAATGCTTCAAGGGCAAAAATGGCACTTTGCAATACAGATGCTCCGCAAAGGCTTGGAATTCGTTGGACCGTTCACCCCAGCTCCATGGCTCGTTCGAATTGCCCTTGATTTACGTCCTCTACCATCGGTTCGTAATTTCCTGAAGATGGAGGACTGGTGCGCCAGAGAGATGGATAAACGTATCAAGGTAAGATCCCCACCAATTGCGACATACAAAGAGATTGGCTAAGTGAAATCTTTTGATAGTCCACTGAAAAGACTGTAGACGTACGATTCTCTCAATGTAACCCCGATTTGAAACCTGCGGATTAACTTTTCGTTGCATCAGATTTCGAGCCACCTGGTCGCGTGGTCTGTGGACCATGATCGCCTGCAAAAAGATCTTCATACTTTATACGGGGATTCAATTGCAATAATTATTGCCGGAAGCGATACAGTGGCACACACACTTATCTACGTCTTCTACCATCTCGCCAGAGATCCGTCGCAGCTTACAAAACTGCGAGAGGAACAAGCAGGCATCGATCTTCAGGATCTCCGTCAACTGCAGGGCCTCCCTCATCTCAACGGCATTATAAATGAGGTTTTACGCCTTCATCCAGCGGTACCAACGGGTGGCTTCCGCGAGACGCCTCCTGAAGGCGCGGAAATAGGAGGCCGATGGATTCCGGGAAATACTCTGATTTGTGCTCCACGCTGGACTATTAGTAGACGTAAGTCGATCCAACCCAAGTGTTTATTCCAATATTTGCTAACTTAAAGATGGCACCTGACAATCCAGTCGAAGCCTGCTTTGTGCAGCCTCTGGAATTTATACCGGAGAGATGGTACAGCAAGCCAGAAATGATCCTAAACAAGAAAGCATTCAGCCCCTTTGCTTCAGGTAGGATTGCTGTTTTAGACCTATCCAAACAAGACGCTGATTGATTCAGGCCCCTACTACTGTATTGGCAAGAACCTTGCATATATGGAATTGACATATATCATCTCCTTGCTGGCTTCCAAGTATGATGTCCAGTTTGCTCCTGGCGAGGATGGCAGACAAGTGGTGGAAGATTTGCAGGATCAGTTTACGGCTGCGCCGGGTAAGCTACGCCTGGTGTTCCACCAGCGAAATACCTGCTGAGTTCATAGAACATTTGAGAGAGACATGTTTCTAAGGACGTGGGGTGATGCATGCTACACAGGTGGATTGATGACTTATAACTTAGCCAATACTGTAGTTTTACAAAATGACATCGAGTAAATTGATGTTGACGGACGGATGCGTTTCGAGCCGCGAAATCAATACAAAGTCCCCCTGCTAACATGAACCCTGTAGGTGCCATATGCACACTTCTGACACCAGCGGTTATGGCGGGACTCTCGAATGTTAAAATGCTCATCAATAATAACCTCATCGTATGTGCATTTCATCTGGCTGGACGGGGCACATGGATCTCGATACTGCTGTTGTTTGCGCTCAAGTTCGTAATTTTTTTGCCACTCTTTTCGCGCCGCGCGTGGTCTTCGATTGCTGCCAGTAAGCTCTGCTGTCGAAGTACCTCACAGAAAAACACGAGGAAGTGCCAAAAACTTTGAAAATACCGGACCCGTGATGCCGTACGCGGATTAGGCGTTGCTTTATGTAAGCGGCCATCGAGCCATCTGTGATTGATGGGGAAAGACAACAGATTCAAACATGTTCATTGGAATACAGGGACCATATTCATTGAGCAACGGATGGATTCAAACTGCCGACTTGTCGCAGGCAATTCAAAGTTCTAGGATAGTAAGGAGCATAATCGACAGGGCTTCTGGGTTGGTGGAATACGCCGGCTGAGCAACATTGTGGTAACAACTGATAAGACTTTTCAGCTACTGGCAGGCCTGTTCTGCTATTACATGGATTTGTAGCTAATTTTCAAGGTAGGAGCTGACCCAGTCCTCAAAGACAGCAAGGTATATATATTGTAGTCAGGGCCAGTAAGATCGTGATGCGAGGGCAATTGTGTTTGCTGGTAATGGAGCAATTTTTGCTGCGGCTGGAAATCCAAACGGTGCAGAGCGTTGGCGTCTGTTAACGCCTTCAAGCCACTGATCTAGATCCGGTAATGAACATGTTCAAAGACCGGTCCGTTAAACTTAATAATCTTCGACTCATTTACACGCCTCTGTAAAGTAGCACATTATTTCCAACTTAAGGACAGTCCACTAAATGTGAGGCTGCCAAGCATATTTACGATATGAGCGACTCTTTCCGTCGCATTGTATAATCATCAGGACCCAAATCCGCGCTTTTTTGAAGCTTCCCACCAACCAACGCCCGAGGCTGCTCTGTCGATAAGATTGAGAAGAAAGTTCCTTGATTACATTAGCTAGATGCAAGAGGAGGTCCCCTTGAAGCATCTACATCAGCGACGGCGGATATATATGCAAAGGTCTACAGCCATGAGCAAGATGGAGCACGCCATAAAATTACCCAAAACAGTTCCGCTAAGTTAGTTCTACATATCTACATTATCGGATTTATTGATTAGGCGCATAAAAGGTCTCAGTGCTCCAGTCCCTCTTAACAGTCTGCAAACATCTGCATGTTCATAGGACGCCGCAAGGCGAAGAGCAGTCCGGCCATCATTTGTTATTGCCTTAACTGAAGCGCGTTGCTTGAGAAGTAGACTAACCACTACCCGCCTGCCGTATCGAGCTGCGACGTGAAGAGGAGTCCAGCCATCATTCGTTCTCGCTTCAATTGCAGGGTGCTGTTTAGGAAGTACTCCAAATACCTTAGCGCGGCCATCCTGCACTGCAAGGTGGAGGGTAGTCCATCCATTCTCCGTTCTTGCGTTTATTGATGCACCTCGGCTAAGGAGTAGTTTGACCACGTCCGGGTGTGTGTTCTCTAATGTAAGGTCAAGGGCTGTCAACCCATCATTTGCCTTGGAGTCGATCGCAGCTCCTCGGTCAAGAAGCGTTTTGACTATCTCTAAATATCCACCTGCTGCGGCGATATGGAGCGCAGTCTGATTAGCGTAATCTACAGCCGTAATTTTAGCCCCTCGGTGAAGAAGTAGTCTGACTACCTCTACATAACCGTAATCTGCTGCAATATGGGGTGCAGTCCCATCAGGTCTTGATTCCGCTTCAATTGTAGCCCTTCGGTGAAGAAGCAGTCTAACAACCTCTAAATATCCACTTTGTACTGCAAAATGGAGTGTCGTCCGGTTGGCGTGATCTGCCGCTGTAATTTCTGCTCCTCGGTCAAGGAGTAGTCTGATGACCTTCAGGTGCTTATGCTATACTGCTTCATGGAGAGCAGTCCGCTTGTCGTAATCTGCCACTGTAATTTCTGCTCCGCGGTCAACGAGCAATCTAACAACTTCTAAACACCCATGTTTTGCTGCTTGATGGAGTACAGTCTGGCCAGCATGATCTTTTGATGTGATTGCGGCCCTTCGGTCAAGGAGCAGTCTAACCACCTCTAAATAGCCATATTTTGCCGCAATGTGGAGTGCTGCTCGATTGAAACTCATTTCCGCATTAGTTGCAGCTCCGTAGTCGAGAAGTAGTCTGACCACCTCAACATGTCCTTGCTTGGCGGCGATCTGGAGTACATTCCAGTGATATTTCGTGTCCTCTTCAACCTTCCCTCTGTTAAGGACCATTCTGGCCTCCATACGTCCACGCCCTGCTGGAAAGGAAGAAAGGCACCTTTGAGATTTGATGCAGCTGAGTAGCGTCAACAAGAAATTCGACGTTATCGCGCCGTCAATCGCATGAAGTAGCGATTAGGAAACGTCAAAGTTCGTTTGAAACAAAAGGCGCAGAATGGGAAATCCTAACTTTGGAGGCTCATTCCCTTCACATAAAGAATGCTCCATTTGAAGCTCACAGTCCCAACACATGGCGTCTCTCGGTAACGAATTACAACTTCGCACGTGTAAGTAACCTGTAAGGCATTCAATGCAATAACCGCCCAAGGCTTGCTCTACACTGACATCTTAACCACAATCTACTATTTCCGATTGGTTGATGCAGATTCGGTCACCTTTCTGCTAGGATATGGAAAGAAATAATTGGATCGGTTGTCTTGATGCGTTATGAACCCCCTCACTTAGCACCGTTGCGTGGTTACACTTATGCCTAGCACACCTGATGGCAGTTGTTGGGAATGATTCGGTTACAATCTTTTATCGCCGTCTACTCGCCGACCCTATCTTACAACCAACTCGCCTACGTAGGTAGACTGGCCTGGTCTTGATTCTGGGCATCACTCTTCCAAGTGCGCTCCATTTTGAGCTACGCATTAAGCCCTGCTGACCGAATCTAGCTCTATATCGACTATACCGAGTGGTTTGTCCAGTTAAGAGAAACAGCCACGAAGCTTGCAGGGATATCCCAGCCAAATAGAGCATCATGGTAGATGCTGTGGCTCTTTGGGGCACAATTGGTACTTGGCTGGCTGTCGGCCTAGCTTTATTAGCTTTGATTGGTATCGTCGGGCCGCTTCTGGTCTTCCGGGCAGCCCTGACTGATCGGAATCGAGCCCTAAACAGTCTACATGATCGAAATGGGGACTACATCTCGAGAGGAATTGACTGCTGAGGGATACGGCTCTTCCACCGAGCAAAGGTGCCTGCACTCTCTCCGTCTTATATAATAGGAGAGGTTACAATACCCTACGCGGACAAGCCATGGATATTCAATAACATTAAGGGTACAACTTGTCGTGCAAGTTGGGCCGGATCCTGCCGCTTGGTCGAATGTTACACGTTCCTGGAGGTATGAAGCCTTCCTACCTCAGTGATATTATCAATATTCACTCACTGTAGCAAAATGACATCATGCAAGTCCTCGGAAACGCCAGCAGAGGAGACCTCGATATCAGACATTGCCATACTCGGCTGCCGTTGAGTCGGTGCTGGATTCTAGTGATTGGACTGTTAGGCAGGTATACTGACCAGTTTGAAGAAATCGGAGAGCATCCCAGATTCCTACGGTATCTGGAGGAGGAAGAGCAAACTGACTTCTCCGGGAGCGATTGCGGGTTTTAAGCCGCAAGTGATGCAGCGACCGAAGAAACTGACGACCATGAAATATCTTTGCGAACAGCAATTAGAGGCTTAACTGGCTCGTTCCGCAAAATCAGAACTACCATTATCTCCGAGGGGGAGATTGGACTTGAGCGTACGCTCCTCTTTTAACGCCGGAACCCTACTGAAAGAGAGATGCAATCTGAGCGAGAAGCCATTCCCTTGAGTTATCAATTTTGGCTTGCAATGGCATTTCTTCCTCTCCCAAAAAAGTCCCGAAATCGGCTCTCGGTCGCTTGCTTGAAGGATGTCTTTCTGGACTTTGAGGATGTTCGGCTGCGGCGCTATGAGGACCAATATAGAAACAGAATTCGTCACGATCCCAGCGACGGCTTAACTGACGGCTCCGAAAATGATGCGAGAGACAAACCTAGTAAAGAACAGTATGATGAACAAGAGCTGCCTGACGGAGGCGATACTGAAATGGAAGCAAGTGGACCTAGAAACCCGCCGCCAAAATCGACCTCACCGTCCTCGGCCTCGGCTTCTCTTTCTTCAAAATGGTCATTCCCAGAATCGATAATTGACAGCGACACCAGGCCTCCAAAACAACACTTCAGCAGCGGCGGCGGAGATCACTGGAGTCATAAAGGTGATCTACAGTTGTTCGAGCTATCACCTGTTAGATATGGTCCTACAACATTGCGATTGGCCATGGAAGCATTGCGACTTACTGATACCGAGATGCTATCGTTCCAACCGCCAATGTTGGGAGATGACACGACAACAGATGACGACCCTCAACATTTGCTCGCACGCAAACAGGATATTCACGCGCTCGTGTGAGGCTTTCTGGAGATTCGGTGGAGCCCGTTGGGATATTTGATCATGGATGAGACCACCTACTGGTGGAAGAAACTCCTAGGAGACACCATGAAATTACTGACGCCTGCACGTCTCATAGATATTAAATGCGTGTTCGGGAATCCCCAGGTGTTGAGTATCAGCACCGGAATATTAGTTATTCCGTTTCACCTACCCAGCACACTGGGGATATCCCCTTTAGGAACCCGTCATAATATTCGAATAACATCAATATTATCAAGGTCATGGGCTCTTTGGAATAGCCTTACTGCGTAATTCTGTGCTTCGTGTTATCCGGACGTAGTTAAACCAACTTTAAATTATATAAAAGATTTTTTCTATCTTAGTTATTGTTGGTTGCTTCGTGCAATCGAGATGCCTGGCACTGGTATGCAGCAAGGAGAGGTCACGTATGGCTTACACGTGACCTCGTCAAGCAAGGACTATATAGACCGCGTCAGGGCCTCATTAAGACAGATAGACACAACAGAACACAGAACCCAAGAATCACCTATTGAGATTGACTCAAGTGCTTCGTACGTACGCATATGCACCTTAGTGCACCCACAGTTATATTATTAATTTAGACCTCTAAAGAAAATTTCCTATTTTAGTTATCCAGGGCGCATCCCTTTCCAACCACCGTTGACCGATTCCTCGTCGTAGTGTACAACTTCTGTGCGATCAAACTCTTTTGATATTTATTAGAGAAGCTCAAATATAATAATATACGGAAACTCAATCTACCCTTTCCCGCCCACGTAATCTCGTCAACAATCACACCACAACCCTCCAATCCTTCCCTTGATTAACCACGTAAGTAATCTTGCTAGGCTTAACCCTATCAACGCGTTCCCCTCCGCTGTCACAAACCCAAAAAAACACCAAAAAACAACCAAAAAAAAAAAAAAAAGAAAACGAAAGGGAGACCCCCAAGAAAAGGGCACATCTCAAATCAATTTATCATCGATCCAAGTGGATAAGTCGGATTTAAATCCCGTCCAATACGTATGCCAGGTAATTGGATGCGGGGGAACGAACCGTTTTTCGGAGGTTTGTGCCATGCCGACAACACGGACTTTGTTGGCTTTGTTGGAGAGTTGGTAGGTTGAGTTGAAAGGTTTGAAGAGGGGTGGGGAAGGATTTTATTTGTTTCTTTTCGTCTAAAGAGGGGTTTGATTTTCTAATTTCTTAAACTTCATATATACATATCTGCATCCATCGGCAGGAGTGCCGAAATGAGACGTCATCTACGATTCTCTGAATGAGATGGTATGGAGTCAAGAATATCCGCCACCACGCTTGGACAACGTGACAACCACGCAAGAGAAATTCTCGACTACCGAAGAACAATATTATTGGCAACATGAGGACGAGGGAGAGTATCGAACGCGTATTGGAATGGCTATCGTCGTCACCGCCGGAATCCACATCTATCCTCCTCCCGCGAGACGCATCGTCCTCGACCTCTCCGTCGCCGTCGTCAGTCCTCCTGCACAGCCCTCCCATTCAATCCACCGCTGTCGGCGTGGCTTGCAAAGCATGCAATGAACGGAACACGAAGTGCGACGGCCAACGACCGCGGTGCTCGCATTGTTTGCATGAGCAGCTGATGTGCTTTTATATCGGGCCAGGGCGGAAACACCGGCAACAGTCATAAAACCGTGGCAGAATAACTCACCTAGCCACAAATCGACTCGTATGCAGGTGGTGGGTTTACAGGAGCAACTGGTTTGAGCTCGTCGCTTGATAGAGAATATGTGGAGGGCGACCGTGACCATGCGAATTCTGTATCAATAGTAGAAGATGTTTCTGACGGTTGCCGAGACGAGGTCTCAGGGAACGGCGGCGGCAAGAGCCGAGAGCTGTTGAAATGGTCCGAGTCGGTCGCCAGGTTATTCGTTTCCGAGTATTCAGGAACTGAGAGACCGTATAAATGCGTTTGCGACGTTCGGACACAGAATGGTGTTTCGGCAGTGAGCCGACAAACAGTCGTCTTTCTGCTGTCTTGCGGATTTGGGATGGTGATGTCGATAAGGAACTGCAATATGGTCAGCTATCTCCATTCTCCAGGGTGGGTGGAGGGGTACACTATAGCACACCATTATTGTATGAGTGGCTGTAACCTTCTTGAAATGCACATCAGGGTGCAACCTCAGCTGCGCATTTGGCTCGTTCAGCAAAGGGACACTCCCGGCAATCACTGTCACGTCGGACTCTTGATCAAGTCTCAGCGATGGCGTTTCCCTGAACTTGCCCGTCGACAGATCATTGCATTTTGTTTTAAGCAACAACATCTTTCGCAGTTGCGACTGCCTCCCCGGAATACCTGGAAACTGGATCTTTTGTGCCAAGTATACTTGCACAGCAAGATACATGATATCCGAGCATCCAATGCGAATAGAAATCGGGATATTCCCACCGATAGCTGCCCCTTTATCCGCCAACTCGACATTATACAGGATTTGTTTATTCCAAATTCGTGACAAACTGATTTGGCTCGCCTCGTGGAGATAGAATTCGTCGTGCGGACAATGAACAACAGCGACTTCTTGACTCGGTGAGCTCTGCGGTCGATGACCGGAAATATTAGCTACGGCCTGAATATCGTAACTGAGTTTGCAACCTCCGACATCAAATGTCTCGGGAAGGGTTTCGTTGAGGGTAAGTTCAAAGTTGTATACGTAATGGCCTGGTTGGAGGATTGGCCAGAGTTTCGCGTCCCGTTGGATGACATGTACTAGAGACGATGAACGGGCTTCGAGCCGGGGAACAAGCCATGTTTGATCTATTACACGTTCTTTGTCATAGAAGCCTGCCACAATTAGTCGTCGCCCTTTGCACATTGCATATTGCATATATACACATACGTCCAAACTTGTGAACCTTATTCAACCCGGTGAATCGGATAGATAAATCTCGAAGTTGCACATGCTTCGAAACATCCAACTTGACACATCCTCGCAATACCGACGGCGTGCATAGAGACGCGTTGACAAAGATGGCCTGTTCCAGGAGGGAAATCGACGTCGACAGACCGGATTGCGAAGACGGTAGAAGTAAACTTTTGATCTTCCGATGCTTTCTCTCCTGCACCGACGCCATAAGAAACGGTCTTGGCTCGGCTGTAAATTTTCTTTCCCTGTACAATCCAATTCGTGAAGCTATTCCTTTGTAAAGGAAAGTCGGCAGGAAGTTGTTATCAGTGTGATGATTTCAGAGGGAAAGAGAGTGAAAGACAACAGAGGATCCCCAAATGACTTCATCGGATCGACCGGCTTTAATTTTTGTCCAGCTGGTGGGGGGACGTCGATCATCCTTTCCTGGTTGGGACATTACTTTTGCTGATGTAATGATACGAGATAAACAGTTGCTTCTAGCCTCTAAGTTGGTTGATAGCAGAATGGATCGTAAACGGAACGGAACAGTTGATTGTCAAGAAAATTTATTTAGTCAGGGGCAACACACATGTTAAGCTTCTTTGAAGCCAAAAATCAAGAGGCATTGTTTGCCTGGTTTTTAAGGCTGGTTCCACTCATGATCTGCCCCGCATAACTTAATCTCATTGGTCATGATCGATCTATCGAGATCCACTAGATATCATTTGGAGAGGCTTACGTCAGCTTGGCTTCTCCAAGAGTCCAAACGAAGAAACGAGGGCTTTTGTCGGAACTCAAACGTAATACCATTTCACCAAAAAGGACGCCCTTAAAGGGAATTTGGTATTTTTGAGGTATTTGCGAACCGTTCTGTATTCTGCTAGTCACGTGATTTTATTTCCAACAGGCTTAGAGCATCACGTGATATTAAGCAGAATACATCATAGCAATGTCATGACTTGAGACATCAAGGCTGTGTCCATTAGCCAATCAGAGTCAGCGTTGATGACGTTCTATATCGACACTCGATCAGATAGCTTCAACAGCCAATGACTCCCCGACTGCAGGACACAATGTGAAGCTCGTCTTGTGAATCATAGCATAGCATAGCATAGCATGATGTCATGCATCGTCTACGACATCGTCATAGATCATAGCCAGCTGGCTTCAACTTGAATTCGAGACACGACAGCAAGGTATATAAGGACCCAAACTTTCACTCCTCAGTCCTCCACCTCTTCTCCATCACAATCACAGACACAACCACAGTCATCGAGAAGTATCTACAAAGGAAAATCCACAATCACTACAACCATGTCAAACATCGTGCACAAGGTCAAGGACGCCGTGACCAACCATCACGACAAGCCTAGCCACTCCACCAACGCAGGTCCTCACGACTCCAACGTTGCCAACAAGGTTGACCCTCGTGTCGACAGCGACCGAGGTGAGTTCCCCCCCCCCTCCCCTTCCCCCCGGGGTCCCACCCCCAATCACTGTTACAAGATTCTAACTCTTTAGACCACCGCGCCGGCTACTCTGCAGCTGGTACCGGCAACACCACCGCTGGCACAGGCATTTCCTCCGGCACTGGTACCACTGGAACCTCCTACGGAGCCGGCACCAGCGGTTACGACAGCACCAACACCACCGCCTCTGGCCCTCACGGCTCCAACCTCGCCAACAAGGCCGACCCCCGCGTCGACAGTGACCGCGGCCAATACGGCACCACCGGCGGTGTGACTGCTGGCGGCGCCTACAACAGCAACCCCAGCTCCACCAATGCCGGTCCTCACAGCTCCAACCTTGCCAACAAGGCTGACCCTCGCGTTGACTCTGATCTCGACAACCGCGCTCGTCACCAGAATCTGGGCAGCAACACTGCCCCGGCTGGCAGCAGCTATACTACCCCTGGCAGCGGCGGAGCACAGCAGACTGCTGGCCCTCATGATTCCAACATTGCCAACAAGCTTGATCCTCGTGTTGATTCGGACCTGGACAACAGCCGCACTGTTGGTGGAAATGCTACTCGATACTAGAAAGCTTACTCTAGTGGACCTTTTATGATCTTTTATGATTCCCTTTTGTTATGAATGTATTCTAGATACCAGATTGCAATAATCAATCAGTTGTACTGAAGTTGTACTGAGACATCCCGTCAAAACTTTTACCTTAAAAACACCTACATAAGAAAGTGATTTGTAAAGAGGTTGTGCCGTAAGGGAATAATTTTGACTGTACGTAGGAACCGAGATGTAAGTCTACTAAGGGTTGCGGGGAATGGAGAGAGTTCAGCATAACCATGGCTCCCGTTTCCATTTGTTGGATAAAGTCGGGAATGGATCACAGATCGAAGCTTCTATGCACACATTCGGTGGAGCTATACATAATTATGATGCCTCTTACATGTCGCATGGTCGGATAGCCATCCGATATTGATTACATCGAATCAATTCGAAGCAAAGACAATTCTAATAATGCCCTATATTGAAGCTTGATTTGACGTAGCTATGCCAATCATCGGTTCATAACGTGGCGAATATACCAATTCGGTAATGTAGATGTCTGATGTCTGGTCTAGACTGATCACATCTACCTCTTCTTCGTACAAGTCCACGCAGCTAGTGGATTATCGATGTCAGTCCCTTTGTCGCTCAAGGGATGGATGATCGAACAGTGACCAAATGCATGCTTCATAGTCTAAGACTACTGTAAGTTGTGACAATGACTGACCGAAGCAGAACAATGAAGTATGCCAAGTATTCATATTGTATGTCATCAGCTTCGTCGAGCTGATTCCTGAGGCAGAGGAGTACAATCTCGGGTATATAAAGGTGCTTCTATCCCCCTGAGAAGTACTCTCTGCATCACAATCAATCAAGCAATCCCATCAAGAAAATTAAACCTTAAAACAGAACCCTAAAACAGAACCTCGAACAAACCAAGCACACATACAAAATGGCCGACAACTCCAACCCAGGCAACTTCTCCAACCGCTCTCGCGAAGAAGTCCAACAAATCGGCAAAAAGGGCGGACAATCAAGCCACTCCGGCGGTTTCGCCAGTATGGATCCTCAGAAGCAGGTCCGTGCTTCTCCCTTTTGAATTCCCATGATGAATCCAGGCTGACGATGGTATAGCATGATATTGCTTCCATGGGCGGAAAAGCATCTGGCGGATCATTCAAGCCCGGTGATCCCAAGGCTCGTGAAGCTGGTCGGAAAGGCGGCTCCCGAACTGGCGGTGGTCAGGAGGAGGATCTTGATTATCCTGAGGAGTAATCAGCTCTTTGAAGGATTGGCAAATGTGTTATGAATGTCTTTAAATATGTATATTAAACGAGACTTGTTAATGGAAATCCAAGACATACGATATTGAAAGAAACTCTTCTTTCTGATTTGTGTGTATCCCTAACATGACTAGTCATACATACTTGTAACTACCGTGTAACCCTAGGGTTTTCCCAAGGAGACAGGATCCTCGCTTCATCGTGGAGCAGGATTTTCGTTTACCATGTGTCGAATGCATGATGCATGGATCGAGGTTGGCCTCTCTCTGTCCATCTAATTACTTGAGTTTTTCAGAGTCTTCCCTGGTCATGTCAAGATAATAGGAACTTTGGTGCCCGGAGTGGCTCAGGCCCTAATTCGACGCTATCACCACCACTAAACCGATCTGCAGCCAAGCCACACACAGTTCGGCCTTCTGCAACGATGACTGATCTTTATCTCGTGTGAAGCGGCTGAGAGATTAAAGAACCAATGAGCCTAGATTTTGGGCTTGCGCGATGAAACCTGCTTTACACGAGGTGCGACCCGTTCGAAGATAAGACCCTGTCGTCAATCTTTCGGTCGTCAACTCCCATCGCTGTTGTTTTCACGTTTCTATTACGGCAGACTCGTCGCCGAAATGGCTGTTTCGCAATTGAACTAGATTGAGACAACAGAGGATTAGAGCTTCCGAAAGGTCAACAATCAGAGCTACTAAGATGGATAAAAGACCAGCCAAATTCTCCTGTTGGCCCACAACGCGACGGTCAAAATTGTTATGCATCATCATCTGCACAGTCACTGTTATCGCACTCGCGATCGGATTAGGTGTTGGATTAGGCGTCGGCTTGAAGCATCGTCACCACCCGCCAAAAGTCACCGCGACCGCATTCTGTTCTAATGCGGACGGATCATTCAGAGTCGCCAATCTCAGTGTTCCTGTGCAACAACATCCAGCAGCAAGCTCGCCATTATTAACGTCGCCCAGAAAGAATTATTTGAATATAACAGCATGGAATCTCACCGTCGACGACACACCATCCGGCTACAAACAAGTCGTTGCCGGGTTCGGCGCAACAGTGACAGACGCCACAGTCTCGACATTCAACTCGCAACCAAACGCGACACAATACGATATCCTTCGGAAACTCGTGACCAGCGCAGGCGCAAATTTCACATTAATGAGACATACGATCGGATCGAGTGATTTGTCGTCCGAAGCATATACATACGACGATAATCGTGGGAAGACAGATAATGATTTATCGAATTTCTCGTTGGGGTCGCAGGGGACCGCGATGGCGCAGTTATTAGCACAGATGAAGCAGTTAAATAACGACATACAAATCGTCGGATCGCCGTGGAGTCCACCGGGATGGATGAAGATTAATGGAGAGCTTTACGGAAATACGACTGATAATAATCTAGATGATGGGTACGGGAGCAGCCGTGGTCTGGGGAGTACCGGCCATACTCACGCGTTTGCGCAGTACTTTGTCAAGTATATACAGGCGTATGCGAATCTGGGGGTGCCTATCGATGCGATCAGCATTCAGAACGAGCCGCTGAATAGTCAAGCGGGATATCCGACTATGTATATTGAGGCTGATGAGTCGGGGAAGTTGATTAATGAGTACGTTGGGCCGGCGTTGAAAAATGCGAATCTGAGTACCACTGTTTGGGCTCTGGATGATAATACAGGTAAATCCCCCTTCCTGAACGCAATTGTAGAGTACTAATTGAATAGATGACGCCGACTATGCGTACACCGTCATGGACTATGCAGCAAACTACATCGACGCAGTGGCCTGGCACTGCTACGCCTCGAGTCTAAACTGGACAGTTCTGACAGAATTCCACAACCAATACCCGAATATCAGCCAATACATGACCGAATGCTGGACACCAAACAATCTCAGCTGGACGCACGTCGTCAATTTCACAATGGGACCACTCCAGAACTGGGCAAATGGTATTACCGCCTGGACGCTGGGGACGAACGACAACGCCGGTCCTCATCTCGATTCAGGCGGTTGCTCGACATGCGATGGAATAGTCAGCGTCAATAGTACCGGCACCAGGAACAGTGCAAACAGCAACAGCACAGATTACACATTCAACTTTTCATACTATGTCATGGCACAATTCAGCAAATTCATTCCGTCCGGTGCACGAATCTTACAAACTCAGGGCAGCGCAGTGGATAGTAACGGCGACGGGATCCAGGCAATCGCAAGTCTGAATCCTGATGGATCTAGGACGGTGGTGATTGAGAATATGTTTGGGAATGATGTTAATGTAACGGTTTGGTTGGGAAGTGATGGGTCGGCTTGGATGGGGAATGTGCCGAATTCGAGTGTGACGACGTGGGTTTTACCTTGATTTGTTTTATCGAGTGGATCAAGTTAGGGCATTGTATATGGTTATGATAGATAGCTTAGAGAGAATTCATGTGTACATTTCTTTCTGGAGGACGCATAGAAATGTAGTCGCCTAAATCAAACTATCTTCTGATACGTAGCTGATGTCAAGCTACCAACATTCAGCCATACAAATAAGACGCATGGAGATATCCAAGAATAGCGCACAGTTATTGTTGTTGATCTCGTAAATAATTTAGTTGCCTTACAAAAATAGACGGTGTAGCCAATCACCACGCCGCATTATAATGATGCCTGGGGCATGATGTTGGTTTGAGCCGCAGGGGAAAGCATTGTAGAGTTGTTGATGCAATCGAGTTTTATTAGTTGTCGTTTGAGGTTTGAATATATTATTTTATTCGTCATTAGATATTTCGAAGAGTTATGGTTAATCTAAAAATAGATGTGTGTATGGGTTTGGGGACGATGAAGATGTTATTTAAAAGGCTATAAGGTCTGTCGAACATATGAAAAAGAACAATTGCAAGATTCAGATCAATACAGATAGGAATCATTACTTTAATGCTTGGTTTACTGCATTTGTATTGTTGTTTCTGGAAACACCATGAAAATGCATCTCATCACACTTATGGTGCCGTTACTGGCATCAATCCAGACCGTCCATGCTATACCACTCGAAACACCTGCTCCAACTTCGCTATCCATTTCAACATCGCTGCTCAAGACTTCTATACCAACTATATCTCCTAATACTTTGGCCCGGCGAGACACCACTTCCTCTGCGTCTACAACCCAGATGGATTCCTCTCCCATCCAAACCCTAGAAGCAACCGATTCATGCACACCAACTATCGCCCCCGACAAAAATGGTTACGTTCCTCCAACAGAGTGTAACGCTCTGTACAACTATTACCCGTCTTTTGCCACTGCAGTGGCTTTCAGCGTATTGTTCGGAATTATCCTGGTGACACACATTGTGCAAATGTTTGTGTATAAGACTGGATTTGTTTGGGTTATCGTCATGGGTATTGCCTGGGAGTTTGGTGGATATTTGGTGCGCGCTTTTAGCACAAAGCATCAGCAGAGTGAGGGTATGGTCACTGTATCGCAGATTTTGATTTTATTGGCGCCGTTATGTATGCTTTCCCCTTCTTAAATCCTTAGGATGGTTAGGGCTGAGTGATTCTAGGGGTTAACGCATTCGATTACATGATCCTCGCACGAATGATATGGTTCTTCATCCCCGAGAAACGCATCTGGTTCTTCAAACCTTCTCTTCTAGCAACAATATTCGTCTGTCTCGATTTCGGCTCTTTTGTCGTTCAAGCTATTGGCGGCATGATGGCGACTCCCGGAGCCGGTGCATCTACAATCCAGACTGGTCTGCATATATACATGGGCGGAATTGGTGTACAGCAATTTTTCATTTGCTGCTTTTTGGTGTTGGCGGTTCAGTTTCATCGGGAGATGCATCATTTGGAGCGGCTAGGTGTTTTGTCCGGTGAGAAGAGGAGGTGGAAGGGATTGCTGTATAGTCTGTATTTCAGTCTGATTGCTATCACTGTGCGGATTATTTATCGGTTGATTGAGTTCACGTCCGGGGTTGGGCTCAATAATCCAGTCACCACGCATGAATGGTTCATGTATGCATTTGATGCATTCCCCATGTTGCTCGCTGGGGGTGTATGGTGTGCCCTCTACCCGGGGAAGATTTTGACAGGACCAGATGCAAAGTTACCGTCCAGTGGACTAGGACGAATTCTGTGCTGCGGTTATTGTTGTTGTTGCTGCTGTCGAAGAGGACGGAAGAAGAAGGTGGCTGTTTCGCGGGGTAGTGAGCGTCAGGAGTTGGAGGAATTGAGACTGGAGGAATATCATTGGGTTAATCGGGAGTCTTATACAAGTGCCTCGTCGAATTGGGAGCCAAATAAGAATATGGCGTATGAGCCGTATCGATCGCAGGGTTTATGATTCATTTTTTTCTGTTTCTTGATTTGCTTCTTGTGGCTTTCAAATTTTGATTGAGAAGACGTTGCATATCACTCCAGAATAGCAGGCCATACCTCTTTAAAAAATATCCATTTGTATTCAGCTGATAGACCAATATGATGACTACCAAGACACAAATCTTCTTGCTTATGTACTTAGATTAGGACTTAGGTATTTCAAATCGGAAGTATCCGACAAGGGTCCAGAAACCCATCCTATACCTGACACGGTCCCCTACAACAACCAATGAACACCCAACACGAGCAATACTTAGAAGAATAACTCAGGAACAGGATCTAGTCATCTGAATGAGGCTCAATTACCCACCAGATCATCAACAAACATTGGACGTCGCAAAGTTGCACTGACAAGTCGGTTGCGAGTCAGTTGCGAGTCAGTTGCGAGGCTCCACTTTTTAATTCCTAGCCCTAATTCGCCTAAAAGGGAATTGTATCGAACAACTATAAACTCCTTATGCACCACATGGCAGATAACCTTTTCTGACCGATGTGGTATTTGTTTCAATTTAAGAAATCCTGAATGAGGTACGATGTTGGCATCTGCATCGTCGTTTGGTAGCGGGTCGGACCATGGAGGCACGCGACAGCGTCGGCAAGTTGATAAGAAGAAACCATCTACAGAAATAGCAAAGCCGCCGAACGAGAAGTCGAATATCGAGAAAATCAGACGCAGAAAATACCGTCCGGTCTGGAAACGACTCGCTAATTTCGGTCTCAAACATCGCTGGCCAATCCCATTGATTCCCCTCCTCGTACTCATACTCACATACCTCCTCAACCCAACAGAGTCAGACATCGTTCATCACTTCATATTCCTATCTTACAAGAACAACAACCAATACGGCAAAGGATTAAGGGACATCGCTTTCGTCCTCTTCTACACAATCGTCCTTTCCTTCACTCGCGAACTCATCATGCATGAATTCCTGCGCCCATTATCCCTCTACTACGGAATAACATCAAAACGCAAACAAGACCGTTTCATGGAACAAATGTACACAGTCATCTACTTCGGCCTCATGGGTCCTTTAGGACTATACATTATGCGCTATAGCGCCCCTGAAGTATGGTATTTCAATACGTCAGGGATGTATGCATCTTTTCCCCATCTAACTCTCGACGCATCTTTCAAAGCATACTATCTATTCCAAGCGGCATATTGGGGTCAACAGGCTCTCGTCATGATTCTGAGGTTGGAGAAGCCGAGAAAGGATTTCAAGGAGCTTGTGATACATCATGTTGTTACGTTGGCGTTGATCGCGTTGAGTTATCGGTTTCATTTTACACGTATAGGGATTGCGGTTTATGTTACGCATGATATTAGTGACTTTTTTCTTGCTGTAAGTATCCTCTGAAGATTTTGGCTTCGTGAAACTGATTTTGTGGCTATAGATTAGCAAATCTCTGCACTACACAAACAGTCCCCTTGTCGCACCGGCGTTTGGTATCTGCATAATCGTCTGGGTATACCTACGGCACTACCTTAACCTACGAATTTTGATCTCTCTCCTTCCTGGCGGCGCATTCCAGACTGTGGGACCGTACGAACTCAACTGGGAGATGGAGCAGTATAAATGTTGGATATCGAATGTCATTACTTTTGGGTTGTTGGCGTGTTTACAGGCGTTGAATCTCTTTTGGTTGTATTGTTTGGGGAGAAGTGCGTATCGGTTTGTCGTGCATAGGGTTGCGAGGGATGATAGGTCCGAGGATGAGGATGAAGTTGGATATGGGGATCATTGAGGGAATGAAATTGTGCCTTGTATAATGCTTAATGATAATAGAAGTATATGGATATATTCAGTTAATATTAATGTATAATTTCTCTTCGAAATTTGGTTTGGCCTTATACCAGTTAGGCAAATGGGGAGTATGTCTGCATTTGAATGAAACAAGAATTTATTAGTCTATGGTGTATGTCGTGTCACTATTTTGAACGTCACTCATCATATCAATTCTAGGTACAATGGTACATTAATCCCTGTGATCGAATCATTTCGCCTTTCCATTCTGTCCCCTAATCCGATCCTCTCTCTCAACAATAGCTAGTGGCAATCCTCGGAATAAGCCAAAGAAGATAAACGGCGCCCACTTCCAGCGAAACGGGTTCCCGATACTCACAAAGCAGTACCAATAAATCAGTTCTGCATAGGTAAAAAAGTCGAAGGCTCCTGTAGGCGCATATCTCTTCACAACCCGGGTAAAGTCGATCCAGAGTTTCATCAGTCCCTCACGAGGACGTGTTAAGGGATCAACAAGGAACATCAACAAGAATCGAGTATATATACCGATATGGTAGTTGCCCACGGTGCCGATAGCATTCACATATGTACTGTTAGTTGCACAGATGGTTGGATCCTGAGGTGGGAATACCTGCAAATACCAATTGGGAGGCTCGTAGTTCTTCTCAAAGACATATTTCGGAAGGAAAGCGAGATACGGTCGTTTGTATCCAGTGGCCATGATGATGACATCTCCATTGACTACTGATTCATGGCCTGGGCCACCCTTCGGAACACCCTTGGCACGATGATTGAACAGGATCCCTTCATTTTTGCAGGCAAGGATATCACCTCGCAACCAGCGAGCTTTTCCAGCGCGGATCTGATTGAAAAGTTCTGAGTTTACCATAGGTGTATCTGTGTATAGCCCCTTTTCGGAGGGTGAAATGTCCTGCAAGTCTCGGTAAAAGAATTTGCGCAACAGCCATTCAGGAAGCCATGAAAACGATGTTTCTCCGCCGAAAATATTCAGCGATAGCAATATGTCGACAAAAACATTTCGAGGAATAATCCACTTATCAGATCGCGACAGAACATCAATCTCGGCAGCATTGTTTCGAACAGCGAACTCCAAGGCTTCAACTGCACTTGCTCCACCGCCAATGATGAGTACTTTCTTGCCCTTGACATTTTTACCATCCGGCTCTGAAGAATGGAAGGTCGGGCCGCTGAATTGCTCATGGTCGGGAAGACGAGGCATCTGAGGATCTCCACATGAGCCCACTGCTGCAATGATACCGTCGAAAGTGCCGTGTTCTGCTTCGTTGTCATTGATGATCCATTGTCCGGACGAGTTCTTTTTCACGGATGTGATGGGAGTATCAAAGACTGTCTTTTTGTCGAGTCCGTATCTCTTCCATACGGAGGCAATTTGCTGTTTGATGTTTTCTTGCGTAGGATATGCTGTGTCCCATTTCACAGATGGGTGGAAACGGAACATGATTGAATGGATTTGCAACGCAGAGGTCGAATTCACTCTCTGGAATAGATGTAAGCGTCTCCATTTCATTCTAAGCATCCAGAACTATTTAATCCTTACGCTCCAAATACCGCCCAGTCCCTTCTCTCTAGACCTAGCCTCGAAAATTTTCACGTCAAATCCATGACCAACACAATGAGCTGCAGAGGATACTCCAGTCAGACCGGCTCCAATAATGGCGACTCTGGGTCGGTGTAGTCTCTGTGTTGGCGGAGGAGGTGCCGGTGCAAATATCCAGTTCAGAACTTGCTGGATGACAAGGTAAACAAAGTTCAATGGCTGATGGATGGCGAAGGTGATGATTGATCTGGCATGGCTGATAGTTTCCTCCATTGCGACGCGCCTCAGAAGGAAGAGGAATTGTAAGCAACAATCTGAGAGTATGTCTAAAAGCATAATTGATTTTCTCCGAATGTAGAAAATGAAGCTATTTATCGTCGTTCCCATCGATGACGTATCTGCATGTGATTGCGGGTATGGCCACAAATCTCAGGCAGACCTTTAACTATTATTGTTCTGGACATAAAACGAGACCCGCTTCGTGCCTTGTTTGGGAGACAAGGATCGATGATTAATTGTTAGCTGAAGGATGCAGCAGATGTCAATTGCATTTCGTAGTGACATATGTATGTAGATGGTAATCCGGAAGAAGATATAAACGAGATGAAATTGTTGACATGTGATAATGAACCGGATACGACACTCTATAGTTCAACTGCGTTTTGCAAAGCGATAAACGTCTTATAAGAAAAGTGTAATCAAATTAACGTATAGTAGGAAAGACTAAATGCAGATTTAACAACAATTGTTGAATTGTGGCATAAAAAGTCCCCTGAGGGATTCGAATCCGCGACCTTGCCGTTCTGGGGTGTTGATGTGGTGCAGCGGTAAAAGTCGCTGAGTGTGACCGACCCGAAAATAAAATAAACCAACCTCAGCAACTTCATCGACGAGACAGACAAACACAACATTGACAACATCCCTACAAAAGCAATGATAGGATCTTGAAGTCGACGGATTTTGCGACTGATCAATATGCGCTCATATTATCGCGTCGCCCTGCCCCCCATCCGATCGCGTTCCCGTTAAACCTACGACAGCTTTACACACAGCGCGCCCACGATGGCAACTCCAATGCTCGACCAGTTCCTAGCTAGCATAGCAGATCTGGTCTCCAAACGACAGGGCGATAATCTCCAAGATTACCTTCAGGTCGTACCGGAACAGATGCGAGATGGCTACCGACACATGGCTCTGGAGTTACAAAAAGCTTATCCGAAGGGACCGGGCGATGAACGCTTATTAAAACGGTGTGAAGCTTTAGTTCCTAAAACTGCAGACGGAACAACATGGCCTGCGTTTCCTCTATTTATCCGGTCTTACCTCGCATACTTGAGGGACGGCAATGTCTCCAATTTGTTAGAAGCATATAAAGCTCTGAGCGCTCTTTTGAAGTGAGTATACACCCTTACTGTATGAATAGAAGCTCTATTGACCGTGTCAAGTCAATGTCTGCAGGCCCTCGGAGACAGCCAGATGGGTGCCATCGTTCTGCGCACCGTCGTCTACTTGTCGCAGATCGTCGCCAGTCTTGCCATGACACTTGAAAAGAACCCCCAGTTGCTGGCTCAACTCCGACTTGATCGACCACAGGATGCCTTTGAACGAACAAGTCTAGTAGAAGATGCTGCCAATGTTGTGCGAGAGGGATTTATCAAATGTTTATCTGATCGTGGCGGTGCCGCTGGTCCAAAAGCTAGGCCAGAAGGAAAGCGCGCCGGAATATACCTGATGGCTAACCATTGCCTGAAACTGCTCCACAAAGTAAGACCATCATCTGTCAAATGAAGGCTCTTTGCTAATAGAATGCAGTGTGGAAAACTTAGAAGCGCAGATACAATTTTCAAGAGTATCTCTGCCCAATCACCTCCGCTCGAATATTATCCCGCAGCGCACCGGGTCACCTACCTCTACTATCTTGGTCGGTACCTATTTGCAAATAACAGCTTCTACCTCGCTCGAAATGCGCTGCAGGAAGCTTACAACCAGTGTCATGTGCAGTGCCTCAAGCAAAAGCGACTGATCCTCATATACCTAATATCGTGCAACGTCATTATGGGACGATTTCCTTCTCTCCAGCTACTACAGAAACCTGAGGCCCAGGGTCTCTATGATATCTTCTATCCCGTGTGTTTGATCATTCGGTCAGGTGACTATCTAGCTTTTAGAAAACATTTTGACGCTGGTAGTCCTACAGGGCAATGGTTCTTGCGAAAGAGTATGTTATACCAGATGCGAAACCGCTGTGAACTTCTCGTATGGCGGTCCTTGGTGCGAAAAGTATTCCTTCTTGGTGGTTTTCATGGAGACCCCTCCGCCCAACGTGGCCCTCCACCGATCTTACATTTGAGCAAAGTTGAGACGGCCGTCCGATTGTTGCAAGCTCGTCACGGAGTGAAAGTTTCTCTCGACATTTCGACCTCGAAGTCGTCAGGAACGAACATTATTACTATTCGTTTGCCCGCTGATAGCGACTACGATGGCATAGCCGGTCTTGTATCCAAAACATCTGATCCCGACGTTGACGACTATCTGTTCGCGCAGAGTTATTACGACGAGAATGGAGAATTAATTGAGAACCCCGGTGGACAGATTGTTCCAGGTCCTGAATATGATGAATATGCCGACCCATTAGACGATCTAGTCCCAGATATTCATGGAGGCTATACCGAAACCGAACATGTATCAAGGCTCCTGCAGGAGATCGAATCTATCGTGGCTTCCTTAATTAAACAGAATTTACTTGGTGGTTACTTGACGCACAATCCGGCACGATTTGTCATCCCTGGAGCCAAACACGTCGGCGCTATGGCAAAGGGATTCCCCAATATTTGGCAAACTATCAGCAGTCAGCAGCACAGTTACGGCGAGGATGTGCCAGCCTGGATTATCGCAAAACAACCACTGCCGACACAGTCAGCATTTCCTGCTGGTGCTCCTGGTGGTGGGCGCGTCATCAATCTCAAGGGTGCAAAGGCGGTTGGATCGTGATGTATTATCTTCTTGGCTGTTACTTGCATGCTCTAAGCACCGGCGTTGAATTTTTTATATCGATATGTTCCAATCTTATACCCTGCGCCGGATTTTCTGTTGGCGAGTCTGATTTTTATAGCCTCGGCAGCATGGCCCATAGCGTAACCTAGATCGCCTTAAGCTCGTACAGATCTCCCCGCATTAATTGTTTCAATATTGCTCGTACGCCACCCAATGCTAAGCACTAGTTCATGGCTCAGTCTATCGTTGAGTAATCGATTGTCTCGCCATGATGAATAATGCCAAGTCTCAGGCACTGAAATGCAGGCACTGCAATGTCATTGGATTCGGCACGCGGCGGTGCGCTTCCCCCACAGTCATGCTGAGTCAGGCTCTTATGCGTTGTGACAACACTCTTCTTCATTCCTTGAAGACATTTTATTATTGTGATTATTCCTTCATTGACGTTTTTGATACAGTTTCTATTCTTTTTGCGCATTATACCCACGATCAGTTCTTGTCCCTTTCCCGGCGCACTTTGAGCTTTCCCCGCACGTTACTTCGACGTCCCGCCTCGAGACGCAAGACGCTCTGCGACGATGAGCTCAGCACCGGAGAACGATGAGGGGCTTACAATCACATATTCGTCCGGTCAAGAGGGAGCTCCGGATCTCCGTCTGATTCATTATAACGATGTGTACCATGTTGAGTGCGTTGCCCAGTGTGTTCCGTTCATGAAAGCATTATAGCCATGCTAGCATGGGGATAGCTTGTACGAGGACCCTAGCTGATGATTCTGTGTAGGTCTGGCTCGTCCGATCCCATCGGCGGCGTTGAACGATTCCAGACCGTTATGAACCAATACCGATCCGCTCCTCGGTACAGCGGTCTCTCCGAAGTAATCACTCTATTTTCCGGGGATGTTTTCAACCCAAGTTTGGAGAGCACAGTTACAAAGGGACAGCATATGGTACCCTTTTTGAATAAGATTGGGACAGATGTTGCTTGCATTGGAGTATGTATATCATCCGATCAGTCTGGGATTGGGTCGTTCACCTGCTGACTCGAGGTAAGAATCATGATTTAGATTTCGGCGTCGCGCAGTTTCGACATTTACGAAGTCAATGCAAGTTCCCTTGGTTGTTGGCTAATGTCATTGATCCGGCGCTTGGAGATGATGTGCCACTCGCAAACTGCGAAAAGACAGTTATGTTGACTTCGTCAAATGGTATAAAGATAGGTGTTATTGGATTGGGTGAGCGAGAGTGGTGAGTATATGGCCTCCTAACTTCATTATCCGGAGGCTGATTTGGCGATGAACAGGTTAGGCACGATCAATTCTCTTCCACCTGATCTTATATATAAATCTGCTTCTCAGACTGCCATCGAGCTAGTCCCCAAACTGCGTGAACAAGGCGCTGAGATTGTGATTGCGCTTACTCATCAGCGCGAACCCAACGATATCAAGCTAGCCGAGAAAGTACCTGCGGGTTTTATTGATATTATCCTTGGTGGTCATGACCACTTCTACGCACATTCTGTCATTAATGGTACTCACGTTTTGCGTTCGGGCACTGATTTCAGACAATTAAGTTACATAGAAGCCTTTCGCAAACCAAACTCAAAAGGTTGGGACTTTAACATTACTCGTCGCGAGATTGTCCGCTCTATTCCACCCGATTCTGAGATCGGAGTCCTCGTTGACAAACTTACCTCCACACTCAAGGCCAAATTGGAGAAACCTGTTGGATATACTGCATCCGCACTGGATGGACGATTCACGACTGTGAGAACGCGTGAATCGAATCTGGGCAACTTTATATGCGATTTGATGCGTTTCTATTACCATGCGGATTGCGCTATAATGGCCGGCGGTACTATACGTGGTGATCAAGTCTATCCGCCAGGTCTGTTACGACTCAAAGATGTGTTGAACTGTTTTCCTTTTGAGGACCCTGTCGTTGTTCTCAAAGTAACCGGCCGAGAAGTGGTTGAGGCGCTGGAAAATGGTGTTAGCCAGTTGCCTGCTCTGGAGGGTCGTTTCCCTCAGGTGTCAAACATCACATTTGAGTACACTGCGTCTTCACCACCAGGCAGTCGCATTAACTGGGTGAAACTCGGGGGTGAACCGATTAATTATAAGCAACACTACACTCTTGCAACACGAGGGTACATGGCTCGCGGCAAAGACGGTTATACCTCTCTATTAGTACAATCAGAAGGCGGCGAGATCGAAGAACTCGTTAGCGAAGAGAACGGAATGTTGATTTCTGCTATCTTACGACAGTACTTTTTAAGTTTGAAGGTTATGGGAAAATGGAGACGAATGAGTAAATCGTTGCACAAGCATTGGGACGGCGTTCATTCGCGGCTACATGCTCAGATAGGAGGGAGCTGGATCAAAACTCCGTCTCCAGCTGTTGAGAGGAAGGAGCCAAATATGTCAAGTCATTTCCCTGCTAATTCCGCCGCGTTCAAGACAACCACAACGACGACAACAACAGTGGAATACCGTATCCAGCATACTCATTTGAAACACAAACCACGTCCCCATCTCAGGCGGTATGGCCGGTACTATGAACCGCATCGCCATCATGCTCATGACGATACTAGTACCAAGCAAAAATCAGAAACGTCTCTTTCCGCATCCTATCCATCCTCGGATGATTCATCGGCTACCAAACACTCTATTGACTCACACCTAGACTCAGACTCAGACTCCGAGCCTGAAATTCTCGTCTCCTCGCACGAAGAAAGGAATTATGTGACAACAACAGCGAAAACACCCGCCGAAGAGGAACAGCGGATACGATTAGCGAGAAAAGTCCTCAAGAAATGGATGCGAATTGCTGGCGTACATGGCAAAACGGGAGTTGTGGAGGAAGCAGGTGAAGAGTTTACGCCGTCATGGACATGGGGCATTGCGCCGAGATGTGAAGGAAGGATTCTGGTAAGGACGAGGGTTGTCGAGGATGGTGGTGTGGGACTTGGAGAGGGGAAGAGGACGGAGAATATCAATGATGGGATGGTGCCTATCTGATAGATCGACTAGAAGAATGAAAGACTATGTCTAGCTAGAGGCCACGCATGAATATATGAAGTTGTGGAACAGTTTCATACCCAAAAATATATATTGTATGGCACGGTTAGCTGATTCTATTATACTGAACTCTCTCCAAGACAGTGACCTACAGCCCGGAGGACCCCAAAATGAGCTATATTGACAGCTCACGTTCCTTCTGCAGTCGGTATTTCTCACTCTGTAGTCGACAGTTCTCCTTCTATAGTCGGTGATTCGTACTTCTTCATCATCCTATTTGTCTCATCAGCTATGCGTAGTATAGTAATTGCCTCTTCTGAGACTTGTCTCGGCATATCCTGGTGGTATAAATTTGCCTCAGTCACATAGGCTTCCAGACGACCTTGAATGCAAGCCATATGCAATATCATAGGATCATATTTGTATTGAATGGCCACTCTGTATGCCTCTTGGAGATCGGCATTTACTCTAGAGTCCTCTAGTCCCGTGTCAAGCAGTGTAGTCAAACGATAGTCCCATGCAGCTTGTTTGAATAAAGAATTTCGCGCTATCTCTCTCCAGTCCCGTCTAGGGTTAAGAGATATTGCATGTTGCAAGCGCCAGACGCTCTCTTCGGAACCAGTTGCTTGGTTTTTAATGAAATTAGTGAGATTATCGTAGAAAATGACCTGTGTATGTTGTCTAGGTGGTCGTTGGGGCCATTGTAGTCCCTCTAGCATCTTCTCCTTTATATGGGCAAGGTCTCGTATGCCCACAAAGCTCCCAGAACCGATACCCCGGCTTTCAGAGCAGACTGGGTAATATGCTATACGGAGACATCTCACATAATAGTCCGTGCAGCAGGTGGCGTAACCCAATTCATACCAGGCGTCAACCATGCGGTGGCCAGGTCTCAAAGCCCACTCTGGTTTTGGCTGAATTCGCCATACATTCATGCCAAAGACGAAATAAAGGTATCGTCTAGTTTGGCCAGTACCTTGGTGAAACTCATCTTCTCCAAAACAACATTCTGCTTGATAATACCACAAGTCATGGTCCGGCTTCTCGCTAACACAAGCAAGTGGGATCTCTTTTGATGGCATTCTTGTTCGAACTTCAGACGCAAATCTGTCCTCCAAGCACCATTGGCCAATTTCTTCAGCTGTAAGTTTGAACAGGTCGGAGAGTAATTCCTGATGGAGTCTCATTAGCTGCTTGACTGATGCGGCATTCGCACCACACTGGTTGAAAAGATATCGCTGCCATACTCTAGTATCATATGGGATCATTTTTAGGTCCATGGCTTCCTTGAACATGCGGGCATATTCCACAGGTGGAAGATCCTGAGTTGGATTCGCGTTGGAAGCCATTCTTCATACCCCGCAAGATTCAATTTTTCAATCAGAAATTGTGTGATATGGGCTGACTTGAGATCCCGAGATGATGTGGAGAGTTGACCGTGTTCAGGTAAGTTGATGAAATAGTGTCACTATTTCTCCTGACGATGCAAGTCATGGAAAAAGTATTTCTTGAGATCAGAATCTCCTACTTACGTGCAACAAGGGCTACTCCACAGCATGATGTCTCGAGGACTGTAACTACTAAACTATATACCAAGCTAAAGAATACGCGGAACTTGCCAATAACAATAAGGGCTTCTTGGAAGTTGCAATCTAAAGTTCAGGTATGCACCGGAGATTACCAGCTGGATTCAGGCATTGCCGGACGTCTCCTGCATAAGAACTATAGGTCCTTAGCCATTATATCTTAGTGGAGATGTAATATATTGATGAAGCAGATCCAAAGGCTGAAAAGATACATACATAACTCGAAGGGAAGCCTTTATTGAACCCTAAGACAACAGGTATATGTTTTTTGGGTAGCGTAGAAGCATAAGTGTATGTAATTAAACCTTCCGACAGCTCAAGTTTCCCCTGTTTCTAGCTTCAGCGCCATGCTACATTCTAGAAAGCACTAGAAGACATTAGACATCTTGGTCAAGTCAAGCGTGTAGGACGTTGGTTTCATTCTCCATGTTAGAAAACCGTAGATTAGATAATCGTATCTTTTTGCGACTTTGGCAGGATCCGTTTTTAGCAAAGAGGCTCTATGAAAACAGTCCACAACCTGGTCGTGCCATTTGATTATGTAGAAGCCAGCTCTCCGTGGATCCTTCTCTGTATTTTTCTGGCTTTATCAAGCGGTCTCTGACCTATCGCAGATATTTTAGTACATCATTTTGATCTTTAAGTATGGCTATGGATTGATCATAGAACGCATTTTCTTTGCAGCATCAATTTCGTAATTAAAGAGTAAATCCCAATAAATATCCACCAGCTTTAGGACATAATCAGGATGCGTGTGCCTCCTCAACCCAGTATTTTCCCTGTTAAAAAGGAACCGACGCCAGACCCTGAAGTCACATGGGATCATCTTAAGCCATATGGCTTCCATGTGGCCTCTTCCATATAAGTTCCATTGGCTCCATGCGATTGGTCTGGGATTGAACCAGTCTCCAGGTTGCGATTCTACATGTGGTAGTTGACAATAATAAAGGTGTAGTAAAGACTGATTTGATGTTGTAAAGAGTAAGGCTGTAAAGACTGCATATTGTCTATGTCCAAAGCTCAAATAACGAAGCCTTTGACCTCCTTATATGCTTGCGCCAAGCCTACTGAATTGATAGTGACCCTCCCTATACGTAAGTCAAGGGAATCCAGTATCTATCTCGTCATTTTAAAAGAGAAAAGATGGATATGATGAGGTTTTAGCAGGCCGGAGATTGATTCGCGATTGTGATGAGTTGAAGGTCTCCTAGTTTCTTGAGTGTTGACTCAGGGCGCAACCAGGAAATATCAATATGGAATAAGTTGAAAATACCAGCTCAATACCATATAGTCAGTCACTCCCGGGAATGATCGTATTTTTTGAAAGACGCCGATCAATTCGATGATGTCCTCTCCATCGAATTGAGTAAAGTAGAATCCATCATAAACTCTGGGGTCGCATGGGAACATTCCCATCCATAGAGCTTCATGAAGCTTGATGACATATTTGTTAACTGTTAGGCCAGGAACAATTCCTCTGGACATTGTTCGGTTCATCACGGGACAATTGACCGATTGATAACAGAAACATGTAGTAAAGATAGATTCAATTATAGTAAGATTATAATGACTATGTGCTGTCCACATTCAAGGCGCAAACAAGGAAGCCAATGACCTCCTTATATGCTTCTGCCAAGCCTATTGAATTGACTCTTTCACATTATGACTAGCTATATGTGAGTCAAGTGTCTATTTTATCACTGTTCAAAGAGAATAAGAAGAATATAATACAGCAGTTTTAGTGGACTGTAGAGATTGATTCATGACTATAATTGATTGAGTTAAAGGTCTCCGAGTTCCCGGGTATTGACTCACTGTGCAATATCAGATACGGATAAGATATGTAAATGCACATTAAAGGTGTAGAAATAGATACCTGTGGTTGTTCTAAGTATTAGCTCTCGGTACAATATCAGATGAATAAAAAATGGGTGGGTACCCCCTCGAATGCATGGAGTCATAGCCCTCCGATTAATCTAAGCTCTGACTCAAAGTCAGTTCAGACTTGGGGAAAGATAGATAAGTGCACATCAAATGCATAGAGAAATAGGTCCCTGATTGATCCAGGCCAGCAGATCTCCATCAAATCCAGGAGGCTCATATTACTGACTCAGTCCGAGCAGTGAGAACATAACTAATACCTGCATTATTAGTAAAATGGTACAAATATTGAAGTTGAGGAACACTTTGGATATCTTGTCTATCTGTATAACTATCCGTCTTTATAGGGTTAGGGCCATTTCCATCCGTGCCCTGAAGACAAAATACTGCATAGACCTTTGATTCAATAAAACAACTTCATTTCAATAATCATTACATGTATAGATTTTTGATTCATTTTGAATAAATCATTTGGGGTATAAATAGAAAGAACAAAGAATAGCAAGGAGAACCGAAAAGAGTCCTGATCAATGGATAGGACCGTAATGATATCATCAGAATAAGGAGAAAGAATAGAGAGGTGTATTATACAGGTTAGTCATAATATGAGAGTCATGGAATCATAAGATGGAGAGGAGATAGAACGAGTTCATTGTCCAGGTTGCTCAGTCACAGTCCATCGTCTTTTCAAAGCTGGCTCACGCGACTGCGCAATGGCAGCACCGCCCCATAGACCAAGTTGTGATTTTGGCTGTTCTGGAATACGGTCCTTGTCATTTTGCTGGTGCTCCTGGGTTTTGGGTGTTGATGGCTTAGCAATAGTCACTGTTTGCGGGGTTGAGTTATTTGTTTGGGCGTTCCGTTGCTCGAATTCATAATTTGGGATCTCGTCTATACTGTTTTCCTTTTCTTTGGATGCACCCCATAGACCGGATGTGCTACGAGTTGGATAGTGATGATGTCCGGCACTTGTTGTTGCGGATCTTTGGAGGCCACGTGGGCGGGCAGACTTATTGCTGTCTAAGTGATTAATCGTGGCTCTGAGAGGGTTCGATCCAGTGCGGTGTCGGTAGCTGAATATCGATCTCGATCTTTCAAGGGTGGTGGGGCTCGGCAGTTGTGGAATAGATAAAGGATTCGATGTTACGCGAAGATGTTCCGTCGATGCCACCAAAGAGAGGTCGTAGATGTGATAAAGGGGGATAGTGGATGGTAAAGAGTTGTTATCAGACTGACCGTTAGTTATAGTGTCGATTGATCGGTGGTTCGAGGCTTTTGTCTTGAAAATGTCTTTACGTACTGCCATAGTCAAGGACGCCATGGCCACATCAATTAGGACCGGCTGGTTTGTCAACGCTCCGATCAGAGCATTGCAGCCCGCTCCGTGAGTAACAATGATCAGTACGGTATCAGTGTCATCTTCATCATGATGATGATGGTGGTGGTGGTGGTGATGATGATGATGATGGTGATGATGGTGATGATGGTAATGGGATTTGTCCGGTCTCTCATGACTGTACCAGTCTATCATTTTCAGCAACCCGTTCCGAAATCGTTTATGCATTGCACTCCACTCTTCGTCGTACTCTCCGCCGTCACCCCAGTTTTGCGGATCCTTCATGCTATCCCATTGATAATCCACGTCAACACAAGCATCCCGTGCATGGGCAACGTAGCCCGTCGGTATTGGTTCTGAGGGCGATATAGCATAGGATGGGACTGGTGGTATGTATCCAGCGGAACAATCCTCGCGGGAATGCGATGGGGATCGTGAAAGCACATCTCTAATTGTGATTGGTTTAAGTGGACGGCTAAGCCGATTGCCATCCTCGCTCCTTGACTGACCTTCACTAGGCAAAGCATCTGCAAGTGAAGACATGCCAAAACTTGGAGTCTCATTGGGCGTCTCTGTTGATGGGGTTGTCTGGTTACTCCTCCATCCACCGGGGAAGTGTCCAGAGAAAGAGCTGCTGCCGACATTATTCGCACGGTGAATGAATTCCCCGCGTTTCAAGAGCTCCGCTTTGGCACTCGCTACCATCATAACTGATCCCGGAGGAGGCGTAATTTGATCAAAATAGTCTGGTGAAAGCCATTCTCCCAGAAACGCATCAATGCGAAGGAGCGTACGCGGAGCGACCTTGGTGCGTTTACCATGGTGGACTCGATCCTTCCCATTATGTCTAACCAACTGGTCTGACGATGATGGTGTCGATGATCGTATCGGTGTCCCCATAGGTGATATTTCTTCAGACGCCGGAGTAGTAACCGGGGTCTGATCAAAGGAATTCTCATTCTCGGCTCGATAAAACTGGCTCATACCAGCACTGATCGCAATGGAAGTCTGTATACATCGGAGAAACGGGGAGGAGTGTATAATGACTTTGTGTTTTCGTACTTTCTTGTGTACTTTTACGTGAATTCCCTCGGATGACGCTGTGCTCTCAGCCGTGGAACTGCTCGCCAATGATGTCGAGCTATTCGTTGCCGGTATCGTCTCGTCTTGCACCGCATCTTCTCTCGCTTTCAACAGACTAGCTATCCGTGCACCCAGCGCACGTCCTTGTATCCAGCCGCCGTATGTCAAAGGAGGGTCGTACGGTGTCGGAGAAGTCAGATGCCATTCCTTGTCGACAGCGTCGAGTCGCGCGCCGTGCCTGTCAATGCAATTAGTAATAGATCGGTGTCGTGCATCGCACTATTAGTACCTAGCTATGATAACAACGGCAGGCGGTTTGCCTATTTTAGCATCCTGTGGCATCTCCATTCTAGCGTCCATGGGATTGGTATAGCTAGCTATTCAGCTCAAGCTGTCAAGGTGGCCTTTGTTTCGTGTATAAAAAACGTGGGGTAGCTGCAGTTGCAGTCAGTGACGTAGTATTAGCTGTCAGTCATCCCTTCGGCTTCGAGGCACCAGCTTCAGCAACCTTTTGAAGGTCACAACGTGGTTCATTTAGAGAAAATGATGATCAAAGGATACCGTTGGTGGTCTGTGTCGTTGAGCTGCTTCTTTGAAATTTTTTGAAACTCTCGAAGCGGCAGGAGCATAACTTCCGAGGCCCCACGGCGGAGACACAGCTGAGGTAAGCCTGAGAAATTAGGCTGCTGCCATTCCCCGGCGACAAATGTAACCTCGCTGGACTCCGCGTGGTCTGACCACTGCCGCTGTATGGCTTTGCAACTATGTACAAGACAAGTTCAGGGCGGAGGGCAATTATAACGCATACACAGTACGACATGCGAGTCATCAGTGCTACACATGAAGTATGCTACGTGTCTACTGGAACAGTTTCACATCGGCGCACTGGCTTCTTGGCGTGTTGCTAGGGTATTTGCGCCATCGAGACGTGCATGCATAAATAGCAATCTGCTCTAATCACTGACTAGAGCTCGATATAGTCAAACCTTCTCGACTTGAGTGAACTCTAAAATCGGAACATTATCAGAGTAAACAGATCGTCGCAGATGCCTCATATCAACCGAAATACCCTCTCACCGTCCTAACCAGGAAATGTTGGATCCATGCCTAGACACTTGTCTCCCTCTCGGCCCAATGAGTCAACTCAGTTGCAGTCCTTCAGCTGGAAAGCTTGGAAAGAAGCGTCGTCGCTGGAAGGAGTGAAGCAGTGGTTGGGGTCTGCCCAAGTCAGTTTGACAGAGTTTCCGCCGCACTGCGCGTCTTCGTATGCTAGAACTACTTCTGGTCAGTTTCTCTCCGATCGAGGTTTGGGGTAGGGATACGGACTGTTACATCCTTTCTTGATCACATTACCAGAAATGGCCTTGACTGGCTTGCCGCCGGGGGGGGCATTGTGACAAGCATCCTTTTCAAAGATGGGCAGCGGGCCAGAACGGATAGTGCAGTTGCGGTCATCATAGAGGTTGATGTAGTTGTCTGGTCCTGCCAGGGCCAAAACAGCGAGGCCGAGGGCATAAAGGACGGAAAGCTTGAATGACTTCATTCTTGGGTTTGATAGTGTCTGGATGCAACAGAGAGCTGCTGATGATCAGTACCATGAAAGACTGAAACAATCCACAAGAAAGGATACTCAACACACTTACATTTGTCCAGCAAATAAGCAATGTGTGAAGAGTATCCTTGAATAGATGCTGTGAGAGGGAGATTGACAAGAAGAGAGGGCATGATGCCTATATTTATATTCTCAACAGGAGAACATGTCGGAGTCATATAGGGCACCGAGATCTTGGAGGATGAAAGGAGCTGCGCCCGGTCTTCCACCGGGCGTTCATACTCAGGGCGTTCTTTCCATATTGGGAATATTGGGATTTTTCGACTTCATGGTATCAAGGGCACCAGTGGTAGATATTCGATGGGGCAAGAAATGAATTGCACGACATAACTGTTGATTGTAGCAGCTTCAAGGGACTGACGCCGGCCTTGATATAAGCCCCGGCATAATTACGCTTTCATCTCTACTGTACATCTTTGCAGCCATATCATTCATATCCAGCATCAATCAAGGAGTGTAGCAAATGTTTGAAACTTGTATACTACCGCACTAATCCACTCTGGGGCAAAAAACGGTAAGACGGACTGCTATTGGCTGATTCTGGGACGATGACCCGGGTGGGTCCTTTCGATGAGACATTCTGTCAACCGCGGCCTCTCATTGGCCAGATCTGCTGCCTGTCATCGAGTTTCGCTCTGCTCCTATCTGGGAAGTCCACCTGATCTCATCTTTCCTACATTATTCTTCACGTCATCTTCCAGCATACTCATCCCTGCGGACTCATTCCAACGACTCCTAGGCTCGAGTGGCATCTATCAATCTTTCCACTTCGTACATACGATCGCTCTCGCTTTCACGTTCGCTTCCGCTCTTCCCGGGATCTTGCTTGTCGACGTGCTGGTCGTTAATCGCCGGAATACCGTCGTTATTCTTAGCATCGACTCATCTTTCGACTCATTCGACCGTCGTTGTCATATTTGCGACATCTACCTACTATCGTTTATTGCATATTCTTAGCGATTTGGCTGACAGGGATATCGAGAGGAGAAATACTCAAAAGAGACAGTGATCTGGATGGCGTAACCGCCGACGCTCCACAAACGAGACCAGAAAGTACTAAAGACGAAGGAGAGAGGTGCCGTAGTGTCGGACTCGTCTCCCTCACAAACCAATATTGAATATGTGGCTGCGATCTCCCATCTCGCTGCTGTTAGCAGCGTGCATGTGCTTACCATATGCAAATGCTGACACATATCTATCATCAACATCGTTGTCAACATGTCAAGACGACTCTCTGATCACTGCGAGCTTGTTTGACGTCACGTTCTTTCCTGGAAATGATACAATATACTATGATATCCATGCAAACGCTTCGGTTACAGGCAACGTTTCATTGACGGTACAAGTCATTGCGTACGGCTACTACCTCCAGCCGATCCATGTTGATCCCTGTGATGGTTCGTCGTTGTCGACGAATTTCTGTCCCATTGAAACTGCCGGAGAACCAATCGATCTTCAAGCCTCGAGTCCAGTACCTGCTGATATCGTGACTAGAGTTCCTGGTAGGAAACACTTCATTCTGTACAAATTTTTTACGTTTACTAATAAAATGCAAAGGAATCGCTTATACTGTTCCGGATTTGGACGGAAAAATTCGCATTCTCATTGATTCAACCGACCAAAATACCACAGTCGCATGCTTGGAAGCCGAACTTACAAACGGCAAAACTGTGTATCAGAAGGCTGTGGGATGGACATTGGCCGTCATTGCAGGTCTGGCATTGACAGCGTCTGCTATCGCGTCGGGTCTTGGCTTTTCGAACACTGCTGCCCACGTTGCCGCGAATGCACTGTCGCTCTTTTCATTCTTCCAAGCTCAGGCCATGTACGGAATGACTTCGGTATCCATGCCGCCGATCGTAGAAGCGTGGACCCAGAATTTCCAGTGGAGCATGGGCATCATCCGCGTGGGCTTTCTACAGACTCTGGGCACTTGGTACCAGCAAGCAACAGGTGGCACGCCGTCAACGTTACTCGCCAGCCTATCTGTGCAATCCGTCAGCGTTCAAAAACGATCCCTTGACTTGGCCAAGCGAGCGCTGCACACATTGACTGCCCGCGCAGACAACACTATGTACTCGGGTAATATCGTTCTCAAAGGCATTTTGCGGGTTGGTTTCCGGGCAAAGATCGAATCCAGCAATATCTTTATGACCGGGTTGATATTTCTGGCTGCTTTCTTTATCATCGTGATACTTCTTATCTTGGTGTTCAAGCTGTATATCAAACTTGCTATCAAGTGGGGATGGATGCCTCCTAGTGGATTTCAAGATTTCCGCAACGGATGGACCAGTGTCATGCGCGGAATTCTGTTCCGCCTTGTAAGTTCTATGCTCCACCAAGCAAGTCGCTTTATAACTTACTGACCTTGTTGTAGATTATTATCGCATATCCTCAGATGGTTGTGCTTTGTCTCTGGGAACTCACACGCCGTGACTCTGCTGCCGAAGCAGTCCTGGCCGTTCTTATGCTCGTCTCAATGACCGCAACTCTTGTATGGGCTGCTCTGAATGTGGTCCGACTTGCCAAGCGCTCAGTAGCAATGCACCAAAATCCAGCCTACATTCTTTACTCCAACCCCAAGTTCCTTCACACTTGGGGATTTTTATATGTCTCATATCGCGCCACGGCCTATTACTGGGTATTTCCTACGTTGTTCTATATCTTCGCCAAAGGCGCATTCATCGGTCTCTCACAAAAATCGCCAATCACTCTGACTATTGGTTTGCTGATCATTGAAACGACACAACTCATCTTCGCCTCCATTTTCAGACCATGGATGGACAAGAAGACAAACACATTCAACATCGCCATTTGCGCCGTCCATTTCGTCAACGCTGTGTTCTTACTCATGTTCACCAGCGTCTTTGATCAACCCGTACGTCCCTTCCCTCCCCTTCCCTCTAACCATTCAATCCCACTAATACATCATCCAGCCAATCGTAAACTCCGTCATGGGCGTCGTGCTAGTCCTCTACAACGCCATCTTCGCCCTTGTCCTATTACTAATGGTGCTTATATCCGCATTCTACGCAATCTTCTCCAAGAATCCAGATTTGCGCTACGAGCCTGTCCGAGATGATCGAGGTTCATTCATACGATCACAAACTCAACTTGATGCGCATAAGGAGTTGGATGCGCTCGGTGCCACAGCGAGAGGAGAGGAGAAGTTGATATATTGATCTATAAAGCAAAGTCTTTTATAATCATTTATTCTTTGGTTTTGTCTTGTCTTGGTTGATCATTGGGGTCAATTTGTGGTGATATATTCGGAGTTTTGTTTATCTCTTTTCTCGCTTGAGGGAAACGTATTTGACATTTGATTTGTCGAGGGCGTTTATAGTGATGGGCCAGCTTAGTGTATTGTTTATAGTTACTACCTATTATTGTACATATTCCATTTGTAAGAATTCTATGAGTCGGTGTTTCATCTTCTGTTGTAAAAACGCTCTTTCTTTTTTCTGTTTTCTGTTTTGGGGGGGAGGGGAATTGAGAATTAGACTAGCAAGTAAATCTCGACCGAATGGATTCGATTCATATCATATAACCATTAATTAATGCTTCGTTATTATATACAGAACAACCAATAGACTATTATAGAAGTCGCTGTCTGTCGTAACCATTTCTCCGAGCTCAACTATCAAAGGAATGACTCATTAATCACATAAACGGTATTAGTAAAACTCAACTTCATAATCATAAAGACGTAATAACCCCAAGTGATATTCAGTCGTCATTTTCCGGCGTGCTTTTTGCAAATCATAAATTCGATTAAAGAACGAGGAGAGCAGCAATACCAACTGCACCGGCAACGCCGCTACCAACAGTGGCCATTGCAGCTGCCGCGCCGTGGGATGTACTGCTGCTGGCAGTTGCGCCTGATGCAAGGGAGGTAGCCGAGCTACCGCCGCCAGTACTAGGAGCAGTTGTTGCACTACCTGCAGTTCCAGTATGAGTGGTGGTACCTTCAGCACTGGCAGCAGAACCGGTTGTTAAAGTACCTGATCCACTGACGGCGGTATAAAGAGTGGTGCTGCCAATTGTGCTGGTGGATGTTGAAGAGCCAGAAGAAATCGTTGTCTCTACAGGTTCAGTGGTGTATGGGCTGGATGAAGCGCCAGTGGCGGTGGCACCTGTTCCAGAGACAGAACTGTACAGGGTGGAGCTTCCGACGGTGCTAGTGATAGTACTAGATCCAGAGGTGAAGGTCGTCAAAACTTCTTCCGTGGTGTAAGGAGTTGAGCTAGCACCGGTCTCGCTAGCACCCTATATCCAAAGTTAGTTTGATTCGACACGTGATTGGTATGCTACATACTGTGCCTGAAGCTGTGCCTGATCCAGTGCCTGAGGAGTCGGTTCCTGTAGTAGTAGCAGGTCGGGTGGTAGACCCGGATCCAGATGATGCAGCTAATTGTACAGTCAGTCAAGGCTATCACATTAAGAGACGAAGTCTTACCGGCAGATGCGCAAATAGATGCCGCATATGACTGGACATCTTGCACGTTGTCGTCGGGGCAAGCCTCAACAGTGCAATCGTGGATACCGTAGTTGAAGTCCTGGTTGTTACAGAGACAGGCCAAGTCGTTGGCCTCGCAGCCCAATGACGAAGCTAGACCGACGACGTTGTTGTAGCACATTTGCTACGACTGTTAGTGGACGCGTGTTTTGTTATTGTTTCACGGAAGACTTACAGCGCAAGAGGTAATGTTGACAGCAGCGACAGAAGTCGCGAAGACAACTGTGGACAGAGCGACGGCCTTCATGGTGAGAAGTAAGTGGACGAGGGTGAATATTATCGAATGAATGTGATTGTATGTGTGAAAATACTGAGATTGTAAAACTGCTGGGGTCAAGATTGAGGATGAGACGAGCGCAAAGAGGTGTCGTGAAGAAAGAAAAAAACAAAACAAGGAAGAAAAAGGTCGAGTCTTTATGCACAACAGGCAAGAAGCAAATGGTGCTGGCGGGGAAGGAGGTCTCCTTCCCGAGAAGGGAAATAAATGCCCAGGGCAGTCCCGTGATATTGACTTTCCTTTTTTTTCTTCTCCTCCTGCTTTACTCTATACAGGCTGTCCGTCCCTTGAAAGCCACAGCTACATCCCCGTCTTCATGGATATCATCGATGCTAGTCCTTAGTGTGCGTTTATTTTGGGTATCTGACCAGTCGATGTGTGCTCAATTGTGATCTATCAGCCACACTTGTCAACAAGCCTTTACTGCCCACTCCGACCATGATCGAGTCCTGCATACTTCCACTACAGAATTTGGCCCTTTGTGTTTGAGCGGTGCCAATCCCACCATTCGGTGAATGATCGAAAATTTGGTCTACGTCTCAGCTGCATGAAGCTACAGCTCCAGCCTACTCGTCGCTTGATTTTACCAGACTATTATCTCCCCACCTGATGGCAAAAGCCACAGAAGCTCGAGTCAAGCTGGATATCCATACTTGGCGCCAGTGGATTTTACTAGATGCTAGCGTCAGGATGCGCTACGGACTACGTATTCTGTGCCACAAAGGACGAGATGACGACGGCGTACGGAGTACAGAGCATCGGAGCAAAACAAGGTGACTTTCGCTGCCTGACTCTATCGAGTTTTCTGGATTCGAAGTCTTTTCTTAGTTTTTACCGATCTGCAGAGAGCTAATGGCGCACTTTTCTCCACACTTGAATTGGCTCGCTATACATCATTGTGCATGGAGCTAGTCAGCTGTTGCGGAGCAACTCTTGTCTGGATCTCAAAGCAAATCCCGGTTCTCGATAACAACCGACGTCGTGCAAGTTACGTAGTACACCGCCAGAGGTGCTTGACAACTGGAAACATGGCTTGGAGTACAAATAATAGGACCTAACACTGCAATGATTCTCGATTAAGGAACTTTCCGGCCCCTTGCAGGCAGCATATCCTTCCTTCGAAATAGGACCATATGCTTAGCCATAAACTGGAGGACTGCTCAATCTCCCTGCGTGGCCATGTGCGTCTGAGTGATCAAGACCAACTTCGTGGCTTGACGCACAATTCCCACGAGTCGTAAAGATGGTGTAACTGTGTGATGTGGAGCCTGGAATACAGTTTGGAGGCTAGGGCGAGGCGATTCAGTGTTGGGTGGGTGATCGCTTGGCGCCACCTCATCGCAGGAGCTAATGCGTTACCGAAGCCACCCACATCCTGGGCTGGTGTCGTAGGCTAAAGCAGCTAAAACAACCCTAGCTTGGTGATCGAAGAACTTTCATTGGTGCAGATCAAAACGAAACTCTGAAGTTGCAGCTTTTTGAACTTCTGTGTTCAGTATATACCGAAAACAAGACTGACTACATGACACCGGAGAATTGCATACACATTTACCTCAAGCTAGTGATGGTGTTAATGGAATTTCAACACTCTACCTTCGTTGGTGACTACTTTCGGAGAAAATATTTCAGGAACGAGGAACTTGTGACTACATCTGATCAGTTCTTTGAGTCAGTCTTAAAAAAGACTCCGTGTTTCAAGACAATCGAATTCATCAATGGAACAGAGTTGGTCTTGTATCTCTTTTTCCATACTCCGCATTTGGCATGAAAATGCCTCGATCTGGCTATGAACATGATCAATCATTTCGGCCGAACCTGGACTCCAAGAATGGATTTAACACAACAGACGACAGTGAACAAGCGTGCAACTGCCTTGTTGTCAAGAGAAACAAGCATATTAATGGGATAGCGCACTCGTCTAGAAAGAGAGTCTACTGGTATCTATTCAATAACAATGGCCATCAGGGTTGGCAATCCCAGATCTTCAGTTTGACTCTTTCAGTAAGAACAATAGGCCTTGTTCAGTCTGTATCTATTCGCTGATAATGAATGCTTTATTGCGAGTTCTATGTTCTATCATGTCAGAAACGGCTTCTCAGATCACAAAACCATTGTTATGCATGCGGACTTCGCCGGTAGAGAAGGTTCTCAGATGCCATTCATAAAGAAGTTGATAAACAGCGACTGTTGACATAGCTAATTACTCACAGATTCAAGAAAACGATGCACTGCATTTTCGAAAAGTTCAAAATAATCAACAACTGTAAATCACCAAGTGTCTTCTTTTTCCTTCTCGTAATATTGCTTTACCTTTACAAGAAACACACCATTACCGACACATGAATATAATGGCCTCACAGGATAACTCAACATCACAGCCAACAAGCCAGAATCTAACCCAACCAGCCACACCAGTGCGACTGCATAATCGAGAATTCAAAGCCTGGCTAGTTGAAAAATATAATAAATGCAATGTCGAGTTTCCATTTTTGAAATCCATTCACCCGAACTATAAAGATCCCGCCGAGATTGATAGTCAAATCGTCAATCTATCCGATCTCGATGATCCGCCTGCAGATTTTCAAATTGCCTATCTGATCAACCGGAATCCGGCGATGCCGGCTGCTATTGCCCTAGTAGCTCATCATTTCTGGAACATAAACGCGGAGAAAGCACTTAAAAATTCGGAGGACAGAATTGCGGCATTCAGAAAGTTGGCCTTCAATCAAGACGAACGATTCAGAATCAGGAATGTCCACGAGCTCTCTCAGCTGTCACGCGATGCTGGACCGAGATTATTGAAACCCGAAATCCTCCGTAGGCTAGGGAAGCTGCCTATTAGTCGTCACTATCCGGACTTTTCAGAAGGGACCGATTGGGAAGAACAACGGACACGTCCTGTATTTCCTCCGGAGAATGACGGTGAAAATGTCGGAGATTCAGATGGGGGTAGCTCTGGCAATTTGACCTTGGAGGAATTGCCCCCTAATCTGAAAATTGTTCGGGAATGCCTAGAGAGGCTTTTGGTTCAATTGAGGTATCAGGGGCTTGCAGTGGCTTCGAAAGGGATTGATGCCACCGGGTTCCATGCCCTTGATGATACTTCTGAAGGTAGCCGTAGGAGGCGCTTACCACTTCGAAAGATACCCTTGGCACTTGACATCAAACACAATGTTGACCACAATAACTTCAACCCTTCTCGTATGCTATATGATTCTCGAGAGCGAGGCCCTGTCCATAACTCCAATGAAGTTATTGCTAAATCGAAATACGACTGCATAGCCATGGCTGCCAAATTCCTTGACGTTGGTATCACTGAAATCGATATCGAGAATCTCCAGGAGAGTGGTATACAAGAAACGCAAAGCCATCGACTTTTCGTACATCTGGTAAGAACTGACTGGAAACAAGAAGATAATGCTAGCACAAGACAGTCCTTTCATCGGTTTTTTGATAGCCTTGGGGCACAAAGTTTCAAAGACCTCTTGCACAAGTCGACTTTTTTGCGCGGGCAATTTAGTCACACTGCCTCCCCAGTTGTCAGATGTGCGAGTAATCATGAGACTACTCTGGTTAGGGCCACCAACTCCTTAGTTTGGCTTGAATCCTCAACTATCGATGACGGCCCTGCCGGTGCCACCATGCAAAAAATCTTGCAAACGCTCTTCTTGCAGTCGGTAAATCCTCCAGCACCCGCGGGTCAGCGCCAAGGTGACCATTGTGCTGTTGATAATTGCAAGAGCAAGCTGGTTGGAACGGGTATCTGCCAATCCATGCCCCTGCGCATAGCGGTCAGCTTGCCCCCACGGATCTCGCCTACAGATCATACTAGCAACAATATCAGGATCAACTACCACGATGAGAAAGAAGGTAAGGAGGACGTTGCGGTATATCGCTGGCTAGGCGGCATCTACGCTAATTCGGATAACGAGTATTCGGAAACTACTCGTTATCGGGTCTACTGGACTGATTCACTGCGGGGCGAGAAACCTAGAGGAACTATCTCGATGTATGATCCATTTCAAGCTGATGGTCAAGTGATTGAGGGGGTGCCTCCGTCTCATCAAAATGAGCCTATTCCGGGGGAGTGGTGGAAAGACACTTTCAAGCCAGTGATATTCTATGAACGCATTTTCAATCCCGACCTTAATGATATCACCCTCGCTGCTGCTGTGCTCGGCGATATAAAGACTGCTTCAGATGAAGGCCGGTATATCCTTCAGCTTCCAAGCTGCGATTGGGCCTTTCCTTCGTCATCCACGGACGATTCGGACAATCAGGGTGACTCTGCACCTTCAAATAGTAATCTTCCTTCGACATCCAATAATGGCACGTCAGGGCTTCCACAATTTCAAGGTGCAGAAGCATTTGCAGGTGCAAGCTTTGATGCACTTCTCAACAGTTCAGACAACAGCGGTGATACTCAAATGCAAGACGTAGTGGATTATGGCGACAATGATTACATCCAAGTCACTGGAAACACAGGGGCTGCAGAGAATGAATATACTGTGAATCAGCACGGTGGTCCGGTGCAGTCAATGATCCCAGTCTCACCAAGAAATGATGTGGGATTTGTGGCATATGACAGTAGTATGCAACAATCGGCACCTGATCAACCTAGGAGAATACTTGAACAGCAGTATACTAACCCATCAGCCACAAGCAACCATATAATGGGTCGCAATCCTCTCAATTCACGCAATATCGATATCTCAAGTCAAGGCCCACACCAATATATTCTTGATCAGATCAATAATGGCCATGTGCAGAACTTTCATTCTCAGAACCTACAGGCAACTTCCCCGATGGGATTACTTCAGCCCCACGATATGCATAATTTCCACTCGACAAATCCCTCTTTTGGCAACGGTATCTCCTCCAATACTGCGGAGGGTATGGAATTTCTACAGGGATCACCTCCAACGCCAGACATCTTTTCCGATGTACACCAACAAAATGGAAGTTACGGAGAAGATAACGATTCTAACTACGGATTAGATGGCCTCAGATATGGATTTTATTAATCACACAACCAACATCAAAACGGGAACTTGTTTAGATGAGTTGTCGGATTTTCTATATCAAACAATGCCTGTTGAAGGTATCGACTTGGGTTTATGTTGAAGGACTAACTATAAGATGGTCTGCATGATTATTTATCCTCTTAATTATTGGGTTTGGCGCTTTATCTCGTTTTCTCTTGTTCTTGTCACGTTTTTCAGCCGGGAGTTCAGTAGGTAGATTTATTTAGTGTCTATACATAATCATTGCATAATTGAGACTGTACGCGTTTGAGGATGCATGGATATTCGAATCACATTTTAGTCGTAGTATAAGCATGTGCAAGTCTACTCCGATTGTATAAAGTATCAAGGTCGTAGAAAGGACCAGGAGATCCCTAAATAAAGAATATTGAAAGCTGCCTGGGACGTCTACATATTTACCAATCTATCTACAATCCAACTGTCGGAACGTGAATATCAAACCTAGCGCGTTTCGGCACTGGATATCAGTTAGTCTAACGCGGCACGTGCGTGCCGCGTTTATATGTAGCTAGCTATTCCCCGTCCCCCTTACTCTTGGGGGGCAGTCATCAATATCAGGAATTCTATACCATATTGATCAGGCTCGTCAGCTTGTCGGAATAGCTGTTCTACGTGACTAGTGCTAGCGACCTAGACGTAGATAAACCGACACCAACTATTTGAGCTCCCTCATAGAGCACCTTAATCTCCAAGAATGTCAGAAGTCTCGACTTAGCTATGGCCGTAAACTAAACCCTTGACTCGACATACTATTGATAGAGGCACTGGATAGGGGGAGGGGAAAATAAAAAGGATTAAATCTACTGAAAATAAAAACCTATTCGTCGGATCCAAAATTGCGGTTTGATAGAAGTGTATAATTGGCGTAGGTCATAGTAACTGGGGTGACACTGTAAATGCCAAGGTGGCTGACCAGGCTATAGCTCCCTGCAATGCGCAAGTTGCGCAGCAATGGTGCTAGTTAATAGAAAATATAGTATTAGTGAGGTGCAAAAATAATTTCAGCCTATACGATGAGAACCAATTTGCTCAGTGAGATATTCAAGTTTGCTATTGCAATGTAGATTGGATGCTTTAAGTAATGAGCTTCACAAGGCTCAGCGGGCATTCAATGGCTCGGCTTGAATAAGGTGCGTTTCTATACTGGTTATTTCAACATGCACATTAAAATATCTAGAAATGGACATATAAAAGTATTAGAAGTCACATCAATATCAAGAAGCGTATGTATCATATCGCTCTTAGGGTTTGAAGGGTCACCTGATAAATGGTCAAGCCCCCTTCCCCGCGTTTTTTCCACCTCCACCTTCCTTCCCCATGTTTTTATCCCATTCTTCTCTTCTTCCTCATCCCAACCTCCTACCTAGGTATTTACTGCTGAATTTCTTCATCTGAGGAACGCACTTCCCAATGGATCTATTAATTAGATCACCTCTATTGTCTCTATCGTCTATTCTTTGCTCTCTTCTATTGATCTATATCTCGAACGCGAAACGCCTCCCACCGATATATGGGGCGTAATGCGAGTAGCCTACAACTTCGCCTTGGCTACGACTTGCTGCCTCTGTTCCTCTGACTTGAGAGGTCCTGTAGGTGCTGAACTCTTCTTGGGCGCAGAAACATAGCCTCCAAGGACATTGTCGGTGTTCGTCACATTACCATTCTCGTCGCGCTTGATTCCAAGCTCGAGTAATTTCGCAAACACGTCAGCGAAGTGTTGGAAGAAGACTTCCTTATCATCCGCATACTTCTGAACCCATGGTCGAAACCCTGGGTCCGAGATCAACGCCATGTCGGTGGGTAGCATCATTAACGGCTCCTCCTTCTCGTCTTCAGGTGCGTCGGGATCGCTATAACTGAACTGCTTGACTCCATTTGATAGCGTTCGCGGTTTCCAATCGAGATTCAATAACAACCTGAAGAACTGGTTCGAGAATCGAGTGGGGTTGTTCACCCAAGGACCCTCAAACCCGCTTCGATCAATATGGCCCCGTCCTAGGTTGTGTGCGCCCGCTAGCGCGACAATTTCCTGATCGTTGAAACCCATGCGATAGAAGATGTGACGCAAATGATCGGCTCCCTGAGCTGCATCTGGTAAACGACCACGTGGAGGAAGCTTGCTGTCATCAACATAATCCGTCCGTCCAGGCAACCACTTCACATCCGGACCACCCAACTCCTTCAGAGCCACGACACCAGCCAGCGTCCAGAGATCAGCATATGTAATCCACGGGTGTCGTTCCTTCACCGGTTCGAGAAATGCGCGCGCAATTTGAAGTCCTGCATTCGCTGGGTCGCCGCCCTCTGCTTCGTATCGCATACCGGCTCCGTTTGATCCGCCCGTGTCTGTTTCTGCATCGTACGTGCCCGCTGAGTGCCTGATTGTGAAACATGCTCGTTAGCAAACTCGGTTACGCATCTCACATGAGGTGGCAAAGAATCCGCATAATGAAACAGGAAAATATAAACCCGACGAAGAAGCAAAACTCACCACGCTAAACGAACAAACACAGGTCCTGCGCTACCATCGTCATAACCAGGCTTCTCCAGCTGAGCAGCTATGTCCTTACGCACTGCGGCGTAGTCGCCCGGTTGACTGACCATCCTGGTGTTCCTTTCGGCCGAAAACAAATAAAACCTCGGGCCTGGTCTTGCAAATCTGGTCCTGTTTCACTTGTATACTATCGTTATAAAATCGGTATTTCCCAAGTCGCAGGATATAGAGAATGAGGATGGTTCGGAGGGAGAGGGCGAGAGCAGTGAAATGTTTTTTGATGGTATTCAGCATCTTGCGAAACACTCATTGGATCCGCATCTTTCACTCCTGTTGCCTCATGGTTACCAATGAGAAGCGTTGATTTGATAAAGAACCTTTCGCCGATTCGCTGCTTGGATCCACCACGAAGATAGAGATTCTTATCATTACCCGATGGGGGACTTGCCGAGGTAAATCGCGGTAGTCCTGTTGTGCGTCTGCTGTTGAATATTAAAAAAAGGACATTACCACGTGGATTTGCGCAACGATTTTCCTGTCTCATTTTGAAGTATTCGCAAGTGAGCCCCATTCGGGCAATAAAACGGGAAACAGCTTCCGTTTTCTGATGAGATCCAACGATCTTTATTGGAGTCGTTGGAGATGCAGTGTAATTCGTTAGAATAGCAGGAATAACGTGTCCGTGCTGCAGGAATGACCTGAAAGAGAGTATATATGGTATGTATATTCCACCTGGCAAAACCGTAGCGCCGAGCAGAGAAAGTGATACAGGATATCCCAATTTCACCTTTTTAGGTTCTACAACACTAGTTGTGTATCCTACAACAGCTTTCTGTGCACACAAGACAACTTCGGCGACACAAAGCGCGACATTTAAAGGAATTCTAGAGCGGCCTCCTCGCCACAGGGCATCGATGACACGGTTTCATAACTTGTCAACTAATACCAACGACGAATGCACTCGTTTGTAGGATTTGGATTCATGGTATGCGGTTTTATGAGCTGTCATATCCATACTCGCAAATGTTACACATGTATCGAAATTGCAGAAGAAAGAGCTTGGACAGCTCAGATTACATAAAGTGAATACAAATCCCTCATTTCGTTTTGGTTTCTCTCCTCAGATCACCACCGCAAAGAAGAATCGTTTTCGACCTGAACTACAGAATGGCGATTCGTCTGTCAAAGAGAATTCGTCTCCGATTAATAATACTGATTTCGACGTCATTCTTCGTTGTGGAAATAGCCGGTAATGTCTTCATCATTCATTGAATCAACGCAGAGTATAGAATAGGGTTACTCATCTAGCCACGTTTACCAGTCGGGTTCTATACACACTCCTTGGCCTTGATTGCTGACGCATTCCATTATGCAAGTTGATAATTTCATGATTATAAGGTATATAACGTCTTGCTGAGATATCTCTAGCTGAACGACCTCATCGGATTTGTTATTGCACTGGTTGCTTTAGAGGTATATTGACGCATCTCAGTGACATTCAACGCAGGCGTTGACTTGAGAGGGAATACAGTTGACTGAAAGCACTCAATCTCCGCCGACGTGGCTATCTTTTGGATGGCAGCGAGCACAAATTCTCGGCGCATTCTTTAATGGGGTCTTTTTATTTGCTCTTGGGGTTAGCACAGCCTTGCAGTCCATCGAAAAATTCATTTTCATGCACAACGGTACGTGAAAATAGATAGCTACGGGCAAGGATGCCGACTATGGCTAACTCGGACTGGAACCAGACATTACACGCCCGGAAAACATATTGATAGTGGCTTGCATCGGTTTGGTGTTAAATATTTGCAGTGTCATACTTATCCATGGTGTGCTTGTTGCGTTCTTATTTCCAATGGGCAGTACTCATTTTCTACTGGGACAGATCATGGTCACAATCATACACATCCTAGCGATGGACGGACAAGTAATGATCTCTTGACTCATGATCATTCAGAAACGGTGATCCTACCAGTCCTCAAACACTCATTACCAGTACTAACCATAGTGCAATCAACTTTAGATAGGAGACGTCAAGTCCAGTCACGACCTCAACTCCCTCGGTGTCTTGATACATCTGCTCGGAGATGCGCTCAACAATATCGGCGTCATGGTTTCTGCGCTTGTTATCTGGTTGACAAAGCATGAGGGCCGGTTTTACGCAGACCCGGCAGCTAGCATGCTTATTGCATGTATGATTATGTTGACTTCCGCCCCGCTAGGTATGTTAAACTCTACCGTTGTCTAAATGTAGCTTTATGTGTGTAGTTGACAAATGTGTTCTGCTCTCGTGTCATTATCGCTAACATAATACACACCCATTAGCCCTAAGTTCCGGTCGTATCCTTATACAGAGTCTTCCAACGAACGTCAACTGCGAAGACGTGAACAGAATTTTGACCTCTGTGAGCTTTTATTTTATGAGAACTTATTCCGTGTTTTGAGCTAAGTGATATAGGTACCTGGTGTCCTCGCAGTACATGACCTCCGCCTCTGGCGCCTCAATCATCACAAGAATATCGCTTCGGTACATGTCCTTATCGACGGTCAAACGAGTATGCGTGAATGTTCCAGCATAATGAAATCGATCAGACAGCGCCTACATGCACTCGGTGTACATTCGATTACGATACAGCCGGAGGTTGTGAGAGCATCTTATGTTGTCACTGGAGTTGCAGGAGACAATGAAGGAGTAGTACCGGAATATGGGAAATGAATATTTGCAACTTAAGAACAATGATGAGAGCAGAGAGTGAGGACTTATGAAAAGAAGTGGATGGTGGTTAGACTCAACTCAAGGTAACAAGGTATAGCCATTTCCTGTGCCAATTCCATCAGTTTCATTTGACTATGGCTCAACAGATCATGCTCCCTTTCACATTGGTGTTCACCTGGGCAGACATGTGCAAGGAGGCGAGGATGTACCTAAGTAATTGTTGACCGGTCAAAGATATACTGAACATCCGAAACATTCAACAAAAATACCAAGCCGTTGAGTTGATCATTTGCAAGCAATTCCATTCAGTTATTAGCGAACATAATTAAATTACATAATGATAAAATCTCTTCAGGAGTGACTAGGACATTTACCGATGGCCATCACTCCCTATTATCTAGGATTGTATGACCATATTCACCTGCTGACATGCTGTTTAAAACGGTGCACTTGATCCATCGACGTCCATGCATCCTTGAGTAGGTGAGGGAGGAGGAGAGGTCATGACCGTATCAGCAACGTCTTGGGTCTGATCACCTTGGCTACTTTGCAATCCTTGTCCTGCAACATTGGTGCCAGTCATCGTCGATTCGGAACTTTCCTTAACAGAATGCTTGGGGGAAGTCCGAAAACAACTTTTCATGGATTTCATTTCGGGGTAAGCAGTAGACGAGTCCGAATCGATGGGATTCTCATCGTCACTGTGATCTCCATTTCCTTGCTCTTCGCCTCTCTCTCTTCGTAATTTTGCATCAAGTCTCTTCGCTCTCTTTCTCTCGGCTCTTGCCTGCTTCTTGTAACGCTCCATACTCCGCAATGCCCATAGTAGCACCTCTTCATTATCGGAACGTTCGTCCTTGTAGATGTCGTTTAGGACTTGGTCGAAACCGAGTGTGTGTGTTGAGTCTAACACGCCAAGTTTCACATAGTGACCGACGGCCCAGATGCAGCCTTCAATGTCTTGAGCGATGGAGTTGATGAGGTTGATTTTCGCTTGGGTGGATAAGCTTGCGATGTTATGTGGCTTCTTGCTATTGTTGAGGCGGAGGAGGGAGAAGCCCGGTTTGGGAGTGGCAGGACGTGGCATCTTGATGTTGACTTGGTCTGTCTTGGTGATGATTTTGGGCATTGATGATTGTTCTGGTGGAAGTCGCAGAACGTAGCGTTATCGATGGGAATAACAAATGTAGCTATGACAGATATTGTGGTGATGAGTTTTGAAAGTGTCTTGATGGGGAATCTTGCTTGATTTATATGCCAGATCTGATGAGTTGCTCTTTCACATTGGCTCTATTGTTTATAGCCATAATAAGCGCAAAATAAAATTTCTTACAATGCAAACATACAATGAGTTTGATATGTCTTCTTTCTCGTCGGAGCTTTATTTTGGAAACAATGGACAACATCTGAAGAGATTACTCCAACCAAAGATCTATATACCGTAGTGTCCGTACAAATAAAGGCATATTGCATGTCTAAGGCATTCATTGCTGGTACTTCCAAGTTTTGCATATAGAACTGGTTGATAGTATAACTTTCACGTATAACTTGTTATTCCAAGCCTGTCTCAAGGTTAAGATCAAAGATGCTTTTCTTAATCATCTCTTGGTTATCCTGTCTAAATAATGAAGCACACATTGCATTTAAAGATCCTTGTTATTCCAGCCCTATGAAGTGTATATTTGACTTGAGGATGATAAATGAATAAATGTTAAAGGTCAATGGATGATTGTGTACCTTGCCAGCTGCCAACCCTCGGTTGACTTAGGGCTTGGCCATCACGGGACCATGACTGCCTATTCTGGATATTCATGGATGACGATTGACGGAAGACGTACAACCTGAAAATGAAATGGGCTGGATGTTAACTTAGTAGTAGTCTTTTAGTAATGAGAACGTCGAGTTTAATGTTTACAACATGTCGGTACAATTAGAGGCCATACCTTCCGAGGTTATATCCCGACCATATATGTGTACTTAGATAGTGAACAATTATACTATATACATAATTCCCTATCTACACAACCTCGGAAGGTATTGGATTAACGCAAACATAGAAGGACGAATAATTTGAGGACGTACCGATAAGAGACATTTAGAATATACGTCCTTTTATACAAACTATCTCGAAGCGAAAGGATTCGAGCAAAAAGTGTTCAGAAACAAGTCACACCGAGAGCGACAGGAAACTGGGAAGCGTACAAATAGAGAATGAAGCGTCGGAGTTCACTTCGGAGTTGGAGTTCAACCAACAGTCTGCAGTGAATGTCCGTCTGTGATTAGCCCAGTTGAGACTGAGCGATACCACCTTCCGAATTGCGATTAGAAAGCCTAGAGCTAGCGATAATTTGAAAGCGACGACTTCCAGTCAGCCTGTGACTATTCTAACCTTGAATCCCTATCTCCAGGCAGAAGAATACAATCACACACCAAGATATAGGGTGGACCAAAAATAATTGATTGCAAGATTTGCAATTCAACTACCTGTATCGCTTCAGCAGACAGAAATACTCAGAGCTCCAAAATGCGTGTCCGTGTGGATCAAGAAATTAACCCTAGGCTGCCACTTCGGTCAATGGCGAGGGTACGGCAATCCGCAACTGCCGATACAAATCTGATAGGATTGAAAGCTTCAATCCTGATACCCGGCCGTGGAGAGCCTATCGAAAATGGCGCACTCATAATTGACGGTCCGAAAATCGCCTGGGTTGGTCAACAATCCGCGATTCCAACCAAATATCAAGACGTTGATTTTGAGTACCTTCCTGTCCTAATGCCAGGTCTCTGGGACTGTCATACACATTTCATGGGACTGAGTGACGAAAGCGACACCATGCAAGCTGTATTCGGCTCTGCTGCACTAGCAGGTGCAATAGCTGCCAAGGAGCTCGAGACTGCGTTAATGGCTGGCTTCACCACGATCCGCGAAGTAGGCGGAGTAGCAGGAGAGATCTATCCCGCAATTAAAAATGGCACTATTGTTGGGCCGAATGTATACTCTAGTATCGGTGTTTTGGGAATAACTGGCGGTCACTCGGACGTGCACAATGTACCCATTGAAGCTGTTATTGCCAAACGAAATGAGGGGACATTTGTAGTTTGCGATGGTGTTTCGGACTGTATCAAAACTGTCCGGATGATGGTTCGCAGAGGTGCGACACTTATCAAGATTTGCGCAACTGGCGGTGTGGGCTCCCTGCTCGATGACCCTGAGGATGCCCAGTTTTCACCGGAAGAGATAAAAGCGATTGTAGACGAGGCGGCGCGCTCGAAAAGAATAGTTGCGGCACATTGTCATGGGAAAGAAGGTATAATGAATGCTCTACATGCCGGCGTCCACACAATTGAGCATGGCAGCTACCTGGACGAAGAAGTTGCTGCATTGATGAAGGAAAAGAAGGCTCTGTTCGTTTCGACTAGATTGATTATTGAAGAGGGCCTTAAGAATCCGAAACTATGGCCACCAAGTAGCTACCGGAAGCTGACCAAAATTAGCGAAGCGCATAAAAAAGCTTACGCATTGGCTGTCAAGTCAGGGGTCAAAATTGTACTGGGCACAGATTGGACAGCTGGTGAAAATGGAAAGGAACTTGCCTATGCAGTTGAAGCTGGCATGTCGCCATTAGAGGCTATTGAAGCTTCCACGGCTCGGTGTCCGGAGACGCTGGGCTCCCATTTTGCACCTTTGTCGGGCCAGTTGAAGGAAGGGTACGGTGCGGATGTGATAGCTGTGGCCAGTAATCCTCTAGATGACATTAAGGTTCTGGGAGAGCCGAAGAATATCACGCATGTTTGGAAAGGGGGGAAATTGTATAAAGGGACTCTTTAAGAGCTATCTATACACGCGAACGATTTTTTACAGCCAAGCTCAGTGCAGTATACATTCTCATCAGCTCCATAAATCAATCCTCGTAAAAATGAGTCACAAACGGATCATACGTCGCATTTCCATACGCATCTCCTCCATAACTAAGATAACCTGCTACCAAATCCGGCGATATACCGTGAGTAATCTCTGCCGCATTTCCCATAATCCAGACAGCTTGCATGCCCAATATCATATGTTGTAGAATATGGCAATGTAACATCCAGACACTATCAAGTCAGCGGAGTAATAAAGAGAAAGAACATCCACTTACCCCGGATCAGTCACTTCCGACCTCCATGCCCCCATCCCTGATTGGTATAATTGTGGCCGCCTCCGCGCTCTGGATCATTATACTTAAACAATATGCTCGTGTCCCGAGCAATCGGGCGATATACCTTTAGCTTCTCCTCGTTCGACGTGGCGTTATAAACACCTGGACCACTTCCCATGTCTTATACGTGAGCACCATGGAAGTGGAATGGATGTGCATCATATCCGCTGAAATTCCCAGCCGGCTCATTCACGAGAATAATATCGATCACTTCTCCCATCTTAGCTGCATAAACGTTGAGCTCAGGGTCCCATCCGTCATTTTGAAAAGCAATGTCGTAGTTTGGAATGGCTTTTCCCCCCTGTTCATAAATGCTCACAGATAAGGAGTATCGACAGTTAGCGTAGTGTCATTGTATGGAGTATCTCCTGTGTGTTCGTTCGTTTCGGTCCAGGTGCGATTATTGATGGTCCAGAATAGACCAGATGTGACAGCCAATTGAGCGGCACTCATGGTTACTTGACGAGTTACTTTATCAGAGCTTGGAAACCCATTTGATTTAAGGGCTCAAGGGTATATTCCATCCAGTCCTGTAAGGAATATGGAATTGACACGGGATGTTGGCCCGGAGGCGATGACGGCGCTGCGCTAGCTGACTGGTTCGAGGTGTAGGACAAAAGCGCATAAAAAGTACTGTTTTCTTCACGATATCTACTCTCAATCTGCACCCAAAAATCAGTTTTGCCAAGGACTTTTAGTTCATCCTCTGTCTTAGTACGGAGTAAGAAGTCGTATCGCTGTCCGCCACCCATTTGGATAATATCCGTACTTGCTGGTTGCGTATAATAGGAGTCTGCGGCGACAATGGTGAGATTTCGATGATCTTCAAGAGTGAAAACTAACGGACTCAATGCCACACCTCCGATTGCTCGGAATCTATATGTCTTGTTCGGTTCCACTTGGATAATTTCAGGGTGGCATGTATCGTTGGAGCTTGACGGAGGTGCATTATCAGGAAGCTTTCCAAATGCATCTGTTTCATTCCCGAGGAGCGCCGGAAATCCGTTTCCGTTGACTAGTATTGATTCTGCTTCTCCGGGCCTGAGAATAAGAGGCACAAGACAGTGAGAAGGCTTCGTGAACAGGCTATCAAAAAGCAGGATTGTACTAACCAACCCTGGAGCCGTTTCAAAGGAGCGGTTAGCGCATCTTCGACTGCCTTGTCCGTGTTATTAAACAGCTCGGAAAAGGATATCATTCTGTCCTCGTCATAATCATATGGCACCTCTCCATCCGCCTCCTCCACAATCAGGGGCCCAGAAGCGGTTACTGCTTGAAATCCGACATGAAAGTGATAGAAGGATGAGCCAGCTGCACCAATTTCAGGTCTGAGTTCGTAGTCAAAGAAATTTTGAGCCTTGATGATGTTAGTGTTTCGTTCATGGTGTTGGACGCGATGTAGTCTCACCTTGATAAGCCACTGGCTTGCTTGAGGCGTTCCATCGGAATATGGAGCGACAAACTGACTTAGAACCGTGCCAGTGCTGTGGAATGTTAGAAGGAAATTACATTTATTGGACTTAGAAAATCCATGCTCGTACCATAGTGGTATTGTCGTGTAACAGATCATTGTATACCCTAACCCAGGTTGTCTGATTCTCTTTCAGATATATAGCAGGTCCAGGGACGGTTCCTAAGATTGGATGCATTAGCACTAGTTGATATCAAAGCCCAGCAGAAGAGTCAACTATTGGGAAACAAACCATTGACTACAGCTGAAAGCCGTGTCCTACACGCAACGGTAATGTTCTCGCTAGCGATCCTTAAGATGTAATGAGGCTCAAACTGCTGTCATTCCTGACCTGGCGTATTGCTATGGCCAATGGCAAGTTAGCCAGGAGAGTATACCACAAGCGGGGGGAAGAGATAGTCATTTTTGCAGGCGCTCCTGATCCTGGATACAGCCTTCTTCAGTCTGATATTCTAAGGATGAAATGAGTATGGCGGAAAAAATTGGAGTTCCATCTCATTCCAAGGCTGGAATCTCGAGCTTCCATTTATATACCTAGCCATGAGACAGACAGAATAAGTCTTCATGCAACATGGTGAAATCGTACCCATATCCTTGTTAGTTATTGTCTCAGAGATTTTCAGGGGAAAAAGAAACAATGGAACCGGCCGTTAGGATTTCGAGTCGTATTGCACTCCGTGGACATGTAGATATTACCCTTGCGTTTTTCCTTCATGACTGGGATTCGCGACCTATCAGTGCATTTAGACCTGTTGGTACCAATGTTGGTCTCGGTCATTTTAAAAAGTCGGTTGGACTGGGACGCGCGCGCTGGCGCTAGCCTGCGTAGACCTGAATGGAACACTGAAATGCTAGTATACGATCTATCCTAAAAATCGCGCGCGGGGGGGTTGGTTATTGACGTGCGTTTTCTAGGCCTAGATATCTAGTCAATACTGATGAGCGCTTCCCTTGATGATTGCTTCGTTCCAAATATTTGAGATATCTCCTAGCACAGTCAGCTCCTAGGAGAATCAGTAAACAGAAATTTTTAATTTGTTGAATAAATATCCCGAGGTGCGCCGCTAGTTTGGCAATCGGGTGGCCAATCAGAGAGATTAAGCTAGTGTTTGCTTAAGATCTTACACGAGAGCACACGTGCTTGAGGCTGGATGTTCGGTTGTATTCCTAATAGCATTGCCTTCCAGTTGTTTGTTAGCAGTGCCTCCTTTCACATTGGATTGGTAGTCTCTGCTGGATAGACTTGTGGGTTGGGTTTGGGGTCATTATAACCCTTGCATTGCCAAAGCGCTGACCATAATTCTCAGGCATACTATAGTTATATGTAGAAAACTGAAGCTGACCTGATTCTTGGATAGGATTCAAAGGAAGAAGATAAGTCGTTTCACGATTATGTACTGTTTGTTGACCTTGAAGCAACCTGTCAACTGTATATTACGGCTAGGCCTGACATGGAATATGCAGCATAAAACCCACATGTTACGAAGCCAACTTGCAGGAGTGTTAGTGCTATTTAGAGAAAGCGTGTACTAAATGAGCTACCATCCTGGCCTGTCATTCACGACAGGATACGGAGGCGGTAGCTAAACAGACGGAATCCTTGTCCTCCGGGGAAATTTTGCAGAATGAGGTTAAGTAAGAACGGGCCACTGGAAGGTCCAAGTCAAATATTTTACGGAATGTCAGAATGTCGGAACGTTGGTTGGCTAGATGACTAATCGAAGGCGAATACTAAACAGTGTATATGCATGGAACTAGGTCTATTCTTTGGCACTCTCTCTGAGCACAGTTATCTAGGAATCTTAGACCTGCTTTTATATATAAACCCCTATAGAAGTGATATCACTAAAAATCGACACTTGTGCAAACCAAAGTTTCTAGAGATAGGCTATAAAATTGATTTGTAATGCTCAATATCGTGTCGGTATATGATGCCAATTCTCGAAACTTCTTGATACGCAAATCTTGTCCTATTCCCAATTCCTATCCAAAATTGGCTTAGCTCATTCTAAGTTCCAACACAATACAGAAGTCGAACTACGGAACGGTTCGCAAATACCATAAAAATACCAGAATCCCTTGAAGGGCGTTTTTTTTAGTGAAATATTATTACGTTTAAGTTCCGACATTTTTCCCCAGAGAGGATTAAGGGCCTTCCATAGGTATACCAGAAGGCTTGGCAAAAGGGTAGAAGAAGGGTATATTGCAAGGAGAGCAACGATTGGATATACCGCAAGCATTCCACGGATACACCATCGCACGCATAGGGATGGTAGAAGGATTGGTCTATATAAACACGCTCATTACCATGTATTTAGTCTTGTTCTTCATTGCTCTTTCATAAGTCACTTTAATACTACAGTAAGAGTCAACAAGGCATTCTAACTCGTACAGGCACCAGGCTCTGGTGCCTGTATGGGGGATCTCTTCTACCTTTGTTGTATTCACTCTTGTTAAGAATACCCTCTCTTATAATACTTCATACTCCCCTTACCATTGTTTACTCGTGTTAAGTGGAACATGTGTGTGGTTCAACCCTTTTCAACGTATCTCGACACACATCTGTACAACGAATATCCTAGGTGGATCCAGGTCCGTGACATCTGCATTATGTTTTTGTATGGACATCTGTGTCCGAGTTTTCTTTCCTTAGATAGACATATCAACCCTACGCGTTTCGGCACCGGATATTAGTTAGTCCGACGTGGGTATCTAGCTAGCTATCCCCGGTCCCCCTACTCTTGGGGATCAGTCACAATATTAGGAATCAACATAGCTTCATATTGTCAGGTTTGTTAAGCCGCTCCGTGCTCGCGCCTTACTACCGTATATGCTTCGTAATACGGACCGTAGTAAAACCAACAGACACACAATATATACAATTCCACGTCCCACTCATGTTTACAGTACAACCACATTCAGGCGGATCAACCTTTTTCCGTGGGCTGTCCGATATTTTGCGTGACGCGTTCCTCAACTTCACAAGCTCGTGTAACAATCCATAAGATGGCCCCTGACAAGAACGATTCGCATAGATTCAACACGCTGTTTCTAAGGCCAAGGCGAGTACAAAAAATGCCTTGACTTTTACGCAGTCGTTCTCAAAAAGCCACATGGAAAAAGCCACGGCCTAATGAAGCTTAATACCCACTTTCAATCAATCTGATAAAAATTTTTAGCTTTGTGTAAGCCATCCGGGTGAGAGCATACGTAAAGCTGAGTCGGTTACTTTTATCCGACGTCACGACATATTTGTTGGGCATGGATATCCGTAGAATTGATAGATATGCGATATAATCCATTGTGTATATTTATATTGACATAATTCATTCGCCGCAGAATCTGGTAAGAAATGATTCAATTCTATCTCAGGCTTCGCATCAGATGGCTATTGGGACAGTAGCAATTAGCAGGAATCTGTCAAGAATGCAATGAGCCGGATTTGTTCCGGCTAGGTCAAAGAATTCTCTATACGACAAAGACCAACAAATCCACCGCGTGATAATTGTTGGCAGCAATCAAAGTCCATGCTGAAAATCACTCGTGCCCAGGCCATATGGAGTGTTTTTTATCAGATTGAGCCTTGGAAGCGCCACAGTTTGCAGTGGGATTACAGATACGAGTCATATCCTTGTACATACGCCTGTAATATTGAATAATCCCATAGGTATAGCAGTATCAAACAGTATGGTACACAAACTGTAATCTATTTTCCGCGTGGCCGACAATCGGAATGAAACGTTGGCTTTCATTGTCCAATCAGAATGCCCTCTGATTAGATGGTTGCGTTGATTCTTTCTTTTTTATCAGATCCGCTTTCGACACTAACAAAGTTATCTGATCCGGCCATTTTCCCCTCTTGCCTGCAGACTAAAAGAATTCTCTTCTCTCGGTATTAACTTGTCTCGAAGAACATTCGTTCTAGACCTGTTATCCCTCTTACGGAGTAGTGCTGATGCGCTGTACTGCGTATATATATTCTTAACGCATGTCCCATCACTAGCCTCTTTTTTCGTCAAGAATTTTTTCTCGTGGTGTGTTACATCGGCTTGGTTTCGATCGTCCTTTTCCGCAGTTCCTGAAAAGCGGACAGCCTTCACCATCAACATGGGTGTTCTGGACAATATTCGTGGTCGTGACACTTCTCGGGTCAACGCTGCTGCACACCAGGCCGATACAACTGAGGTTCCCGCTGATGAGAAATACCCAGGCCATGCCCAGGATATACCGACTAGCGACTCCGACACTTTGAGCTTGAAGGCTCGAAACGAGAAGGAGATCCAGGAGCACCCGGACCAAATCACTGCCAATGCAGACATTGGTGTTCAAAAGGCAGAAGCCACTGCTCTTATCTGGACTAAGAAGACCGTTTATGCCGTTTATGCATGGTGAGCATTTACTTTCTCTCTGTCCATGACATCAACCTATAACTAATCCCGATAGGATTTGGGTCTGCTTCTTCATGCTGGCTTTCCAATCAGCTATAGGCAACAACCTACTTTACATTGCCTATGCCGACTTTGCTCAAGCCCCTGCTGTGTCTACCGCTAGCATCTTAGCTAGCGTCATCGGTGGTGTGCTCAAACTCCCTATCGGTAAGACCCTCAACCTAGTGGGCCGTGCTGAAGGCCTTTTATTCTTTGTCGTCATCTACGTTTTGGGCATCGTATTGCTCGCCTCGTGCAACGGTCCAAGTGCTTATGCAGCTGGTTATGTGCTGTACTGGATTGGCTACGATGCCATCTACCTCATCCTCGACGTCTTCATGGCAGATACATCAGGTTTGCGTAACCGTGCTTTTGCCTTTGGATTCGCCAGCACCCCTTTCATTTGCACGGCATTCACTGGCTCATTGGCTGCTCAGTCTTTTGTTAGAACCAGCGGATGGAGATGGGGTTACGGCGTATTTGCCATCATCATGCCTTTTGTATTTGTCCCATTGGCAATTGTGTTCAAGTTCTACGAGCGCAAAGCTGCGAAACTAGGTCTGTTCAAAAGAGAGGATAGCGGTCGTACGGCAATGCAGTCAATTTATCATTATTTTCACGAGTTTGACGGTACGTTTCATCCACGGATGTCCTCGGGCATCGAGAATCCACGCTAATATATCCCTGCTAGTGGTGGGCGCCTTCATTCTCATGGCAGCGTTTGTTCTGTTCTTACTCCCATTCAGTCTGGAGACATCCAACCGCATCACGTACGATAGCGCCGCTTTTATTGCCATGGTTGTTTTCGGAGTATTGCTATTCCCTGTCTTTGCTGTCTGGGAAGCATACTTTGCGCGAACGCAATTCATCCGCTGGGAACTATTCAAGAACCGCACCGTCCTCGGTGCGTGTATCTGCGCCGCGACTGTTAACTTTTCCTTCTACTGCTGGGACTTGTACTACTACTACTTTGTTATGGTGGTGTACAACCTTGATATTTCCATGACCGGCTACATGACACAGATCTACAACGTCGGATCGTGCTTTTGGGGTCCCGTTTTCGGTGTGTACGTCCGATACACAAAGGAATTCAAAAAGGCCTGTTTCTTTTTCGGAATCCCACTTTTACTGCTCGGGGCAGGCTTAATGATTCACTTCCGCGGCCAAGATGGATCTATCAACTATGTTATCATGTGCCAAATCTTTATCGCTTTCTCTGGTGGTACTCTGGTCATTGGTGAAGACATGGCTGTTATGGCGGCCTCTGATCGCATGGGTGTGCCCATGATGCTCTCACTCATTGGGCTCGCCAGTAGTATTGGTGCATCTATTGGATCGGCCGTTTCTAGTGCCATATACGCTCGCACATTCCCAGCGGGTCTTCTCCAGGCTCTGCCGGAGGATGAAAAAGTCAATGCTACATCCATTTATCTCGGTGGATATGCAAGCCAGATCCTGTACCCTGTCGGAAGTCCAACACGCGATGCTATCGATTACGCCTGGGGGTACAGTCAGAAATACGGCGCTATTGCTGCTACTTGTGTAGCTGTCTTGTTGATTCCTGCAGTTGGAATGTGGAAGAACTACCGTGTTGACAAAAAACAGAACAAGGGAACTCTTTTTTAGGTTTATCTTCTGTTGGTTTGGATAGTTGAGTGGAATCAGGAACCATGTTGTATAGATCGTGTCATATTCCTGATATACATGCACACATCAAAATAATGCGACCTCGCTAATGAACTAGATTATTGTTGAATGAAACAATCATGTAATACTATCCATTGATCAGATTCCCATCCTGTATCAAGCATACATGGCCACCATGAATAAAGTGGACGGCCTACAGACCATTATAAGTAGGTTCAATTAAGCATTGACATGGGGTTGCACAACACATTCCTGCAACCTTACTCATGTGAGTGCCACAAGCTGTCAGGGATGTATCCATGAACTTCGAGACCTGTACAGGACATGAATATCATTTCATTAGAAATATCTCGGCGTGACCATGATAATAAAACACATATATCAAGACCTAAATCTTGCGTATCACGGCCCACTCTCGTCAGATGCAACCCTAACAACAACCTTTCCCCTAGCCCTATTCGACCTCAACTTCTCAAATGCTTTGACAGCATCATCAAATTCAAACACACTATCAATAACCGGCTTCACTCTACCCTCACGCATCCAATCCGCAATCTGTTTCAGATCTTCAAACCGATTCTTGAAGAAAACTAATTGATACGGTCGCTGTCCGCCACCTAGCACCCGCGGAGTGACGAAGCGCCCTACAGTGGAAAAATGAGACTCATTCCCAACCTGTGCGAAGATTTTGCCGGGAAGTAGGAAATTGTGGCTTTCACGGTAGAGATTGTCGGGTTTTCCGATCATGTCTAGGGCTAGACTGAATAAGGGTCCTCGTTTGCGGAGGTAGTCGACCACATCGACTGAAGTATAGTCGAGGACTTCATCGGCACCAATGTCTTTTAAAAGCGAAGCGTTGCGCGTGGAACATGTGGCTGTAACATGACAACCCAACGCTTTTGCGATTTGGATTGCATAGGTACCGACACCACCAGAACCGCCGTTAATGAATACGTGATCGCCGGCTTGGACTCGGTCCTTGATAACTTGTATGGCAGTCTGACCCGCTATACCCACCGTCGCGGCATCAATCACATCCACCCCCTCAGGAACAGGAACAACCAATCGCCCATCAGCAACAGTATACTCCGCCAACGCACCATGCTGTCGCGGTAAAGGCAAACATCCAAAAACGACCTGCCCTAGTTTAACATTCGTAACCTTGGAACCAGTGGCAATCACTCGTCCACTGAAATCCATACCCGGCGATGCCGGCGTTGAGACTACGCATTTATATAGTAGACCCAATCCCTCGGGGACTTTGTAGTCTGCTGGATTGAGGGACGTGGCGAAGACTCTGATGAGAACTTCATGGGGTCTTAATGATTGGCCTGGTCGGTAGGCCGTGTCTGATTTGGAGAGGTTTTTTTCCAGGCCGCCGGTTGTGCTGGTCCAAAGCCAGGCGGACATAATGGAAGGGATTGTGGAGGTGTTATTGGTCATGATAGCCACAAGTGTAAATCGGAGATTCACAGAGAAGAAAGAGGTATGGTATACTGAGAGAGGGATTCGAGTAACTCATAGAAGTCGATGTATGTTAAGTCACTGGCTGGCTTGAGTTGATATGATACAGAGGTGAGACTCCAATCAAAGAGATGGAGACGTATGCACGGACCACCTGAGATCGATCGGCTAAGTACGAGAAGTTATAAACACGATGCAACTCTCTCAAGTCCTCTTCTTTCGTGATTATTCAGAGGATAAAGTCCTTACTATATATGTCTACACAAAAGGAAACAGATGTTCTTGATGAATTTTGCTGATGTAATGGGTTCAGGCCACAAGGCACAAATGCACAAGCCTCCTCCAAAAAGCTTAGCGCGCTTTCCCAGGAGGACCGAGGTACACAATGACATCATGTTCGTGAACCCCCTCAAAAGATCTCCAGGATCTTCTACCAGCAGACGAACTCCTCTTTCTCCCATGTCTAGCATGGATTTATGCTTATATATGTTTGCTATGTGATATTGTACTTACATATTTTGATTGTGCTGTTCAACATACGCTATCTGTATAAGATTTTCTCATCTTACAACATCGCATGATACCTAGCGCATCTGGTCTTCGCTAGGAGCAATCGCGACATGCCTCTGACTACAGCTTGCGTCGGGGTCAGTGTGATCCCGACAGTATTATCGACATGGTTTTCTCATGTGAGTTTCCTCTTCCTGATAGTTTGATCGATTGAGAGGTTGCGAGGTTGCAGCATATCTAACTAACGGGATATAGTACCTCGACAGAAAAACCCGACACCTAAAACCCACCGCTCACATATCCTACGATGAAGGTCTCAATGTCGTCCGAGCATTTCTAAAACATGCTGCGCATCATACCGTTGAGGATTTACAGTCATTCACCGCGCAAAAAATTCCATCACCGACATGGGTCAAAGTCAAGGAACAAGTTGTCCCAAACGAACACCTATCCAAAGCCGCTGATCACGTCAATGCGCAATTGGGTGAGAGGGGAATTAAACGCGTTGGGGGAAAGACATGGTGGCAATGGCGCGTTCAGCAGGGAGACTTAAAATGCGAATGGATTGAGATGAAGAGCGACTATCGGGCGAGGAGACAAGCGAACGGGCATTGTAAGCGGGTCATGTTGTATGTGCACGGTGGTGCGTACTTTTTCGGTAGTTTGGAGACGCATAGGTATCAGATGCAGCGCCATGCGCGGAAACTCAAGGCTCGTGTTTTTGCTCGGTATGTGATTGTTCCCAACTCATATGACTGATTACTAACTTGTATGTAGTAAGTACTCTTTCGAACGCTGAAGATCGATAAGCTCACCTAACTGATGGTATAGCTGCATATCGTTTATCGCCGCAATTTCCATTTCCTTGTGGATTGCAAGACTGCCTGGCAGCATATCTTTATCTACTCACTATGCAAGACCCAACAGAGATCATTTTGGCTGGTGACTCCGCTGGTGGTGGCATGGTCCTTGCGTAAGTTCTCTTGATTCTTTTCATGTAAAATTATCTAACGGTACTAGTATGCTAGTCATCCTTCGTGACCAGGGTATTCCACTACCCGCCGGCGCGATTCTCATCTCTCCATGGGCAGACCTGACACACTCCTTTCCATCTGTCGCAAAAGCAAGCAACCTGGATTACATCCCCGAGCATGGCTTTATGCATCGTCCTTCCCGCAGCTGGCCACCACCGAACTCGGACGATTTGGCATATATGTATCAGGATGCCCATAACAAAGAGGCACTGAATCACAAAGTCGAGAATCATCAACAAACAAATGGAGCCCAGAAGACAAACGATGACCAACAAACTGCAATTCAAGGATTTGCCGTGCGAGAAGGAGATATCAAAACCGCCGACCATACATATCCTGGCCTGCACACTGGTATTGATCGAGTCACAACGGCGGATATCGGAACGATTCAAGCAGACAATGTGGTCGTGCAAATGGAAGACAATACCGTCGTTGAAATCAAGGATCAGATTCAAATGTATGCTCCGAATCAGATGCTGACGCATCCACTAGTATCACCGGTGTTGCAACCTTCTCTTGGCGGTTTGCCGCCATTGCTGATATTGACTGGTGGTGGGGAACTGCTTCGGGATGAGCAGATCTACCTGGCACACAAGGCAGCAGACCCAATGGCTTACCTTCCGGCTGATATCTTTCTGGACGAACATGATCCTGATAGAACGATAATACACAAGTATGGACCAACGAACGTACAGTTACAAGTCTGGGATGATCTATGCCATGTGGCTCCTACTTTGAGTTGGACAAGACCGGCGAAGTTCATGTATCGATCAATTGCACAATTCGGTGCATGGGCTTTGGCACATGCTCAACACGAGGACATTGATATTCCTGAAGATGACGCTTCTTCCATCTCGAGTGAATCGTCTTCAACCTCGGACAATGAAGAGCCGACAGCATCTGTAGGAGTAGCAGGAGACCCCTTGCCACCTTTCCGAAAACACATGATCCGACAAAGAGTTGATAGACACGGCATGGTATACCATCTAGATCCACCTTCCTCCTTGCCAGCTCTTCAACAACCGCGTGAAAAAGTCGGCGCCTTAAATCCTCCAATCGTCAAGAAATGGTTGAGCGCGAAGAAAGCGTGGGACGAGCGGTTTGCGAAGGAGAAACTTACCGTCCAACGTCGTCGGCTCAAAGAATTTGAAAAGGGATATCTTGGATTTGATGGTGAACTTCCTCCTGCATGCTCTATGGCTAGTAGACGTATGGAGGAGGATCTTGCTCCTGCCAAAGTACGCAAGAGCTACGGTATGATGATGTGGTCCCTTCTTGGTAGTAAACACGACAAGGAGATTATCACAAGGGAAGCAAAGGAAGACACTATCCCGCATGTCAGCAATGTACCATCGGAAGGTAAGGAGGGTCAGGGTGATACGGACATCGTCGCGCAGAAGACGAGGACATCACGAAAGAGAAGCATCTCAAAACCAGATCGTGGTAAATTGGCTCCTCCCCCTGCGGATGAACGTTCTCGAAGTCGACCTAGGAATCGATCACGGATTGTCAGTGATGCCGGCCAAGCGAAGGAACTCGAGGTCGATCATTCTTCACACCCAGCATTGAGGTCAGGCACATCTACACCTGTGATACTGATTCCTGGAGTTGATACCAATGACGATTCCCAATCTGGAAATAAAACAACGGACAACGCAAGTACAATGACACTCCTCAACGCTGACGGTGTTCTCACCACGACAGATGCATCAACCATGAAATCTTCTGACCTGCACTCTCTATCATTAAGCGAACAAAACGGCAGTGCCACGGCTACGATATCCGACAGTGGGCCTTATACTCCGAGCATAATAACCACGGATGCCGCGCCGGATTTCACGATGAACGAATCAAACGCTAGTACAATCGCTCTTCGACATGTTCCTTATATTTTGAAAAAGGAGCAAGAGCACGATGCCGAAAAGAGCGAAGTTGAAATTCAGACGAGATCGAGCACAGTAGACGAAGTTTCGCCACATGCCGAATGCGACACTACCAACGGAGAAACACCCAACGCTAGCGCATATGAGGCTAAAGAGGCGTTTCCATTCTCGGAGAAGGAGGAGAGACCTCAGATGCCTGATCGGGAGGAGTTTGTGACTGCTGAAGAGATTCAGTCTTGATATATCCCCACGTTCGAATTCGTTCGTCCATGCACATTTCTAATTTCGTTTTTTGGATTAATTTACACGATATCCCCTAGCGAGTAGCTGTTAGTCTTGCGATTCTGATGTTTATCTGAAATTGTGTACATGCATCGTCGATGATACTCGTTTCTTTTCATTAAGTAAAATTACAGCTAGAATATGAGGACCTGTAAAATCGACTCTGAAAATGACCGCTACTGAGGCCTCTTACAGCGTCATTTCCACCCGTAACTCCTAGTGGGAAGCCGCCGCTTTAACGTCTCATATAGGATCCTGAGAACCGGAAAATATAAACAAGAGGTGGAAATTGGAGACTAGACTCTAAGTCTGGTACAGTGAAAAGACGCATCTCGGCTGTGCAAGGCAGGTCTCGGCGATATAGAGTCACGTTGCCGCTTGACCTCGGTGGTAACAGTTCGACAGCATGATTTCCATCTGTAGTGACGTCTAGTTGCAGCTTCAAGCCTTTGGGAGACACCTTGCTAAAAGTGCTCCTTACTGCTGCCTTGAAGCTATTCTTACTGAAGCTCTAGATAGTTGTTGAAAATTGCAACTTTCTCCTTATTGAGCCTCACGCCTCTTCCTGATATCAACATAGTGCTAGGTGCACGCGAGGATATTTCTTGCGTCGAGGTTTGTTGGGCTCGTGCGCCTTCCTAAAAGAGTTGTCACCTAGGATAACAGCAACTGTTTTGTGAGGTAACAAGGTGTGGAGTCGGATTTTTTACCGCCTTCCTAATCTATTTAAACAGTCCCCCATCTGTAATTGTTACTTGTAATTACATGTTGGTAAGTCATGTGACAGACCTGGTGTGTCGGAACTTAAACGTAATACCATTTCACCAAAAATGACGCTAAAGGAATTCTGGTATTTTTGTGGTATTTGCGAACCGTTCCGTAGTACTCCTTCTGTATTCTGCTAGTCACGTGATTTTGGTTCCAACATGGTGATCTCATCGCAGCCAACCTCGACTCCTCGCTTTTCCTTCTCATCGCCCTTAGTAAGCCTTGAACTGGAATGACAGTATTGTAAGAATCAATATCCTGTTGGAGAAACATACATACACTCTGAAATGAAGATGAACCTAGATACAATACTAACAATCCGCGAGACTTGCCAAAACGAAGTTGAGATTACTGCTATCTGCTCTCAAGATAGAGTGATTTGTGATTTTGAATGCTCAGGATTAAGGGATTTGAAGATATCTCAAGGATTTCCCACACAACAATGGCAGACCCATTGATCTCAAACCCCTCATTTCCACCACCTTCGTCCACGATATCTCCTTCCCTCCGCTCACCGTCTTCCGCTTCCTTTTCTTCCTCTTCCTCTTCCTCACGCCCTTTCACTTCGCACTCTGACTATTTACCCTCCGATTGCGAGAAACATAGTTGCTGGAACTTTTCTTCGGCCCAGAGACCGTTGCGTATCCGCGTGACCATGGGACCCTGCAGTTGGAAGTACTGCTCCTGCCGACAGGGGACCTGCGTCACAGTCTTTCCTAATGAAGTCCAAAACTGTGGTTGTGGACATGCTATGGCTGACCACGAAGACTATGGTAAGTTACTCTTCCTATTGATATACGCTGCGTCTAATTTTGCCGCCCTACAGCCACACAAGAGCCTACGGTCACACCAGCCACTACGAAAGTCCTCCCAGCGCGGATCTTTAAAGAACCAAGTGAGTAACTGTTTATTGAGATGTGCCCTAGAATAAAACTAATGCATATAGGTCTTGTATTTCCCATCGCTGAGCGTACAGAGCTTGTGGAGGAAATTTTCGTATGCCTGATAAGATTCCCCATAGTCAGGATAAACGGTACCCCCGCTTCAGGCAAGACTACTTTGATGAAACTTATGACCAAGCATCTTTTGAAAAATAAAGAGGACCATAAACCAATTTATGTTCTGATTGGTTGGGAATACCAACGCGTTAAGGATGCCAGTGGATGGGCTAAATACTTGGAGGAACAGACGGGGATAAATGGCTTTGAATGGATAAGTCATTCTGGTTATTTATTTCTCGACGAAGCTCAAGAATCTTATCAGGATACTGAGTTGTGGGCTGGACTTTTCAAGGATCTTGACACAAGTTCGAATTGTCGAATCCTGCTCTTTACTTCTTACGGATCCCCAGATAGCATATATGAAGGATTCGATAAGCCAACATTCAGAAAAACCCCAATGACGTTCGATCCAGCGCAACAGATATCCCTAAATCCCGACTATTCTGTGGTTCCGGACTACAATCCGGTTGGTCTGCTTCTGGGTGAAGGCGAAAGCATGAAACTTATCGGAGATTTCATGAAGAGCCGCCACTCGTCAGTTTTCACTGGATCTATAACAGAAGATTTTAAGCATGGTGTCTGGTAGGTCACCCAAGGCCATGTAGGACTGATCACATCATTCTGCGATATTCTAGGATGGTCAATGGTACGTTTTATCCTGAGTTTCAAGCTATTTATTCAGCACCGATTAGTTGACGTATCTATCTTGATGCTTCCTATATTAGAGCCTTCGTCCATATAGACATTCTGATCTTCACTGGAAAACAATTACCGACGTTGTTTTCAGAGACCCTGTTGAGTTGTTCAGAATGATCAGTGGTTCTCCATTTTCAAGAGGCCTCCCTAGAAGCCGCCATTTGCAGGACCCTGTTGTCGCTAGGGTTCTTAAACAAGCCATCATATCAAGTAACGGACTCATCCAGTCATCGTTTGCTCAGGGAAGTCCAGAAGCGCAGGCGCTTCAATATATATGGAGCAATGGTTGGCTGCATGCACAACGCATTGGAGGAGACGACACCTAATACGTTTTCGCTACAGAATTTCACAAATGGTAATTTGATGGTCTCTGAAGTATTTTATTTTGCTTCTAATATAATAGTGTAGGTTTTGCGCTTGTGTGTTTACTCCGGCATATGGTGATACACAGCCATTGCCATACCAATCTCCGCTACATCTCGCTGAGGAGGTAGTGAGAAGATTTAGTCCCCTCCAACTCTCGGAACCCGAACGATCTATCAACCGTGATATATCACCACTAGAGGATCAGTACGGTAAGGAGTTCTAGCGCTGTATTGACGATGTTTTGAAGGGTCGTATGGTTGTATCACCAGAATTTGCGATTAGTCACAAAACTCAAAGTGGCAATCTTGATTTCTTCATACTAGATATGACATGGGGTATTGAACTCTTGAGGGACAATGATCGGATCTCAGAGCATCTGACTCGATTCGCGCCCGGGGGACAGTACTACCCTCTAGTGCAGAAGTGCAATATGAACCAGTGGATTGTCTTGAATTGCATAAACAAACGTCCTTTCAAAAAACGATCAGGTATTCTACCACGTCACTCTTTTTCACAGCCTATACAGCCAAACCAATGTCTTCTTAGAATACCTGGGTCGACTTTACCATGTTGTTTTCAATACTAGCGATTTCAGATCCGTCGAAATCCTGCGTGCAGACCTTGAGCTTGAGTCAGCGTTCTCTTTATTGGAGGATCACTCTCATTCTCTCATTCATTTTTATCATTAGCTAAACGATCAGGTATTCTCCCGCGCCACTCTTCATAACCTATCAAATGTCTTCCTTAGAATATCTCGGTCGATTTTACCACATTGTTTTCACTACTAGCTATTTCCAAATCCATCGAAATCCTGCATTCAGATCTCGATCTTGAGTCAGCGTTCTCTTTATTGGAGAGCCACTCTCATTTTTATCGTAAGCTCATTCCTTAGTTGAGGTTTCTAATGAATAACATTTTTGCAAGTCATCTGCGTACTGCCTCTCTTAGTAGTTATTCAACCTCTATATGTCGACAACAGGAGTGGGTAGCACGCCTTGCGTGACATGAAAAGGCCAACCGCAAGCAGGAATTCATAGGTCCTCAGTTTATACGATTAATCAGGTTAATATAATACAATATATATCATAATTTACACCCACTCTAAACCAACCTCCCTCGCAATCTTCTCCGCTATATTCATAAATGCTTTTCTTCGTGCGCTATCTTTATCGCCTTCCTCCGCCACGACAGTCGGCATACCCCGGTCCGCATCTTCGCATACTCGCGCATCAAGGGGTATATTACCCAAAAACTCAATACCCAATCTTTTGCATTGCGCCACAACACCAGTATCTTGACCGCTTTCACTGCCGTGCGTGTGCGGGTGTGAAAATATCTTCGTCTCATGTCCGCAATTCGGGCAGGCGAAGAAAGCCATATTCTGCACCATTCCCAAAACGGGGACGTCCATCTTTCGAAACATGCCGAATCCGCGGACTGCGTCACGGAGAGCGATGTCCTGAGGCGTTGAGACGATAACCGCGCCGTCGAGAATGATTTCTTGGCCGATAGTTAGTTGGACGTCGCCTGTTCCTGGCGGGAGGTCTAGAATTAGAATGTCTAAGGGACCCCAGGATACGGAATGGAGGAGTTGCTGCATCGCTTTTGTTACCATTAGGCCGCGCCAGCTGATTGGGGTTGTGTCCATGGGTGGGCGATTAGATTCGTGGTCGGAAGAGGAGGCTTGAGGGAGGAGATAGCCCATCGACATGGATTTTAGGCCGTAGTTAGTTAATGGAATGAGGCAATTCTTGCTATCGAGACGAGGTTCGCTGTGGAGGTTTAATAGAGTGGGTATAGAAGGTCCGAAGATGTCGGTGTCGAGGATACCGGTGCGAATGCCTCGACGAGCTAGAGCAAGCGCTAGATTTACTGCACGGTATCAATATAAACCATTCCGTTCAGTTGAACTACACGCACCAGCAATAGTCGACTTTCCAACCCCGCCTTTGGCTGAGGACACTGCGACGACTTTTGCGACATCAGGAATTCTGCGTTTTTGCGGAAGACCGCGGCGGCTTTTGAATGTGGGAGGGGTTCCTGATTTTGGGAGTCCCTAATATCAAGAACATCGGATTAGTATAATTCATCGTCAGGACAAAAAGATGAGGATTTGGACGTACTAAAGGGTTCTCATGTTGTAGAGTGCGGACAGTGGAAAAGAGACGCCGCAGGCGCATTCTTTCTTATCCTATATTCAAGAAGGATTGCAAGATAGAAGCACAGTTCAAAAGCAATAGTCCTGCTATTGAATTGAGGCTCTGTATAATATCTGAACAAGGTTATGAAGTCACGATTGTGAGCTCGTCCTGTCCGGCAACACTTTCCCTCTTAACCAGAGCGGCCCCACCTGCTAGGAAATTTTCCCCGAGTTCCAAATTCTTAGCTCCGCATCTTCAAAAAAAGTTTTGATACGACAGAAATTTTGATCATTGCGCAACTATCACGGAATACTGTAAAGAGATTTACAATGACAGTGAAGAAATCTTCTTTCAGAAGTCTTGCGGATCAGCTTGCTGATTTAGAGGATCCTACACCGAAAGGTTTGTTCTGTGGCATCGTGCAGAAAAAAAAACGCTTACACTCGCTAACGCTACCTGCGTAGATTTTGACCCCGAGGATCCAGATAACGGACTCGAAAATAGCGAAGACGAGTCCGGGTCTGAGGCCGATGAGGACGCTGGACGTGAGCACTATGAGAAAGTCGGGTAAGTAAAGGACGGTCTTAGAAGATGTAAAGTAGCTGCTGATAGTGTGCCAATAGCAAGAGCAAACTTCGAAAACCGGAAACTGTTACACTCGGGAAAGAATATGCTGGATCACGTGTAAGTAGAGACGCTTTGGAGAGCGACGGTGACGGCGAAAATCCTTTTCAACGAGACCTTGACGAGGACGAAGAGGACGAATCGGAAGAATCCGATGAAAAAGAGGTTGAGGAAATAAGTGGATCAGAAGAGGAGGAGGAGTATGACGACGGCGAGGATGAGGATGAGGATGAGGACGATATCGAGGACGATATCGAGGACGACGATGAATCAGAAGTCAAGGAGACGAATAAGGATTCATTGTCAGATGAACGTGCGGAATTGAGACGGTTGATGGCCACCGACCAAAAATCAGTCGCTGCAGCAATTTCCCAAGCAGCAAAAGCCGACGCAGCCAAAGGTTTTGCTGTCAAGCAACAACGCGTCGCCTTTGATGCTTTGTTAAATGCCAGAATTAAACTACAGAAAGGCTTCACTGCTATCATCAACTCGTCCGATATATCATGGGAAACCGAGGAAGAAAACACCGACGCTATAAAATCGGCAGAATCAGCTGCCTTGGCTCTGTGGTCAACGTTGGAAGCGTTGCGATTAACTCTTGCGAATGTCCAGACAAAGGATAGTTCAAAAAAGCGCAAGCGACCAGGCCCAGTCACCAATACTACCTCTACCGAGTCCCTGTGGCAGCGTATGCAGGATTTGGAATCTGATTCTCAGGCCCATCGTCGAGCCGTCCTCGAAAAATGGAACCACAAAGTTCGCGGCACGAATACTAGCCTCCCCAATGCGAAAGGCAAACTCCTTGCGAACTCTGACAACTCCATTACTGCCGTGCTTGAGGCTCATGTTGCTACGGAGCTGGGCGAAAAAACCACCAAGAAACAGCGCACTGGCGAATCATCTGACTCTATCTACGATGACACAGTCTTCTATCAAACCCTTCTACGGGACTTGGTAGAGCAGCGAATGTCTTCTTCAGATGCCGTTACCAATGGGCTCGACTCTCTACATTTACAAATTCCCACACATCCCACTTCCGGCATGCGGAAGGACAAGGCCCGCAAGGATGTCGACACCAAGGCGTCCAAAGGTCGGAAAATGCGGTACAATGTCCATGAGAAGCTTCAGAATTTCATGGCACCGGAAGATCGTAGCACCTGGAGCGATAGAGCACGAGACGAGTTCTTTGCTTCCTTGCTCGGCAAGACTGCTAGCGGTTTGCTCGGAGAAGCGGATGGAGATGAAGAAATGAATGGTGTCAATGGGACAGCGTCAGATGAGGAGGATCTGGAGGAAGGTGGTCTGAAGCTGTTTAGAAGTTGAGATGTCGTGTACATGTTAGGCGTTGTATGGTAAATTAGCATTAGTTGTACCCCGTCAAGTATATCTGAGCGTGTTGAACAACAGCGGCAGAAATTGACAGACTGCCATGCTGTCTGTACCTTTATATGAATAAATTGCCTCAGAATATTCCTCGAAAGGAATTATTGTCGAGTTGCTCTCAAAGAAGTAATCCGGGCGGCGTCCAACAACAAGTTTCCGTATTCGGCTAGCGTGCTTCCTCCGTTCGCCATCAAATTCATCCTCACAGCCAAACTAAAGTTCGTTCATCAACAAGAACTGTCCCTCATCCTTCCCCTTACGGCCTCGCTCATTCATTCCTCTCTTCTCATACCCCTTATTCCGCCTTCTCTATCGATACTTTTGGTTGTTCAAATCCAAGACCAGCACATAGCGTTGTTACCTTTTGTCCTAGATCTCACCCATGGCTTCAGTAAGTTGTTCTGAGCTCCGCAAACCCCTTGTCCATGACCGCATTGCGCCGTAGCGAGAGAAGCAAATTCCAGCTTTACCTGAAATGACTTTTGCTTCTCATATTATATTTTAGCAATTCACTGACGATGGTTTTGCCTGTTTTTAGCCCCGCCCTCCTCACAACTTCGGTATCTCGAGTCCTCTTCCTAACGGTGCTGCGCCAAGTGGTCCCGTCCCAGGCGCAACTCCCCTTCTCCCAAATAATGGCCGAATCATCCAAAACGGGCCTGTGAGGGTTCTCTGTGTTGCCGATGTCAGAGGTATGATTGTTTGTGATTGCTTCAGCTGGAGCAAGAAATCATAGCTAGCTCGAACTAGCTATGGCGATCTCGTCAACATTCAAAGTGTGCTGACGTAGCTGTCTCACTAGGAAATTTGAAGTCTCTGAATGAGCTCGCTAAGCAGGCCCGCGCTGACCATATCATCCACACCGGCGATTTTGGATTTTATGATGATACCTCACTGGAGAGAATCGTTGACAAGTGAGTGCTTGAAACGGGTGGCGTTTGATACAGCCTTATTTTGTCTTGCTAACCCCTCGCGTCCAGGACCTTGAAACATGTCGTTCAGTACTCTCCTCTTCTGCCCGACCACGTGAAGCGTTCCATTGCTCAAATTCCTCCACAGCAGCCAGTCAAGGCTAGGTTCACCCCCGACCAGCTCCCACTTTCCGAACTTCCTCAGCTCTTGGACAAGCGACTCACCCTGGACGTGCCTGTTTATACTGTATGGGGTGCCTGTGAGGATGTCAGGGTTCTGGAAAAGTTCCGTTCTGGCGAATATAAAGTCGATAACCTTCACATTATCGACGAAGCGAACTCTAGGCTTCTCGATATTGGCGGAATCCGGCTTCGTTTGTTGGGTCTTGGCGGTGCTGTTGTCATGCATAAACTGTTCGATAATGGCGAGGGCAAGACAACTATTGCCGGTGGCCAGGGTACTATGTGGACTACTCTACTACAAATGGGCGAGCTCGTTGACACCGCCAACCGTGTTTACGACCCCTCCGAGACTCGTGTCTTCGTCACTCACGCTTCTCCAGCCCGTGAGGGTATGTTGAACCAGCTTTCAGTTACGTTGAAGGCCGACTTTTCGATATCTGCCGGTCTCCACTTCCGATATGGCTCATCGTACAATGAATTCTCCGTCAATCCTACGCTCGACCATTACCGTGGCAAGCTGGCAGCATCCAAAGCGTCTTTCAATGATGTTTGGGATACTGTCCGTAGCGAAGTGGAGTCCGCCATCTCTTCAAATGAGGCCCAGAAAACTCTTTTGGATAATGCACTAGACATTGTTGATAGGATGCCTTCTGTAGCAAACGGCGGTAATCCATTCGGTGGCCCCGTTGCTGCCACCAATGCCGGAGGACAGGTGGACGAGAGTGCATTTAAGAACATGTGGAACTTCAACTTAGCTGATGCTGCTTTTGGTTACCTCGTGCTTGAAATCGACAACGGCCGAATCGGTACTGAAATGCGTGCTCAGGGTTTCAATTTCTCTCATAGGACAGGAAAGCCAAGCACAGCAGCTCCCGCTGCCACTCAACTCGGCGGTGGAGCGGGTGCTCCTCAGTTCGGTCAAGCTCCTCCAGCTGCTCGCGGTGCGCCGTTCCAAGCTGCTCAGGCTAAGCCTCAGGCACCTCCGGCCACGACAGTTTCCCCAGCTCCCGTCATCCCGAAGCCGGCTACTCCTCAACCTAGCGCTTCAGAGAAAGAGACCAACGGAAACAAGGAGACGGAAAAGCCTTCTGAATCTCCAGTCCTTAAAGGAGAGAAGAAGCAGAGCAATGGATTATTCATTTCCAACGTTGAGAACGAGCAGGCAGCACGTGACCTATTCCCTGAAGAGGATCAAAGTAAAATCGTCAAGGTTGAGAAATGGGGCAAGTTCGGTCATGTTGTGACTTTCGGTACACCCGAAGAGGCCAAGGCAGCATTAGACCGACAGCCTATTGAGCACAAAAAGCCCACCCCACAAGGTCAACCCCGTAAGCCCAACGTCAAGTTTTTTGAGGACCGAGGCTCTCGCCGTGAAGGAAATGCAGGTACATGGCAAGCTAGCTCTCGCGGAGGCGCCTCTGCACCAACACGAGGCGGATACCAGAGCGGTGCCAGCGATAGTGAAACCGGACGTGGGCGTGGAGGCTTTGGTCGGGGCCGTGGTGGTCGCGGATCTGACCGTGGAGGACGAGGTCGTGGAGGACGCGGTGGATTCAACCGATCCGGTGATTCACCAGCAACCGAAAAGCCTGCTGCTGCATCTACCGGCGGCGAGTCTTGAATGAATCATTTTCCTTTCCTCTTGTAACGACATGCTATTACTTTTACTTTTTACCCTTCGTGTTTCGACTTACTACTTACTTAGTTTCATTAGAAAAATGTGGGCTTATTCCCGAAATTTCTTGACTGATTCCCCTTGTACTTCCCTTTTTTTACTCCAAAAACCTCTGTTTTCTTCATTCTACTTGTCTCTTAATTTTATTTTTCTTTTTGAGCGACACCCTCCAATGTATGTGTCTAACTACCCAACCTGATAACCTACATTCTTCTAAAGATATTCTTTTTCGGTACCTAGGTATATTTGAGTAAATGGATATCAGATTTTGAGTCTGTAGAGACAGGGATCAGTCGGGATAGGTACATATTGCACATTGATACGAGCAGAGAAGGTAAGAGACCCCAGGACCACTTAGGGCTTACGACTTCCATGGATGCTGTCAGACTAGGAATAGAAATGATCATATTCAGATAACAAACTGTACAATTCATATATTGACGAACTCGGATATACATCTTATATTAATACCAAGAACAACTTCCTTCACGCCATCAGTTTGTTCGTGTGTCAAGAATGTAAGTCATGGAATGCATAAGAACCTGATACCAAAAGCAGAACCAATAATAAAAAGAAAAGACTAAGTAGATATAGGTAGATATACCACCAAACGATCGACACCGAATCCAATATCTTTTTCGCCATACCATACCATTTCTCCATTTTCGATGCGTCCTCTGTTATGGAGAGGAGATGAGACATATTCAAAACGACAAACCAAACGTCAATGGCGTAAATGGGCCCGAACACAAAAGCACGAGGGGAATAAATTGTAAAAGTCAGACATGCTTCTTCGTATCAATGGACTAGTGAGACTGCATTTCGTTTCCTGCACGCCCGACAATGTCATCTACATCCTTCCTATAAACGACAACGCCACCCTCGGAACAGCGTGCCTTGGTACGTAGCTCCGTACAAAGTGAGTCGATGTCGATTTCGCCGTTGCGGAACTTCTCCATAGATTGTAGACGGTCCCTACGATAGAGTCAGCAAGTTGTCCGCGAAAACCAGTACCAAAAAAGTACATACCATATATTGGTGCATGACATAATCTGAGTCTTGTCCTCTCCGGGAACCACCTCGTCCTCGTCATCTGGCTTCTGGCCAGATGGTGCATTATCCTTTTTGGCTACGCCAGGGTCCTTAGGATCAGTGACCTCGCTAGGGTCGGCAAACGGGCTACCCAAATCAGGCAACGGGAAAGCGTCGTTGAAGAACGCTCCAAAGTCCTGTGACAAAACGGCGTCCTGTGGCTCGCGGTAGTCATTGAATAGCACGGGGTCGAATGAACCACCATTCTGTTGAGCCAACCAGTCGAATGAGAGAGATTGATCTGCTGCAGCGGGTTGCAATTGGCCTAGTAATTGTGTATTGTCATTATTCTTATTCAAGACCGCCGGCATCGGATTGTTGATATTGCCACAGGCCATGCCCAGCTTCTCACAGAAGGATTTCTCACCATCAATGCCGCCATATCTTGTAGTCGCTTCGTTGCCATAAAAGTCAAACGAACTATCACCCGGCTTTCCAACATTAGGCGAGTTCAAGCTCGGCTCCGGCGAGGTACCAATCGAAGAAGACTGGCCATGCTGAGAATCTGAGGAGGCACTTGGAGAATCAGTGTTTGATGCTGCCGAACTAGCACTTAGCTGAGTGGCATAAGCGGATTGCCCATTAGTCAAGCCGTTGACTTTTGCGGCTTTGGATAGATTCTTGCTGTTCAATGAGTTGCGGCCATAATCGGACGCTTGAGCCGTTGGTGACACCCCTGTCGATGAGGGAGAGTTGGAATTTTGCTTGTTCTGTCCATTGTTGCTGAACATATGTTTTCCGGGCAAGTCACCGAATTTAGGGAAGTCGAAGTAAAAGTCATTGTTGTTAAGATTCGAAAGATTGCGTGAGTTCATACTACTCATGGCGGCCATAGTTGACAAGCCGTTTCCTCCACTGAGCCAGGAAATTCGTTTGCGATATTCTTTAAGCTCTACCTGCAACCGCTCAACTTGAGCTCGAAGGAGACCGTTCTCCTGGTTGGCATTCTGTGAAGCTTTCTCTAGTTCCTCGACCTTGGTTTCGAGGTCCTTGAGATGTTTCTCTTTGCGCTCACGGAATGCACGCTGGGCAGCACGATTCTGAGCTTTCCGTTTCTGCACAAATCAGTTTGTGTCCGATTAAAGTAAGGGAACCATAAATATTGAACATACAGTAGTAGGCTCAGATGTGAGTGGCTTCCGGCCGGGTTTCTTAGCGGCCTTGTCTTTATCATCACTTTCGCGTCTCTTCTTTCCATTGCTGGCATCCTCTTCATTCCCGCCCAATGACTTTCTCTTATCGCCGGACTCACGACCGTCAAAGTCAGGAAGGTCGCCAATAAGTTGATCGGCACCTTGAAAATCAAAATCAACATCGGGATCAAAATCGAGGAATGGGCTTTCGTCACTGCCGAAGCCCAAATGGCCGGAGCCGGGTGCGTCTTGCAGAAGGGGTGACTCGAAGTAAGTAGACGATGCTGGATCAAAGCCATTGCTATTAGATGGAGTGGTCTCGTTGGAAGAAGATTGAGTTCGTGAGCGGTTTTTTGTGCCCTCGTTCTCAACTTGCTTCTGAGAAGCGTTGTTGGAGTTGAGAGCAGCCATTAGCAGATTCTGCTGCTCAGGGGACAGATAAAGGTTCTGCTGGTAGATGGAATTGAAGTCGGTCATGATGAAAGATTGATTGAGGAGATGCTAGGCGTCAAAAAGAAATGATAAATCAATTGGAATGACCGCCGATAGACTGTCAACTAGGATACGTTTTTGTATGTCGGGCTTCCCGCCCGTGGCTTCGGCACGTATGTTACTAACAATCGACTACGGTTGAGTCGATGGTGGATTGACCTGTCAATCGACGTGCCAGGTTCACGCACTGAACACCTGAGCTGTAGCGTTCCGGTTGTTCTATTGAGAGAACTGGTCAGTGGATGGTTGGTTCAACACTCCCGGCATGTCTTGATGGAAGAACGAGCAATCTCAATGACATTAAACAGAGAGCTGCAATGTCTTTTCTTTTGGACAAAACATCTTTATCAAGGCAGCGATAAGAATAGCAACAAAGATTTCCTGCATAGATTGATGTCGCCGACCACCAACAATGACATGGACAACGGCATCTAAAGACACTTTGCCAGAACGGCAGCACTATCAGGAGTGGCTTACCAGTTGATGAAGTCGATGCTGAAAGTCAATCAAGTTGCAAAATCTCAAGACGCCAGTCGCCAGAATAGTTGGCGAGAAGAACTGACGCGAAGAAAAAAATGATGATTGACGTACAGATTGTCAGATTGTCAGATTGTCAATGACTGATGGTTGAGAATTTGGGGCGGGGCGCGGAAGGAAGGACTGAGGCGGATGCGGATGCGGATGACTAAGGCAGGAATTCTAGAAGATACGCAGAGGGGTATATAAGGCAGCACTCGGCGCAGCGTGAGAGATGAGAATAGAGGACACGAACTGAAGAGTCAGAGAGTAGAGAAGGCGATGCTTGGGAGGCAAATGACAGCGTTGGGGGCGTGCGGGCAGGAATGGCTGTCGGGACTGTGGCCTGATAGACTTAGCCTGAAAGCCTCAAGTCGCAGGCAACAAGGCCGCAACATCTGGTTAGCCTTAACTCCGGATGCTTAAAGCGGCGCCGGTATCGCCGCAAATGGCGAGTGCATGTCTGGATTGACCAATCAGGACGGCGCAATAGGTCGTGTGGTTCCGTCGGCAGTCAGCTGCTTATAAATCCGGATCTCTGTTCTTTGGCGTTCTGGCCGCGAATCACGGCTTTCTCTGGAAAATAGCTCATTCTGGTCATTTTCTCAATATGGTCTAGCGTACCTCACACACCAATGGGGGACTTCCTTGCTGGGCTTCACTCGTATCAAAACTATCAAAGCATCTCGGATGTTCTCCGGGCAATCAATCCTCGGTGAGTCAGACTACGGAGATACGAATGTGTACTATGTATGGCCATTCTTCACTCTATGACTCTTGTGAAGATGATGCGAATCAGGGACTAGGATACTTCCCAAATGGGACTAGTGACGTACTCGAGGGGCCAATTGGGTCTTCGGTCTACTACGTACTGTTCCATGTTCAGGCTCCACTGATGGCTTCGAAGCAGAGGCGTACATAAAATCCTGAAATGATGCTGATTGAACAAGCTCAAATCCACTTGCGGTTCCTGCAGAACAGGATGAAATCCCAGTTGAATGGAACATTACTTGCAGAGCAGCGCAGTTCATATCAAAAATTAGCTTGGAATCAAGTTTTGATAGAGGCGAGAACAATGATGATCTGGCACCGGCATATTTGCACTGCATGCACTGTTTGTACGGTTTGTATGGTTTGTACGGTTTGTATTAGTGGCATCACGTGCCTCGCAGTGCTCGTTCTTTCCCCATCAAGATTCAATGAATCTCGCCAGTGAGAGCAGAACAATCCCCGCATTGATTACAAGTAGAGGATAGCCAGCATTTCATTTGCGATAACCTGCGGTGATATCATCAAGCGAATCTTAGCGCGGCCCAGCTTTCTGAGACTTTCTCACACTTCTTATTGCCCCATGGCGTCCGATGTGGCGGCCCTCGAGGCAGAGGTGAAAGAATTCAAATTACAGGTAAGCCTCAGCATATCGCGTCTGGTTCGATAAGCTAACCAAAGCAGCTCGAAACCGTTCAATCGGGCTTGCAGGTAGATCCCGATAATGCGGAGCTTCAGAGCCTAAAGACTGAATTAGAAGAATTCATCCACTTGACAGAAGCATCCATCGCCGAACTCAAGCCTGCCACACCTATACCGTCACAACAACCCATCAAAGAGAAATGGTCTAGAGAAAACCATCCAGCTTTTCAATCTGGACATCGCAAAGCCGCCGATTCTGCCCCTCCCGACGAACCTGCGGCGCCTGCTTCGTTTTCTGTGAACGACAGCGTCCTTGCGCGGTGGAAATCAGGGGACGGATCATATTATCCAGCGCGGATAACTTCTATTACTGGATCATCCAGTAATCCCGTGTATATCGTCTCGTTCAAGTCGTATGGCACGACAGAGACTTTGTCGGCGAGAGATATCAAGCCTATTTCAAGTGGAGCTGATTCGCGGAAACGCAAAGCTGATGGAACCCCAGGCACACCTTCATCGCAGCAATCCACGCCGCAACATACCGGTATTATCTCGGCTGCAGCTGATATCAATCCCACTCTTGCCGATCAAGCCCGCAGCGAGCCTAGCAAAGTTAGCGATGGACCGGCACGACCGAACAAGGTACCGCGAAAGGTGAAGGCTAACAAGGAGCTGGAGGCTGGGAAGTCGAAATGGCAAGATTTTACGAGCAAATCAAAGTTCGGAAAGGTGGCAAAGAAGGAGAGCATGTTCCGCACACCGGAGGGTGTCAATGCTAGGGGTATGTCAGGATTCGGATCCGGATATATTCTACAGTGCATTGCTGACATTATTTATAGTTGGATTTGTTGGCTCCGGTCAAGCGATGCGAAAGGACCCCACACGCAGTCGTCACATTTACCAGCAAGCCGATGAAGAAGGATACTGAGTTGACAGAAGGTGGACCGGGCAGGCTAGGACTATTCTTGCATTATCATTACTCCAGAGCGATGCTTTCTTCTTGTGTCATATTCTGCTATTTCTGTTTGATCTCATGGCTAACTTTGGTGTTAGTGGCGCAGGCGTTTCATAGTTATCAATATGAATTCTGCATGACTGGATAGTATTCATACTTGTTTAGCCGTTTGTGGTGTCGAGTGCCGCTTGACGGTCGATGTTTTGTCGTGGCATAGAGCTCGGTCAATACTGTAGGTATATCCGGTCTCGTAGTTTGGTCATGCTAGTTGCATGCATCTCGGCTCTGAGCATAGCTTGACGCACTTCAGGCATACTAGACCATGTATTCTGTGAGAGGAGACCATCCATCCGGACGCGCGTCTTGGATAGAAGCCCCTTATATAGAAATGTCCTCCAAATGTAGCTCCTCAATCAATATCGTTATTATCCGACAAAACAAGCCTATCCCTCTGCTTCCATCCAGCGATATTCATCGTACTCTGGCCATTCCCTCCCTGGATATCTTGAACATTGCCAACCACAACACCACCGCCACCGCCACCACCATTCCCAGCCTTTCCCTCCCTTTCTTCCATACCGGATTTGAATAAATACCCCAACTTCAACTCCCGTATCATCCACCGATACACCACTCCATTCTCGTCGCTATAATACCGCACCGGACGCCAGAAGATGGTATTCAGAATCGTTCTCGAGTACTGCCGAAATATGGGGAGTAGATCATCGGGAAATGCGTCAAGGAGGGATTTGAGGGTGTAGATGTTGTTTAAATGGGTCATTATGAGGAGTTGCAGTTCGAGTGGGAGAGTGAGGAGATGATTATGGCGGGCTTGGAAGGCCATTCGTTCGTCTTTTTGGTTTGGTAGGTTAATGGTGGGTGTTGTTTAAGTTGAGGGCTGGCGTGGATGCCCAGGATGGCGTTAGTTGGCCCTCCATTTGTGAAGCGTTAGGAGGGACATTTGGTTGGTGTTGATATTGTCGTCGAGGTGTGTGTTGTTCAGGGATAAGATGAATCTCGGGCGAAAAGTGCCGATTCCAATGGAGCAACGTGATTGGTCAGAATGCTTCTCTATTGTGATCTTTCATCTTGTCAGACTTGGACGATTCAGATTTTATGACAACTAAGTTATCTGAAATTGATGCACTTGAGACTCGACTGTATGCTGATTTATGTAAGTCTAAAGACTGGTGGTCATATTTATACAGTGTACCTCAAACCTCACAGCTTGCAATAACAAATTGGGTATAACTTGAACTCGCAACACAAGCACTTGAGCAAAACCAATCATAACATCTTGTCACTACTCATTAACCCTCTCCACCAAACAAGCAGTCCCATAAGCGCATATCTGCGAAAACCCTCCCATATCAACAACATCAAACCTGACCGCAATCAACGCATTCCCACCCCTAGATATACACTCCCCCACCATCCTCTCCACCGCCTCATTGCGAGCTGTATAAAGCAATTTGGTGAAAACGCGAATCTCGCCGCCGACTATGGAGCGTGCGACACCGCCTAGACCGGCACCCCAGTTGCGGGAGCGGACTGTTAGGCCGTAGACTGTGCCGAGGACGCGGGTGACTTTGTGGCCTGGGAGGTCGTTCATGGTGCTTGTTATGACGCCGTGGGTGTCGGTGAAGCAGGAGAACATTTCGTTTTCCGGGATGGTGTTGTTGTCTTTGTCTTTGTCTTTGTCTTTGCCGGCCATTTTATCTCTCTTTTCCAAGGTTGGTTTCCGAGAGACTTCTATTGAGTGATAGCAGTGGAGGCCACGATATTGGGATTCTTCATAACTTGTAATCAAAGAACGCTGCGTACGTATTATGCAAATATATACCTCCTCCATACCAAAAATCACTCATCTCATACTTTAAACCGCGCAGTGAGGCTATGTATATTAGATCCATCATATATCGTATTCACGCAGCGCTTATTGGCGACCATGTTTCCAAGGTTGTGCCTGGGACGCTCGAGTCCCTGGAAAAGGTAAATTAGTGACGATTGAGTACTCCGTAGAAGGCTGTGTGAAGAATGAGCCAATAATCTTCTTTTCGTATTACTTGGCATTATCTACACCGTGAATTGCTTTCTTAGGTATGCGAAAGTTGTGTAATTTTGAAGATATTAATGAAGCCCCTAATCGCAGCGGCGTCCACCGGGTGGGGTCTTGAGTGTTACAGGCCAGTCCCGCCTTATGAATTTCTTATAGGTTCATTCTCGAGTAGATAACGTACATGAGGGAAAAGAAGGAAAGGAAAGAGAATGAACAGCTTCCACTCAAACGTGCAAATTTATATGCAAAGGATGAGTGGAGCTGTTCCGACTCGGTTAGTTCAAACACGGGATTGGAGAACGGGTTTCGGGTGTTGGGGATAGCTTCATGTTCGGGTATGGTAGATTCGGGTAGGTTATGTGCGTAATAGGGAATAGCGGCTTGTGGCTCGGGTTCATCTTCACCCAGCGATACCCCTTCTTCTACTCCTACCACCAGCGCTACCGCTGCTCCGACCCCTACAACCACCACTACCCCCGCCAGCGCCAGAGCCTACTGAGACTACACCACCTCCTCCACCGGCTCCGACACCTGCTACTCCCACGACTACAGCAACTCCACCTACACCGCCCTCAGCTCCTGCATCTACTGCATCTCCTACTGCAACCGGTCCCGTTTACCCCGGCGCCGTTTCAAGCTGCAAGAACTACGTCCTTGTCGTGTCTGGTGACTACTCCTTCAGCCACAATGAGTAAACACATGGTTGCATGCTCTAAGCCTCTCGGCATAGCAAACATGTCCTCCGTAGGCTGAATTCGAAACCATACCAGTCTCACAATCGAACGTGTTCATCCATGTGCCGAAATTCGCTCAGATTTTATGCAAGGAGCTGAATTACAGAGTCACGGGATACATCCCTGCACTGTGCAGGGATTTGGTCTCGTGAGGGCGTAGCCCGAACCATCGATATTGGGGTCAGCCATTAACATGAGGCTGCCCAGTGGAGAGTTACTCTAAGTAGCTTTGGAGAAGAAAGATCAACAAGAGCTTGTCAACGGAGTTAAAGTTAATTCTTTAATCCTTGTATATACGGCTTGGTGGTTAGGGCTAGCTACCGTCCTTACTCTTTTTGAAGCCTACATCGAACCCTGCGATATTAGGATGTCTATTCAATAACTTGATCATGTAGGAGATCGGGTGGTAGGTATGAATATAAAAGAAGCTATATTTTTGACTACCTATTCAGACACGCTCCTTTTCTCTACTTGAAATATAGTCTTGCCGCTCTCGAGCCCAGCCAGGACGAACGACAGACAGAGGCAACGGCTCTTTGGAGGTTGAAAGCCACATATCTGGATCCAATGTGCGAATTTTTGCTTTCTGTGGAAGACTCAACCCATCCTTTTTGGGAGCACCTTCTGACTCCAATCTATTCAATGCCTCCAGTCGGGCTGGATCAGCTGTCTTCCGCAATAATTCCCAGAACTCTTGATCTGACAAAGTCCATAAAGCTTCTTCCTTTATATTCTCTTTTCTGATCAGGTCCCCTATCACCTGACCAGTTCTTCTATACAATTCCACGTTACCAAGGTCTGAATAGACCTTTCTGTCACTTTCCAGATATGCTCTTGCCAGCGTCAAGGCTAAATGCTCATCTCCTAACACGAGTAGTCTACGTGAAGAAGCCGCGTCCGGAAATACTTTCAAACATTCAAAAATCCGTTGTGCATCTTCAAGCGTAAGTGTACCGAACGCAACAGAGTCTCGTAGCGCGTAATCAAGCCGATCAGCACAGAGATGTGGCGATGGCATCTCCACAAGAGGGAAAAGATCCTCATTCAGCGCCCTCAAATCCGCAAATCCATGCCTTGTGAGAACCTGCGGTAATGAACTCATTGTCTTGATGTATCGTTCCTTGTGAACTTCATGGAAACTTTCCTCTCCGGGTTTTGATAATGCCCAATCCACTACATGGCTGAGTGCGGTATGACTGATATCATGTAAAAGGGCGGCAACCTGTTCTTCGAGGCCCCCACCAACTTTGCGTACGAGTAGGAATGCGCCTACAGAGTGCTCGAAGCGGGTGACTTTGGGGGTTAGGCCTAGTAGACCTGTCACGCCGTGTTGGCAGATACCCGTCAATCGGAGGAGGGTTGGGGAATGAAGTAGTTCGACTAATATGGACTCTGAAACTTGATGTTCGCCGTAGAGGGCATCTCGAATAATAACTGTCTCCTCAGAGACTGATTCGAGGGTTTGGAAGATCCCTACATTCAATGGTGGATTGGAGGCGGTCATTGTGTTGAAGATACTGTCGTCTCTGTCTTGTGGGGTTCGAATGCCCCTCTTCCTTTGTCCAGGCGGCTTTTCGATCCTTGCTAATTCTAGAAGGGGAAATCGTAGCAGCGGGTGGCGCAGCGAGGCACGTAAGAGTTTCACTGCATTGTTGCAAGAAATTCGTCTAGCAAGCGTCAAAGAAGTTAATCTGCACATGCGGGGCCGTATCGGGTCAGTCCTAGGCAGCTATGGGTCAACAAGGTACTATGCGTCTATGCTCTGTAGACAATCAATCAGCTATTGTAGAGAATCAATGGTCTCAACACAACGATGGCATTTATAGGTATAAATCAAATCGTCTCTACATGTACCACAACTAAGGATGTGATTGACCCTAACCCTAAGTATAAGTTAGGGCATGGTCAGATATGTCCTCAGATCATTAGGAGATACTACGGATGAGCAGATGCACAAGACAACCAGCTGGGCGGTTTTGACTTAAAGATAGAGTGGTACATCCTTTCATGCCAGATATTGACAAAGACGACCTACGTTTCCCGAACAACTGGTCCAGGAATGCTGGCATGACAGTAGGAGTACTCTTCTGCTAGAGTCAAGCAACCATGTGGTAGCAGGTCATTTTAAACGCCCCATATATTATACATAGTGTTCATTTTCTCACAAGGAACAGAAGAGTTGATGTACTCCTGTTTATGAGGCGGGATTCGGCATGTATGTAGTATATTGAATGTGGTGGTTGTTGCGTTCAATGAAGGGATTCAGGACTTCACAGATGGGATAAGATGCATGCTTATTGAAGATAAAGATTGGTAGTCCACATTTCATAGCTAGACATAAGGTCACTTCATGCTGCTCTGGTAACGTGCTGTGTACGAAGATAGGGCCCGCATTCCGATCTTAACCCTAACTCTATGGATGGTTCATCGACGATTTAATGAGTATGTAAACAACCTTTGCTTGCCAGGTGAAAGATATAAACGTGCCTACACCCCACTTGTCTGACGTTGAAATTCTTCTCTCGAAATACGTATCACTTATCATCAACCTTGTTCTTTCAGTATCCTCTATCCCTAATCTCATCAAGACGAAAAGGCGCTCAGTACTTCAAAACGTAAGTTATACCCACCACAATTGAAATTGACCAAACAGATCTAGGTTTATCGCACTATAATTATTCGTCATGTATTCCAAATCATTTTCTAGGATGTTTCTCGCCCTGTTCGCCTTCTTGGTAGTTTCAGTGAATGCTTTGCCCAGGGTATGTCCATCACCATCTACTGCCAGAAGCAAAACCTCTAAAGAATAAGTAGGTCCTCCACGCAAAAGTAACACCGACACCGACAACGCCATTAGTATCACCTAGTCTGCATCCTAGCAGTCAAATGATGAGTTCAATGGTTGCTATGACTCCATCAACACATCCGACAAACCATGCTATCCCCAACGCTCCTATCGCTGAGTTTGAGGATGTTAGCACGACATCTACAACATCTACGGCGGCATCATTATCGGCTAGTGCTATTGCTACCACGGAATCTTTGACTTCGGCCCTTGGCCTTTTGTCGAGTTTGACGGGGTTGCTGTCATCCCTCACAGAGTTGTTGGGTTTGGCATAATGTCTCCGTTATTAAGGGAGTTGGAAGGGTTGGATTATCTATACAGATTCAAGGTCATGAAAAGGATCCACCGGAAAGAATTGAAGACGTTGGAGTTTATCATGGTTTTTTCGAGGGGACATTGTCGTTGCTGTTGAAACTCGGCGTTATAGCCACTCCTGTAATTTAGGTCATTAATACCCCGTTGTCAACCTCTTATATCAGCGAATCGGAAAGGTTGATTAGCCCTCACTGTATTTTTGTTATGTTCAATAGTCTCAACATGAGCTGCCACTTTGCCAGCGGAGGGCTATTCCGAGAGTCAAAATGACATCACGTCACTCTATAAATACTGAAAACGCCTTAATAGCAATCACATAAATATGCTTCCGTTTGTATCTCTGCTATTCATGAAGTTATTTAGTGAAAGTTAATTGTAACTGTTGACCATGTCGCGAAACATCTGCGTTACCACGGCCGAGGGCAACACCGGCTTCCTCATCACGAAACTCCTCCTCACAGAACCCAGCTTCAAAAAGAACGTTAACCAAGTCACAGCATTGGCCATAAACGCCCAAGCTCCCTATGTCCAAGAACTCAAAAAACTCGGCGCAGTAATAGCTCAACACAAACCGGGGCGTGTGAGGGATACCGCGAAAGTTCTCCAAGATACAAAAGCGGATACATTGATGCTGATTCCGCCGGCACACGTGAACAAGATTGATATTACATTGGAAATTCTCGAAGCTGCTAAGAGAGTCAATATCGGGAATGTCTGTTTGCTCAGTGCGGCGGGTTGTGATATGGCAGATCGGGATGCGCAGCCAAGATTGAGGGAGTTTATTGATTTGGAGGTAGCGTTGATGAAGCTGAAGGGTGATCCCAGTACGAGGACAGGGTATTCTCCTTGCATCATCAGGTTTGTTTGCGTTGCCATAAGCATCCAAGTGTATGCATTGACTATTTTAGGCCGGGTTTCTATGCGGAGAATCTTCTTTTGTACACACCTCAAGCTCAGCAGGAAGGGTTATTGCCAATTCCCATTGGCAAGGACCACAAGTTCCCTCCTATCGCCTTGAAAGTGAGCTTCCTTTTGTGTATACTTTCCTATGTTAAGACCGGAAGTTAATGTAGTTCAGGATGTTGCCGACTTGGCTGCTCATGTCCTCACCGGTAAAGGGAAGCATGGCTTCAGTGATCAGCATCGAGGTCAACTCATGACCATGACAGGTTTGTCCTTCACTTCCCCGAAGCCTATTGCAAGACTTAATTGGGTGAATAGGACCTATGTTAGTCAGCGGTGACGAACTAGCTCAGATAGCCAGCAATACACTTGGTGTCAGGTTGGTATTTGACGATGTATCCGGGTAAACAACACTTTCGCACGTCTTTATGGTACGTGATGACTGACAGCAGAACAGAAACGAGGCCCGCCGTCTCCTCCGGTTTCAAACCAGCCAGGACGAGGCTGAAAGACAGTATCTGCTCGAATACTACTCTCTCGTGCGCGAGGGAAAAACTAATTATATATCCACCAACTGCTTCCATGATGTCACGGGCTCACATCCAATTGAGCCGCCGCAGTTTTTTGAGACTTATAAGGATCAGTTTATGCCCAAGATGGCTGTACAGAGGATAGCTGATGGAGTGTAGGCGAGTCTATCTTCTTGGGTCAATACCCTGATATGTGTATGTAGTTGACACCGTACATTTGTCTAAAGGGTAGCTGCATTGAACACTTCTCATAGGAAAGCCTGGTCTGAATGCTCGTATGTCCGTCCTGGGAGTAGAATGTAGGCGACTTGGAGACACGTTTAAATTTCGCGGGGAGAAGACATTCCCCGCACTCGGCTTTCCTTATTCATAAGCCAGAAAGTCCAACCGTAGACTTATCTGCTTGCATCAACTCATTATCATAATTCGTCAAGAGTAGTGGAAATATTCGACATAAGGTCCGTTTTGATATTCCCAGTCAAACACTGCGTGTGATCAGCACTCTCCGTATCAGCCGTTTCCAGTCCGACAATTCGAAGCCGAGCTTGTTTGATATATCTTCCTCCTCGTTTCTGGGTCGTGAAATTTCTTCCCAACAGACAATGACAGCTACGATAGAAAATACGGTGGCAGAGATTCCTCTTCCGCCAGTACCAGACATCATCTCGAAAATGCCATGGATGCAACTAGGAAATTTCGAGATTGCTTCCTCGAAAACCCCACCACCAAAGCCATATCCTGCGCAAAGCACGCCGGCTGAGAGAGCCGCAGCGAGGTTTGGAGTACATGGGAACGCAGTTTGTATGAGTATTTCCCCTTATGAACATATCGTATCGCACTTACTAAAATGTATACAGTGACCGGCGGCGCTGGCATGCTGGCTCTGACTTCAGCTCGAGCTTTACTTGAACATGGTCTCACTGGACTTGCACTTTTCGACCTACCAAGCGCAATAGAAAAGAGTAAAGATGCAATCGAAGCATTAAGGACGGAATTTCCGTCAGCGAAGATCATCACACAAGCCTGCGATGTGACGGATGAAAAGGGTATGATAGCGGCCACTCAATCTGCAAAGTTCCAATTGGGCGAGCTCAACATACTATGCTGCTTTGCCGGGATGGTCGGTTGTGTCCCCTCTGCGGAGCAATCTGTGGATCATTGGAGGAAGATTATTGACGTCAACACAACTGGTTGCTGGATTGCTGCACAGGCTGTTGGGAGGTGTGTTACTTTGAGTCACCTGAGCGATGTCCACCAATTGGATTTATTGGGATACGCAACAAAAAAGCACACAGTACTGCATACTGACGTGAGGACATAGGGAGATGATAACCGGTAAACACGGGGGGAAAATCATTTTCATTGCATCAATTTCCGGTCACCGTGTGAACTATCCACAGCCCCAAGCCGCTTATAATACCTCAAAAGCCGCATTACTACATATGAAGAACAGTCTGGCAGCGGAGTGGACGCGTTATGGTATCCATGTCAATACCATTTCCCCCGGTTATATGGACACAGTTCTCAACGAAGGTGATGACTTGGCGCCATGGAGGCAGATCTGGGCAGAACGAAACCCCATGCGTCGTATGGGTGCACCGGAAGAGCTCACTGGGCCAGTCGTTCTATTGTGTAGCGATATTGGCGGAAGTTATATCAATGGCGCCGATATCGTGGTAGATGGAGGCGGGCTGGTTTTTTGAGCGAAAGGTCTAGATTTCCTTGCAGTTAGAACGCTGATCTAAATAACATGTGAGGACGACATGGCTGGATTGACTAAGAGTTTACATCACTGCCTAGCCGCTTCAGCAAGTTAGACTATGAGTTAGCCGGCCCTGGTTCCAAAGACGGTGTAACATGTTACTTAACATGTTACACGTCCCATAGTCAAAGGCTCCTTGCGTCGGCGCCGTTGGCTGCTTCGTTAGAAGGGAGCAGCTTATTCGTTCTGGCCAGAAAGCTATGTAGGGTATCTCGTACCAGTCTGGTAGAACACGTGGCGCCACTGCGAATCAGACACTGTTGGGAACTGCATTGTAGGCTGACCAGTGGAAATGAGTCGAGGACTGATGGCCTGATGGTATCCGACCGAGGATGTACGTCTAGGATATCGCAGTCACTATCGTATCGAAGCGATTGCTCAGTGACGCTTGCATTGGGTTTGTAACAAGCTATTAAGGTACAATCAGACAATATCTTATAAGGAAATGGATACGGAAGATGAAGGTGTAGAAAGAATGAGAGTGTGAAGTGATCGGAGCTTAGCTGCTGATGTCATAGTCTAGTGTGCCTTAGCCGCCAGGCACCCGAGCTTCCATCAGCGTCACCTGCTCATCAAAATAATAATCGTCTTCCTCAACGAACTTGCTTGCCGGCCACCAAACTATCCTTAACACATTGATTGTCCGTTGCATTTCTCGGCTTTATCACTACTTTACTTTTTGAATACTAGTACAAGCTTTTGATCTGGATTATAGCCGTATCCACCCCGCCATCCGGTCGTGTGGATCGATTCCTGCTAAACTAACGGCTTTCGCGACTCCACAACTGTCGCTCGTCAAGATTGTTCTCGCTCACTTCGCCTCGTTCGGTCATCTTTTCAAGATAATCGCAATTACCTTCGCAAGATAAAGGCTTAACGCGCCATTCGTCAAGTATAATTGGAAGGACGTTATAGGAGACTTGTTTGGCGACGGCCAGTACCGGGCTTGGTCACGAGCCACCGGCTGGACAGTATGAGAAGCCTGCAGAGAATCGCTGCGGGCTTGCTCTGTAGCATGCTATTTTTCGTGGTCGCGGCACAGGGAGAGACCACTATACATGAACCTGGTCGATGTGCTATTCGCGGCCACTGCGGGAAAAAGAACATATTTGGCGGGGAATTGCCCTGTCCCGATAATGGGCTTGCGCGCGACCCAGACGACGCAGTGAGAGAAAAATTGGTCTCGCTATGCGGAAGCAAGTGGTCTGAAGGGTCTGTATGCTGCGAGGAGGAACAGGTAAGCGTCATATTCCGGGGGGGTTTTCCCGTGCTCACTGACGGACCTGTCTGAATAGGTCGATGCATTGAAAAAGAACCTGAAACTTGCAGAGGGTATCATTGCCTCGTGTCCCGCATGTGTCGATAATTTCTTCAACATGTTTTGTACTTTCACATGTTCCCCGGACCAGTCGTTATTCATCAACGTCACGCAAACCGAGCCGAAGGGAGACAAATATCTGGTCACGGAAATAGACAATCTCTGGTCGGAAGAATACCAGAGTGGTTTCTATGACAGTTGCAAAAATGTTAAGAACGGCGCATCTGGAGGAAAAGCAATGGATTTCATTGGAGGAGGTGCCAAAAATTATACGCAGTTCATGAAGTTCCTAGGCGACAAGAAGCTTCTCGGTAGCCCCTTCCAAATCAATTACGAAACGGAACCTCGATACCCAGATGCTCAGGGTATGGAAGCCCTGCCACTTGTTCCAAAGGCTTGCAATGATTCAGATCCGGCCTATCGATGCTCTTGTGTGGATTGTCCCTCAGTATGCCCGACGTTACCGGAGGTGAAATCGCAGAGCCGTTGTCATGTCGGACTTATGCCGTGCATGTCATTCGCTGTCATTATCATCTACTCAGTATTCCTCTCTCTCGTTGTATCTATATCGAGCTACGTGGCCTACCGAGAACGACGGTATCGCAAACCCGAGCGGGTAAGACTATTACAGGATCCCGTACAAAGTGATGAAGAGGACGATGGTGAAATTGTTCGTGGTGCTGCTTATGTAGACACACCGCATAAGCACTACAAGCTGAATGGTATATTCGACAAAGCCTTTAACCGACTGGGAAGTAAATGCTCCCGCTTTCCTATGATTACTATCTCTGTTAGTATTGTCATTGTCGGGCTCCTTAGCTTGGGCTGGCTTCGATTTGCTGTAGAGACAGACCCTGTTCGTCTCTGGGTTAGTCCTACTTCCGACGCAGCTCAAGAAAAAGAGTTCTTTGATGAGAACTTTGGCCCTTTCTATCGTGCCGAGCAAGCATTTTTGGTCAACGATACCGGACCTGTGTTGAGCTACGATACTTTGAGCTGGTGGTTTGATGTTGAAAGCCGCGTTCGTCGCATGATTTCTCTAAAGCAGGGACTGACTCTGGATGATGTTTGCTTTAAGCCGACGGGCGATGCTTGTGTGGTACAATCATTGACCGGTTATTATGGCGGCTCGTCTGCTGGTGTCACACCTAGGAACTGGCAAAAAAAGCTCTCACACTGTACCGAATCTCCCGGTGATGTTAGCTGTCTTCCAGACTTCAAACAACCTCTACAACCTACTATGATTCTTGGCGGCTATGAGGGCACAAATAATGTCCTCGATGCAAACGCTATTGTTGTTACCTGGGTGGTAAATAACCATGCACCAGGAACAGAGGGTGAAAGTAGAGCAATCGACTGGGAAGACAGTTTGAACCAAGTCTTGGAGGTCGTTCATGAAGAAGCCCGCGAGCGCGGTCTTCGTTTATCTTTCAATACCGAGAGCAGCTTGGAGCAGGAGTTGAACAAATCAAGTAACACCGATGCAAAAATTGTGGTTATCAGCTATGTGATCATGTTCATCTATGCGTCTCTGGCGTTGGGATCCGGAGCGTTAACTCTTCGGTCGCTGTTGACTAACCCATCAAACGTACTGGTTCAATCCAAGTTTACCCTAGCCATTGTTGGAATCGTGATTGTTTTGATGTCCGTTTCCTCTTCGGTTGGATTGTTCTCCGCCCTTGGCATCAAAGTGACTCTTATTATCGCAGAGGTCATTCCGTTCCTGGTGCTTGCCGTTGGAGTCGACAATATTTTCCTGATTGTTCACGAATTTGACCGTGTGAACATCAGCCACCCAGATGAGGAGATTGACGAGCGCGTTGGCCGTGCACTTGGCCGCATGGGACCTAGTATCCTTTTATCGGCGATTACTGAAACGGTTGCTTTTGCTATGGGTATATTCGTCGGCATGCCAGCTGTGAAAAACTTTGCTGCTTATGCCGCTGGTGCCGTTTTCATGAACGCCATCCTTCAGGTTACCATGTTTATCGCTGTTCTTGCACTCAACCAGAGGCGAGTTGAAAGTTTGCGTGCGGACTGTTTTCCTTGCTTTACCGTACGCCGAGCAACATCGTCTGGTTTGCCGGACGGAGTAGCGTATGATGATATGGCTGGAGAAAGCTTCTTGCAAAGATTTATCCGCCGTATCTACGCTCCAACTCTTCTAGACCGGAGAGCAAAGGCTGCTGTTATAGTCATCTTTCTTGGAATATTCACAGCCGGACTGGCCTTGATTCCTGAAGTCAAGCTGGGTCTTGACCAACGTATTGCACTTCCAAGAGACTCTCATCTCATACAATATTTCGATGATCTCGACGAATACTTTCAAACTGGTCCTCCAGTGTATTTTGTCACACGTGGAGTCAACATAACCGAAAGATCTCACCAGCGACAAGTTTGCGGGCGATTTTCTACTTGCGAAGAGTACTCGCTCCCTTTCGTGCTGGAACAAGAGTCCAAACGCCCCAACGTTTCCTATATATCTGGAGCTACTGCTAGTTGGTTGGATGACTTCTTTTACTGGCTGAATCCCCAACAGAATTGCTGCAAAGAAAATGGGAAAGTCTGCTTTGAAGATCGTACGCCACCTTGGAATATTACCTTATCAGGTATGCCTGAAGGACAGGAGTTTGTCCACTATGTTGAGAAGTGGATTGAATCCCCTACAGACGAATCATGTCCTCTTGGAGGAAAAGCTCCGTATAGCAACGCGGTTGTGATAGATAACCATCGCTTTACCATTAACGCCAGTCATTTCCGAACAAGCCACACGCCCTTGAAGAGTCAGACTGATTTCATCAACGCGCAGGCATCTGCTCGACGTATCTCGGGTTACCTATCCAAGGAACACAACATTGATATCTTCCCCTACTCGAAGTTCTATATTTTCTTTGATCAATACTCCTCTATCGTTCGTCTCACCGGGACTCTGCTTGGTACGGCCGTCGGTATCATCTTTGTTGTCAGTTCAGCGTTACTGGGATCTGTGGCTACCGGTGCAGTTGTTACCACGACCGTCGTCATGATAGTCGTTGACATCATAGGAACCATGGCCATTGTGGGTGTATCACTCAATGCAGTTTCGCTTGTCAACCTAGTGATTTGCGTCGGTATCGGAGTCGAATTCTGCGCCCATATTGCTCGTGCATTCATGTTCCCGTCGCGTAACTTGCTAGATAGAAGCCCAAAGTTGCGTGGTAAGGATGCCCGAGCCTGGACAGCACTCATCAATGTCGGAGGCAGCGTCTTCAGCGGCATCACTATCACGAAATTGTTGGGTGTCTGTGTACTTGCTTTTACGCGAAGCAAGATTTTTGAGATCTACTATTTCCGTATTTGGTTGGCTCTTGTGATTTTTGCCGCGTCCCATGCCTTGATTTTCCTCCCTGTTGCTCTGAGTTATTTTGGTGGAGAAGGTGAGCATCATATCTTCCTAGTATACGTCTTCCACACTAACCGGATCATTTAGGCTACGTGGACCCAGAGTCAGATGGTGGCTTGGAAGACAATCTCGCCGCTCGCGGCTATCGATCACTACTAATGAACGACGAGTATGACTCCGAAGAAGAGGATTGAGATCGTACTCGGGGTCTACATAACGGAGTTTCATGCTACAATATGTGTAACGTAAAGAGAATATCGTGGATGTTCAGCTACTCTGGTGGAGTTTTGATTTGATGGAGTTTGGTTTTTAAGATCGCCAGATTTTTGATTAGCCAGAATAGTAGATGGTATGTCTATCCATTTTGTATGTACGAGGAATGGGCGTATAAATAATATTTGAGCAATATAAAGCATTTATCCAGGAATGGGAAGATAGTTGTAATGCACTTTCGTCTTTGCGTAGGTGAATTCTCAGCGAGCGGTTTTACTATATCAGGACCTGCTCCTGTATCATTCGGGTCAAAACAGAAAGTTCATTTTCACACCCATGGATCCAGGATCATAGTCATCATCGCCTCCACGTATCATCAATACTAGCACTTAAGCCCTGACAGCCCGTAGGCACAGTATAGCTACGATTCGGGTCACTCTCCCACGTAATACTGCCATCAGTATTCTTAATGATGAACTTATACTGAAACGACTCGCCAGCCGGCAGATCCACGGTGACCGTCCATAGAGGATTAGAAGATGTATATTGACTCGCCGACATCAGCACGGCGCTGGACGTGCTCCACGAACCGAGTTGACTAATCGAGCCGGAAAGGTAAACTTCCTGACCATATGTGGTCGTGACGGTCTCCTGGAATGTGACTGCAACAGTTGATGCGGCTGTACACTCTGGACTCCTATCGCCATTGCACAACGAGCTACCGGAGACAGAAGACCAGGGTAAGAACGCCCTCGGCTCTCCGGAGGCCATGGGCACGGCGATAATGCCACTCGAACTAACGGTGACGTTTATGCAGGTGTATAGTTCGGTAAGGAGAGTGCCGGATGAGTAGCCGCTACCGCTGAGGGAGAGGATGTATGAACTCCCGCTGGAGCCGAGGTTGGAGAGAATGGTGATTAGTTGTAGGCCTGATGTACCTTTGCGCATTGCGATTGTGTTGGAGTCTTGGTATATAGGTATATTCTTTTGTCTTGCTGTTAGTACAAAAACCTACAGCCAGCTCAGGGTTGAGAAGATGAAGCTTACTTTATAAGTCAGAAAACCCGAATCCTTGCCCATGGCCAGTGTGCGAATGGTGTTTGATGTTGCAGTATGTGTGTATAGTTGTGCAGTGGTCGAGTAGTCAGATGGCCAGAGAGCTTCGCGGTTGAGGGGAACGTTTCCTCCACTAAAGTGCTGTTCTTGTCCATAGTACAGGATTGGGATACCGTCTGTGAGGAAGATGAAAGAGATAACATTCTTCGCTTCTGAGTAGTCGCTAGTGTAACTATATAGATATCATACTATAAGAATCATACGGCCATCCCCGAGGATGAGAGGAGAATACTCACGATGCGAATCTAGGATTGTCATGATTCTCAATGAAGTTCCCGAGGAGAGTTGTGTCGGCACAGTCGGATTTGACAGTGTTGATCATGTCATATAGATTGCTAATGCTGCCGCTGGAGGATTCAAAAGCGTAGAGCAATTGCCAGTAACTATATGATACTCCTATTAGCAGTCTCAATGTTAACCAGGGTATGTGAGTGGCAACTTACATCGGATAGTTCAACACTCCGCTAAGGTAATTCTGATAGGGGCATACATATGCTGGATCACCGTCGTCTACTTCTCCGATACAGTAAACGCCAGCAGAATCCTCGAAATCGGGAAAGAAGTCTTCTTGAATGTGCGCTGCAGAGTCGATACGGAGTCCGTCGACTAAATTAGACAGTCAGTACAAGTGCCTAATTGTGGTCTAGAGCAAGACCGGGGGAATCATACTGGAATAATTAGCAACAAATGACTTCGCCCAGGAGTTCCAAGTGTCTTTGACGTATGTTTGAGTAGTGTTAAGATCCGGTAGAGAGACATAGGTGTCTCCTTCCCAGCAGTCCTCGACGTCTGTCTGGTTATTATAGTTGGTAATCAGACAGTAGGGATGGTAGTAACTTTCTGATGGAAATGGGTTGAAGATACTATAGTCGACGCTGGTGCCGGGCCCATCATATGCCTAGATACTTTCTGTCAGATACTCTGTCCGATTTCACCCACTAAAGAAGCATGAGTCGTACCATATTGTTTACCACGATGTCAACCATCAGGTACATTCCTCGAGAATGTAGCGCATTGGAGAGTGCAAGTAAATCTGAGGAGGAACCGTAATGGGCGTTGACCTCGTAACTAGAACGAAGTCAGAATCAGGTGAATGTTGTAAGAATCAAGACCATAGGTTGAAAGGTTTACCTACGCATTCTGCTGCCAATAACCATGGTAAGCTTCGCCATCCTGAGTGTCGCCTTCAAAGTTCTCGGTGACTGGCGTTATCCAGATGGCTGTAAATCCCATACCCTGGATATAGTCGAGCTGTTCATGTCTCAATAATAACATTTAACGTCTAATACGACATGGAATTACATACATGATTGATCACCCCCTGCCAGCTACCGCCACAGTATAGCTATTGACCTCATCAGTGTAATAGTTAAAGGAGGAAGTACTCAGACCTACCCCGTCAGCAACATCGCAAGAAGCCGTGGTCGAGTTACTAGTCAATCCAAAGCGATCCGTAAGCAAGAAGTAGATGGATTGACTGCGCCATTGGCCCGCAGACAATCCCAGTGTCATACTAGCAAGAATACTCCACACCAGAGAAACGTTGGATAGCTTCATAGTAGCGGATGTCGTACGTCTATTATTGGGAGTACGTGAGGTTTGGATACTCAAACACAACAGACATCTCCTACTTGCCGAAGAGAAGCATATCTTGGTCTTTTTATCTATTCGACTAAAAATTTGACTGAGAGCCGGATGTCGGCTTTTCCTTACTTACTCCGCAATCTGGGGGACGCGAAAGTATGCATACCGGTAGAAAAGCCCTATGTAGGCAGATCCAATGGACTAGGTATGGAGGTAGGGGTTTAGGTAAAGAACAGATACAAGGAGTACTATAAACGAATTTTCATTTGCAACTACGCGGTCAGTTGACGCTTTCTGGTGCCTGCGTGTCCCAAGCTAGCTCATAAATAGAATAGCTTATTCGAAAATCCTGAAGAGAGTACGTGGATTGCAATCAATTTTAGCAGACATAAGCAATGTGGCGTCAAGCCTCGTCTCACCTGGTGTCGGTGAAGGACGGTAGATGATAACAAGCTAGTTTTTCATGGCGGACAACTCGACGAAACAGGTTCGTCCTCTCAGAGTCAAATCTCCACACACGGACAATTACCGGACATAGACCATTCCCTTTGTAGTATTATATTTCACTTGACTAAGTGGCTTCAATACACCATAGACCGGGTCCCAGAACGAATCCGCTGAGGAAGCTGAGGGTCACATTGACTCGGAGGTTTTCCTCTCCACTACAAAGTATAGCGCAGACACTAGGAAGAGAGATAACAGATAGAATGGAAACCATCAATGCGTACGCGGTGTCACCTTGGACAGATCGACTGCAGGTGAGAGGCGAATGTGACAGAGAGAAAGCCATCGGAATCGCCAACAGTGCAGAAGGTATCCTAATCGCCACCAGCTCGTCCGCCAAGGGTGACATGGTAGGCATGGGAGGCAGCATTAAGGACACCTAGGTCAACATTGCAGATGATGTACTGACTAGCTACACTGCAATGCTATTAAGACGAACAGAACAGAACCCATACACAGCTAAGCTGGAAGCAATAGCTACAGAATTGAAATGTATTCTGCCATGGGTCTTCAGTAGACAAGTGACAATCCTCAGCAGCAATTGATCTATATTAGCTGCTATTGGACAACCGCGCCAACAGTCTAACCAAAGCGTGATTCAACAGATATATATAATGGCCCAGCTTCTTCGGGGAAGGGAAAATGTGATCAGCCTACTTTGGGTCCCAGCATATACTGATTCTGCATTAAGATTGAAGGCGAAAATGGCCACTTAAAGATCAACAAAAGAAGAATGTGAACCAGAAAAGCAACCGTACCAGGCTAAATCTACCGCAGTGAGACTTGCTATCACCAAACAACGATATACGAGAGCCCTTCCAGATGGAGTGGGTAACTACTCAAAGACCATTGACTCAGCCTTGCCAGGAAAGCACATCAATAGCATATATGATGGGCTGAAGCGGAAAGAAGCTATAGTTCTGGCGCAACTCCAGACAGGAATGACTAGGCTTAACAGTTACCTGAATAGGATAGGAGCCGTAGAGTCAGACCTCTGCGCTTGTGGCCAGGCAAGCGAGACTATAGAGCACTTTCTATTCCGCTGTATAAAGTGGGTAGGAATGAGAGAAGGCATGCTATAGTGTACAGAAATGAGAAGAGGGAGTCTGTCTTTTTACCTTGGAGGAAAGGCACAATCTGATCCTGAGCGATGGCGACCAGATATTAAAGTGGTACGAATGACAATTAGATATACAATATCAACAGGAAGACTTGACACAGAGCAGGAACAGGAGCCAAGTCAATCACTGCAAAGCTAGCACTAACTAACTATTCCCACCCTCACATACGATAGACACCGCTGTAGCCGCCGAGGATAGGACGCTATACACTTAAGAAGACAGCCTTTAAGCCGGTCTATCAATTCTTTTTAACAAGATGTTGTGAACCACAGGCCAAGGAGGCCTTAACTCCGGATACCAAGATAAATACGTTGAAGCAGGAAAAGCAGGGGCTTGTAGGAGGAGAGGTCGGAAACACATGAATTGTATATATCTAGAGCACTATCATAGTGCCCTATAGGGTTAGCCCGTCCGGGCATAATAAATCATCATCATCATCACCATAAACCGGGTTTTCTTTCTCTGGGTATAGCACCAATTCAACCGCTCCCGTTCTCAAGGCAGTCTCACGTCAAATATGACTGCGTGACCTTTTTGGCTGACTGGTCTGTATATATTTCAACAACGGAACACCTATCATTCATGCCTTGGTATATGTCCATGAATATTTACCATGTCTCGCTGGGTCGGGCCAGGTTCTGTGATTCTTTCACCAAACCTTTCAAGGTTGGAAAGCGTTATACTAGAGCATGCCCCTTCCAAGCCTAGCCTTATAGCCCTATCTCCACTTCAACCATAAATGTACAACTTTTGTAGCGTCGAATTTATCCTTCGATCTTTCGGCGATATGCCATGGAAGTACGTATCCCCGTTGATTCGCCACAACTCGTATCCCCTGCTTTTGGAAACTCTGTGGTATATTGTGTGTCCGAAAACCCAAGCCTTGACTCCACTAGACGTTAATATCTGTGAGAGTACTTTAGTTCCAAATGCAGAGCTCCAGGGATTATTTGGATGCTCCGGGCTGGATGTATCCTGGAAGGACGGGGCATGATACTGCCTTTTCTTCTGTGTCTTGTTCTTGTTTTGTATGGATTCTAACTCGCTCAACAGCCAAGAAAGGTCTGCCTTATAATTCTCATTATGCTCTTCAACCGTTCAGTCTTCAATCTTCTTGAAATCTTGAATTTTAGTTGAAACAATATCCCGTGCTGCATCTGGGACTTTTGACCAGAGTGTGCAACCAAGCACAGTAACATGGGATTCAGGTATATCGTAACGACCCCAGTGGAGCAGGATCAAAAAGCCATTTAGAGATGGCTCCTGCTCGAGCTGCTTAGCTTTCTGTAGCCCTGCCGCAAAAGTGTCATTATAGAACTCATCAAAGGCACATCACGGCCCTGGTGATGAGTAATAGATTCGATACTACCAGTCGTATCACGTTTATCATATAGATATCTCTCTAAAGTGGCGTGGAACCTGAAATTCACATCATACGGTAACGGGTATCTATTACAAGGCCCTATCTGGGCCATATGATGGCAACAGTCCCCGCCCAGCATTATAAAAGTATCACCAACATAAACATCGCTAAAACGAGAAGTTATCCTAGCCAATGCTGAGAGGTGGCCTACCGCATGACCGGCTGTATATAAAAGATATAACGAGCAATCACCGAAGAGGTCGTGAGCTGGATGGCCATTAATATCCAGAGGAAAGTCTGTTATCTTGACGGTCATCTCATCCCAAGTAGTCAGACTCCAAGATTGGGATTCGAGAATTCGAAAGAAATCCAGTACAAAGGTTTTAGTGAAACCTGGCCTTGTTATCACTGATGTCGAAGGCGGGAATTTCGACATATCGCCAACATGATCCCAATGCCAGTGACTCAAAACCACGCTGTTGATGCCTTCAAGGACAATATTGTTTTCTTCAAAATCTTCCGGGACATCCTTTTTCACTTCGGCTGTCCAGCCAGCCTCACGCATGCGATCTGCGACAACAGGCGAAAGATTGTCCCAGTCTTTGCGGACTTCAAGGTCAAACAATATCCGTTTTCCTGATGGATGTCCAACGAAATACGAAAAGCTAGGCACTTTGTCAAGTGTTTTTAGACCAAGAATGGTCGGTTTTGCAAATCGTGACATTGGAAATTTGGAATGCTGCCAAGAAAAGCAGTGCAGATGAACGTGACCTTTACGGCCACACTTCCTTTCGGAATTGTGATGCTGCCACTCATGCTGTCAACGATAGATCGCGAATAAAACCATTTCACCACCATGGCAAGTTGGGAAGACTGTAAATCAAAGCAGATTGCAAGGATCTCTAATAGAAGTTGTCGAGATCTCCAACTATTGGCTTACAACCGATAGCAACTATGAAGTCAACGTCACTTCTACAAAAGAATATTCCCTACACAGTGAGTGAACGACTACTTCATTGGGCACGGAGCTACTAATTCAGCTGTCAATAGTTTCACGACCCCACGCTCTTGGATAATCGGCCTTATGTGGGTGGAACCTGGAATAACCACAATGAACGAAAGACATTCGAAGTAGAAGGTATGCCTCGTCTTGTCGTGAATTTTCTCTAGGCTTCCAGCAAAGGGGAAACAACCCATGAAGGTAACAGAACTCGTCTAGATCCCACCGATCAACAAATCTTGGCCCATATTATAGATTGCAATGCATCGGACTACAGCGCTGCTATCGAGATAGCTCACAAGACATTTCCTTCCTACAAAACCCTCTCCCCTAAAATACGGGGTAAACTTCTACGAAATTGGTCACGGCAAGTATCAGAATCTGCCCAAGATCTGGCAGCTATCTGTACTCTTGAATTGGGCAAACCATTCAAAGAGTCGCTTCGAGCTGTGGACTATGCTGTAACGTTCCTCGACTGGTTCGCCAATCTTGCCGAACAAGGCTGTGGGATGAGTCCATTCCAAGCTCTGCTGCTGCTGAAGGACGGGCGACTAGAATCTGGACCATTCGTCAACCAGTCGGTGTCGTCTGCGCTATTACACCCTAACAATTCTGGTGTGCTCAAGAAAATTGCACCGGCTCTGGCAGTCGGATGCACAGTTGTACATAAGCCGGCGCCAGAGACACCACTGTGTGCCATAACTCTCGCAAAAACCTGCGAAAGAGCCGGGTTTCCTGCAGGTGCTTATAACATGTTACCAAGTTCACCGAAAAACGCGTCGTCAATTGGTTCTCTCTTCTCCTCACATTCTCTGGTACGCCATGTAACATTCACGGGCTCAATTAGTGTCGGGAAATTTCTGGCTGAGAAGTGCGGAGCGAATCTGAAAAAGATGACCATGTAACTCAGGGGATATGCGCCCTTCATAGTGTTTGAGGACGCCGAGATAGATTTGGCTGTAAAATGTGAGTGTGTTCTGTTTGTTGTCTACACAAGCGCAAGGAGCTGGCAATCTAACCTCCGAGAACATAATGAAATACAGCGCTATTGGCATGTAAATTTGCTTCTGCTGGGCAAGTATGCATCTATGCCCATCGAGTATTCGTACACAGATCCATATTAGACAATTTCGTCCAGAAACTGCTCGAGGCGATTCAAAAGAATGTACGCCTAGGAAATCCGTGGGATGATGGAACGACTCTGGGACCTCTCTACGCAACCAACGGTGCTGAAAAAGTCCATAGACTGGTCCAAGACGCTGTAGAAAAAGGTGCTCACCTGTGTACCCCAGATATCTATCAAGAGGGATCCGCTTTTTATCACTTCGATTCTCGGTGATATGACAGAACATTTTCGACGCAGCAGTCTTTCCGAAATTCATCGACTTGACATTGAAATTGCTTTGTTGAACTGGATTAATGACCTTCCAGAGCCTCTTCACCTCTATGACCGCAAAACACGGACCCTTAATCCATATGAGTTCAAGATTCGGCACTTCATGTTCCATACTTTGTAGCGCTGATAATCTTCTATCGTTCTGAGACATCAGGTCACCCATTCTCCCTCACAAGCCTCCTAGCTGCCTCATTTGTCTCTGGAATCTCCGAAGAATACATATCCTGGGGCGATGTATCATTCCTTGCTTCCGCTTCTATATTTTACCTGCTGGTGGCCAGTTTGATACAATTATCCTCCTATCGATACTCTCATTTCAAACAGAATGCCGAAAACGAAATTCTGATAGCCCGTACAACTTTCAACGAGCTTTCGAAGCGCTTTCCTACAGCACATGGCGCAAAACGAATTTTCGAGAACCTCTTGTGTAAATCTCGTCAAATGGCTCCTGCGACCCAAACATTCCCCATGATTTTGTCTCCATTTCAACAGCAATTGTTCGCGCCTTTTGGTCCAGATCTTTGTCCTTCCTGGACTGTGTTATTTGGCTCCAGCGATGTGTCTGATGGGTTGCACCAATCTGCGTCGATGCAAAATGACAAACCAGTTCGCCGCTTGGAAAACAGTCGTATGCTAGATCTGAATGCTGGACAGGTATCGCATACCCCATGATATGACCTCCGATCTAACCCTTAACGCGCACGCCGAAAGAGCTCAAGAAGGTAGCAGCAATAATATGAAGTTTGTGCAACCCGCAGAAGATATAAGTGACTTGACATGTTCATCCTGCGCGCATATAATTCACCAATCCAGGTCCCTTCTTACTTCACCTTGCAGACGGTTTTGCAACTTATCATATGAATTTAGTACACACCATGTTACGGCCAGTTGCTCTCGGGCTTCGGGTATTTCCTCTCAAGATCGAGAATTTACAAAATGGCGCTGACCTGAACGACCGCTAGCCATTTTCTTTTACTCTTAGAGAATCTGAGCACAAAGCGATGAGTCTCTAGAAAGATGGCATGTGTCTAGCTAAGTGGTGAGGTCGAGGGTTGATATCAATACCTCGCCTAGAACGGGCTAGTCCCATTATGGCATCCAGGCAGGAGTCTACATGCATCAGGTGATATCCTGCCACAAAGTTGATCTCAGTAGTGGTCTCATCTTGGTGAACCTGTCTTTTTAAGAGGATCGGATATGGTTCAACCATGATAACAAGATTAGAAGAACCTATTCTTGTTTTGCGGACAGACTGGTCAGGGAAGTAGATTGAGATGGTTAATCAACCATACTACATAAGGAAATTTGCATCTGAGCTTCTCGGTTGGGAGCCGACATTCCGCGTGTGCTGGCCAGTTTCAGGGTTTAACAGTACCAGCTGACAGCCTGAGAGAAACTCAATGGTTGCTATTAACCGGAGCTAGCTATTCAGTAGCATGCGCGGGGTATAATAGTTGCTGTGAAGAACCTTGGAACAAAGGGCATGGTTTTGCGGCGAGTAAACCACAGACCTCTGACTACTAGTCAGCACATGGACTATTACGTGAAGTCAAAGAATCTCTGTACTCCAAACTCGCCGAGGCGTCTAAATTCTGGCCCCATTTGTGGAGGCGAGGCTGGAAATTTAGCCAACGAAATACTGGGCACTAGTGAATTGTCATGACAAGCTCGGCAATGGGAGATGTGTTCTATGCCGAAAATGCCACTGCTATCGTATCATGAGATGGTAAGCGCTTTGCTACTGGTACTTAGCCAGCCAGCTGCTTCACCGACTGACTCGGGGAGCCACAGCACAGAAGCCATCCTGCTAATTACTCCCAAAGTGACGGAGGAAAGGATCTTACAAGACCGGCTATATACGTTCGACACACGCTTTAGGAAGTACACCCCGTACTCCGTCCTCAGCACTCTATTATTGCGGGGAACTCGTTTCCCCAGAATGGGTAAATGGACCAGTCTGGGTATGATTGACTCCCCCCTTATTTGCTAGTATCCAGTGTCCACTCGCCGCCCCGATGCACTTGGCGGCCCGAGATGCACGGGCACGGTTAACCTAAATATTAAGTGGTCAATCGATTGGAGAAGGTTTCAGTCCCTTACTCCCTTCGACTCGCTTGAGCGAGATAAGCCTTCCTGTTCTCTGCGCAGCTGTCACCGCAAATTCCCCCGGTTCCTGTCCCATTTCCCCAGATTGTCGCGTGGCAAGAGCAGCTTTAGCCTGAATTTGGGGCGACAGCAAGAATCAAAGATATTCATTTGTTGATTCACACTGCTTTATCCAGCAGCAAGGTATAGTCACCCCATGGCCTGTCGCTATTGGCTATTAAATATACAAAAAAAGCAGCCGCCACATGGTGTGTATCTTGCCCGGGTATATTAGAGATGGAAGGATTTAGCCGCGGCTTTTGAAATGTAGGATTCAAATAGAAGCCTCATCTCGAGTGTCGGGGATTCTCTTCATCTTGTACACCCTCCACGAGTCAGATATCGCTGTCTTAATCTTGAGTCCTCAACACGAAGGCTTAGCTTGCAAGAAACGGTTCGCTCGACCTGCAAGTGATTATGGGAAAAGACACCTTTGAGCTCGCTGGCCGCGAGTGGCCCAAAGTAACATGGTGGAAGATGAAGGGGATGCGATTTGTGTATCTCACTTTGTGGGCTGCTATGATTACATCGGCTACAAACGGTAAGGAGTCTGATTGTGAGATCACAGAGACGGAACAGAATTGCTAACTAGTTGGTTTAGGTTACGACGGTTCTTTGATGAATGGTCTGGAGGCAATGGACTCTTGGAAAGCGTGTAAGTTATACTTTTTGTTTTGCCTTTCGCAGACGGAAGATATGGACTGACAATTTTCAGCCTACCACTATCCTTCCAGCAGTACTCTAGGTTTACTGACAGCAGCTATGTCAATTGGATCAATGTTGGCAATCCCAGTGGTTCCCTATGTTGCTGATGTTCTGGGAAGGCGAGCTGGCGTTGTCATTGGCTGCGTGATCATGTTGTTTGGGGTCGCCATGGTCTCCATCGGATACCGTGTTGCTCTCTTTGTCGTGGGACGTATTATCCTCGGATTTGGTCTTGGTATTGCTCAGGTAACAAAGTAATGGTCTCAAATGATAGACGTCTAGAGAGCTAATAGTTCGCACAGGAATGCTCTCCTCTTCTAGTGGCTGAGCTCGTCCATCCGCAACACCGAGCAATCTACAGTACCATCTACAACTCGCTTTGGTATATCGGTAGCTTAATTGGCGCATGCGTTGCCCTGGGTATGTTGTCCAAGAGGTATCCAGGTTTTATAGCGTGTTAATGATTATGTATAGGTACAAATCACATCCAACACAGTGCGTGGTCCTGGCGTGTACCTTGTCTTTTGCAGGGTATTCCGTCCATCTGCCAGCTTGTTTTTATCTGGTAAGAATGTATTAAGCACAACAGATGCGAACATACACTAACAGTCTACCTTATAGGACTGTACCAGAGTCTCCTCGTTGGCTTATTTCGAAGGGTAAACATGCTAAAGCGAAGCGGGTCCTGGCTTATGTCCATGCTCAAGGCGATGAAGACGATGAGCTGGTGAATGTCGAGTTTGAGGAGATTCAGCAGACTATCGCCCTGGAGAAGGAGTTTGAAGGTAACTCTTGGTCTGAACTATGGTCGACTCCTGGAAACCGACACCGCTCTATCATTTTGATCTCTATTGGTTTCTTCTCACAATGGTCTGGTAATGGTATTGTTTCTTACTTCCTGCCTCAGGTATGTTACAATTATTGTCATTCGAAAGTGACTGGCAACAGCTAATCAGTATAGGTCCTCAAACTCATCGGAATCACGAACAGCAACACTGTCCTGACTATCAACTCAATCCTCAATGCTGTCAACGTCGTTTCGGCCACCGGTATATGCTTCTTTGTCGACAAGTTCGGTCGACGCAAACTTTTCCTGACCTCCTGCGCTGGCATGATTTCCTGCTTTGTTGCCACTACTATTGCCCTGGCTCGTTTCCAAATAGACCACGACGCTGGCAAGGGCACAAACCAGAACGCCGCAAATACAGTTATTGTTTTCATATTCTTGTTCTACATCTCCTACAATATCGGCTTCAGCGGTATGCTTGTATCTTACTCTTCTGAGATTCTGCCTTATCGCCTCCGTGCCAAGGGTCTCACTCTCATGTTCTTCTGCGTTGATTTGAGTTTGTGGTTCAATCAATACGTGAACCCAATTGCTCTCGATGCTATCCACTGGAAGTACTACATCGTATATTGTGTGTGGTTGGTGTTTGAGACTCTTGTTGTTTGGAAATTCTATATCGAAACCAAGGAGACACCTTTGGAAGAGATTGCTAGATTCTTTGATGGCGACGGAGCTATTGTTGGAGGTGGTGCTGCTACGGAAAAGACTCGTCAGCTGGCTAGCACTTTGGACGGTCCTGAAGCTCATGACTCCGAGAAAGTCATCGCAACGCAGACTGAGATTGTGGGATGAGGTGAAATTGTCCTTTCAACGGTGGAGTCTTGGCTGGGCCAGGGTATCTTTATGACCTCGGGGTGATCTGTGAATCCTGAATATTGAAGCTACAATGCTGAATGGATACGTATACCTGTCTATATAATGCCCTAACTTATAATGCCTCTTTCTCACGTAATTATATACGATATCCTTATTCCTAAAGTACCTAGGTATCCCTATGCATAGATGCAGACTATATTCATATTAAGTAGGTATGAAAATTTGGAATCCCTTATAAATTTTAAGGCACAATACAGTCTTTCAAGAATCTTTCCTGTCAACGGGCATAAAAATGCGCATATTTAGCTTCGTAATGCAGAGCGGTACTTCTGTTTTTATCCCGAGCGACTCTATATCCAGAGTCGTACGACAAAAGAGATAGGATATACCCGGCACTCCATCGCAAGACAGACTAAACAACTCCATTGGCAGGATTCGTCAAGCAATAATCTAAGTGATATGTCCGGATTTCCCGCCTTAAGTCCTATCAGACAGATTCAGTATCAGTAGAAATCCACTTATACCCAGACATTATAAAAGAAAGGTAGCAAGAGTTGGGGAAGAAACCGCCCACGGGAATAGGTGGCTAGTACTACCGTCGCTGAAAATTGCAAACGTCGAGATAAACACGCAAATTTGCGTTCCTCTATCAAGAGCAGCGGATATAATGTACTCTATATTAGTCGATCCTAAGAGCGAATGAGCGTTCGTAGCCGGTAAAATGATCATGATAAAAAACTCGATACTTATTCATATTCCTACCAACAACTTCGACTTGCACCATTCTATTTCAACTTGTTTCATTACTATCCCCACCAGCCATCGGAAGACAATATACAACTGACAACTGACAAGCTTGACATACCTGTGATTGCGTGAGACGGAGTTTTCCGTTTGTTATCCATGGATACCCGGCAGTAGCATGCCACTATTGACTCCTGGGATACACTTGCAGATTGAGTCGGATAGGAAAAAGGGTCCATTCATTTTGAATGTGCGGCGGAGACATTTCAAGTATCAATGGTACCACTTGATTATGGAAAGTTGATAACCATCTGGGCAGGTTTGACCCCTCCTTATTCTTTGCAGTATGACAAGGCTATACATCGCGTGTTATCTAAACCCTGGTCCATTCAGGAAGGTTAGTGAGAACTCAAGAGACGACAACTATCATTCCCCAAAGAGATGCCTAGAGAGACATGCTGGTAATTGACGTGATATGAACGTTGATCGTGTGGATAAAGCCCTCAGAAAAAACTTCGGTATTCGAGGTTTACTGAATCGCCGCGGAGCTAGATGTAGTCGTAACGAGCTATAGACCGATACGCCCCGACGACAGTACATCTTGGCCCAGTTGCTAATCGGTGGATGGGTGGAGAAGAATGCCCATCGATATGTTGAAGAGGCATATCTTGACTTGACAGGCGAGGAGCTCTTGATCTGGATCGGTAGGCACAGAAAGAGTTACTGGTATGTTTAAGGAGTCGCGATTAGCCTAGTTGTGATGTTTGCTAAGTTCTTGCGGGTCTCAGGAAAATTTCTCATAGAACATACGTACCCTAATGTGAGTGAAGACAGTGTTAGGGTATTAGGGTTAGGGTATAAAAGAGGGGGAAAACATGTCCCAAAAAGGAAAAGTGCGGGGTGGAGAGGCGTGTGCTGCTTTGATTGGCTGAATGAGCTCTCTACATTAACGCTATTCCCAATTGGGTTTGATAGCTGGTGGGACGACGGCAAAAAAAAATTCACCTTTTTTTCTCCTCTCCTCTCCATTAAGTGCAAAATCAAAATACACATTTCTTTTTTTTGTCTCTTGTTTTCTCTTGCTTTTCTTTATGCTCCTTTTGCTCTCAAAGAGATTTGAGGAGACTGCAGAAGTTTTTGGTGTTTGCAGCAAGTCTGTTAGCTTGTGGCCCCGCATCACAGGTTTTCTTCTTTCTTGAGAAATTGTTCACGACGCTTTGCGTCAAAATAGGGGTTAGAAAGAAGAAGGCAGAAGATACAGTTACACAAATCAGTTGCCTACCATGGATCAACAGAGATTTCTGCAGCAACTGCAAATCATCCTTAACCGTAAGAGCATCTTCTTACTTGGACTGATCGCATAAGACTAACGAGTCATGTTGCAGCTTCCACTGGTGACTTGAAGGAAGCCACCAGTGTCCTTCAAAAAGAGTTCTACAACAAACCCGAATCATTCCTTTTCCTCCTCCAATTAGCCACCTCTCACGACAGTGATGATCTTCGTCAGTTGGCTGCCGTTGAGGCCCGAGGCCTTGTAGGCAAGTTCTGGCTCAAGGTCCCTCAGAACCAGAAGCCTCAAATTCGGGAACAATTACTCCGAGGAACCATGAGCAGCAGCTCCGAGCTTGTTCGTCACGCTATTGCCCGTATTGTTTCCTCGGTAGCCAAGATCGATCTTCAGGACGGCGAGTGGGCCGATCTGCCCAACTTCTTGCTTCAGGCTGCCCAGAGCGGAAACAAAGAGGAGAGGGCGATTGGTGTCTACATCTTCTTCACTATCCTCGAGTCTTTGGGTGAAGGGTTCGAAGATAAGTTCCAGGACTTATTCACTCTCTTCAGCAAGACCATCCGTGACCCCGAGAGCGCCGAGGTCCGCATCAATACTCTTTTGGCTTTGAGCAAGCTTGCAATGCATCTCGACTCGGATGAGGACGAGGTCCCTGTCAAGGCCTTCCAGCAAGTTTTCCCAGACATGGTCCGTGTCCTCAAGGATGCTATCGACACCACTGACGAGGACCGTATCATGCAAGCCTTTGAGGTCTTCCAAACCTTGCTCGGATGTGATCCGGCATTGATGAACGTCCACATGAATGATCTAATTACTTTCATGAACGAAGTTTCCGCAAACACACAGCTGGCTGAAGATACCCGAACTCAAGCCATTAGCTTCCTTATGCAGTGCGTCAAATACCGCAAGCTCAAGGTTCAGGGTCTTCGTGTTGGTGAACAGCTTACCCGCACCGCTCTTCACATTGTGACTGAACTCGATGACGACGACGATGAAGACGAGATTACTCCCGCTCGCTCTGCCCTTGGCCTTCTCGACATGCTTGCTCAGAGCTTGCCTCCAAGCCAGGTCGTTGTACCACTTCTCCAGGCTCTTGGCCAATACTTCAACAGCGAAAACCCAGACTATCGTCGTGCCGGTATCCTGGCTTTGGGTATGTGCGTTGAGGGTGCCCCCGACTTTATCAGCAGTCAGTTCGGTGAAATATTCCCAATTGTCCTTCATCTTCTCAGCGACAAGGAACCCAAGGTTCGCCAGGCTACTTTGCACGGTGTTGCCCGTCTTGCAGATGATCTCGCAGAAGATGTTGGTAAGGAGCATGCCAAGCTCATGCCTCTTTTGGTGCAGAACCTCGCTAGCGCCATGGAAAACTACAAGGGCGAGGAAAGCGGCCCCACTGTTAATATTATGAAAGCTGCTGTCAGCTCCATTGATGCTGTCGTTGACGGGCTCGATGAGAAGGATATCGTCCCTTACCAGGATGAGCTTGTTCCCCTCTTGCACAAGCTCTTCCAACACCCTGATTTCAAGATTAAGGGTCTCACTGCTAGCGCCATTGGATCTCTCGCGTCTTCTGCGGGTGAGGCTTTCCTCCCTTACTTTGAAAAATCCATGCACCTTATGCAGGAATATGCCACCAAGAAGGAAAGCGAGGAGGAGCTTGACCTCCGTGCTAGCATTATTGATGCTATGGGTGAGATGTCCGCTGCAGCCGGTCCTCAACACTACCAACCTTATGTTGAGCCTCTTATGCGTGCTAGCGAAGAAGCCCTTCACCTTGACCACTCTCGTCTCAAGGAAAGCACCTATATGCTGTGGGGATCCATTTCCAAGGTTTACGGAGAGGACTTCAAGCCTTTCCTTGATGGTGTTTTTAAGGGCTTGAGCGCTTGTATCGAACAGGAGGAAGCCGATCTTGAGGTTGAACTTGGTGACGCCGCTAAGGACCTCGTTGGTCAGGAAGTTACTATTGGAGGTCGCAAGGTGAAGGTTGCCGAAGCCTCCGATGATGAGGATGGTGACATTGAGGATATTGACCTTGACGATGAGGATGACTGGGAAGACTTCACTACCGTTACACCTTTGGCTCTCGAGAAGGAGATTGCTGTCGAGGTTATTGGCGACTTGATCAGCCACACCAAGGGTGCCTATCTCCCTTACTTTGAAAAGACCATTGAGTTGGTTCTTCCCCTTACCGAGCATCCTTATGAGGGTGTCCGCAAGAGCACCATCAGCACTTTGCACCGTGCGTACGCCACCTTGTTCTCCTTAGCTGAGGAGAATGGCCAAATGCCAAAGTGGCAGCCTGGTCTTCCCCTCAAAGTCCAGCTTCCAGTTGAGGTCCAAAAGTTCGCTGAGATTTTGATGACTGCCACCATTAAGATGTGGGGTGAAGAAAGTGACCCGTATGTATTTTTTTTTTCTTTCTTGATATTTCCCTTCTTATACCGGACTGGCACAAAAAGACTGTTCTACATGATGACAACACCGTTACCCAGCTCACTCAGACATGCTATATAAAGCATGATTGCTGTTAACAACGTATTCCAACGTAACCTGATTTTGGTCATGTTATTTACACTTCACTCACAAAGTCCCTTTCGGATGTATGCTAATCAGACCTCATATATAGGGCTACCGTTGGCGATCTCTGTGGCAACCTTGCCGAAAACCTTCGTTACACTGGTCCTGCACTGGTTGCCAATGAGAATGTCTTGACCAATGTTGTCCAACAAGTAACTGACCTCATTACTAAGAAGCACGCCTGCCAGCAGGAATTCGCTGAAGATGAAGAGCTCCAAGAATCCGTCGAGGAGACTTCCGAGTTCGACTGGATTGTTATTGACCGTGCCCTTGACGTGGTTTCGGGGCTAGCTGCCGCTCTTGGCCCTGACTTCCCCCAGCTCTGGAAGATCTTCGAGAAGAGCGTCCTCCGATTTGTTAGCAGCTCTGAAAATATTGAGCGCGCTACTGCCGTTGGAACCCTCGCCGAAGTCATCACTGGAATGAAGGATGCCGTCACTCCGTTGACCGGCCGTTTCTTGCCGTTACTCTTGAAGCGTCTTGACGATGAGGACCCTCAGACAAAGTCCAACGCTGCCTATGCCACTGGGCGTTTGATTGAGGCCACAAACGATGCTTCTATCGTCTCTCATTTCCCCACCATTCTTCAAAAGCTTGAACCCTGCCTCCAGCAACAGGTGTCTCGTCTGCCGGACAATGCTACAGGTTGCTTGTCTCGCATGATCTTGAAGCAGCACGATAAGGTTCCAATTGCCGATGTGCTCCCTGCTATTGTCAGCATTCTTCCGTTGAAGAACGATTACGAGGAGAACGAGCCCTTGTACAAGATGATTGCACAGCTCTGTAAGCTCCTCTTCATCATGAGTTTGCTATCCCTAACATCTACTAATACTGTGTTTAGACAAATGGGAGGATCCTACCGTCCGTAATCTCACTCCTCAACTTCTTCCCATCTTCCAGGCCGTTCTCTCCGACGACGAGCAATTGGAAGAGGAGCGCCGCAAGGAGGTGATGGAACTTGTCTCATGGCTCAACAAATAAACAATCGGTTTACTTCAGCCATCATGAGAACACCAAACACCAAAACAAAAAAAAACTCCCCCATTGACGATTTGTTAACGACGGATAGATTTAATGATCACCAAAGGAATGAAGAAAGGAGGAAGTAGTAGAATATCAGAGATACCCCGGGATTTTGATGACGAGCGACATGATTACCAAAATGGTTTGGAAGCGAGGAAAACTGGCTCCGATTGAACTTGAATGACTCAAAGAAACTCGGAGGGTATATTCATTTCAGTTGGGCGAGTGGACTAGGGTTTATACTGTGTTGGTTACTTTTATTTTCCCTTTGTTTATACATAAATAGCTCTTTCCCTTTGCCCACTATGTATCTTGTTCAATGTAAGCGTTGACATCAGATGGTACATAGACAGTTATGAACCCCTTTGGACATAGCCTTTTGCATTGATAAGCTCTGGTTCCAACTGAGTACTTATTCACAAGCTGAAGTATTAGGCCTTTCTCAGCCGAGCTCCAAACTTGTAAAAGACAAATGGTAACGGAGCCATGACGATGGCAATAAAACCGAGCAATGAATTGCCCCAACCGAGTCCCAAAGATCCATACAGAGATGGTCCGGCCAATGGAAGGAGAGCTCCCGTTACACTCCTTAAAATGACATTTGCAGATGTCGCCGAAGCAGCGTAGATGGGGTAACTGTCGACAATGTATGTGCTAATAGGTAGAAAAAGCCCTACAATACCGAATCCAAATGGCACTAGTGATATAATGGTAGATGCCCAGTGCAAGTTGTAGTCAGAACTCCAGCCGTACCAGAATAGTGAGAGGGGAAGAAGTAGTCCAAAAGGTATGCTCAAAATGAGGCGCATTTCCGGTGTGAAGGTGCCCTGGTTGGCCTGTGCAAGTTGGATTACAAGTTTGTCTGAGTATATTGTGAACAGTAGCCAGGCGAGTACATTGCCTAGGCCCAGGGAAATGTACGGAAACCCGGTCTCGCCAGTGTTGAATCCATATTTGTCCTCGAAGACCGTTGGGATGGTTGTGTAAAGCAGGTAGACAAGTCCAAAAACAAAAGAAATATACAGTGATAAAGTTAGAACGATTGGAGAGAAAACAATCAGATTTAGGGGTCTCAGTAAGTTTGTCCGGAGAATCTGCATTTCACTTTGCTGTCCTGAATCGTTATAGCAGCTCGCGAGGTCATCTCGGCCGAGCTCCTTACGTAGAAAGGCCGTTCTCTGCTCAATTATGACCTTGTGACATGTTTCTCTGGTACAGACAGCAATTAGCAGGGTGACTGGGCTAGCTGCAGCGAGCACAATCCAAAAATCCCAGCGCCAGCCGATATATTGAGTCACGAAGCCTCCAAGCAGGGGGCCGACGACAGGGCCTTACGAGGGATCAGCACCCATGCGATTCGTGTGACTGAATAGGCTTACCGAATAGCGGCCCGAGATTCCACATCCCTATTGCAAAGCCCCTATTATCAGGTCGAAACATGTCTCCGATGATGCTACCCCCGAGCGACTAACGTAACACGTTAGTAACTAACATCAATTACACTGAGAAGGGATATATATACCAAGCAGGCGGCACCGCCGACTCCGCTAAAGAACCGCGAAACAATCAGGATTTCAATGTTAGGAGCTAATGCACATCCAATCTGCCATAAACAGAAAAAGGCATTTGCTACACATAGGACCATCTTACGCCCATGTATCTCGGAAAGCGGACCAATAAATATAGGGCCAACAACATATCCCAAAAGATAGATGGTTACAGTCATTGATCCGAGAGTCGAATTTTCGTTGCCAAAGTCGGCATCCATGATGTTGATAGCAGGCGAGAGGATCGAGGTCGCGAATGGGGTCAGCAGCGTGATGGCAGACAGGAGCCATATCCATGTCCATTTTTGCAACCTGGAAAAATTGAAAGGCATCGCGGGGTCAATCTCACTCTGCCAACCCACGGTTCCTTTGTCAAGGTCGGTGACTGGAAGTGGTTCGTAACGAATTCCGCCGTTTCTCCTCTCTTGTTCAACGCGTACAGCTTGCGAAACTTGGCCGACAGCTCGTTGGTCAAAACCTACTTTCTATTTCTGCGTGTTAGATATCCATGGAATACGTTTGGAATACTCAAAATCGCACATTGTCCAATTCGAGATTTCTTATCTGATTGATGACCTCTTCCTTCTCTTCATCCCTGATCACACTCGGCGTTCTTTCAACAACATGTGATGAAGATTTTGCTTTACCAGCCATCTCAACATCATTAGAATCCATAGATGCTTATTTAGAGTAAGATGTAAGACGAGGCTCGGATGTCCTAGCGTGGGAGTATGGGCTTATATGGTCGAGATAGAAGACAGAAAATTTGAATTAGGCACCTGTAATCAGAGCGAGGTGCGACAACAAAGGTCTAGAGAATGTATGGTACCGCTAATATAAGTTAGAGATCTACAGATAAGAAGATCACACGCTTGCAAATTACTAGTACATAGGTTGATACAGACATGGGCGAACAAAGAACATGATGCGGACTACCTTGCTAGTCATATTATTCCTTGCTAGCCTCTAGATCACCTCTGTGATACCAGGCCGTAATAGCAGAATAATATCGTTAATTAATTGAACAGAGCGTGCTGGCAATAGGGGATGTTAATCTAAAGCCAACAGGTCTTCTACTTACCTCTTAAGAAAGGGTTGGAGTGTCGGTGAACGGGTACGACTTCGAGATTTAAATCTGCGCGCTGCTGCTGTAGTTGATTTAGCGAGAGAAAATAGACCACCAATCAGGCCTTATATACGCATCAAAGTGGATTTAGATGGTGCCAGCACCATATCCGAGATAGCCATAAGATAATGCTGAAGCCTGACAATAAATCACTCCATCGTCTCTTCAACTACCACTCTCTCCATCATGAGATTTCATTTCCAATATCGCCAAGATGTGGGAAACAATAAACAAAATCATGTACCATATTCACTTTGGGCCACATCAGCGCAAAGTGGAGAGATATCTTGATGAAGCAACCACTGGTACTGTACTCACCTTCAAAGGCATAAGTATTGGATATCATACTGACAGCAGGAGCTTAGACTCGGTACTGAATGATCTTGGGCAAGTTCTAAGATTAAAGGCCTCAGAAGTCGGACAGCTGTCGTCAATATTTCAATCGCACTGTTTTACCGATGGCGAGCAACGATGTCAGTAATCTGAGCGCCTAGGTTTGGTTATGACAACCACTAACAGAAAATAGATTGGACTGAAGAAAGTCTCAAACATCATATTAAGATCAACCATCCCGGCATCGCCACCACCGAGCATACAAACAGCCTCCTCTGGCGATGCTTTCATTTCTATGCCTACCACCCATTTCCTCGTCATGACATGCATCAAATTGATGAAAGTGTATTCCAGCGTGCGGTTATCCTCCTTGCTGTTCAAGGGACAGATTTCCTTGGCACCCAAGACGGAGGAGATTACTTCTGGCGGAACGATACTGATTTCTTCTATGATGCTGACTTCAGGCGAATTCTAAGAAGTATTAACCCTGCGTTTCCTGAACATAAATCTCAACCGACATCGCAAATATCTGTGGTTAATAATGTTATGGGCGTATTAGCTACAACTCAACCTTACGCGGTGACCCTCGCACCGTCGCCGGATCTTTTAGAATCTGCAGCTCGGAGATTACTTGACAGTGTTCCAGGAGGGAATAGACTACGGTATAGGCTATATGCCGACGATTTCTCGGGCCTTGTTACATTACTATTGCAATTGAGAATATGCAGCCAAAAATGGGGGATGACCCTCCATTATGGCGAATTTTTCCAATCATCAAAGTTGCTAGATCTATAACGAATGGAGTTTTCGTGCACGGCAGTCTCAACTCTAATACGTATAGCGAAGTGATGGATGTTCTGGTTAGTGGATAGCAACACTTCTGTTATTACGGCTCTGACCTCTTTTCCAGCCAAATCTGCGGATACAATTCTACCAACTGTGGACAGTGCTTTTTCAGCCAATAAAGACAAGAAGGACCTCTATCCAACGCGTCTCTAGCAGCCGGCTTTATATCAAGTGAAATTCTCCAGACAATCTCACTGTTTATACCTCAAGCATCAGTATCCGATCAGTCCCCTCTGACATTTCACATGCTTACCCAGCAACAAGAAGACATCTGATGATTTGACAATAATACGTCTCGTTAACGCTCTTTGGAATAACGCAAAACATCCACATGTTGTCATCTTTGTTAATGACATCTCATCTAGTGTATTTGGCGCATACTTCCCTAGGCCCCTATCAGCAGAATGCAAGATTGGTCGAGGCCATCTCCTCTTTCAGATAGCACCACAATTTTGTCTCCTTCTTTCGACTAGCCAGTCAATTCCTCTCCCCGATCTTATCAAAGTCCATGATTCATTAAACCCTTTACTGCAAGGTGATATTTCGGCATATAATATGTCGCCATCTGCGCCATATAGAATTGGAGTGCCGGACAGCGAAGCGAACAGCGCTGGTCTATGGATAGACCCAAATACCAAATCTGTTCAGCTAGTCAAACCGCTTACAAACAATGGCGAATATATGCGAAATGTCAGGGGAGGGGGACAATGAACCTGGGAGGGAGAAAATCGATCGACTTTACATCCTCCGAGTGTCCACTTCAAAAATGGATTCAAAGCTTTCTTTGCAGAAGGATATCGAGGCTAAGTATCGTGCTCCCTCTGATCAGACAGATAATCTGATTCAAGGAGTAGAACTTCAGACGAGAATTCAGGGCTTTGGGTCATCTTGTTAGAATTGCCATAGGTGGGGTAACAATGTAAAAAGTATCCCGACCAGAAATTCTCTTCCGATACTTCTCGTCAGTTCTCTTAGACGCAGTAAACAATGGCAGTCTCATTCGAGTCTCTTCCAATAATCGATTTTCAGGCTCTGCAGAGCGATGCAACAAAGTCAGAAGCTCTCGCAGACTTGAAAAACGCGTTATTCCATGTGGGCTTCTTATACCTCGCTAACACTGGACTGGAGGTAAGTTTTAAGAAAAATCCAGGACACAAATTCAGATCTATAACTAATATTTAATACGTAGTCAATTATCGAAGAAACACATAATGCGTTACCACAAATATTTGACCTTCCTGAAAGCGACAAACAAAGATGTAGCATGCTCAATTCTCCTTCATTTCTTGGGTACACTGGCCTAGGTGCTGAAACTACGGCACGAAAGACGGACTTGAGAGAGGTATCTAGTGCCTTGCAGCATGCCGGGCGAGAGAATAGCATTGACTTATCAAAAATAGCAATTTGATTTTGGCAGCCCAGTCAAGTCGGTGTGGAAGGAAGGCGACCTGCCCTGGCAACGCCTCGAGGGACCTTCTCAGGTTTGTGATGCAGTTATACCATCCCAACATCGGACACTCCAATGTTAACATTCTTAAAGTTTCCCAATGAAGAAGTCAACAAACTCGTGACACGATACACCTCTGAGTTATCAGTGCTCTCGGGAACATTTCTCCGAGCGGTAGCAGAGTGTCTCTCATTACCATCCGGCACGTTCGAGACTTTCCTAGGCAAAATGCACCGGTTGAAATTCGTCAAATACCCGCGTTCCGAACCTGGATCTCAAGGGGTAGGTCCACACAAGGATTCTACTGGTCTTTTCACCTTTCTTTCCCAAGACTCAGTTGGGGGGCTGGAAGTTCTTAACAGGGCTGGGCAATGGATTAGTGCACCGTATATAAAAGGGACTCTTGTGGTAAATGTTCAGCAGGGATTTGAAGCTATCACGGGAGGACTATGTCCCGCAACGACTCATCGGGTCCTTGTATGTTCCATCATGATTGTTCTCCATACGTCTCACATAGAGGTTCCAGGATACTGACATTTCAAAGGCACCTACCACGACCACGCGCTACAGTATACCATTTTTCCAGGCTGTCAGGTTAGACCTCACTTTGAAATTCCTCGAGGAAGCAGCAGTGGACATTGTCCATCGCATTCCAACCCAGAATGTAGCGAACGCCCAACAGGTCACGATACCCAGCGAATTCATGTCGCCTTTGTTTTCATGCGTAAGTTATTGGTGTCACTCGGTTCAGAAAATCTACTAATCCGAATAGTTCGGTGAAGCTCAATTGAGGAACCGCATAATGAGCCATCCGGACGTCGGCAAGAGATGGTATCTGGAGCTTTACGAAAAGTATTCCCGACAGACGCTAGCCTAGCTGCTGATATAACCAGATCAAGGCCTTGAAAGCTGTTATACAAAAGAATGTACGGCTATTGTACACGATCCGTATATGTAATTATGCCAATACATTTAAATAGGCTTTCCCACAAACAATGTTCTCTACAGGCGATATTGGTGGCTGAATACTGTAATTTTAGGGCGATGAACGGAAATAATCTTGGATATTGTTAGGGGGTTAGGGCTAGGGCTATGTCGATCAGGCCAAGATAGCGGCCGTGTTGACGTCATGTAGCTGTTGTTTATTTTTCTTGGATTCTCTTCTTCCATGATGTTTCTCGTCAATATATAATCAGTTGTTGAAGAACAAGACATATTTAAACCTCGCAGTGGTACGTATATCGAGTGGATAGAGGTATTTTCAAAGTCGAATCTTCAGCTGACTTGACGATATTCTCCTGCAGGATAGAATAAGCCGGCCTGGATATCGATCAGCAGGTTAACCTAGGGATATACTTAACATGGCTGCTCCAGCACTCGCACTTCCCGTGAACCATACGCTCCCGATATCCTCGTCATCGTCGTCGTCATCTTCAGTCAAGGGTGGGGTGAAAGGCATCAAGAAGCTGTGCTTTGGCTGCGATTGCGGCGATACAGAATGTGACTGCTGTATAATTCCTTGCAGTGTGATGTGAGGAGGTCTATCAACACGTGGAGAAGTCGGCATTTGTCATCCGGTATACAGCAAGTCCCACAGGCATATACCGATGCATCCGACGACAGGCGCTTTTCCATATGAAATTGGCTTCGAATTTTTTATGAATTTGATTGGCGAGTTTTCCTTAATTTTAGCGAGCATCAAACGAGAATAAGCGACAATATACGAGACATGAACCCTGATTTAAAATGCGGAGGTACGATTTCAAATCATTTTTCGGCTTTCGTCTTTCCTCACTCGCTTGTCATTGCCTTGAACATGCCGTTTCCTGTATTAATTGGACAGTCCTAAGAGTCAATTTCTGGCAACTTCTCCAATTCATTCTTCTGGGTCCAAAATAGCTGGCTGGCATTTCTCCCACTCCGATGCCGTTTCCGGTCCCTCCCACCCGGCAACAGTGGAGCATGAGAAACATCATAACCGGAACTTGAATATATGCAAGTATTCTTTACGTAACCGTTCATGAGAAGAAGTCGAAAAGACATGAATATCGATGACCTATTGGTAAGCGAATATCCATTATGTGGAACATTTCACTGTTTCACAATGGAAATCCCACAGGGGACCCTGGTTGAAGAATCGGAAAATTGAATAATCATGACATCGTAAAAGAAGCTTATCAATCATCATCTAAAACCTTTTTTTGTGAACTTTCGGGGATGCCGAATGAGTATAAATATAGGCCTTGAAAAGCGTTTCTATGTAGCTATGCACTCTGACAAATATCACTGCCTCTGTTCATCAGCCAAACTTACATCGAAACTGGTAACAAGGAATTCGGCGATAAACCCACCCGCGTAGAAGATGGTAGCCAAGACGATCAAGCAGTGGACCGTTACCGGGGACAAAAAAGGCTTCGACGAGCTCAAGCTGGAGGTTGTTGACTTCCCCAAATGTGGTGAGAACGAAGTGGTGGTTAAGCTGAATGCAGCATCGCTGAACTACCGCGATCTTATCATTCCACAAGTAAGTTCCGGTTTATAGAAGACAAATATGATGACAAGGAAAGTTAACTTAGTCAGGGCAAATATCCCTTCCCACTCGGCCTTCCAGTCGTGGCATGCTCTGATGGTGCGGGGGAAGTTGTCGAAGTCGGATCGAAAGTGAGGCAATGGAAGAAAGGTGACAAGGTCGTGACACTTTTCAACCAGGGTCATCAGTATGGACCCATGACTACCCTCGCGTCAAAGACAGGACTTGGCGGCGTCCTGGACGGCACGCTCAGAGAATACGGGGTGTTTAATGAGAATGGCCTTGTTCGCCAGCCCAATAATCTAAGTGCGATTGAGGCTAGTACCCTTTCCTGTGCTGCATTGACAGCATGGAATGCGCTGTATGGTTCAAAACCGTTGAAACCTGGCCAGACTGTTCTGGTTCTTGGCACTGGAGGTGTTTCGATGTTTGGTCTCCAGGTAAGTAGTATATCGAAATTTCTCGTAAAACATATCAGGTATGACATATACTAACGCTGGTTCTGTGGTATAGTTTGCCAGAGCAGCCGGCGCAAAAGTCATCGCGACAACCTCATCAGACGCAAAAGCCGAAAAGTTGCGAAAACTCGGAGCAGACCACGTTATCAACTACAAGACGGACCCGAACTGGGGAGAAACCGCCCGCAAGCTCTCCATGAATGGTGAAGGTGTCGACCACATTCTCGAGGTCGGAGGACCAGCCACATTGAAGCAAACGGTCAAAGCGATCAAATACGAAGGCATCCTTAGCATCATTGGATTTGTTGGTGGTGAAAATAATGTAGAGGTTCCACAGATTGTGGATGCTCTATCCAACATCTGCACCTTTAGAGGTGTCTATGTTGGTTCTAAGGAGCAGATGGAAGATATGGTGAATGCTATCGAGGCTAATGATATTCACCCGGTGGTTGATGATGAAGTTTTTGAGTTTGAGAAGGCTAAGGAGGCATATCATTACCAGGTGAGTAAACTTCATCTCCACTTCACGTGAATCATATAGATTGACTGACTATGCAACAGTGGGATCAAAGGCATTTTGGAAAGGTCGTGATCAAGATCTAAAAGACAAACACTATGACGAGCTGGCAAATATAATAATAAGTTGCACTTTCCTTGTTCATAGACGCAAATTATGATGCTCAATTTTTCTATAATTGAAACTACCTATTCAAAATACGGATTAGTATTCTCATTTCAAATGTCCTCCCAACTATGTAGGTCAAAACACATATCTTCTCAAACTACCCCGAAACACAACCTCGGTACCTAGCTAACTAACCTTGAGACAATCAGCGGCTAAAATCAGAGGTTATCCCATCAAGTAAAGAGGAGAGGGAACACACTTGTCAAATAAAAAGCTGTCTGAATTGCAGCATAGCGGACTCCTCAAGATGCGGTTCTTGTGCTTCTATGACATGGGCACAAATACTCAAGTAGGCAGTTGACTTTAGGGCTCTTGCCGATACTATATAGTCAAGATTTGGCGATATCGGGAATAGTATCAGCAAAACTAAGGCCTCGCCGATATTTGCCTATATTATATAGGCAAAGATTTACTTGCGAATCGAGCTTGGATCATTGTTTCCGAGCGGTACTGTGAAGCTGACTGATCGAAATATTACCTTGCCATTGCATATATACTTCCGAAGTGCCAGACGAATAAGTGCAGAACAACTCATATTTGCATTTCCCCTCTTCCTACAACCTATATAAACAGGCTCCATCTCTTAATTCTCAACGTTTTTCTAGTCTTCGCCGTAATCTCTTAATACTTTGTCACTTTCACTGTGAGAAACGAAAAAGCTAGAAACTCAGAAAGGCTCGGATAGCCGAAAGACCCAATGGTACAATGGTTCAACATCCGTGGATGTATCTCCGTAAATTGACCATCACCAACCATTTTCTCGTCGTAAGTAAGCTCTCTGAAGTTATAGGTATTTAAAACCATTCTAACATTTTGGTTGGCCCTACCAAACGCAGCATCGTTGCCCTGGTGATTGGGAACAAACATTACGGCCTTCCAGAATCTTTTCTTCGAAAATATTCCCAATTTCCGCTGCGATCATCCTTTTCTCCAACTATTATATTACATTATATTCATGAGGATGCCGGCTATAAGTTACTTTGGTGCATTTCTTATACTCAGGGGGATATCTGTTGGATTGTACATAACAATCTCTAGCAGTATTTCTCAGCGTATCAAACTATATATGTAAAATATATGGAATCCATGATCCGTACTGTAGTTCTTGTTGTGTCTTCTGAGTACAATAAAAGTGAGAGATGTCGTAAATACACACTACCCGTAGCTCTGACCACCGACACCTACCTGCACATCGCTTCCATTCATAATTGCATTTTCCGGTCACAGAGGGATTTGAAACATCAGCAAACTGAGCCTGCCTGCGGGATTTGCAGACGACCAATCTTCGCCACGACAATGATCGTATCAAGACGGTCAAGGGCGGACTACTAAAAGACTTACAAATGAATCCTCGCTATACTGATTTCCAACTATGGCGCTATGAGGAAGAGAGTTAACTGCTTTGGATAAAAGGAGACCCTGGGAAGGGTAAAACGATGCTCTTGTGTGGAACCGTCGATGAGTAGAGTAAATCCGCTCTTAAAACCACTGCTATCTCCTTTTCCTGCTAGACTACTGACGTATGGAACCCGCCACTGCGGCAATTCGCAGCCTGATCTTTATGGTGGCTGACCCGCAGCCATTCCTTATATCCTATATATCGCGACAGTACGAGAAGGCTGTGAAGCAGGTTTTCGAGGGTGTCAATGCGTGGACAAATGCTCAGCGTCCTCGGGCATTCGCTATTAAAGACCACCCATTTAATCATGGATGCTCTTGACGAATGTTCTTCTAGTATTCCTTTATCCTCTACCTACTCACGAAGCCCAGGAATGAAATCCGTCTAGATGCATGTCCCAAGACAAGATTATTGTCTTTTGGCTACTGAACATTGGGGCCAATTAAATGAATGAGTGATGTTTATTGATGACCTTACGCAGTCAAGATGGAAAATGTGTATAGTTTGGCCACAACTTACGCGTAAACGTGTTAGACCCTAGCGTCAGAGAGGGCCAAACTAGGATAGTGGAGGGGACCGTTGTGGAACTGACAGAGACAGCAGACCTGGCGAGCCTATCTGGAACTGATGGTTGAGCTTGTATAAAACCGACCGATGCATTCGTTGTGAAATACACCCTAAATGCCTCTGATGCCCATCTGCCCAGGGCCTAAATCTGGTCATTCAAAATCCCACTATTGTAGACATGGTGCGCTGCACCATTTCGAAACTGTGGCGTGAGTAGCCATCCGTCCGCAGTCCAAGTGCTTTCAGCTTATTCGATAAGACAGAGAGGAATTTGTTGGAAGTAAATGGTCATCTATAGAAGGAGAACAATGGAGCGTCGACTGGGCATGCTCTATCTCCTATCTTGCCAAGGATGATCTGTACTCCTTCATGGTAGCAATCCATCTTACTTTACTTGAGTGTGAGTTGTATATGGTCTAGTGAGTCTAGTGCGGGATAGAATCTAATGTCTAAATGTGTCAGCTTTGTCGACAAGAAGATTGAGTATATGCCGAGGTCTTCTCTCTTGTAGGTGAATTCTCCAATACGGAGAAATCCAGCAAATTGCCACCCGGCAAGCTGTCGCGAAGTTCAGGTCGTCTATGAGATTTGCAGTCATGTCTAAGGGATGTAACGGAAGTATAGCAAGGCCAGATAATAGTTTTGTAATGGCCTCACGTGAAATGGGCTTTCTAACCCGTACTTTGGTTGTTGGGGTAAGCTTCTCGCGCTGTCGATGAGGCCCAGAAGTGTTTGTTATCAAAGAGCTTATCGTCAAGGAAATTGTCAACATGGTAGGCTCGGAGAGCAGCTAAATCTGACAACGCGGTATCTGGTTTGATTGCTTTTTGGTTAGAATTACTAAGGAGTTGGGAGGTTAACCACAAGATCAACAATTATTTTGACGCTGGCCATGCTGGTAGCTTTTGTAGCGTGCAGTGTCTCCCGTAGTTATGCTGGATGGAGAGGCAGACGGAGCATGTATTAGTGCTGAGCCCATTCCAGAGAAATTTTAAATGGCCTGCACTGAGCTGATAAGCTCGTGAAGAGAACCACGCTAACAGAAGCAGTAGCTTCAAGCGCAAAAAAGGTCTAGAAAGTTGAAACGGGCGTTAATCAGAGTAACTAACATGGATTATGCCTTGATCATAGCCTCGTCTTTTCCTATATCACTCTGTATTAAGCCTGTTGGTGTCCATATCGGGTATGTCACTAATCCTCCTTGTGCCCGGATTTGGGTGTTCATGTGTACACTGTACAGTTAGGTGAAAAATGTATCCCGAGGTGTCGTTAATAAGGGCACGGATAAGTACGTAAAAAGTAAAACTTAATTGAGAAACATTGGGGTATATCGCCAACGATCAGAGGAAGGATTCAGGAGCTCGCCCCTCTTCTCCGGGTCTATGGAGGGACGATCTTATCGCCGTCCAATTGTGTGTGTGTGTGTGTGTGTATATTTAACGGCCGTGGTTCGTGACTCGCACGCTTCCCACCGATCCCTGCTGGGACATAGGCCGCCGAGGGGTAAGCCTCGGGTTTCGGGTCCTATCAGATTTATGTACAAATAAGAGACTCTTTGGCGCATTTCCATATCGCCGTCCAATTAAATACAGGATTTAGCTTACTATGTGAGAAGGGGAGCCGTGCAGAAAATCCACGCTAAAACATAGTAAGTGGAAACAAGGGTCTCTAGGGGACATTTGACAATGCGACAATCGTAGCTGGTAGTTCCAGTCAGCCAAGATGTAATGGAACTGGCTAGTGAAGGAATGATCATCGTTGGTTCCATCAGTCTACGGCTGCATTTTCTCCCAGTACCTAGGCATTTTCGACTCAACTGAGGGGAACCCACGGAGACCTAGTAGATGAGGGGGTATAAATCACCCAATATGGCCAAGGTATCAGTAAGCCAAGTGTGATAGACAGCAAATAAGGCGCATAATACGTATGTTTCCTAGATCTAGGGCCAACAATTCAGGGGAATGAGCCTTGATGCAAGTCCCTTTTCCGGGTCTATAACTGCCGTCTGCCCCCATAACTTAGGAAACATTCTGCTACAGTCAATCATTGCATATCTGCCCTGCGTGGATTGACTATGATACAGCAATCATAATGTATACCACACCACACCTCTCCAAAGTCCTCACCCTATCCACTCTTGCATTATCCATCATAACGAGAGCGGATATATGTTCAACCGTCCAAACCGAAACAAACGCCGTCCAAAAACCTCTGTCAATCGCCTACGAGTCCGAACTCCAAAACTACTGGTCCGAAGCCTGCTCTGCTCTTCGCCCAACATGCATCGTCTTCCCGACCAGCGCCGAAGAAGTTTCCGAAATAATCACATCATTGCATGGAACTGATGACCTGTTTCAAATCAAGTCCGGGGGTCATATGCCCAATAATGGATTTTCGAGTATTCAGGGAGGATTACTGATCGCGACGAAGGAGTTGAATAATGGGGTTGCGTATGATGCAGAGACGCAGACGGCCAAGATTGGGCCGGGACTTACATGGGCTGAGGCTCAGAGTGGGCTTGAGGGGACGGGGAGGACGGTTGTTGGTGGGAGATTGGGTGGTGTTGGTGTTGGGGGGTATATCCTTGGCTGTACGATACCCTGTCCGATATTTAGAGAGTGCATGACTGATAATTAGGAGGCGGACTGAGTTTCTTGAGCTCTCAATACGGCTGGGCGGCGAATAATGTAGTCGACTTTGAGGTTGTTTTGGCTAATGGAACAGTCACCCATGCCAATAATTCAACCAACACAGGTACGTCGCATCAGGCTACGTACAGCAAGAGAGGAACTCATAAAACGTCCAGATCTATTCGCCGCTCTAAAAGGGGGCGGAAACAACTTCGGCATCGTCACGCAATACACCCTCCAAACACAACCCATCTCGGATCAGGTAAGGAGCTACGCTATCCTCACACAATACCCATACTAAACGCAGCAGGTCTGGGGAGGCGTCCTAACATTCTCATACGACAAATCCACAAAACTACTCCAAGCGATCCGCGACTTCACCGAATACTACCCAGACGATAAGGCGGCTATCATACCTACCTGCGAGCACACGGCGCTTTTCACAGAGTGGTTTGTATTTGTGTTCTACGATGGTCCCACGCCTCCAGATGGAATCTTCAGTAACTTCACGAATCTTGGGGCGGATTTGAATACGGCCAAGACGTGGGATTCTTATCATGATTTGGTATGTTTACGTATAGGCCGTGTGTATGGAATGGGGACTGATAAAATGGACACAGCTTCAAGATAATGATAATTATGATTTGCAGTAAGTCAATCTTACTCAACTCACGTTGAGAGCAAGGGTTCTAAATTTTGCAGTGGACAACGCTACGGCATCGCAACCGAGACAACACCTCTACCAAACGCAACCGTTGGACTGGAGGTCATGACAACTCTATTCGAAACATTCTACAACGTTACGTCCGAAGTACTCCTCGACACAGGGGTAATCGGCACAATCGCATTTCAACCTATGCCACGCACCATCACTAGTAAAGCGATTGCCTTGGGCGGAGTACGTTGCCCCCCTTTCTTTGAACATCCTCCCCTCTAACCTTGTTTGACAGGACCTCCTGTCCTTCCCCTCCACAACAGACTACTTAATCATGGAACTCGATATTTCCCACTCTTTCGCCTCTGACGACGATACCACCGAAGCCGCGCTACAACAGCTCTATACAGCACTAGATAATCACATCCAAAACTTCATTAGTCAAGGGATATTACCAGATGTGTATAGACCACTATTCATGAACGATGCACACGGAACACAGGATTATTGGGGCAGGATAAGTACGGTGGAGATGGCGCGGGGTGTTAGAGAGAAGTATGATCCGGAATTGTTTTGGCAGAAGAGGACTAGTGGGGGGTTTAGGCTTGGATGATGTTGGCTCCAACCCTAAGGTCGGTGGGCGTAAGAGTGACTTCGTGTTATAATCTGTACATAGGCATATATAGTATATATGACTAGCATAATGCGTAATTGAAGGGTGAAGTGAAGATGGGTCGATTGTTTGCTGTGGTCGAGATAAACCCTTTTTCTCACATGCTATTTCCAGCCCTAATCGATTGCCATTTTAGGCATTATTTGAAACTCCTCTTTTGGACTTTGCTACCCGACACCTGGTTATCTCGTTCGTTATCCTGCAGAAATCTCACATCGAAAATAGAAGGGCTCAATTTCTACAAATTGAATATTAAGTAAAGTACATATTACAGGTTCTATACGTTGTAACCAACTGACCCAAATCAAGTCATCTACTCGCAAGTATCATCAGGAGGTGTGGTGTCACTCTCCTTCTTCAGCAACCACAAATAATCACCAATCGAGCCATCGTCACCACGGATAAACTCCCACTTGACAGCAGTCTCGTTAAAGACAGTCATCTTGCTGAAACCGAAATGTGTCTGGTCAAGTAACGCGGTGATGTTCTGAATCTTCTGGTTGGCGCTCAATGTGCTGTGGCTTTCAATGTTTCCTGCCATGCCGTTGACAATGTGGGTCATGGATTGGCCGGGGCTAGTGTAGTAAGTGTTGTTGTTGACAATGGCAGACTGTAGCACCTTGCCGTCTGCGGTGAGAGGGAACAAACGTTCGTACCAGTGGATGTGACTATGCCCGTGTTAGTCAGATGACCTGGAATTAAGATGTTTGCAAACATACCCAGAAAGATAAGCATCGACGCCATGCTCCAGCAACAGTTCTTGGAAAGCGTTCTTGACATTGGTCATGTAAGACGAAAATGCAGAAGAGTACATGGGACGGTGAGACATGACGAAAACCCACGGAGTCAGGGAACGGTCAACCTTCTCCAGGTCAGCCTTGAGCCACTGGTACTGCTCATAAGCCTTGTTATCTTTGTAGTTGCCACCATCAATACGACCAAATGGACCGCCATCGGTGATGTAAGTCTCGTTTGCCTTAGGGTGAGTCTCGTTGCCTTTAAGATCGCGAACGAAGGGCCATTCGGGGCTATAAGCAAAATCGGTTTCACCGTCGAGGGTGATGAAGTGGGCTAGACCGTAGTCAAAGGAATACCAGAAGTTGCCAACACCACCAGTCTCTTTACCAGGGCCATAGAAGCGGTGTTGGTAAGCAGTGAAGTTTCTACAGAGGATGTCAGCACCCTGTTGCATACCTCTTGCATCAATTAGGATGGATTGTTTACCTCTGGGAAGGAGGGCAGCTGTAGTACGTCAGAGCCGTCTTAGCAGCAGTGCTATTAGTCTGATTGCTATTCAGCAATGCGGTCAGAGGGTTACCAGGACCATCGAATTCGGCACAGGCGGCTTCATGGTTTCCGACAACAGTCATATAGGGAACCTTGGTAGTGACGTTCAAGAGCCATTGCTGCCAGAGATCCCAGTTGGACTCGTACAGCACGCTCATGTCACCACCTTGAGGACCGCCCTGATTGGGGATCTCACCAGCAGGCAGAGGTGTCTTGTACTCATCAGGGATGGGACCACCGCCTGGGAGCTCGGTGCTGGTTCCGTTGTAGCACACCGGCCAGTCATCCGCACAGGGTAGGATGCCAGAGTACCAATCATCAGCATAACTCAAATCACCACCGTGCCAAGCAAAGACAGCACCGTCATCAACAGCTTTGGTCAAGTGCTTGAAAGTACCGCCAGCGTTGGTGTAACCCATGTCATTCAAGACCGCAAGAGAGAACTCGCCGGGGGTACCTGCTGGACGAGAGGTGGTGAAGCTGAGCACATCGGACTCGGTTGTGCCATTGGCGGCAGTGATCTTGTAGTAGTACTTGGTGCTGGGCAGCAAGTCATGGAGCTGGACTTCGTGAAAGAACTGGCTGCATTGAGTGACGGCGGCGACAGCAGAGCAGGGAGGAGTTCGGTCATAGCTGTTTACATACACCGTTAGCTATATCGACCAGATCTTTCAGAGCTACGTACGTGTGAGAATAACCATAGGCGGTCTGATGCAACTTCTTGGGATCAGTGCCGTATTTAATCTTGGGGGCCTCTCCCAATCCGAACGGCGTCTGGTAATGAATGTTGATCCCCTTCGGCAGAAAAGCCAAGGAGATGACGTTGACGTTGTTAGTGGGGTTCTTGTGCTTGGGCTGGACAGCAGGAGCCTCGACTAGACGAGGGAAACCTTTGCCATTGCCATTGATGCTTGGATCAACCCAGTCACCGACGGGGACTGCAGGACCAGTGTAAGGATAGGCCTCATCGACGACGGGGACGGCGTGAACAGCAGTAAAAGTCGTGGCCGACAAAGCGGCGAGCACGGATGCAGCGGTGGTCTTCATGATGCTTAACGAGGGACTTCAACGAGTGACTGAGACGACGCTGACCGTTAAAACACGTCTTTGGAGGAAACAGAGGGGATATATACGATTGTCAAGCCAATCTCGCTACTGCAGGGTTTGTGGCCATCGGAGGACTCCGTGAATGCGTAAATTAAAGCACTCTAAGATACCTCCCGAGTTGAGTCTGTACCTGGCCAGTTGCAGCGGAAGGGAGATGCCCATGGTCGCATCGTGCCTCAGGCCCGATAAACATGTGATAGGCAATCGACCTCTGATTGGCCCGATGCAGTCAAGGACGCAATTCGAGAATTCCAGCTCTTTTCCGTATTGAGATTAGCACCTCTCCATACGCGGATCCAGCTAGACTGTTTCGGGCATCTGCGTAGCACTGGCTTGACAGACGGCGATCCGATAGGCAGAAGTGACATGCTGCTAGCAAGCGTTCAGGAAAAAATAAACGAGGGCGAACTTACAATGCATGGAACAAGTATTTCAATATTGTTGAGGATGATAGCTGATATTATGTCCGAATAGAAAAAGAAGAGAAGAGAAGAGAAGGAAAGGTACATGTGGGGTGAATTGGCAATCAAAGGAAGGTTCGCTCGGGCCGGAAAGCCAGCCAAGAAAGAAAGGCGCCCCAGGGCCTTAGCCAATCAGGATGCGTTGATTGATCATCCACTAAGCACGGTGATTGGCTGGCGAGTCAGTTACCCACCTGCCAAGCTATACCTTATTTAGTCTTGGCGGTGAGCACAAATCTTGAATCATCGTCTTTGATCTGACCAGACTCAGTCGCTGTTGAATAACTGCAATATGCCTCCTCGCAAAGGCGGAAAAATCATTCTGCATCGTCCAACGGAAGCAGAAATCCGCGAAACAGAACAGGATGATGAGAATACCTGGTCTCCGTTACAGATTGCCTCAGGCGATGGCAACTACGAAGAGGTACGCCAACTGATCGAATCAGCGGCGTCGGTAGATAGTAAGCAGACGCAGAAAGAGGTTATCAACGAGTCACCGCACGGCTGGTACGGTCAGACTGCGTTACAAGCCGCCTCTGCCAATGGGCATTTAGCTATTGTGAATTTGTTGCTGGATGCTGGTGCTGAAGTCGATGCTCCAGGCGGAAATAATGGCGGTCGCACCGCCCTTACCCTTGCTGCCATCAACGGCCATTTGGCCATTGTTGAACGGCTGATGGACGCTGGCGCTGATGTGAATATCGCGCCACATAGATATTACGGCAGGACGCCTTTACAGGGAGCCGCCGAAAACGGGCATGTTGACATTGTCAAGCTGCTACTCAGCAAAGGCGCCAACATCAATGCTCCCGTGGCGCATACCGCGGGTGTCACCGCCTTAACTGGTGCAGCTGCCGGTGGACATGTCGACTTGATCGATTTGTTTATCGAGAAAGGGGCAAATATCAACCCCCCGATGAGTCGGTACAAGGGGTTAACTCCTCTCCAGGCTGCTGCTTACCACGGCCATATTGATGCCGTCGAACGACTAATTACTGCTGGCGCGGATGTGAATGTAGGAGGCTCTCACTACAATGGTTACACGGCACTGGCAGCCGCTGCTGAGCAGGGTCATAGCGAGATTGTTGAAAGGCTGCTTGCAACTGGGGCTAATGTTCTACAGAGATCAGGAAATAAGAATTGGACAGCACATCAGTTTGCATACTTTGTTGGTCAACAGGAAATTGCAGAGCGGTTATGGAGACTGGAGAGAAATGCAACGCCTCAATCTGATTAACACTGAATGAGTCGACTATGGATGAGCAACTTTCATCACAGTTCGTGTATTTCTGCGTGTACGATGTCATATTCAATACATGAGAATCGACTCAAACTATCCACTAAGACTACATCTCAATCGATGACTTAACCAGACGCAATAGCCTTGAGCTGCGATAAATCACCATTGAAAACATCCGAATCACCTCCATACGCATAGCTATCCGCATTCTGCCAGATAGTCTCATAGCCCCAGCCACCGGGGATAGTGCCAGGAGAGCTAGCATACCTGGCCAAAACGAGAGGGCAAGTGGAACTGAACGCGGTTGAGTCACCGGTACAAGTGGTCCACCAATCATTCGTGGTATAGATCAAAGGGTAGACACCCTCAGAGGCATGATATGTATCGACAAAGTCACTGATCCAGCTCACCATTTCGCTGGCCGAGAGACCGTAGCAAGTGGCACCGCTGGGGTTGTATTCGATATCCAGCATGCCTGGGAGAGTGATACCGTCGCCGGACCAGCCGCCGCCGTGGGAAATGAAATATTGTGCTTGAGTTGCGCCGGAACTCCTGTCCGGGTGAGCAAAGTGATAGCCGCCGCGGATGAAGCCTGCGTTTGTGGCTCCTTCGTAGTGGCTGGAGAAAGTTGAGTCGGTATAAGTTGTGCCTTCAGTTGCCTATCATACCATGAGTTCAGAGCTTCAACTACAGTACTTGGGGTAGCGGAACATACCTTGATGATGACAAAGCGGGCACCGGAGCTGTATGCAGAGCTGAAGTCGACGTTGGGTTGATAGCTGCTGATATCGAAACCCTGGACGGTAGCCTTTGCAATGCCAACGAGGGAAGCCGAGACGGCTAGTGTAGATACAAATGCATTCATTTTGATGGATTGGTCTTTGTAGGATATATGGATACTTTGCGTCTCTACAATATGGTCATTCTCAAGGTGACTTCCTTTTCCATTTATACCTTTCCATACCCCCAATAACCTACTTAGGTGGGTAGCCCATGCGCTCTGCCAAACCCGCAATTCGAGTCCCCATCTCCGATGAAATCTACAATCTATGGGGTGACTAGGATAGACAGGTCACAAATTCAACGCCATCTCTCTATAAAGAAACATTTCGCGAGGAATACTAAATGTCAAGACCTAATTATCAGTGTCGGAAACGCTGATCGACAACGCCACTCGCTTGCGCATGTAACAGAAGATCAACTCTGTTTGGTTTAGCATGCAATCATATGGACCACAGCCATGTACCTTAGATTTTCCAAGGGAAACGAGAAACCAACCATTTCGGCATATGGGAGGGGTATCAGCATAGATTAAAAGTGAAGATCGCTCTAGGGCTCAAACTGTATAACCTAGAGTACTAAGGTTTAAAGATAGACTCCACTTCGAAGTCGATGCAGAGGGTTATGCTTAAACATGATCAATTCAGCCACGGGGTCATATTCCACCTGAAAATCGTGGAGATCATTAGAGAAATACGAGACGATCGTCTCGTACACTAACAAAATGGCAATAAACATCGTTTCGATTTATGTCATAGAGCCAAAGTATACGAGGTACATTCATGATTGAAGCAATTCGGGATTCAATTATACTCCGTATTCTCAAGAATCACCTCAAACACGAAACGTCAAACAGAGTCCTTCAATAATGAAATCTGCCTTGGCAAAACATCATTGTCGATTCGATAATATTTTCTGGATACTTCAGGGGGCCAAACTTAATCTATTCTGTATCCGGAAGGTAGATAAGAAAATATATTTACTTACCCTTTAGAGGTAAAGTGAAGTTGCAGTTCTGGTGGCGTTCTCGAAATTGAAGATAGGGAATATCTGCATGGCCTGGCAGTAACCTGCAAGGCCCATTACTTATATCGGCGTGTAGGTCGGCGTAGTAGTATCTGTCGGAGACGAGTCGGCGTATATGGCGGTTACTTTTCTTTTTATTCTTTATATTTCGGGGTTTGAAGAAATGATGATCTCGGTCACAGTTCCAGTGCATATGCAGGCAATGTACTTGTTCAAATTGTATCATGAATGGCATACAGTGCAACGTATTACTACTACGTAGTCTACGTACTTTAAAGTCCGGAAAGTAGATGATGCGAAAGGTCCCGTTGCATATACCAAGGTAATACCTAGGTGACTATACGTACCAGATTTCTTTTGCCGAATGGGGGTTTCCATTCTCAGCTGCCGGCGCTTTTGTGAGGGCTCTCGCTGTCAGCCTCACTGAGTAAATTTCAGTCCGGGCTCACGCTAACCCTGCGGATCTTCGCCATAGTTTTCCTCGTAATTCTTAAGCTAATTTGTGTCAATCTCACCTTTTAGTTCTACCAATCTAGTGACGTACTACGTAAGTTAGTCCTATGGTGTATTTCGGTATGATAGTTTCGTGTGAGCAGAGGCCCTGTCCCATACTATGTAGAATACCTAGCACGATATTTTGTGTATTAGGTTGATTATTTATAATGCAATCGTCCTATTGTTGAATAGCTGCGCCTTTACATAGAAGACTGGTGTGTAACTCGAAGACTCAGGTGCTATGAAGGACGACTTGGGACCTTAAGTCGGATTTCGCATATCGTATTGACATCATCTTCATCACTATGTTTCTTTCTCTGCATGGCTTCTGCTGTGGCATCTCTTCCAGTCGTCTTCCAGCTCGGGAACAAATGGAGCCGCTCACATGGGAGAAAGGCATCAAGTAGGACTAGTCAATATCCGTGTTGGGAGGGGCCTATAATCATACCCTCTTGAGGTAACACGCTGGCCGACCAAAACTACTGCAACCAGCACAAAAAGTGCTCCTGATATATCCTATGCTTTATGTCTATGACTTTTTGGTTGCTCTAGAATGGAATGTTGCACACACGTTTTTACAGGACTTTCCATCTAAGATATCTATGATTGGATCAAGGCCGCTCCCTCTAACCCCAATGCGCGTCATCGATGCTGCTCGGAAACAGGGGCATACAGTTGAAATGCATCTGATTGAACGATACGCTGACCGGGTGGAGTGCTCTGTGGATTCTGTGAATAAATTGGGAGGTTATGAGAATATCACCCACGAGGTGAGAGATGCAGCCGATCCTGGACATCTGACGGCCTTTGATGCCATATATGTAGCTATCCTAGTAGGCGAGACCGAAAAACAAAAAGAGCATTTGTTGCTAGGTATCTTGAAGCTGATGAAACGAGGAGCTGTTGTGATCAAGAGGGGATCTCGAGATTCAAAAGGATTAATCTATCCCGTGCCTCAATATTTTCTGCGAGCCTACTTCTCAACATCTTAACTTACATGCAACTCTGCATACGCGATATATCGCCACTTTCCGAGCAAAGAGCCTCTTGTATGAGATCGCGCAAGTATCCGCGGAGCTTTTGCTCGCGCCTTCACACTGACCGCTGAAGGAAATCCAAGTCATTAGCCAAGAGGAGGAAAAAAACTATATTCGCGTTGAATTCACTGAATGTCGAACCATCCGATGCCTGCATCCACGATATCATTAATGGGCAAAACCTCAGCCGTATACAGAGGCTCTTTGTGCACCAGATGGGTCATTCTCCTTTTCTGAGCTAGACTGTGTATCCAGTCGGCTAGCCCATCGACTTCAACAGCAAGGAGTGCGTCCCGGAGAACTCATCCCTTTGGGCATGGATCGCAGTGCATTGACAGTCATCACCATGATTGCAGTGCTGAAAACCGGTAGTGCTTTTATTCCATTAGAGGTTGCCAGCCCCATTGGCCATAATCTGGAGATTGTGAAACAGTTCGGAGCAAAGAGTCTCTTAATATCAGAGATCTAGACCACAAAAGGTTGGCCAGCTGAGATATCCGCCTTGGTCAGTTTGAATAAGATTCGCAGTACACCATTACTAGATGCTGGAACGCTCCCATGCGTGGATCGCCAATCGCCTGCAAAATGCAATTTTAATCGCACAGGCATCTCTTCCTGAGTCCTATCAGGGCAAACTCCTTCTTGGTATCCAATCACGACATCAATTTGACATATCCCGTTTCCAAAAGACATGGACCATGGTTATCTGCAACAATCCTATTTTCGGACAGTGTTTGTCCCTCGTCGTACGGATGTATACGACCAGGTAGTGCTGAACAGCAACATCATCGGTAGTCGGATTGCACAGGTAGAGAGTATTTTCACCAGCAATTTAGCCCGAATGACCTCAAGTTGGAAGGTCCTTCAACCTCACAACAATGCTCACTGTTACGTACAATGGCAACTACGCTACCTGCTTACTTGAAATCAATCATGCCCTCATCAATCATGTCTCCCAACATTTATTGTGTTATCTCTCTGAGATATACACTGGTTCAATTGATACCGCGTTTGCAACCCCACAAGTGAATTATAACCTCTTTATCGAACATCTTGCCCAACACGATTCATTGACGTCCATAAACTACTGGTGTGTGGCATTCCCCAGTACGCTGCACAACTCTCTTACATATCCATCATCTAATCTAAGTGACAGTCGAAAATTGTGACACTCGCCAATATCCCTCTCGGAACCAGCAAAATCAGCACTTGTGTCATCTATCCATACGCCATCTGCCATTCTTCGGCTCTGTTGGGCGTTGGCTCTCCAAAGGCAAACAGGTTCGCAGAATCCACAGTTTGGCCACGTAGTCTCCGGATGCGATGTCTCAATTGCGAATACCGAGTCAGGACGAATAGCTGGTCCCTTATTGAATATCTTACCCTGCACAATAGATCTTGACGTACTGTTCATAGCTGATCACATAGCCAAGCAAAAGCTGCAGGATCTTCTCGAATATATTCAAACACAATACGTCCGTAGTTTCCCCCACCAGCATTGGTTTTTTACCTATGCTACCGAGGTGCGCGAACAACTGAAGCTGTCAGAACCACCAACTCGTCTGTTTTTCGATGCGGTTGTGAACTTCCGCCGTCACGCCTCTCAGCCGGAAACAAGCTCTCTTGAATTTACAACAGTGGGGGAGAATGATCCATTTGATGTAATTTCCCCCTTTCCATTGAAATGAATAGTGCCCGCTGACAAATTGAAGCATGATGTCGTACTCGAAATAGACCATGAGGGGACCAAGTTCATGATCAAACTAGCCTCTTGGGAAAATCGAGTTAGTGAGGGTATGGAGAGTGAATTGGTAAGATGGTTTGAGGAGAGTGTTGAACATGTGTGTGTATAATTGGCATAGACGCCCTACATGTGTCACATCCAGCAAGTATACGGAAAGGGGACGTGATGTGAAAATTGAAAGTGAGAGGCAGCAGTTATCTATGTCTATTTAACAGGATAATCTAGTCCTTTGTAAATATCAGTCTTGCTGAGCTGTTAATATCTGGTCTACCGTAACAGGGAGCTGCCGACAGCAGCAATAAAGAATAAACCACCAGCAATGTCGAAAATCAAGCCTGACGCCGCGCCTCCAGTGTTTAACCCATATTTAAATGCCATAGCAAGGAGAGGGACGTCAAGAGAGTGGCAGAAATTCGAATAACTGCTAGTGCAGAATAGAATGGGGCGACCTCAACTGGTTGGACTAACGATGTCCCATATGACTGAATGGAAAACGGGTATACCAATGAAAAGGTGAAAAGAACAAGTGCTGTTTATCATCAGTAAAGAATATGTCAAATAACATGGGAGTAAACATACACACAACCAAGAGAACTGGTCCAGAGGCCACTCCTAGAAGAATGGGGCCTAGGACACCAAACAAAGAGCTTCCTCGTGCAACCCATAGATCTATTATTGGTGGTGAATGGAGCATTTCTTCGAGGACCCTACTGAGAAGTGGTAATAACAACAAATAGAGCGTCATGCTGACCAACGCCTTGGCTAAAATCAGGTAGTTTGCCTATCATAAATCACGTCCCGAGTCAGCAAAAGGAGATTGAAAAGGTACACAGAATACATACCTTGGCTAAGCTCCATTCAAATCGCTTGGAGACATACTGAACCAAAAGGTCAATCGTATCCCTAGCCCACATGGTAGAGATATAACAAACTGTCACCAACCAGATGGCCTTTGTCTGGAAAGGTGCACAGCTTCTCCTGAGAGACTTCACCCAATTAGCAAAGCCTGCCTTATCTGACACTTCAGTCGAATGTCTGCCTTCAACCGGATCGCAGTTATTCTCACTCTCCACTCTTTCCGGGAGTCTAGTATCAGGTAGGAGACCGAAAATTACCATATTGGCAACCTGCAGCGGAAAGGCACACAGTAATGGGATGTACACGCCCTGCCAATCCACCAACATGGACCCAACAGCAGGGGCCACCAGTTCAGCAATAAGCGTCATGACAGCGATGTTAAAGAATGCCTGCGCACGATTCTTTTCGGTAACCACATCTACCAGAAGAGCATGAATAATCGCAGACATGACCATTTCTCCTCCACCGATCGACCGAAGAAGCGGGGACGCATAGACTAGGGAAAGCGGCAGAGTGTAGTTGAAGAAGCAAACCGCGACAATCCATGCGTCTGCAAGAATCTGGCCCGAGATTGCTAGGGTCAACACAAGCGAACGGCCCTTGGTGTTGGCTATATTACCAAATGGGAGTGCCACGAGAAGCGCTGTACATGGGAAATTCAAATCAGCGAAAAAACAACAAAACAAAACAAAAAAAAAAAAAAAAAAAAGACGATAGCCGCTGCTAGACCAGTCTAATCACGCACCGCATACACTCTCGCTAACTTTGAGCCATGTTTGCGTTGTGACGAGCTCTTCCTGGATCGAATTTACCTTGCACATGTGCTCTGGTATGTCTCTCAGCGTGTTTGTTGAAGCGTAGTATTTCTGGCATATAATTGACTCGAAGAGCTTAGTTCTGGGCATGGTGCGCAGGATTTGAGCCGAATCAAAGAGTAGGCCGCCGACATAGCAGATGATGCATATTCGCGTTGCGTTCCATATTGACTTTTTTTGGTAAGGTTGTTGCGGTCGCTCTTCAAGAAGAGGGCTCTGTTCTGTGTAGGCCATATTAGAACGCGATAGCAGTGCTCAGCGTTAAGGGTACTCTATCGCAACCTCGTCAGCACGAGTTTTATCACCATTATGACAGAGGATTGAGGAAGGGAATTTGGAATGCGCAACATTCAATGGCCGCGCGTATTGTCATATGGGTCTATTCCGTTCTTTATCTTAAGCTTATCCCGAAATCTATCCCGAACCGCGTTGACTCTATTCCGAGTTCGGGATGTTTCAGCCGATGAAACAGCTGGAACTATATCAGGGCAGAAAACTGCGTCTCGAGGGTTGCTTGGTTATATAGGGGTAGTTCACTATGGGCGGTAACCATAAATCATGTGGAAGTCAGATTTACTCGTACGAGCCTTAATAGTAATGTAGCTGCCAGTTTTATTATAGGTTTATATCAGGTAGAGAGGGATGACTTCAAACTATTATTTTATTTGATGAGTATGAGGGTTTGTTATGGCTTAGGTGACTAGGCTACAGGGAGTCAGGGACGACGTGATTGATGATACAGACACGTATGTACCAATAGCTTCAATTTCTCTATTTACAGAATCAAGCCCTAGTTTTCCCTTTTAGCATCTTTGACAGCTTATCCAAAGAGCAGTTAGCACTGGATTGTACGAGCCCAATAGCCTCGACAGCTTCAGATAGAGAAAGGCCACTTTTCGTACAAGAGTAGATCTCATTAATAATAACTTTTCTCCTTGGAAACATCATACAATCCGTAAAATCTATTATCTATCTAGCACCCCATTGATTCTCGATAGATTGGACTGACGGATTGCCGTGTAAGCTATAATACCACTCCTCCCAAACCTCTCGCACAGTTTTGATCGTACGAGATAGTTAAGAAGTAGGCATAGTTGTCATTGATCCAGCCCTAGCCCCAGATATTGATTGAAGCGGGGATAGGGCTGGAGAATCAACTACTGTAGATGCCTGAATAGCTTGTTCTAGCGATGGGAATGGACTTACTTCTGTCTTAGCCTTCTGGCTTTTCCAATTTGCTCGTATGAGGAAAGAAATCTTGCCAGATACCAAATCATCCATCTACCTTGTCATTGATTGCATGGACTTGTGTAATCCATGGAAATTAGAGGCTAGAGATTGATGTAGATTGTCTCCTATATTTGATATGTGCTCTGCTATCACTGGAATTGTCTGTCGAAGCTGGATCTCGTACGGGGTTGAGCTCGCACAAACAGACTCTTTAAGTTGCTGAGAGAAGCGTGTGTAATCTGCTCGCTGGAATAGTTTATGCCTCCATATTGGATGACTAGGAATCTCCATCTGAAGGAACACAGAGCCTTGAAGAATGGTCATACAAAGCTGATGTAAAAGGCTTGAGGAATCCTTGAGCAGCTAGATCTCTTTGATCACATTTCTGTGTCCCTTCTTGTACAAACTGAGGAAGAGGAGGAAGTTGAAAGTTTGCACCTTCTATAGAGATTAAGGAATTATACTAAGGCCAAACCACTCCAGCCATGAATCTACCCAGGGCCAAAGAGCTCATATGAGGCTATCTGATGAATCGAAGCTCTAGGAAGAAATAATTGTCTTGATCTCTAGGATTGAATCCAGCAAGTGTACGAAGAAAAGGCCGAGGCAGTTCAGAGAGGTAGCAGTTACTCATAATGTCTGAATTCCAGTGGCTACTCTCCTAATTGAAGCCTCATCCGCACCTTTCAATTCAGCATGACGAGCTCAATTCTGTCAGCGACAGTAGTGGTATGACTGGCATCTTTTTAAAGGGGCTGATATCAACAAGCCCCTTTCGTACGAAAGATCCAATTGAAGTGGACAAATGAGGTCTTCAATGCAATAGGATTGTCAACTAAAAAGAAAACTCGTACTGGACGATCTGGTAGAGGAACCGGTTCATGTAGAATCTCCCACCGATAAAAGAGATAGAAGGCAGTTTGACTAACAGTACAGAGTAAAGGCTCCTTGTGTCTCATTACTCCTATATACTCAATTCGTCCGAGCTGATTAGTCTTTCCATTGCGTTTAAGCATGACCATAGGCCAGTAAGGATTTGGCCCTTCGTCCATTTTGATAGTGAACAAATCAGGAAGCTGTAATTCACGCCTATCTTCACCTCGAAGGAGCATAGTATGATAAATAAGAAATCAATAGCCGTACGAAGATAGGATTCCTGAGCTTGAGACTTTCGGCTTTTCTGTTCTTGCTCTGCGCAACCACTCTAGTAGTATCGTACGAGTATTCGAATATCTTCTTGAGAATATCCATCTTGTAGGGTATTGCTACCTTGATCGTTGTACTCGACTTTCCTTTTAATAGCCTCTTTCATTTAGTGATCTTCCGGAAGACTCCGAAGTAGATGGCCTCCAGGATATTGTATGAATTCATAATCATAAATTTCTGAAAGTTATAGAGATCAAGTAGGGCCGCACAATATCTCTTGATAGATGAGTAACCAAGAGTTTGTACGACCTAGTCTCCATCTTCATTTGTACGAGCCCTCCAGTAATGAGAGGTATGAGTCTTTCAATCAAAAACATGTTTTCCGATGAAATAGACCATCTTCTGCTTAGAAATAAGAGAGCCATCTGGCAAGTCCTCCTTTCTGTAGCATTCAAACCACTCCTGCTGTGGTTTTCATACGATTTACTAGTATTAACTGGGCGGTTGTGCTGGATTTAATTAGCAAGTCTCTAATTATATAATATGACCCTTAAATAACCACGCTGGGTTCTTTTGGGGGTGGGTTGTAACTCGGCATGTAACTAGGGGGTGGACAACTCTCATTGTGACTGCGATGGGCGAATGGCAGGGCCGTCTACTGTATGGTACAGGTTGTATATAGTTATAACTGTGATGGAATGTCAACAAGGAACGGATGACACATCATCGTAAGACAAAGCATGTTGTTAGTTTCGGGTAAAGTATGTCTCTGAAGGGAAAGTTCAATGGTGTCGGTTGATCCAGTTGAAAGGTGCCAACTTTTTAAAAGCGAGGTCGCCATGGGGGTCAAGTAGCTCATTGACTCAGTGAACCAGAGTGCTCACCTTCAGCCCACTGAGCATGTTTCCTAGCATATGCGAAGCTCACTGATCTGGTCAACGCGCTCTGGGCGCGCTCAGTTCTACTCTGAGTAAAAGCGGCGAGGGGGTGAGCACTAAAACGGAAGGGGAAAGTCGAGAAGCGCCAAAGGAAATCCGGTACGTAAGTACCACATTATCAATGAATATTCTATAAAAGATAGCAAACGGCTCATAACGAGAGGGAATATTGGAAGAAATGGCCTGAAGAACGCTCCAAAAGTGTGGGTAATACGAAAAGAATACATCAACAAATCACCCATCATATTTCAACATGCAAAACATTAATGCCATGTTGACGGCCCAAAAGTTTCACCATGAGCCAACTTTTTCCATGGCGTACCGAGTCCATCGGCCGTTTTTGCATATACAGCGTTTCCCCACCAGTCCAACTTTCCGCCGGGGAGGATGATGCAGAGAAATATAATGACTGTTGAGACAGCGACGCCGCAGTCGAGTGCTGATGCGAGGATATAATCTATACATCATCTTGTTAGTCTCATGAATTGGTGTTAGAGGAGGTTCAGAGGGACTCACTATATTTAGACCACCAAGCCCCCTTACGACGTTTAACAAAGCCATTGAAAATAGCATTAAATGCAAACCACGACGAAAAATTAATACCAGTCGCAGGCGGCACAAGACTCATACCGCCAAACACTACAGGCCAAGCAATGTAGTTGAAAAATTTCCATTTCCGGCCTAAGGTCCACGTCAAAATGACAGCTAGGGGGCCGACGAGGAAGAACCAGAGCAAATTGCCATATATCTGATGAGGGGAGTAGCTACGGCCAGGTCCTAGAGCGCCCCAGATGAGTGAGGAAGAGTATGTAACGGTTCCATGAGGACAGGTGTATCCGCCGGATTGTTTGGGGGTGCAGACATTTTCAACGCCCTCGAGGACACCGATTGTGAGGCCGGATTGGACTAGAGCTCCGACTAAAGTGGCGATTCCTTGGGCGAAGAAGACTGTTCGAGGAGGAATGTGGAAGTAATGGCCGAGTTTTTGATCAGCAATGAACCTGCAGCTTTTAGTACAAGGCAAAACGTCAATGTGGGATTGGAAGGACCTACTCTAACCCCTGCGCAACGCCGGCATAGCCAAGAAATTTGAAAGACATGTTGGCGATAGGTGAGCCCAAGAAAGCATAACCACCAATAAACTCTGTAATGAGGTTGATTTCATTGGTGCTTATGTTGGTCAAGGCTTTGATAATCCCGATGGGTAAGAAATAGACAAGAGGCAACAAGAAACCCAAAAGAACAGCCCAAACAGGAAGACCAGTGTGCCAGACTTCGTTAACAATAATACTCAACACCCACATTAGCAGAGTAATAGAAGCGAACCACCACCAAGGCACCTGTCGATATGTCTCGTTGATACGAGCATGGATATCCTTCTTGCCTTTGCCTTTCCAAATACCCCATATTTCCTTGCCGTGGTAGAGGGCAATATGAACAAATATTCCAGTCAGGTTGGCAAAGGCGATACCATAAGTGAGGGCATAACCTGCAGGAAGGAACATGGGCGAATAATTTTCGTATTTCTCGACATTGACAGTGGCGTCGTGATTCATGATTCTGGATGTGTTGTATGGTTTTCCGGTGTTGTCGAATGTATTGGAGCTCATCATGGGCAGATAAGCAGAATACCAAGTGTTGGTGTAGTAGATGATGGGACAAATCAACCAGTAGAAAAACACGAAACCAAAGATAACGTTGACCCCAGCCCAGAAAGGGGTCAATAGGGGATTGGCATTTGCATAAACAACCTGAGCCCAGTCAAATGTCAAAACAGACATTCCCAACCCGCTCACCTGCCCAAAGAGCTGGTTGACCACGACATTATGGGGCACAATCCAACAGATAAAGCTGAAATAACTCAAAGCTTTGAACAAAAATCCAGGCAGGAAATACCAAGCAAACCCAATGCTAAACACGATAAGGAAGAATTTCCGGCGAGATATAGTCCAGCCATCCGCGAGAGCGTTTGTGCGGGAATGAAGCGCTACCAAGAGCGCAGAGTTGGATAGCACACTGGGCCAGATCATGGCAGCAGGTTGAACGAGCCATCGTTGAAACAAACCCGCAAGACCAAAACCAAAAAGTTGAGTTGCAATTGTGAATAAGATACCGAATCCGGGGTTGTTTCCGAGATTGTAGAATTTGACCATTGCTTCGATGACCTGAGTGGCTGATGCAGATCCGAATGAGACATTGGCCATGATGGTGATGAGGGCATGCTCTTTGACATTGAAGTGACGATCGGGATTTAGAATACCGATGGGCATCACACGAGCCCAGGCGACACCGACAGGATATGCGAGCAATTGACCGACAAATGCGGAGATGGTGACACTAGGTTGGCGCAGACTGAACAATTGATTCAAAACACTTCCAATCTTTTGATCTATTAGCTTTAATGCAACTTGTCTTCTCGGATTTCAGCGAAATAAATAATACTTACGATTGTGAACAAAAGACCAATGACCCACATGCGCACTGTATTAGTAGGCGTAGCTGGATCATCTTTGGTGGGCACAACAGCGCGCACTTCTGGGTAAGGAGAATTGTCTGCATCATAATCGAGGACTTTGCGAGCCTCATCATCATCAATGATCGCCTCGTCGCTGCTGCTGCTGCTCTCGTAGTACTTATCTGTGGGCAAGTTCGCAGCATGACTCATGTATTTCTAGATGCACAGACAAAGAAATTATGTCAATCAAAGGCTTTGTTCTTGTATTTTCCGCAGCAAGCTCATAGAGCAATTCGCCCAAGTCACTCTGCAACACCAAGAACGTAAACGACATGTACATACCTCATTTGCAAGTCCCAGGATTTCTTTTTCTTGTCCTTGGGACGTCACAATCGGCTGCTGAGCGATCTTCTCCTCCATTGTTGGCCAGTTGGTTCAGATGCTGTCAGACATCAGAATAGCTTCGTTCCACCTCTACCTCCTGTTTCCAGTGTATATATAAAGTTATATATATGTACGAAAAGGAATAGAATACGAAAAAAGGAGGGTTACAGTCAACTCATTCGGAAAGCAGGGGGTTGGAGAAACAAATTGGCAAAAAGGAACACCACCAGGCGCATTTATAACGCGGCACAGCTCTAGGTATCGCGCGAGTGCGTAGATTAATAGTAGCGGCTGGTATAAAACGGTGAACCTGCAAAAAACAACACTTTCAATGGTTGCTTGTCTAGATTTTGTATGAATTAACGAACTACAAATTATGGATAGATTATTGATAACAGCCAAGTCTCTTCCGTTCTAGCCTGCTCGAGTCGAAGGTGCATTGTGGCGTATCGAACTCGTTCAGAAAGGAGACGGTATGATACGGTAATCAGATGAATGTACCAGTAATAACCAAGATGGTACAGGATCCGGCCCACAAGGTCTTCAGAAGGAAGTATGTATTGTGGGTCTTAATGCATCTTATTGTCGTAATTGGATGAAGACAAATCTCGAACCTGAAGGATTCGTTCTAAACCAGACTAAATGCGGACGTTACGATTCGCCACCCAATGGCCGTTGTCAATATAGACTACATTTGCTCCACTCGGATTACAGCGGGCTAAAAGCGGGTCCTTATGCAGATGCAATGCTCCACTGGTGGATACCAAACTAACTCCTGACTAGGCCGAATATGTATTAGTTTATAACAGTCGTTAAGCTGGAATCACATGATCTCCCTAGAGTTTATGCATGGTATCGATGCCTCAGGCCAAATCGCCATTCATGAAACGGGCTAGAATTTTCATTTCGACTTGAAACAATCACTGTGAAACCATAGTCCGTACGGGCTGCAGACTTGAGTAATGAGATCCTTCGAGTTACATATCGATTGATTGAACAGCACAAGATCGACTCCGTACATATGTAGAGAACGGAGCACACCCATGTAACAATAAACGTTGACAACTCAGCATCTCATCTCATGCCCGCAATTCCTTGCCTAACCTTGGAAGGAAGCCCGTGTCCCGGCACAATCGGATTTATTCATCCAACGGCATACGCAGACATAAATGACATGCATGATGTGCATTGGCGGCGATACCCATGTCTGGATTATTTTGTTGTCTATCGCCCGTGCCTCTTTCCTGCTTTCAAGGCCTAGCACCAACTCTTTAGAGACTTTGCTCCGGGCGTTAACCACGCAGGGCCATGCGGCATTATGCACGTCTTTACTCGAGATATTCAGAAGTTACCATGTATGGGTGTTGCCAGCGGCTGTCGCCGCATCTGTTGTAAATGATCTTCGGGGTCAATGGATACCTCGGTTTTAGGCTTGGATAGATAAGCTTGTTCTTGAGAATCTTGACTCTACGTATCTTATCAGAATGTCCAAATATTTGGGTTAGGGCCTCGGTTCGATGTCCGAGTGCTATCACATCAATGATCATGAATTCCTACACACCACTTCAAAGCATATAAGTTATCTACTGCATGGTTGCGGACAGGGTGGGAGCAGGATTCACTTCGTGGAGGATTTTCTGGGCATGAATTGAAACATATGCAGCAAGATGTTCAATGCAAGTACGTAGCACTTCGTATTCACTATTCAGCCCAGAACTTACTGCTCAGACCCAAACCCCACGGGCAGCCGGTCCGTTCCCATTGTTGGTCATCATCTAAAAAAAAAAAAAGAAAAAAAAATTGAGAAGGCCGTGCCGATTCGTGTCCCTTCGGGATCAAGTTTTCATTGTTAGATATTACCGAATATGGTAAAAAAATATATTTGATCTAAGAATTCGAAACGAATGAAACACCACTGGAAGCTGCCTGTGCACATCAGGCGGCAAAACCCGCGGTCTTTTCTCATTCTATCTTACGATTTGGATGGATCTTTCGGCATTCCGATCGACCAATCCGAAAATTTTAATTGGCGTCGAAGATGAAGATTGAGAAAAGTTAAGTTTAACGTTTACTATCATATCGGGAAAGGATAACTACCAAGATAACAACCAACCCTAACCTTTTCCATTTGACCTGACTCAGGGGCAGCAGGCACATATTACTGTACATAGCAATAAGCACATAGAGTCACAATATAGACAACGAATAACCTGGTATGATTATGAAGCGCGGGGTCAAAGAACAACAAGACCGAGGGAAGTGGGCTGCTGAATGGAGTTTGCTGGATTTTTCGGTAACGCTTCGCGGAGCGGCGGGTAGAGCCGACGCAGCATAGGGACTGGGCTTTTGGGTAGTATATAGGGCCGCATTGTGGCAAGTTGAGGGATCTGTGGGAGGATTGATATGGATTATTCGACCTGTGTTCATATATAAAACCTATTTGCAGCTATATACTCGTTCTTGGAGGCATATATAGAAGCCGTTTCGGTACGGTAGCTGGGTGGCCAATTTATATCTAGGTAGCCCTCGAAGAAAGATTTTTATATTGAAAGGGACGGCAGAGGTACTTTGCCAGGGGCAATTATTAGGATTTCACTACGAGAAGACGACATTCGGAATACGTTCCCGGTCGATTTGCAACGGTTAAAGGTCATCACACATGGCTGTTAAGCCTGTCATGCCAACTGAGGGCACAGCTACAACTCTCAATGAGAGCAGCGAAACAACGCCTTTCGCTCAACGACCCATTATAATCCTTGGAGCAGGTATCATCGGCTGTGCTGCAGCTTACCAATTACTCCAGAATGGCTTTCAGGTTACCCTGGTAGGCGAGTATCTACCGGGGGACAAGAGTATATTATATGCTTCGGCTTGGGCGGGAGCTGCATGGCACGCTGCGGCCGGTCTGGACGGAGATCAGAAGTATATTCAGGCTGTTACACATCGATATCTATTGAAGATGGCTCTGGATGACCCGTCATCGGGAGTTTGTATGGTTAAGGGGAAGGAGTATGTTGAGCAGGCGCCGGGGAAAAATTCATCAGCATGGGGGAAGACGGTGTTGAATAATGTATGCCATCCCTCTATTACTTCATTCTTCATGAAGTTAAGAGTCAACTAACGGAGTATACAGTTCCACACACTCAAACCAGGCGAATACCCCTCAAATTTCGCCACCGCCTGGGAATACGACTGCCTCGTAGTCGACCCAACCCTACACATGCCCTGGATCGGCGCCAAAGTCGAGGCTCTAGGTGGTCGATTCGTGCGTCAAAGAGTCTCTTCCCTAGGGGACCTGTATAACATGTACCCTGAATCAAGCATCTTCATTAATGCTAGTGGTTGGGGTAGTAGGGATTTAACTGATGTTCTGGACCCGAAATGCTTCCCGGACAGAGGACAGAATGTGCTTTTGAAAAGTACAAAGTCTGACACGATGTATTTCCGGAACGGAAAGGAGTATACGTATATCATTCCGAGGCCGTTGTCGGGACATCTTATTTTGGGTGGTCATAATTCAAGGGATAATCTGTACGTCTCGCTCAAGCACTAAGAAGACAATGGGATTAACAAGATAAAACAGGAGCGGAGAACCAGACCTAGACGTCGCTCGAGACGAAATTCGACGCGCCCATATCCTCGCCCCTGACCTTGTGCCCGCCGAACCCGCTGAGACAGACGTCAGCTATATAATTGGTATTCGACCCGCAAGAGACGGCGGATTCCGACTCGATTCACAAAATATTGGAAACAGGATTGTGCTGTCGGCCTATGGGTTTGCCGGGGGCGGTTATGCGTTCAGTTATGGCATTGGAGATGCCTTGGTTAAGATGGTGCAGCAGGCGGAATTCGATAATGTGATATTGCCGGAATAAGGATCGACCTCTACAACTGTCAGTCATGGCGTGTGACAAAGATTGAAAGATTCGGGAGGGTCATTCGAAAGCATATTTACCTCTTGTGTTTAAGTTGACTTCCGCAGATTATGTACTAACATCTCATAGACGTACGTGTTTTTGGCTTAGAGGTACTCATAGGCGGTCTAAATTTAGCAATGATGATCATGGCACATCAAATTATGTCTTCAGATTTAATACTGATCTTATTAATGGAGGACAACGTCGCGCGGAGTATGTGTACTTCATCAAAAAGAGTGATGTTGGTATAACTAGGTATTGAACCACGCATTGAGTGCTGCAAAGTCGGCTGGGTTTTTTTCAAAGAGTTCGTGGTTAGTTAAATTTTTATGTTTAGGGCCGGAAATGCAATCTTTTGCTCTCATGACGTTGACATATGTCAGTAGAAGTGCTTCTTCGCGAATCGTCTAGGCTTGAAAGAAGCCCTGAGATTCGGCACAAGACACGCTACCATCCCACGGCTCGGGATCGATTTCCCGGTAGGCAACGGTGAAATTCATGTCTCTGTCTTGCTCTCTGTTGTATCAACGTTGGGATTATCTGAGCTGCTGAATGGATAATTTTGCTGAGACAGGATTGACACATGATTGTAAGTTCACATCAAGTAAGCGTCATGCCAAGCCCAGAGTCTGCGTATATTTCAAACGGACTACGAATCATCCCAACACCCTAGAGGCGAGTCATCATTATGACCTTCGCAGGCCGTCATGCTTTTTTGCACTGTATTAGTGACAGGGCTGTGTGTTCCTACCGCATGACACAATAGAGCAGAAATTCCTCGATAATTGCTTTATTCAAATTTCAACCTCGATGTGTTTTCCCTTTGTCGCTGTCTGTGTGGTTTTGAATATATTAGGTTTTCTCATAGGTTCTTTAGCACTGCTATCCCCCATTTTTTCCATTGGGATGTATCTGAAATGTGGTTGTGAAGTCGGCTTAGTGGACGAAAGCGTGGAGGTCGGTGGTGGTGTTGCGTTACGTTGCGCTTGGGCTCGGTCAATTTGATCCTGAATAAGTTTTTCTTCCCTCCTCTGCTCAGCGGCGTCGGCATTACTTTTGCTTTGTATTCGCTGCTCGAAGAAGAGCCTCCGGCGAACGGTCAATTCATGCAATATGCAACCCGTCATCTTTTTCTTCAACGCGACAGGGTCCTTCTTTTCCAAGCTATTTCACAAATTCCGTCAATGGGTCCCATCGTGTACAGTTCATATGCACGTGTTGTTTATCGGCAATGTACGTCTGGTAGAAGCGATTCGCATGTACGTTCTTCTCCCGGTGACTCGTCCGTAACAGGGTAAGAAAGGCCGTCTGAAATTGTCGCGAATAATCAATGACAGTCTCCTTTACGTCAGTGATGCTCCCCATTCGACGCACATGGGCCTCGGAAAGCGTGTGTTGTTTAAAGGCATTCTGATCTCGGCAATGTTTTTTGGCAGGGGGTACAGTTCCAGCCCAAGCACCCTAGGCCGGCCATCTTCATCCTCCTATCGACATGTCTCGTGGATTCCGCATCGTGTGGCATGTTGCAGGTATTTCTGTTTTTGAATTCGCTGATGTAAAGGGTAAGGTGTCGTCAAATGCTTGATTCAAAGTGGCCAACATCAACACGTGATTCCTGGAAGTATGTGCCCTAACCCTGCTACAATCGACTTCTCGGTTAGTTCGGCCCCTTCCGGAACATCCCCCTAACCCTGAAAGAGATAATGCTGTGTAACAAAGTCCACGAGGTAGCCTGTCATTAAAAATACATACCACGGCCCACATGTACTAGTATTTTTATTTTACGTACTAAGTAGAAACAATAATAATAGCTATGATGGTTAGCACCCACGGGTGACGGCGGCATGTTGGACTACCATGCAGCTAGAATATGCGCAGTGCTCTGGAATTGGTTACTGTCCATCCTTCCAGCGAAGATCCTTGTCAAATGGACAACGATGGCTTGCTAGCGATGGCTTGCTAGCGAACTTTAAATACTACGGAAGTACGCACTCAAATACTCAGTTAATATATTTGACCCCGTAGTATGGATGATACGGTGTATGTAACAATGTGGTGCGTGTGTATACGCGCAATACGATATGGTATGTTCAGCGATAATACGGTAATTTGCGGCCAGTACTCCGTACATAAGTGGGTATCTGCAGCCAATTAGAGCGCAGTCCAGCACATCGCAGATCCCTCAGTAGTCTCGGTCAGCCTCATGGGAGGTGCGCCACCATGAACCACTTTCAGAACGAGAGACCATTCTTCGCTTCACACCCGTTGAGTGTTCCAACGGTTGCTTCTGGCAGTTACCAACGTGGCCAAGCACCCTTTTCTCTGGCTTGTGTTTCACAGCTCCTTCGAATCTCGCCGGACACCGATTTACGGTCGTGATACAGCATATTTTCAAGGCCAACGCGACTCGCCAGTAAACTCATTCGTCTATCGGCAAGACGTCTTCCCCGTTCCCCACAGATCTCCGGACAAGCCTAGTGTGTCGAAGAGCTCGACATAATGACTTGGGCCAGATCGTAATCTCGTCGGATCGTGATTTTGGACAGCCCGCGTGATCGAGTTCCATATGCGCGGAGGCACGGCATTGGTGGCAGATTGAGGGCGCGGCGATTAACGAATATACAAAATACATCATGACAAATACAGCCGCCGCTGGTAGACGCACCTCGGACAAGGGGGCTAACTTTCGTGGTCAGTTGGGTCGGTTTCGTCTGAATCCCACAGTATCCTCTTCCCAGATACCGACGTCGTCGCCGTCGTCGCAATCGCAACCGCAATTGAGTAATGGCCTCCATACCCCCGTCGTGTCTCAGCGACCAGAACCGAGTGCAAGTTCAGTATCGTCCACGAGTACTGCTACCATAAGACGACGGGCGTCGAGATCGGATAGTCCAGATGCCGCGGGAAACGATCGGGATGGTCCCGTTAATAAAAGTAAACGAGTCTCGACGGCGTGCGAGTTTTGTCGGAAAAGGAAGAAGAAATGTGATTTTCGATATCCGAATTGTTCGGCTTGCACCCGCGCCGGTGTGGTGTGCACCGTACTTACTCTTGGACAATCCGTTGCGCACCAACCGGTGCCTAGAGATCAGATAGAGAATCTCGAGAAACGAGTGGAATGGCTGGAGGAGTTACTGCGGACACAGGCAAACATAGACGTGACTGGAAAGTCAACAGGGTCTGTGGTTGAATATCCCCAGGCTGATTCACCTGCTGCAGAGCAATGGTTTAATGTTCCAGTCATGCTTGCACAACCACGAGCCGGAATCGGCTTGACTGCGGCTGTGGACGACACGTCTGACAGCGCCAACAGCACAAATAGCCCAACGACGTTGTCCTCGATGGATGGTGGACAACTGCCGAATATTTCAGAGATATTTCGCGATAAGTTAGAAAATAGACGAAGTATTGTTCCCCGACCGGCGTCCTCGTCGGTAATCCCACCCGTGCGTCGGCTTTCGTCATGGGACGAAGCGGAGCAATTGGTGAATAGATATTTCGAAGGAGTAGGGATGCAATACCCATTTCTGCACAAAACTGAATTCATGCGGGGCATGAGAGCGATCTATCAAAACAAGTCTGTTCCACCTGATGTACAGAATTCATACCACATCACTATGGCAGTGGCTCTTTTAACTACTACCAACGACATCCAACAGGCCGCTGCGTTTTACGGCATTGCCAGGGAAACATTGACCCCCACACTGCAAAATGAGGATCGGGTATCATTGCAAGCACTTCTAAGTCTGGCATTGTATTCCCTCTCATCTCCCGCGGGGCCTAGTATCTGGCAAGTGCTGGGTACGGCAATGAGACTCGCCACCAGCCTAGGCTTGCATAAGGCGCGGCCAGCATCGACGTCGACCAAAGACATGGTTGAGCATGAAATGGACAAACGTGCCTTCTGGAGTCTCTATAACCTCGATCGACTGATCTCTGTCACACTTAGTCGGCCGTTAGGGCTATCAGACGATGATATTACAATAAACACACCTGTGGAGTATGATGAAAACTGGGTTGAAGCACCTAGAAACTGCCAGATGTCGATATCCGTCCAGGTGGTCAAGTTGCGCCGAATCTATTCGAGGATATATCGATGCTGTCAGTCTTTTCTCTGACATACTATTTGAAACTAGGTCGCTAACTAATATAACAGTTTACAACCCACATACCAAACCCACTGGGGATGTGGCCCCTCTCTTACAGGGATTTCGACAAGAACTCGACGAATGGCGCACTTCTGCACCCGTGATCCAGACCTGCCTGCATTACTCAACGGCCTATTACGACTTTCTTTACTACACCACTTTGCTACTCCTCTATCGCCCGTCCGTTTTGATGCCGCACCCGGACAGTAATTCTATTATGGGATGCGGCGAGGCTAGTATCCGCATTATTCAGTCGTACTGGGACAACTATTCCGCTAATAAGATCAAATGGCTTTGGATTACGCTGTGCCACGTTTACTCTGCCGGTGTCACGATGCTATGGTGCCTAGAGCAAGATATCCGAGCCGTTCGACGGGGTATGTCACCGATATGGGCCAATCCACAGGTTTACTCATCTCTTGAGTTCGTTCACACTCTCCTCGACGAATTCTGCGCAAAACGCAAAGGCGCAGACCGATTAAGCATTCAATTCAAGACTCAAAGCCAACAAGTCACGCGACGCATGTTGCAAGCTACAGCAGACCAGCAGCAGCAACAGCAGCAGGCTCTCGAATCTGTTGTGCAGCAGCAATTGCAACAACCTATCTTTATGCCGACTACCGTTGATCCGGGGATGATCGTTCATCCAATGTTTTATAGCTATCAATGGGCTGGACAGGAAATTGCGTCTTTCTATGGCTTATAGTCTGTTCTGTTCTTCTTATTCTTGCCATTTTATATTAATAGATAGGAGGGATGAATAGGTTTGCAGTTGGTTTTTTTTTTTGTTTATATCACGATGTCCAAGCATATCGGCGAATCAGCGTTTTCAGCTTTTGAGATACCAACATTTATGTGGACTGGCGAGAGAGGATCATGAATCAAATGTCTCGTGCTTCTTTGTTCATATTGTATATAGTACATACGTACATATCCTGGAGATAATGAACATATGCAATATATCATAGTGGTGAAGATAGCAGGCGTAATGGATGATTCGCAAAGGTATGAGATTATCCATTGACAAGACTAGGACATCACATCGACCCACGATCGAGATGTTTACCTCCACTACGAAAGGCAATCGTTGGATTCGATTTCTCATTGCGTTATTTTATTCCCACATTCCATCAAATATGGTGGATTTGTCATCTCTAAAGTACTCTGGCAAGGTCCACCCGCGCGTTTCCCCGCAATGAGGTCTTCGGGAGAGGATTGTATCTCTGCATTGAAAACTTATCTACCATTTTGGACTATATCTACCTTCTCCACATTCCGATGTCTATTCTTCATACATATGGTGAGAGCAAACCATACGCAATTCCTCATCAGTACAAAACAGTTTGATTGTCGTGTCAAACCATATGATACGTCTCTCGCGGTGCATACAACGACTCACCGATATCGGTCTTATCAACTCCAAATTTCTTTACAGCAACCACGACAAGAGGAAAAATGTCGTCTCCAATCAAAGTCGCCATCCTAGACGACTATCAAAACATCGCAACCCCCAAATTCGCACATCTGGTAGATGCCAACAAAATCTCCGTGACTCTGTTCCCGCAAACTCTCAATGTCCGGAATGACAGTGAACGAGAAGCGCAAATCAAACGGCTGCAACCGTTTGAAGTAATATCGACAATGAGAGAGCGAAGTCTGTTTAATAGTGATGTGCTCAGCTCCCTGCCGAATTTGAAATTATTGTTGACCACCGGAAAACGGAATTTCTCAATTGATCATGAATTTGCCGCAACCAAAGGGACTGTCGTCGCGGGTACGGACCGAGTAGCGCAGGATGGTGGTACTGGTGGACCTGATCCAACCACGCAGCAAACGTGGGCTATGATCTTGGGACTCTCGAAACACATTGCTCGTGACGACGCGGCGCTCAAAATGGATAAGTCATACTGGCAAGGAGACAGCCTTGCAACACACCTCCCCGGTAAGACGTTGGGGTTGCTCGGATTGGGGAGATTGGGAATTGCAACGGCAAAGATTGCGTTGTTGGCGTTTGGTATGCGCGTTGTGGCGTGGAGTTCGAGTCTGACGCAGGAAAGGGCTGATGAAACTGCCGCTGAGGTCGGGTTACCGGCTGGAAGTATACAAGTCACAGCATCAAAACTGGATTTGATGAGAATTGCGGATATTGTGTCGTTGCATTATGTGCTTTCGGAGCGGAGTCGGGGATTGATTGGAAGAGAAGAATTGGCTGCTATGAAACCCAAGGCATTGCTGATCAATACATCTCGAGGGCCGTTGGTTGATGAACAGGCATTGCTGGAGACACTCAAGGCTGGTAGGATTCGGGGTGCGGCGCTCGATGTATTTGATGTTGAGCCCTTGCCCGCGGAGAGTGAATGGAGGACGACGGAGTGGGGGAAGAATGGACGTAGTGAGGTGTTACTCTCGCCACATATGGGATACGGTGTTGAAGAGTATATTGAGGGCATGTATGATCAGGTTGTGGATAATTTGGAGAGGTATTTGGACGGGAGGGAGTTGTTGGTGAGGTATAATTGATCATATGTTCTCTAAGATTCGGAAATCGTAGGTAACTGTAGAACTAACCCTACTATTATTCTCTTCTTCCTTCCAAGGTTATTGCCGGGATGCCATTGAGTTGAATTCTACTATGGTCTACCCAGGTAACTTCGTTAGTACGGTGGAACCGACAGGGGTTTACACCGCTTTCCTATTCCATATGAAGCTACACCTACCATCTGGCTTGCCATCTACTATCTAGCTTGTTATCTACCACCTAGCTTACTACCAAGATGTCTGTTATCGAGCCTGAGCCTGAGCCTACCCCCAAGCCTGCAACTGAGCCTGAGCCTGCCGCCGAGCTTGCCGCCGAGCGTGCCATCGAGCCTACCACCGAGCCTACCACACCTCAAAAGGAATATGCTATACGCCTAACTCGTGATGATCGCATCCGAATTCAAACCCTGCGAGAAGCTGGACTTACCTATCAGCAAATGTTGGTTTAACTACGGTCCGTATCACGAAGCATAGACGGTAGTAAGGCGCGAACACGAAGCGGCCTAATGAGCCTGACAATATGAAGATATCTTGATTCCTAATATTGTGACTTGTCCCCAAGAACGAGGGGGACGGGGATAGCTAGCTAGATATACACGGCACGCACGTGCCGCGTTAGACTAACTATATCCGGTGCCAAAACGTGTAGGGTTTGATATTCACGTTCCGACAGAAAGATATCCTGAGGATGATGAATTATCTTATGATTTACTTAGGCAAGCAGTACGAGCTGCGTGGGATGCAGTACCAGATAGCTTTCTTGCTAAGCTTATTGATGGCATGCAGGCTCGCTGTCAAGCAGTAATAGATGCAGAGGGAGGGCCCATTCCATATTAGCTAGTACAATTTAGGATTAATTCAATGGCAAAATATTTGAAGTTGATAGGCTGGTATATGTGATCCGTGCACCATACTAACGAAGTTACCTGGGTAGACCATAGTATTGTTTGTTCTTGTTGGAGCTCGGTTACGCTAGGATGGATACGGAATATAGGCAAATAATAAGAACTTAGAGTTGAGAATTTCTATGTATTGATGCACCCTCTCTAATACAAAACTTGTCAGGAATGTTGACCTCTTTTATATGTGAGGTCCTGTACAAACTAGATCATGAGATGACATCCAGTCGAACCTTCTAGATATAGCCATATAGAGCTGATTGGATGTCTATATCTCGTCAGTATGTGAACCTAGTTCTCGAAATTTCTTCATGTTAGTAGTATGATGGATTCCCAATTAGGGATAGCGTATTGCGTTCCAACACACCCCCCCAGGAAGGAAAGCTTGAAGCTTTTATTCCTGCAGTAAATGTGCTATATCCACTAATCCCTGGTGTTTTCTCCAATTCACAAAGATCTGGCCCTTGAGCAACTTTGTAAGGCCATCTGCAACCATTCTCTTGGTGTCGACCCATTGAATATGAAGTCGCTTGCTCTGAATCTCTTGGCGGAGCCAGTGGTGATAGATGTCGATATGGCGTAGACTTGTGTGGAAATTGGGTTCTGGACTCGTCAGTAGGCGTATGGTTTGAGTATTGTCACATTGAATAGATAGTTCATGCTCTGGCTTGAAGCCGATTGCTTCAAAGACACGTTTCCAGATATACAATCGCTTTGCGGCTTCAGTTGCTGCTCTTAGTTCCGCTTCGGTGGTAGAGGTTGTTACATATCTTTGTTTTGT